GTTAAACGAACGTTTATCGCAAGTGTATAAGGACTTTGCTCACGAGCTCTCAGTCTCAATAAATCCTAACTGAACATGAACACGTTTTTTAAACCTTCGTGTGTAAGCCGTTGTCCTTGCCAACGTCGGATCCAATATCTCCCACAGTGGGATCACTCTTGCAACACCGCCCATCTTGCTGATGATTGCCATTTTACGCTTATGGCAGGATTTGAGAAGTGAAATATGTTTCGGTTGGCCAATTATTCTTTCAAGAGGGACCTGATCTGTGTCTGTTCGTCGTATAGCTGCATGATATACCTCGTACAGCAAGGCCCCGCTCTCATGGCTTCGTTTGTAACATCGTGTCGCCTTTATCATTGCATGGCTTTTATCTTCGCGTCGCTGTTCTTCGGTCCGGGTGGGCTGTATTCTAAGATCATCCTGGTTCATGTTGACCACCAATGGATAGCACGAAGACCATTTCGTTTGAGCAACACATGTTTTACTGTGCATCATGTCACTATGGGTCGCATACGGAGCAATTGGTCGTAGGGCAATACATACCCTCCCAGGTCTCAGACAACGCCTATTTGGCGCTCCCCTGAGTAGCTGGGTTTTGTGAAGCAGTGGATGGGCTTGAGTTGGTGGTCTGAGTCTGCGTGCTAGGTATAGGGATTGAACTTGGAAGATACCACGGCATCTCCTTCTTACTCTCCCGTAACCATCGTTCTATCTGAGGCGAAAGTGTATTGCTCTGAGCTACAGAAGCTTGTCCTTTCGGGACTTGAGCATCGTGCGTATCGGACATGGTGAATTGAATCACCAAGAGAATAAATAAGCAAGAAAGGGGGTCAAGTAAGAACAATCAAGTACTATACGAAGAAGAAGAAAGGGCATGACCTTCAATGAGTTGGGCAAGGGATTGCGCAAGAAGTTGATTGCCGTCTGCTTGAGATGAGCTTTCCATTCAAACACAAAACATAGGGAACGCCAATATTTATACTTGAATCAACCACTTCAGCAAGGGCAGCCATATCAGAAAGGCGACCCATGCGAATGATTGACCACCTCCAGCGAGTCCTTGCTGCTGAGGCTAGCATTACAGCTCATAGGTGTGGCAGGGCTGTGGCAGCTCATTGAGGCGGCAGAGATATGGACGTAGAGAGAATGGGCAGCCCTCATGGGGAAAGAAAAACATAAGACTCTACCCCACCAAATTTTGATGGTACAGTACCTCTGCGAGTCTTGTATTTTATTAGACCGCATTAAGAGAAGTGCACGGGATGATGTGATGAGGTTTCGGCCGAGCTCTGTTTACGTATTGAAAGTTGACGACAAACCCCCAGGGTACAAGTACGGCCCCGTGGTTCCGTACCGCACTGAGCCGAGAGATGAATACATATGACCTGGCATGAGCACGCTAGACCGGGCTGGTACTGTAGGGTGGGTGTGGCACTGCAGATAGGATGTCTCATTAAGGCATCCATCTAGTTTATGATTTACTGTCGCATTTTGGTGCTAATTCTTATCGAGGGGAATGATTCTATGCATTCGAGTTTGGAGCGTTCGCTAACAGATTGAAGAAACAACCGCCGTTATTCAGAGCTCATTTACAGTCCTGATACACTCTGTTGTTGGTCGTGTCATGCTATGTTCTAGTGCAGATGTACAGTTGGATAGATTTTATAATCGCAATTAACTTACCGCCGCGTTGATACAATCCTTGCAAGATATGATCGACGAGCGAGTGCCCCTACAGACCATCTAGAAACAGACCAGAAGCGCGGCCCGGGATCCGTCACCAGCTATGAAGTCTACCGAACTGACGGTTCCAAGCGGGGGTAGACGTTTGGCTTCCAAGCCCTGTCAAATTATTTAGACCGTCATGGCTTGAATCTTGTTTTGCTTGCCTCGAGATCGAGTAACCTGCTGAATTGGTGCCTCCCCGGCTAGCCAACGGGTACCTACCTACGCAGATAAAGACACATTTGACATAAGGTTTAAGGCACAGTGACTCGTGACTCTAACAATGAATAATCTCAAAGCCAAGCTTACAAAATAGCTTCTCAACAAAACCTCAGTTTCTTTGGGTATTGCAAGATCACAAGACTATTGTTTCATCCCACGACTAAGTGCCTATTTGAAGGCAAGATGTTCACTCAGAAGCCTTGTTGCGGGCGCCTTCATAACCACCACTCTCGTCTTATGATGACGCCCTCAATGTCACATTTTCTCTTCCCGACGGCTCAATTGAGCTGCATTTCTGAGCATTTCTGAAAAGCAACTACTAGAAGGATAAAGATGCATGAGGTGGGTAAGGCTGTGTTGGCACAGCTTTGCCCAATACCTTGATTTGTATGTACAAAGCAGAAAAATACAACATCATGGGAAAGTGATCATGGTGTCGCTGATGGTGTCCCTGGCAATGACAGGCATGTCAGGGGCATCCCCTGGCTGGATTCGGCTCATGGTGAGATTGTAACACATCCTTGTGGCTGAGCATCGGCTCTGGTTCCCGAGCTGTACGTATCAAATGGTCGAGGCCAGCGACAAAAACAGAATCAACCGATCACGTGTGCGCGCAGTCACAGCTTGACAGCCAAATCTCAGTCCTAGATGAGCCTCACTTTCTGCTGACCCCGATCACGTGTTCGGGGATATCGCTAAAAGAGTCCCTCTGAGTAATGAAATCACACATCCAGCCGGTCATGACATGTCCGATAAGCTTCCCCGCATGACGATTACCGGCATCTTCGCGTTGTCAAAGCCGAGATACGCACCTACTATCAAGAGCATGCGGGGGAGGCGGGCAGGTTTCATGTTTTGGCGTGTACCCCATCCTTTATTCCTCCACCCGTGCAGCCAGCTTCGGAAAAAGACCACAAGGCGTAAGGTAATTCTAAACATGGGCATTTTCCAACCGTCGATTTCCATACCTTGGCAATAATTACAGCAGGGTTGATTAAAGAGTATGCGCCTATCTTCCTAACTCCAATCAAGAGAGAGCCGTTGACTCGACAGCTCATCCACCTCACAGAAGAGCGCTACATGTAATTTCCCGCCGCTCAGATCAACACTTCACATCCTGTCGCCACTGGAGGTTGAAACGAAACCTCTTTACACCGCTCTATAGTCCTTCAAAGTTGTGAGGCATGCTATCATCCTCTTACGTGGCCATGAGGCAAATCCAATTGCATCAAAGAGATTAGGCGGTTACCTCTTTTCACAGTCAATTCTGCAGCTAGTCAAGGTACATCACTACAATATAGTCCGACTTGTGGAGCTCACTATCCGTCGAGAACACTCGGAATGCAACGCATCTGCATTTGCAGGAACTCGCAGACTGAGAGTTGAGTCTGAGAGGCCCTAGGAACATCATTGCAGTTGATTCACGAAATAATCTACCCCCACGTTATTGACAAACCCTAGCACGATATAACTGACGTCAACACACGTGAGCGCCTATTCATGTTACACGGATCTAGAAACAGACGAGAAGCGCGGTATTGCCGGACCACATCTTGTTATCTTTCCCTCATTTAGTATGATCTACAAGCTACAGTAGCAATTGTCGCCAATCAATCGACGGGGAGATAAAGCACGAGACTCAAGCAGGTACTATACCACCAGAATGGCTCTCGTATTACTACCCCAGTCCTATCTTTTCTCTGCCGCGGCAGCCGACAGGCAGAGACCGTTTTCTAGACCCCATTAGGCTCCGTTAAATTCGTTGGGCACCGTTTGAGTGGGCTCTGATGGATCCGGGGTCGTATTCAGACCTAGGCAGGTACAGCGCCAAATTTGGATCGAAGCAGGTAGGTGCCGAAGGGATGGGCGGGACGGGAGTAAGGTTGTCTTTTGCATATTGCCTCCTAATGTGATCATGGATGCCAAGATCCGTGAGTAAATGCCAAGAACTCGGCAAGGCGTCACGGGCATCGTCTTGTGGAAACGGCTCTCTACGCGCTGCACAAGCTGGCATCCTTGCGTAAGATCCTCTATTTTGTATCAATCGAGTAAACAAAGCCAGTGCTAGGGTAGTATCACAAGTCCAGCATCTTGTAGTTGGTGTCTCATAAATGTGATGGTAAATAAGGCGTCCGCAAAACCATTCCGTATAAACGCTGTTTCGAAGGGTAGACAGGATAATCACAAGTAAAAGCAAGAATAGTGAGTGAGAATGGGGAGGTATTCAGACCTTTACTGCGTTGGAGGCCATGATAGATGGCCAAGATGATATCACAACTCACAATTGCTTCGTTCTAGAACCATGGGCGACACGTACTCTTTGTACTCTTTGTTTACAAGTTGCTTTCACTCTTTACAAAAGATACCTATCGACAACAATCTCGTCGAGATCCCCACCTTGGCCTCTACTGAAGAACTACCTAGTTGAAGATATCTTACACATCAGAGACATTCTCTCTCCATGCTACGATTACGTAGCGATACAGTTGGCTTCGGATCACACTCTCAGCTGCACATAGCTCTCGGAGCTACGTAGCTGCATAAACGCTTGTGGGAACGAACTTCTTGGCGGTCTCGGCCAAGTCCAGCCTCTGCCGTAACTTACACTACACATTACGTACGAGCTATTCTCGAAAGCCCAGGGTTAGCAGCGCTTATTATTCGAGGCCAGCAGGGAATTCAGACGGAAGGTTTAAGGCAACCGCTCACTTGTGACCAGTAACGGTTCCCCAGTTGAGTATTTGCTTGCTACTGAGTCTTCTCGAAGCGGTGAAACAAGACACCAACATCAGGACATGCATAGAACATACATAACGTCCACATGGCCGATAAGCTTCCCCACAAATGACTTCCGACGTTCGCCTCGACGGTCCGAGATCCATGATCCATACATAGAACAGCGTTTTAGCTTCAATATTGCAGGATCCTATCGTGTGGTTGTCTTTATAACCGTACGCGAATGCGAAAGAGTCGATTCAGCCTAATTCAACGTCGTATTCTCAGCCTCATCCCATACCAATCATCCATCCCAAGCCCCATGCAGACGCACCTCACTTCTCCCCAGGCGTCACACTTCCCTTATCCTTCTCCCCATGTCTCTCTCCCGCCCAGAACTTCTTATCAACCTTATCACCAGGCGCTCTGTTTCCCCGATCATGCTTCTCATCAAAGTCCCGGTTGTGCTCCTCAACCTCACGCTTCTGCTCCTCCGTCAAAGTGTCCGTCTGGTTGCCGGGAATGCTCTGGTTCGACACCTTGGGCTGAGGTGGTGCATTCTCGGAAGATGCATCGAGAGGTTCGCCTCCTCCTGTTCGACCCTTTGCATCGCCTTCTGCGAGGCCGTCGACGAAGCTGCCGTTGCTGTCTTTGACTTGTTCTTTGAAGAGGGGGCGGGCTTGGGAAAAGGGACGGATGAAGCGCGGGGCGATGCGGCTTGCTGGGCGGAGAGGAGTAAGGAAGCGCATGATGAATGTTTCAGTATCCGACAATTATGTGTTCTTTTTGATGTATTCGGATAGAGTGGTGTTTTGTTTGAGTTTGTTGATAAGTCAAGCTTGAAGCTAGAGCTACGAGCTCAAGTTAAGCTCTCCTCACCACACAATCATGACGTCAAGAAAATGACATCACAATAGCACGCAACGTGTAGCCGCTTTAAGCCGAGCAAGAGAGGGAAAAGAGCGATGATCGTTGATGGTTTTAAGACAAAACGATAATTGATGACGGATTATTCGTATAGGTCGGATCGACGTCGCATTATGGTTAATTCATGAGCTCCACATGCCCCAGATTTGGGAGATCGCCAAGCGAGTGAGGCTCTTGAACTTGAGTATTACCCTGAAGCTGTCCCGATACTCGTATGCAGGATGCATCTACTCTGCGAACTTGGGCAATGGTATCGTATCAAAATGTTGTTCTTACGTCTATATGGTCTATGTTGCATGGATAAGTAATTATTTCTAGAGAGTACACCAAAACTCCAAGCCACGTTCAACTCAATACCCATGGTCGTGTCGCCACCAGCCTCAACGTTATCACAACCCTTCCCGATAACGCGATGACTCCTTCAATTGGGCCTCAACACGCGTAGGCTCATACCTTCGACCCATCTCAACCTCACTATCACTCCTATCATCAAGCAACTGCTTCCCCTTCCCTCCTCGGAATTTGTCCTTGATGAACGAGAACAAACCAGGCATATCCGATAGAGGGCCCTGCATGATCCTCCCCGGATGAACAAAATTGAACGCCACCAGAGCCAAAATCATAGGCGCAGCTTCAAGAATGTAAAAATACACCTCGTGTGTGACGAGAGGATTGTCATGACCCATACCGCCTGAGAATTCGATGAGCCGATAAATAATTCGGACAGAGATCATGGCGAGCGAAAAGTAGAGTGCGCAGAGAAGTCTGCCCCAGTCGGAAGTTACCATGGTCCTGATACCGGTTTCGCCTCGAATCTCGTGCATTTTCCGCTGAAAGCAAATGCACAGGACCACAAAAACAACGATAAAGAACTCCTGCAGTCCAATACCACCCATGTAAATATGGATAGCCTCAAGCTGCTTATCAGGCGGCGATCCAGGACCTGCCAAACTTCCCCCGATAAGCTGCACGATAAACGACACGATATCGAGTCCGACAAAGATGGCCGCTAGAGTAACGGCTGGCATGCCGAGGAGGGTGTGGGTGGGGATGAAGTAGTACACCATTCGGCCGAGTGTCATGTACGCATATGCATTAACCCCTGTTCTTGTTAGTACCTTGTCGAATAGAGGGTCGAGAGACTTACAAACTGGGGCGAGGAGGATGAAGATCTGGAATACGAGGAGAACGCCGATGCTTTGTTGATGTTTTGTGCTGATGGCTCTGAATGTAAAGGCTGTTGTTTCCCAGATTCCTGCCATGATGATAACCCAGCACCAGGCCTAGAGGATGAGTTAGCCCTGAACGTAACACTGTCAGAAGAGGACATACCTTTTTGTATCGAGCAGCCTGCCAAACATGCATCCCCGTCACCACCGCAAAAAGTACAGCGAATGCCGCAGCAGCAGAAAAGCTTGGGTAGTAATTCCAATTGGCATTGCAAGTTCCAGGTGGAAGATAACCATTTTCGTCGGGTTCATGAGTCTGGATACATGTCGGGATGACGATTTGAATTGTCTTTGCGGGTTGGGTAAAGTATTTCTCTGTTGTACCGCCGATGGTGGCGATGTTTTTGGTGGTGGTGAACCAACCCTCTGGTGCGTCTGTCTGGCGTGGTGCAAGGGTGATTTGGTGGGGGTTTGTTCCAGTTTGGGTGGGTGCTGGAGAGGCGGTTGTGAGGGAGGCGCTGAGAAGGTAGAGGAGAAGGGCTCTGATATTGGAATTCATCTTGACTGTATTTATGATAATGATAATACTATTTTTCTCCGGACATTTCTGATCTTTTATATATCCTACTTGACTTGACTCTCTTGCAATGCCTCGTTAGTCCGAATGCCAAATGCGAGATGGTCTCGCCAATGCATGCGCATTCAATTGCGAGCCACCCAATCGCATAGCACCATTCGAAACCAGCCCACTACAGCCACCACTACGGCCCATCACTACGGCCTAAGCTAAGCCCTACAGACCATACTAATTTAGGCGCAGCCAAATTGCCTTGAATGGAAGAAGAATTGTTATTAAAAGATCCTGCATATGCATACTAAACTGATAAATAAGTCGCCTGTCCCCTTGGACATCCTCGAGTGACTGTCCGTTGCCAATTAAACCTGTCAGTCTGCCTCGTCAACCGCTCCTTTCGCAACATACAACCACCGTCTGGACTCTCCATTATAAAGTCCATTGTTTTTCTTGATGATGTGTCCCACACCAATGCCTCTCTGCGCCCCCCAAAACAAAATCCTTTCACCCTCTTTGATGAGGGCGGTAACGTCTCGTCGTTAACATCGTAATCCCCCGACAGATCAATGCCATGCTCAACTTCCACAATACGTCTCGATAGACTGTATACCATCGATGTATCCCATAAAGACTCTCTTTCGCTCGAGAGTCTGCGCATGAGAGCTAACCCTTCTATCCGTAAGGGCAGGTATCGACACTTGTACACTAAATTGTGAAGCATTATATTAAACCCTGTTTCGAAGGTGAATCTTGTTGGTTTCTTTCCACTGGCCTCAAGTATTCCTGCTGTTTTGCGCGCATATGTTAACATGTCAAGAAAATCGTCCTTGTGGGCGTCATAACACATCTCGTCCTTCTTTAAACACTCTGCCACAGACATTCTCATCGAGTGGTGTCGTGCCATGAGTGCCAAGGCCGCCGAGTCCTCTCGAACAGCGGCCGGTCTCGTGCATTGTAGTTTGTCGAATGCCTTCTTCCACGAGGCTAGGCCTTGTAGAACGCTAGCTTGAGCATCAAACACCTCCTGCGGGGCGTTCTCGAAAGGTTTTTCGAGACGATACGGACTTCCTGCACGAATGACTCGGACTCCTCTGAAGCAAAGGTCATCCATTACATACTGTGCCTCCTTCGTAGTAGAGAAGATAAGATAATCGCCCTCTTTCTTCGTGCTTTTCTCTTGGGGACATCCAACACTTTCGTCCATTAAAAATGTAGGAGAGACGCTGATTTGGTGGTATGTATTGGTAAGCCGAGAGTTGTGCCCTGCCGAATTGAGTAACTGCAAGCCATGCCGAGCATGGGTAATAGCCGTTGCACGATTGCCGCGCAGGAACTCAACGCATATGAACAGTATGCATACTAGCAAGACAGTGTCTACCGATGCTGGAGGACCTTGAACGAGCAGGTGAATAGCTTTGTTGTAATGCATGATGGCGAATCTATCAACCTCGGGCTTTGAATATTCAAAGTCTTCAAAAAGCTGACTGATAGAAAGCACAGCATGTCGCACCGCAGGTTCAGCATGTGTCATCCGCGCTACAAAGTACGTCCAGAATGATCCACCAAACGGCCCGGATAGGGCTGGCGCAACTACATGATGGAAGAAGCTCAAACTGCGTACTTCACGCGCATTTGTAACAGGTATGAATCGGGGTTGAGGCGCTCGTAGAAGTTGATCCCAAGATATAGATCCAGCAGGAGGAGGACTATAACCGTCGCAGACACGCCCCGTCGTCGTGCATCGTTTGCACTTGGGCCAAGTTTCGTCGCATTTTATTTTTCGGGACCTATGTACCGACCGATTAGTGATCACGATAAACGAAGAAGAAAAGAAAGTGTAACCAACTTGCATGTCTTGCAGCCCGTTTTTACTCTTTGGGTTCCTTCTCGAGGCATGATTTGTTTGTTGGTTTGGGATATGGATAAGGTTTTCCGAGGATTTTGAGGGTATCGTTTTCCGAGTATCGAGTGAAAGTTAAAGAGGATTCGGGTAGCGGGGGCACGAGGAGTCTCTGGTCAGCCAAGGCCTTGTCGTCTAGTGGAGAGATTGTCAGGGATTTAATGCATTGTCGTGAATTGCAAGTCGCTTAGCTTTGCTTGAGTCAAAGCACATTGCGGTACCGTACTGATGTTGAAGAGTCAACAGCAAAAATAGCAGAGCAATGTGCACCGACTCTCTACAGCGTATTGTCTCTATTAATTTAGTAACCGCACCTTCTTAACAAATTCTTTGCTCCGCAATCCAGACTTCTAAAAACGGGAAGGAATGACCACATCAGGACGTGGCGTTGCACTACTCAATCCTTAGGTGGAACTTCAACAAGTTCCCCGGGATTTGACCTGTCAAGAACCGTGAACCGCAACTCCACATCCCCTTTCAAACCGTTCAAGTCTCCTAGCAAGGATGCTCACACCGGCCAACTATACTAGTATTCAGCCTTATTATCGAATCGCTTTCCTCATTTGGTATGGATGCCTTGCCATTTATTACAAAGGTTCCTGACTATTCACAGGCTAATGAACTATACATGTTCCCATGCCCTGACAAGTAGCCCTTCCTGTGATCCTCTACCGCTTCCTCGCCCGGTCTTGGAATTCGATCTTCTATCGCCCAGGCAACTCTTTCCGCACCAATCTGTGCTCCTCCGAGGTTAGGCGCTGCAGGACCAAGACGTAGGGCTGCCAGTCTACCCATCATGAACAGCGGAACCTCATCATTCCACATGAGATCGTTGTTGATACAAGGGAAACCCCCTCTGCCCTCGATGGGATGCTTCTCCAGAATGGTCTGCAGATAAGGCAGAGACGAAAAGTCGGTTTGGATACCCGTTGCAAAGTACATGTAGTCCATGGCTGGCATCTCAACAGGTGGATTCGTCTGAACTGTCCATGTTCCGGTTTCTGCATCGAATGACGCATCGACGAGATTCGTTTCAGTGAAGAGCTCGAGTTTCTTTGTCGCAAGATGCTTCTTGAGACGCTTGTGGAACACAGGAGTGATACTTCCTCCCCCTCTAGCCTCCTTGATCATTTCGATGCGCTCATCATCGGAGTCAGCATAGTAAAACTGTGCTTGCTTCGCGTTTTTGAACTTGCCCATCCATTCGAGCGAGACGTCAAAATGCTTGATGCGAAGCGGTCCACGCATGACGTGCCAGACTTTTGTTACACCTTTGCGAATGGCTAGATCCGTCAACTGTGCCGACGTAAGACCGCCGCCCACGACGAGAATATTTGTCTGTCGACGCGCAGCGATTCTTTGCTTGACTAAGGGGTCTGGGAATTCTGTGATGTGCATGCTGTGACATGTCTGAGGGAGCTCAGTGTCTGGCATTGAGGGAATGTGTGGGATCTTGGCCACATTGGCAGGACCGACGGCCAACACGACTGTGCGAGCATAGCGACGGACTTTGTTGGATGTTACAGTGAAGAGTTTCTCTCCATCAAGAGAGATCCCTTTGACCTCACTGTAGTCGAGATGCTCCAGGGCTTCTTTGCGGATGATGTCTGGGCCAAGTCTATACCGAGCAGCCACCTTTTCGCAGTGATCACAGAAGAGAGCTGTAGAGGGGTTGTAATAGTCGTTGCGTTCTCTCACGTTGATATCAACACGAGCTTCCTGCCTGTATCAGGTTAGTTTGGTTCTATGATTCGTGTCGTGGTAACTCACCTTCGTCCACAAGCCTTCTGAGTACTCTTCTTCCTTCCGTGCTTACTAACTTCTTTACCCACACAGTTCCGAATCTCGATGAGCTCATTCTCCCTCTCATTCGCATACGCATGAGCAAGAAGTGCATCCCGATCAAGTGGATCAACATGCCACAGCATAGGACTTCTAAGATGGGAGATGTCATACATCTTGAAGAGTCTGTTCCAGCGACCCATCCACGTATCACTGTCAGCGTCCAGCACGAGCATCTTGTACTGTGGTTTTGCTTGTGTCTTGGGAGCTGTGATCTTGCCACTTCGGACATGCTTCAAGGGCATCTTGTTGCCGTACTTTGAGATCCAGTGGAAACGACGGTGTTCTTCGTCTGTGAAGAGTGCTGCGGGTGTGTGTTCGTGAAGACGAGCTGAGATGGCGAGACCACATGGGCCTGCGCCGATGATGAGCACATCATAGATCTCTTCTTCTGTTTTGATTGGGTCCATGGTGATGATACTTGGCAGGAGATTAGGGAGCAGAGAACGAAAGCAGAGGTCAAAGAGCAGAGCAGAATCGGGCGACGCTGGGTTATAAAGCATGCCCGAAGCCCATCTCATGAAGCAACTTTCCCCGCGAGAACCCTTTTGGCCATTTGAGATCATTCTGTCATTATGGCTTCAATTGAGCTTTGTCGTTGGTGACTATCGCCATACCCTGATGGACATCTCATCATGAGGACATCAAGGTGTCAGGAACTCAGGGTCCACTCCATCATGAGACCTCCAAAGTACATCTACTGATAAGATACTCATGATAAGTGAACAGATAGGGAAACTAGACGCTTACGACGCTTTAACACCAAGAATGTTTGCCCAGACTACTTGGCATTGAGGTAAGCTTGGCAGGTAGAACTCGAGATAAGGACAATTGAAGAGAAGACCAAATATAAAGGGCAATAGAATCGAATTAATTTAGAATGGAACTCAAGAATTTCTATCGTCTGCGCTATCTTTAAGCAATTTATTTACAACTGAATGAATTTTACGTGGGTGCGACGCTGAAGCCATTCAGACAACCCACTTGGCAGTCCAGCCACCTAAACCATGCAACCTATGAACAGCCTATGACAGCTTATGAACAACCTATGACATAACCAACCAAGATACGATCAGCATTTTTCGTCTATAATACGCGCTCCTCCCCATCACTAGTGATTCCACTCTGAATCCGTTGCATGTCCCAACGGTCCCGAAGCTGCGTAATCCGTTGTGACAAACGCTCGATCCACCTCACCCAAACCTTCAGCGCAATACTGTAACGTCTCAGCAATGTCGTGCGATCTATTCAATGGAGTCTTTTCATCGAGCAAAACATCGAATTCGACCCAGACACCATCGCCTGCGTGGTATGCTGTTACGTTCTTGAACCCTGTTACAACAGGCGCGAAACGGTATGCGAGATAGATGAGTTTCTTGAGGGTGTGGTCGTCGGCTGCTTCACCCGAGAGGCGTACAACGTTCTCGAAACAGGTATGACCCCAGTCGTAAATGATGAAGATAGACAAAAGACCGGCGCCGACGGGATCCAACCACCAAACATTGGCGCGGTATCCGATGAAGGGGAAGAGCAGTGACAGAGTGTTGAAGATAACGTCGGTTTTGCAATCCTGCACAAGCGCTTGCACCTGACTGGATTGGATAGGTCGACATCCAAGGCCAATAGCCCCCTTGAGGATAATCGTCGCCAGCAACGAAGCGATAGCAGCCCAACTGAGAATCTCGGCTTCAGCATGTGGAGGCATCAGACGGGAGAGAGACTCTTGGAGGATCTGCAGGAAAGAAATGACCATGATGATGGAGAATACCAGGATACCCAATGGTTCGAGACGTCTTTTACCAACGGGAAATCGACGCTGCATCGCTTGCAACCTCCAAAGGACGAGTCGACTTGTTGACCATACGATGAGTGTGCAGAGAAGGTCCAGCGCCGAGTCGACGAGCGATGCGACAAGGGAGAGAGACCCTGTGGTGAATACGGCGAAGGCTTTACCAGCCAGAAGAAGAATGTTGGCTATCACATTAATGTTGATGGCGAGATTGGCCCTCTTGGCTGCCTTTCGTCTCTTTTCCTTCTCCTCGTCAGGCAACAACTCTCCGATATTACCCTCCACACGCTGAATTCCACCACAGCGCTCCTGATCACCGTCGTGGTCAGGATCCGGATTCATCGACTCGAGAACATCGTCGGCAATGGCCATAACAACCGCGTCGACCTCCAACCAATCGTTCAACCGTTCATTTTGTTGTTCATAGAATTGGCGGAGCTTCTTGTTCTTCATCTGTTTGAGTTCCTCGTCCGACTTTCGATACTTTTCCAGACCCGATCGATCGATACCGTGCATGAGGGCGCGTTTGATCTCGCCACGACGAGCGTCTTCAAGAGCTGTTCTAGCAGCGTCCTGAAACTTCATAATCCGAGGTTTCGGTCGCGAATCCTTGTTTCCGATGCCGTAATCATAGTATCGACCGTTTTCGAGATCGCGAGGACCATCTTCATATTGAGGGCGTGCATCTTCACCGATGTGAGAGCCACGATGCCGAGCACCTTGATCAGCATTCCATTGTCGTCTACCAACCATCGTAACGAATAATAAGAGATGTGAGAATGATGGAAAAGAAGTTTGGTCCGAACAAAGAAGGTGTAAGCTCTTGTTTATTCCCGTCTTGCAACCCTGTAACCAATATGACGTCGGTGACGTAAATCCGGGGTTGACAGCGCAGATGCAACACGCGACAGGGTCAGGAACGAGCAGATCTCCACTGAATCGGAGAAATTATCAAGGAAATAGTGGCATTCCCTACTATTTTTATTTCCTATGTCTTGTTTTCTTTTTCCTGCGTCGAGTTGAACACGTAAGTGTGCTCGTGCCGAAAGCCGATATACCCAAAATCTCGTCGTCATGGGTCAGCCTGCTACGACATGATGAAGCTCAAGCGCGATCGGAGAAGGGCGGGAAGTTAATTCGTTTATTAATCGCGGTGGTTCTTGCATGATTTAGACCACTCTTGGAGTAGAAAGGTGCCTTTGTAAGGAACGATTCTTGGCCTGGTCATTGTCGCGTCGTGAAGTGTGAGGAAGGTACGAGACACGTGAGTGCTCGGTTGTCAGGTCAGTGACTGCCGCATCATCAATTCTGTAATACGATGCTTCAAAATAGTTTCAATGCTTACACTTTTCATCTTCTGCCCTTTTTATGCTATTTCTTATGGATACTCTACGCGATGAATCATGAAAACGCGCCGTGATCTGTTCCTGTGAAATGCGCTTTTGTTACCCTACACCACTGCAAGATCAATCTGCGGCGTTAGTGTGTGATCTCAGCGGCTCCAGACTTGGCAACAATCGTTTTCATTCAAGACGCACAACTGCCTTCTACTGCAGTCTCCGATGCTTGGATGGATGACCATGCTATGGAAAGACGGACAATAAACACTACGGCGAGTCAAGTCTTCGGTCTCGAGCTGTTGTGTCTCACTCTCAGTGGTTAGTGGCTGTTCACGGCCGTCTCACAGACTTATCATTGACCAATGCTTGCAGCATGATACAGACTCCTTACATTCGAGCCAAGAGTACTATCGCCAAGAGTACTATCCTTTTACCCGAACAAATTATTACAGTCGAGATATCCAAGAGCAAAAGACATCTGTGCAACAATGCAACCTCGCCCATGTTGTTGCTGCCCAAGACCCTCGAACTGCCGAGCCCCTTGGCTGCAGACGTTGGCCAACCCTAGAATTGATCTGCAAGCCACTGTCTCGATAGAGTCGGCAATTCGCCAACCCCTTCAACCACCACGCTCAGCCGACCGTCCCTGAATCGCCATACCAAGAGCAAAAAGAGAAGATGGCTCGAAGGCGCTTGTACTGCGTAATCTGGGAATCGAACCCAGGGCTCCCCGATGGCAACGGAGAATTTTACCACTAAACCAATTACGCGGTTGTTTGATGGAGATTCATGATCTCAGAAGCGTACAAGAATGCTATGGTGGAGCGATCGATTGTCCCACTGACCCGCAAGTGGACTTCAACGGGACCTCAACGCGGTGGACCCTGATCGTGTGAGGCATCGGGTATCAGCCGTCAAGAGCAATGACACGATTTGGTCACTTTTCAGTTCATGCATGTTGGAATCACCTTGTAGGATACTGATCTTCTTTATGACAGGGCTTAGAGGATTCCCTCTGATACCCCCACTTGACCGAAATCAATATCCATGAGAAACTCAGGAGAATTCTCGGTGGCGGCCGAGTCAGAACCTTGAATATATGGTAACGTCGCATCAGCCTCGAAAATCATTACGAACAGGAGCAAGGCCAGGGTTGCGGCAGCAGCAGGCAACGCCTTCCAAGGTGCCATCCGCAGTGACACAGACCAGAAAAAATGACTCCAGAACCAACAAACGAAATGGTTTGACCAATCTGGAAGTCCGGAAGCTTAGGCAAAGGTGCCGATCATCATACCTTGGCGGCTTGGCCTCCCAGACCGTTGTTCTCCAGCGAACCTTATTTATGAGACCCCTGCTTGAGTCTTCAGCAGCTGAACTGTGAGTATAATGATAAGGGCAGATCCCTTCCAGAAATAACGAAGGAACAGGCTTGGTTGTTTCACTACATATCGCGCTCAGGTCACAAGCAGGCCGCTCGTTTGTACATGACTCGAATTCGCAGTAAGCCCTGCTTAGCCTTTGTGGCGTAGCACTTTACCGTTAGCGCCGGTATTGACGATTCTGACATTACTCGACCGCTACTGTGTACGTAATTCTGTTGGACGACACTACCCACGATCTCTTTACCCTTTTGTCTCTAGATGCATGCCAAGTTTTCATGGAGTGTCACTGCAATGTCGATACTTTGATTGAATCGTATTCGATGTTGATGGCATATGGATTCATGGCATATGGATTCATGGCATATGGATTCATGGCATATGGATTTCTATCAACCAGATGTTCAATCAAGAGCAATACGAGCTCATGCCAACAAAACCTTTCCTATATGTATATCATTCACCACAAGGAAACCCCATCTTCAGAACCATTCGCCGAAGACATGTTACCCATCACGACACACGAAATGATGTGCGCAGGGCCTTTGTCATGCATCCAATGAAAGTCTAGCTCCGTCATCCTGGTACCTGGCACTCATTCTATATCCAGGGTTCCCCAGGCGCGGACTCTTGGATCTTCATCTGAATTCAACATCGTCTCGCTTTAGTGCGCCTCGCTATCACTCAGCTTGATTCAGTGCGACGGCAGTTCCTCTTCTGACCCCTGTCTCCTTGTCTAACTACGAAAATCATCGCAGATCTTCCCTTGCTCGATATTACACTCTAGTCCCTTCTGCCTTATGGGAAATGCATATAGATATGAGGCCCCTCTCGAGTGGGCCTCTCTTATTTCCCGTTACTACACGCTGGATTACATGTGAAGACGGAAATACCGAGTATTACATCTTTCAGTACGAAGCATCTTGGTTTCACTGTCAGAGTGGTGCCGACCTTCTTTCTTTCCTTTATACTATTATCAAGTTTGATTTACAATGACTGCCGAAAAGACCTTTTCACCCGACGCTGGTGTTATGAGCGCTATGCTCATCACCTTTACTGTCGCTACCATTCTTCTCATCTGCCGTCTGGTATCTCGAAAGATCACACATGTAGCCTTATGGTGGGATGACTATTTCTGTATAGTGTCATGGGTGAGTTACTGTCACTTTATCACTCGTTTTTATCAATATCTTACTGACTGTTCTTCAAGCTCGCCGCTGCTCTGTACTTTAGTTTTGCCATCTACTGTAAGTCTGCAAGTCTCTTACATAAATATCAATATACTAACCACTACACAGGGGCTGTTGTCATGGGCTTGGGGCATGTAAAGGCAGATGTCCCCGAACCACCCGAAAAGGTCGAAGAGTACGCTCGTTTTGGTCTTTTCATGGCCGAGTTCCTCTACGCCATGTCCCTCGGCTTTTCCAAACTTGCCATTCTTGGTTTCTACTGGCGCCTATTCGGTAGTGTTGCCAAAATCAGAATCGGAATCTACATTCTTCAAGCCAGCACAGTCATCTGGCTTACTATTCGAACCTTTATGACCATCTTTCATTGCGTTCCCGTCGAAGCATACTGGAACCATAACATCAAGGATGCTGTATGCGAAGTCGACCCAGCCAAATTTATGTTTGGTACAACTTTGGTTCATTTGATGCTTGAAGTTGCTGTGCTGTCGCTGCCTGTATTCCAGGTTAAGACTTTGAAGTTGAGAACGGGTCAGAAGGTTGCTGTTGTTGCTATGTTTATGTTTGGTATCTTGTGAGTTACCCTTACCTGATTGTTGTCTTGTTGCTGATTGTCGTAGTGTCTGTATTGCTTCAATCATTGTCCTCTACGAAGCTTTCACTCTGGACCCCACCACAACCGAGATGGCAAGGGATATTCGAGGAGTCATCATCTGGGCAGGTACTGAATCTTACCTAGCCATCATCTCTTGTAAGTCATCACTGCCAACATGTCATTGTCAATGGCTAACATCCTCAGCCTGCCTACCCATCATCAGACCCATCTTCCGCAAGATGCTGTCCGGCACAACACTCACCTCCAAGTCCAACTCATCCGGTCCCAACCCCATCAGTGGCTTGACAAGCAGCAAGGGCATCAAACTTTCAAACATCAACCGCGCAAAAGAGGTTGACGACAACAGTTCGCAGCGGGAACTGGCCGACATTGAAGATGGATCATCCGGCGATCCCGACTTTCACTCTTATCCTCAAAACAATACCACCATCATCGCTACGGATGATCGACCAGGCAGTAACCCTAGCAATGCCAACCCATATGCCATTCAGGTCAAGAATGAGACTAGAGTTTATTATGAGTCCAACTGGAAGCAGGAGAGGGATGGAAATCGTGGTGATGAGGCTGGTGATGCAGCTTTGCGTACGGGTGCCCATTTTACTGTTACGTCTGATGGACCACGCTATTGATGGGTCAACTTTCGCTTTTCTTGGTCATAGATATCCTTTAATGTCAATTATTCTTCACTTCGTTGATCATTGGTGTGGCATGAGCGCATCAGAGTTTTGGTGCTTCAAGGGTGTGACTTGAGGGAAACCATGACTTCAATCGTCTCGAGCGTGACGCGACCGCCTGGATCCGTCGGCACGGGCGCAAATGTCCATGATCGCAGTGACAATTGGACCTCCAAGTGATTCAAACGAGGTTCTCTCTCTCTCACACACACACACGAAAAGGTCACATCGGTAATGGTAACGCTGAATGATCATTCTTGTATTCTATCTAAACAATAACCTCCAAACCCAATCATCGCTCATCACAAAGGATATCAATACGTTCCAACGCCATTTACTCTAACCCATGTACCTAATATCCATCTCTTAATTTCCCATTCGCATGGCGTTCACAAGTCTATGTCGTGCACCCTCTCGGCGATCACTTCGTCCAGGACTCTCGCTATAAGACTCTTGACGACCGTAACCCTCATCTCCTAGGCCGACCTTTGAAGGACGGGGAGGTGGGGGAGGAGGAGCATGTCCAGGTTGGGCCTGTTGAGCCTGCTGGTGGTACACTGGCTCCCAATCACGGCTGGGCTCTTGTCGGTAGCCGTTCTGGTAGGAGTCTTGAGTTGGGACGGGAGGTCGGCTTGCTCGTTCCTCTCGCTCTTGCCGTTCTTGTCGCTCGTCCCGGCTGTCTCGGTTTCTACGGGTAGACTCGTGAGAGGTGCGAGGCTGGGGAGTGGGTTGTGTCTGGAGCAGTCCACCTTGGGATGCACCGTTCTGGGATGCATTGTTCTGGGGAATGTTCTGAGGCGCGCCAACCTGACGACGGGTCATCTGAGGAACTTGTTCTTCATCGTCTGTTGGGACATCATCATCTGGATCATCCTCGTATGCTCGCAACTCGCTTCGCATAGCGAGACTGGCACAGATAGCCTTGGCCTCTTCGATGGCCTTCTTCTGAGTTTGAAGAGTCTTGCGACGTTCGCGAGTCTCCTTGTTCTCGGCAGCAATAGCCTCAATGGTGGTGTCTTGCATGCGGAGGATCTCGATAGGATTGAAGAGACGCAGCATACCGAGAAGAAGGTGTCGCTCAACAACTTGAGTGATGACGTTGCGGGTAAAGATGCGAGCGGTAAGATCGTAGTAGATAAGCATCTTCTCCAGAACCTCCTCAGCTTCAGTGTAGGTACCGCCATTCTCGGTAGCCTCGGCGCGCCACTTGCGAAGACGATCCTCATACTCGGGGTCGAAAGGTTGAATCTCGAGCTCCATGTCGTCGGTAAGACGGCCGAGTTCGGTGTCGGCACTCTCATACAACTCCTTCATTCTCAGCTCGAGGAAGTGCATGCGAAGAGGATCACGCATGCGCATAGGCCAGACGTGGTCGATAACGTCTGCAAGAAACTCGTTGCAGATGACACCAACATTGTCCTTGTACTCTTGGGCAAGAACAGGCCAGTTTCGGGAGTAGTCTTGGAACAAGATGTAAGGTGCTCGGGGGTTGGAGTCGAGGGGCAATTCATTACCCCGGATTTGTCGGAGAAGAGGTTCAACTTCATACTCGGCAAAGTCTTTCTTGCTGCGATCGCCAATAGCGGAGGGAAGAGGTGTACCGTTTTGAGCGCCGTTTGCAGCATCGCCATTGGCACCGGCAGGAGGCGGATTCTGGAAGGTCACCTTACGACCGTGCTGTCGGAACCGTTTTGCGAAACGCTCACTCTCATCGCGGATACGAGCACGAAGCTTTTGCGACGGTGTACCCTTAGGGCTTGACTGTCTAGCAAAGAATCGCTCACCGAATGGGTTCTTGTAGTTACCGTTGACAGCAGGGGTGACAAGGTTGTTGGATGCTGTAAAGAGTTCACCCATCTGGAAACGCATCTCCTCTGGGGTATCTTTGCCAACGCCCATAGCCTTGAGTTGAGTCTCGCAGCCTTCCAGGGCTTGCTGAATCTGGCGACGTAGAGTCTTGACATGCTTGCCGATGTGTCGCTGAAGTTGAGTGCTCAGCTTTGCGCGGAGAGCACCAATACCCCACATCTCAGGAGGAAGAGTTGCCCATTTTCCACGGGAAAAGAACTCGGCTTCTCGGTTGGCGCGATCTTCGGGAGTCTGCCATTGCTCGCCTGGGCCGGGGTTGAGGAGGACAAACCAGCCAAGCTTGCAGCTGTTTTCTTGATCCTTGTTGGTAACAAGCTCAATAAACTTATCCTCGAGACCGATGCGCTCAGTCATGTCGGGCTTTGTGAGGACACCGATAGTGCGTGATCCCTTGGGATCAAAGTGACGGGCCTTCTTGAGGATAGGAGCTTGAACATAATCGTTGTTGCCGCCAATAACAGCAAGAATGATGGTTCGGGAGCTCTTCATGTATCGATCGGAAAGGGCTTCGATGGTTTGGATGTCGTTCTCGGATTGATCTCGGTTGGCGACACGAACAAGACCAGGCAAATCGACCAGAGTCAATAGTGGCATGTCGGGACCGCTCTTCTCAACAACGAGAATGTCGCGAGCGGCAAAGCGACCGGGGATACTTCGTGGAGCAATCAATTCTGTTGCATCACGCATCATCGCATCGAACGGTGTGTCACCAGTGACGTCGCCGCCATATTGAAGTAGACGGGCTTGGTCACTTTGAGGTCTGTTTTTGTCGGGAATGATGGAAACCTTTAATTTTGTTTCCTTTGCTCGTCGCATGCGAATCTCTGTCGCGAATCGTGTACAGGCGCCGGCCTCGCGAGGGAAGGGTGTACCGGTAAGAGCTTCGAGGACGGAACTCTTTCCAGCGGACTGGTCGCCCACGACGACAATTTGTGGAAGTTTGACATCGTCGAGCTGTGCGAATTGAAGCTTGTCGATGAGATCTAGAAGACTGCGTTGCTCGGTAGCAAGGCCCTGGTCTCCCAGGGAAGAATCGAGTGAAGGGCGCATGTTTTGCCTAGCAGAAAAATGAGAGTCAGCGGCTTGCTGGGCGTCTTGGTCTGGAGGTATGACGAACAGAGAGCCCATTCTCTCGCAGGCAAGGTATATGGAGCTGTAGTCGTAGCAGTTGTTGCAGTGAGTGTGGTGTTGTATTTGTATGTGTCTGATACAAGTTTAAATCAGGAAATGGGACGGAAAAGAGGGAATGGTTTCAGCCAGGGCATTCGTCATGGGTCATTTTATAAATGATGACGCTCGGGCTTTGATTCGTTCTTTCTTGGCTGCCTCTGCGACGGTTTGCGCGGCTGCCAAGCGTTCTTTGGGCTCAGAGGCGACACAGGTGATGCCCAGCCTTCTAGCGTCATGCCTGTCAAGCTGCGCCACACTCAACAGAAGCTCGGGGAAGTACAGATTTGTGGCGAATAGGTGTGGCTGTGCTGGTGAATTATGAAGCAACGCCACAGCAGTCTGTTGAGAATTGAGCAGGCAAAAATTTACGAGGTTTTCATGTTTGCAGTTCATCTCAGTGACAGTGAGTTTTTGTCTGCCTTCTCACTGCGTAGGCATCCAGCAAAATGGCTGCCTTGCCTATCTCCAGGTGCTGTTGTGGCTGACAAGCTAGAATGACGTAGCCCCACTACGCACGTACTGGCCGCGTCTTACACACCACATCTACGTCTTATCAACCTCAAAGAAATTCATGTCACTATCAAAAGAGGCTCAAGATCGGGTCGATCATTCTATATCCTATATCTAAACAGTCTAAGGACTGGTCTAAAATGTCGTAATCCTCTGAAATCCTTTCGTCTCTTAGATTGTCACTCCCAAACTCGGTTCACAGCGGGGACGACGGCTAGAGACAGGTGGGTGATGTGTGATGCGTCCCATGGCATCTACTCAGAGAACTTCTTGAACAGAGGCTCGGTATACCCTGAACCACGGAGGAGTTTCATTTCATCCTTGTATGTTAGCGACCTAACCATTTTCTGATTCTTCAACCCTTTTTCGTACAACGAAGCATCCTTGTTGACCAAGGTAAGCTTAGACTTTGCAGGGTATACACGGTCTATTCGAATATGCTGCGATGAGACACTGCTTCTAGTTTGTGTAGAAAGACTGACAAAGTGGCCAACTTGGGAGTTTCATTTTTCAACTCAAAATGCTTGGTGGCCACTCTGTTGTATAGTGCTGGGGTACAGAGGACTATCCGTGGTCGTAAGCGTGCTGTACATGATGTACCAACAGGCTGCTGAATCCTGAATCACCACGTCCGCATAGCTATTTGAAATTCCAAGCAGCGAGCAACCCTTTGCCGCCTTGGCATATGCCACCTCAAGCATCGCAACAGCAATGGAGAAGCATGAGAACCTTCGCTGGAGACACGTCAAGGATATCTCTTCGCAGTCTGAGGAAGTCGATCGGATCCTGTTTTGAAATGATGGGAAGGTGGCAAAATTTGTTGTTGTCCTCTTCTTAGTCGAGTGCCGAATCTACGTTTATCAATGTGTTGTCTTGTTTGTACGCATTGAAGGTTCTGTCACAAGAAAAACTCGAATATTCGTTGCCGAGCGTGCTATTCCTGGATCGAGTAAGTTAGTTATCAATCTCATATTGATAAATGCATCACATACCGACTGCTCAATATCGAGTCGAGCAAGATTGCATGACAATCATCAATCAATCAATTTTATGAATCACACGAAGCTGGGTACGCAGGAACGTGGTACCATGTTAAAAGTGTTGTTTTATTAAGTACGCATTGCGGGCATCTTTATCACCAGATGTGTCACAAGCAAACCCCGAGTAGTGGTACCATGTTGCTTAGAATCCGGCAGTTCAGAGTCTCGGACATCCTCTGTCCAGCTCCACTCCTCAAGATCGATCTCCATGACGCTCGGGATGAAGTCCTTCCAGGTAGGGGAGTGTTCCAAAGACCAGTAATAAAGAGCGCGCTTGGCATCCCGTGGGAGGACGCGGATGTCAGGCTTAGAAGCCCATTCGTCGAATGCGGGTTTCAGGGAGGCATAACTGGTGTTGGTGGATTCGAGAACGATCAAAAGAGTTCCAGACTCTTTTAGAGTGACTGTTCGAGTGACTGTGACAGTATCTTACCCTTCACTCATTTGACCTGTATATTGGGGACTTACGCCTCGGAAAAACTCAAAAATAGTTCCCCATCACTCATGCAGTCCGTGGATCTCTCGGAGACAGTCGCATCCTCGCTGTCATCATCATCTTGGACTTCTTTGATGTGACCCTTCAAGAGTTCGAGAATTTCCTGAAGAAGAAGACTGAGGGCATTTTTGGAAGGACGTTTGGCGCTGACGGTCCATAGACTGTCGCCGGTGTTCTTGCAGGAAGCGACTTCGCCGCCGACAGGTAAATCATCATTGATCTCAATGAAGAAGCAAGGGTCTTCATTGCGCTCGTAGTGCGCAATAGCAGCAGGGAGCCATTTGAAGATATGGTCTTCCCCGAACAGTTTGAGAAATTCTTGGTTCCCGTCCACGAACCTGCAGCCGAGATTATCTCGGGAGCCTAGAATCATGGTTAGTTTCCTCAGGCTTGATTAATGTCGGAACTATAGGAAGGGAAGCTACCTTTTTGTTCTGGACGTATGTCTTGAGCACAACCCAGTTGATATAGGTAGTCTTCTCCCCCATAGCAGTGTTTGGGGGAGGCATGTTGAGTGGCCGAGGTGTTGTAGTCTGCGGCAGGATGCTGCTCAGAAGAGCTAATCAGAGCGAGTGAAAGCTCAACATCTATCGGCCGATGGAAATATTGACATTCTTTTGATGAGGAGGTATCGACGGCTCGTTGGCAAAGATGGAGGCGGAAGCTGTTGGAAAGTGAGGAAATTGCTTTTGTGCTTCACGCAGGAGGAGGGATGTTGAGATCAAACCAGGCACCGACAGTTTGCGACAAGAGACTCGGAACTCATGTAGCAAATCAAAACCAAGCAGTAACCTGGCTTCCAGGCTGCCAACATCTTAGTCACAAGCGGAGAAAATAGTTACGGGAGCAGACTGTCCTTGCACTTGCTGGCACTGGCACACAGCTGGGCATATAGCTGCCGGTGATCCCAAGTGCAGATTGCGTATTCCTTGCCCTAGCCCTTTCAGGTGACGGCTAGGTAGTGATTTTATCTCCCTCTCCTTTACTTTTTTTCTCTTTTCCTTTTCCTTTCTCTCCATCACCAAACTCATCACGGTGATGATCCTTTTCCCTCCCACCAAACCTACCCCCATCGTCAAACAATCAAAAGAGATTTGATATTTTATTTCTCTTGCCTCAACTCGCTTTTCATCGATCTTCACTCTTCCCCATTCTGTGCTCATCTACAGAGTCCTCTCTCAGGTACGTCTTGTCCTTGGTGCCATGGCAAAAGACATGACTAAGCATTCTCCAGACTGTTGCTAGTACATTCACTCTCAACATGGCGCAATCTTCTGTTGATCATGAGTCGGTTCTCGCTTCTTCATCAGAGCCCGAATACATCACCCAAACCTTTCGCATCACCCGCCAGGAAGCCCTTGACAAGGCAGGCGATCTGGTTCACACTCTCATGTGTATCGATGTAGAGCAGAGCGCCCTCCGATCCCGCATGAAAGATTGGGCAGATGTTCACACCTTTCACGTTCTCCCCCGCGGCATGAAGAGCAGAGTTATTCGGTAGTACCAAAAATACTCTCCAGCTTCACCCGAACTCAGTCACTTTAAGGCCATGTTGGACGAAGACATGACTGAGACTTCCTGGGAAGAGCGAGTTCCAGGACCAAAGAAGGAGATCTTACGTTCAGACCTTGCCAAGCCGTGGCTTGATAAACTCAAGGACGTGATCTCTTATCTTCCTGACAGCGCGAAGCAGCAGCTGCTTGAGGGCGAGCTAATCATTCTCGCTTTGACCAACATCCTCGAATTACACGATGTCCTGCAGCAACAGCAAATCCAGCACGAAACGAAACAGGCCGATCTAGTTGAGGCCAACTTCGCCAAGTTCCAGGACGTAGCTGATCAAGTCAATCGTCTCGAGAAGGCTGTCAGTCGCCGCCCTTCTGGGTATCGCGGGTGGTCCTCCCATTCTGTTTCGGACATCAGAGTCCAGAAGCTGAAGGCCGTGTATGCTAAGCTTCAACAAGACAACATTGCTATTCCTCAAGAACTCGACCAGTTGGCCTCATGCATCTGTCCTCCTGACAAACTTACGGAAATTTTGAATCGAGAATAGCTTGAGGATATTCTCCAAACAGATGCGAAGAAGCTTCAGGAGATGATATGCGCTGTCCTCTCTGCTCTCATTGTCTCCGGAAGCTTGCTGGGTTATTGAAAGCTTTCAGCCGCCGTCGTCTTTTTGATTTTCACTTTGGGTTGCTTTGCTTCTTTTTTTCTACAATGCTCAGGATGTTGAGCATACACATGAACATGATGGTTCAGTATTGGCGATCTGATAATTATGAGGTCCGGACCCGCGCCAATACTTGAACTTGCCGCCTTCACCGAGGAAGAATTTCGTTCGGTTTGTCTTCCTCAAACCAAAAGTTATGATAGTTTAATTGAACATTGAAACATTGGAATCTGGCTTGTGTAATTACAGTGATACGTCTTTAGGTACCCGTGGTCCCAGACAATAACCATGGGCGAAGTGATTTGATGAGTTCATGACTGTTTGAGCCAGCCTACATGTGCAGAAGGTGGTCATTTCAGCTTCACACATTTCATCCTTCCCACGACTTGCCGTTGCTTCGGATATCATCTCGTTGTACGCCACCAGCATCTGGGTCGGCATCAGGATCGGCGATGTCTTCAGTAAAAGAGTCTTCGTTATCCGTGTCCGAGTTGCCTGTGCTATCGCTGTTTACTTCGATGGTGGACATCACAGCTGTGTCACTGTCTGAATCTAAGTGATCGCTATGACAAACGATACAACGGGTTGGGCTTGTAATCTGGTCGAATTCCTCGATGGTAAGATCAAATTCATTATCTTCGTAAACTGAAGAGTTGTCTTCCATATTTTCGACAAGTCGGACCTGTGTCAAGCTATTCGCATGGCAGGTATAAACACCAACAACCTGGTCTTCAACAACTACGTTTTGCTGAAACTACTTGGATACGCTGTTACTGGGATAGTTAAAAAGTTGATTGTCTCATCGTACAAGCAAAAGGGAAAGGGAAGCAAGTACTGCTCCAAAGATGCAAAAAGTGTGGTAAAGGTGGAATTTAACCACCGAAGTTGGACGAACAGGGAATCGAACCCTGGACCACTCCCATGCTAAGGGAGTATTATACCACTAAACCATTCGCCCAGTGAATTGTTGAAGATGTTAGCAGAATTTTCGCTCTATGTCGGCGGTCTGGGAGAATTGGTGATAGTTTGGTGGAGTTGAGTTTAGCAGAGTGGGTAAAGTGGCAGATTTGCATGGTGGGACCGCTCGGGCTCTGGCTGGTTGAGCCTATGTCTAAATGGGGCGGGTCTTGGCTGAACGATTCAACATGTAGTGAGGTCATTGAGGGATTGGCGAAATTGAGCCGCCATTGCAACAGAAGGGCCCGAGCCGGCGCTGCGACTTCGGATGGCGGGCTCAAGGTTGATGGGAACAGGCAAAGAAGCAACGGCGGGAACAAGAACGTTGGAGTTGTCGGCATTGGCGGGGCTGGTGGGGTTGCTACGGGAGTGGTAGGCAGCGGGGGCACGATGGAACCGCGCCACAAGGCGTCGTTTCCCAGTCACTTTATGTCATCCTGGACAAACTCTTAGATAAGTTTACTCTTCGCCCTAAATCAAAGACACCATTTTCTGACAATAGTTGACTACAAAGTAGGCGCTCTTCGCTTGTGATAATTTGAATACCAGATATATAGACGTTGAACGAAGTTGGATTTGCCATTAAGCGAACAAAGGAGCTGTTTTGATGTATTCATGCAAACCAGGGCGTTTGAGTGCGTTTGGCCTGCTTGTTCGACACAATGCCATGATCCAATATGCAAGTAGACAAAGAATATCGACCGTACCGAAGACTCCAAGCTGACAGAGAGATCTTCACCAACTCGAATCTGAGAGACTCAAAAACATATGCTATCTTTTAGTTTACAAACAGTGCGCTATCTCAGAAAAGATTCAAAACATGAAATACCTACCTCACCTAAGTTTAGACCATAGATGTAAGTTTAGAGTATCGTTAAATTCCTTAGTTCTCTCTGTCAGGAACTTCGTCTCAACTCCAGACATATACCACGACCGAAAATCAGAGACACGTGATCAACTTCTTGCACCGCTCTTCAAGTGACTACGTCCACGCAGGAGTGTCTGTAGATGCCACGAGCAGTATCCATCCCGAGAACATTGTCTCTCCCTTGGCACCAATCGGAATAGACTCCTGGCTCTCATCCTGACGGAGCTTCAGTGGTAGATCGTCGCTGCGGTCATGTCTTGGGTTGCATCGCTAGGGTGTTTGATGGTACCCCAGATCAGGCAGATAGGTTAAATGTAGATCGTTAAGAAGAGGAATAAGCAAACAGTGGTGGCGTCCATCGTAGTGGTCTTACCTGTACTATTTCAACATGAGTAAATCCGACAGCAATATCTAACAGCAGCAACATATAGTTTTAAACGAACAGGAGTGAAAGCAATAGCAATATGCAATAGCAGTATTAAACTACAGTAAATTGAACTGCAAAATTTCCAGTTCATCAAAGCCAAACACCTAAGAACCATGGTCTCAAATCAGCGGCAAGCTCATCATCATCAAAGTAAGCACAGAATTGAAAGTAAAATGAGTTCGCAAACTTATGATATTCAATCAAAGCGAGAGTCCTAATTACTATTGACAATCTTCCATCACGTAGACACTTCTTCCATCCAAAACATCCACTTAAGCGACCTCCTTGGTCTGAACCTGAGTCTGATGCTCGTCCTTGGTATCTCCAAAGTGAATCTGCTTCTCGACAGCGGCAGTGGCCTTCTCCTTGAGTTGATCGTCCTCGAACAGGAAAGCAAGTTCCTCCAGGGTGCGGCCACTGGTTTCGGGGTAGAGCCAGTAGACAATGCAGAACTCAAAGAAGATCCAACCACAGTAGATGGCAAGGTACTTCCACTGAATGGCATCGAGAGCGATGGAGTTGACGTTGGTGGAGAAGAAACCGGCGAGCTTTCCGAAAATTTGCTGGACACCGATACCACGGGATCGCATGGCATATGGCCAAAGTTCGACAAGGTAGGCTGAAAGTGTTAGTGATTTTCAAAGATCGAGCATAAGAGTTTGGACTTACTGTAGGTGAGGGCGTTGTTTCCAATGTTGTAGGTTGGCGAGTAGGCAAAGTAAAAGAACAACGCAGCGATACCAGCAGAGTTGTTCTTTTGGCCTTCAGGGGTTGCTTGGATTTGCTGGAGCGAGACGGTAATGGCGATGAATACGAGCAACATGAGCGAGGCTGAAAGCATGTACATGTTTCGACGCTTGAAGCGAGGGACGATAAGAGCAAGGGCCGTGGCGTTCATCAAATTCCAGCAAGCGTTAGCAAGGTTGATGCGGGTCTTTGTCCAGTCGGAGGTGTATCCCATGAGTTCGAAGAGTTTTGAAGAGTAGTAGCTCATAAGCGTGTTACCGGAAAGCTGAGTAAAGAGACCGATGAAGATGGTGACAACGAATCGACGACGCATACCGGCGGTGCGGACAACCTCGAGCCAGGATTGCTTGGAAGCTTCCATCTCGGCCTTGATTGTCTCACGGATCTGTACGATTTCGGCTTGGACGAGCTGGGAGTCTCGGTTGCCCTCGGCGTGGTACTTGATGAGAACCTCGGCGGCCTCCTCGGTGCGGTCCTTGGAGATGAGGAAACGGGGAGATTCAGGCAGGAGGCTGCTATTGTTAGTCTAGAACCGCGTTTCATCTCCGGAGCACTTACAAAACAGTGGCAATCTGAATCAGAGATGGGCAGATCTGGAGAAGGGAAGGGATTCTCCAGGCCCAGTTGGTCTTGATAGAGGTGGTGCCCATGGCGATGGCAGAGGCGGTGATTTGACCAATGAAGTAGGAGGAGTTGAAAAGAGAGGTCAAGGTAGCACGCTCCTTGGGGTAACCCAGCTCTCCGATGAGAGCGGCACCAGAAATGATACAGAAAAGGATTCCGGCTCCGAGAATCATACGAGCAACGATGTACATGCCAACTAGAAAATGTCAGTGACCGCGCCGTATTGGACTTTGAATATCTTACCGTGCTGGGCGAATCCTTGGATAATGGCACCGACAACCATGATGAGAGAACCAAGCATGATGGACCATCGTCGACCGTACTTCTGAGCAAACCAGGGTGCAACCGGGACGGCAAAGATGGAACCGAGCTGGTAGCAGGAGTTGACAAAGCCAAGCATACCGGGCTCGATGGCATATTTGCCTTTGTCGTCCATTCGTCCACCACCAAGATCTAGATATTCGTTAGTTGGGAGTAACCGAGTATTTGCTGTAGATCATACAGTGATGGAAGGTCTGCGAGTATTGCAGAGTGTTGATGAGCTGAGAATCGAAACCAGAGGTCATCTCAACACCCATACAACAGAAGAACAACCAGACGTAGAGGATACGAAGATTGGGCTTCTTGTACCATGGCACCTTATCCTCCTCGACGAGGCGGGTGACGATGGGATCGGCGGCACTACCAACGTTGACCATCGTGACGGTTTGGGTATCGACTCTGGGGTTGTAATGAATGCAATGCAGGTGCAAAGGGCGTGGACCGCTCTACTGGTAAGACAGTAGCAGTGGACAGTCAGTGCTGAAGAACTGGAACCAACAACGAAGAATTTCGATGGGGACACTGCAGATCATATTATATAGCCGTCTCCCCCAGGTTTCACGCGGTTAGATAAGATATAGGGAGCAAAGCTGTAGCGTAGCATGGCTAGAAACTACTGCTGCCCTAACGGTTGGATTTCCGAAATCTCCGCATTCACCAGTCGTCTGGGGTAAAACGTGGAGGTTCCGCACCCAAAACTTGCTTTGACCGCATGTCGGGGTTGCATCGCGATGTGTGATTCTGTAAGTCTCTGTCAGCAATTCGCACCACACCAGAAGAAACGATTCGTCCGCGTAACGTTTACCCCGGTCGGTCGACTCTCACCCGAAAACGGATTCTCGCCCCGAAGAGAGGAGACTCGGGCAAACTCAAGTACGGTTAAACGGACCGGCTGATGGAGGGAGTGGAGATGTGATGGCTGATTGGTTTATGCTTATGCTTAAAACCGCTGATCATCCCGTCTTTGGTTTGGGCGCTGGGATATGCCAGATCTAAAACTGTGTAGCACCTGACGCTCTACCGAAATTGCGGGGTTAGTCTGGAGACTGGAGATGGAGAAGGAGCTAGTCGAAGCTCTACTCCGACTCCGACTCGCAATTGCTCCATCAGAATTAGGCGAGGAAGGAGCTCAGACGATGATAACTAAATTATTGAACTCTGAACTCTAAAAGGCAGTAACGGCAAAATAACCGGCAAATTGCCAGCCACTCCAAACATCATGGCAAACTCTCTCAGCATTCATCTTCATCATCAACTACTGGAATTCGGTCAGAATTCTCGAAGCCAAGATCGTAGGGCATAAAACATTAAATTCTTGCAACCAACAGGTTGCATCAATCTCCAAATCCCTTGTCCTCAGCTCATCAACCATTCACCTGGGAAACCCTTAGTCTAGGTGCATAGTCTACCCGCTCTTCAGGCTAAATAGCTTCTTTGAAACACCCGGACAGACGCAGGTATTTATTGCCTTGGCACTCCCAGTCAATACCCCGGAAGGGTTGACAGTGAGCCCTCCTAAACTATAAACGTGGGATGACTGCACGGGTATACTGTCTACTGGGCTTGCCATTTCCGGATGAATCCTTTGAACGAAACGAGACTTTGCCATGTTTAAAGATGCAGTTTTCATCTTTTGGCTCAATGTCCTTTTGATCGGCCCGAAGGGGGTCACTTTTACAGAAGCTGTGTCCAATGAATGAGGATGGGTTGTCACAAAAGGGTTCATTTATACGAGTGTGATAGGTGGTAAACAACGGAAAGAGGCCAGACCATTCCAGTTCGTGGTGCAGTCTGGGGATAAAGCTTGGCATTTTTACAATCTGGGGAAGATAAGGTATGAGTCGTCATTATGGAGTGTTTGATGCATGGTCTTGTGGTTCAAGTGGCGTTCATTTGTTTACTACATTCAGCATGTTGGAGCGCTCAAGAGATGGAATCATCTCGCGACTTTACCCCAGCTTAGCCTAGCATTTACGCTGCTAGATTCTCGTATTCCACGTGCTAGACGAGATGCTTTTGTTACTTGGTAGCCTTCCAATGCTTACTGAGTCAGGTGAGATGTGTTATCTGATGAAGTGATCCAGGGTAATCTTACGGCGATGTTCTGTGCAGCGTACATAGTGGCTTCTAAAATTTCGCTTGATATCGTTAGGGCGTGTGGTCTAGGGGTATGATGTTCGCTTCGCATCTTTGTTGCAACTGCGAAAGGTCGAGGGTTCAATTCCCTCCTCGTCCAGCTTTTTGACCTTTTGTATCACAGTCAGACGGAATGTGATTGAAACAAACTCACGTTTTTGTTCCTTTTTGTCAAGCACAGACATGCTCATCATTCTAGCAGGTGCCTCTGTAACATTACAACCTACAGCAAACCTTTGAGATACAGATCACTCAAGGTCACACGCCCAGAATCAAAACGTCTCACAACAACTTCACACATGGAGTAATGTTTTCAAACGTTGCATCCGCTTGACCTTTGAATCCGCTCCGGCTATGTGCTCTGCGCTGTCAACTTGTATTGTCCTTCCGTGTCAACCATCATGTTAATATCAATCCAAGCCAGTATTAACGAAGACCCGCAAACTTGATCACGACTTGCGTGCCCTCAACCTCAACACTCGTCCCGAATTCACACCCTCACTGGACACCGCCGCCCCATCCTCATTCTCCCGAGAAGAACCATCCTCAGACTCAGAGGGAGGTGGTGAAAGTGGCTGCAAACCGTTTTCAAGACCCCTCGCGTTTTCCTCCAATTTCTTTTCAAGAGCCCTTACGCGTCCCTCCAATTTCCTCTGTTCATCCTTGATACTAGATCTCTCTTCTTCGTTCAAATCCATCTGTTTGTCCACATCTTCGTTTTCGCTGTGTTCTGAAGGAAATGGCGAAGATGGCTGCGATTCCTAATCGAGAGCCCTCGCGCGTTCCTCAGGCCTGGAAGAAGGTGGTGAAAGTGGCTGTAGTTTCTCTTCGAGACCCTTCGCGTATTCCTCTGATTTGGCCAATTCATCCATCAACTTAGATAGTTCTTGGTTGTTCAGCTCTATCTGTCGGTTCGCCGCTTCAGATTGTTTCTTGTTGTGTTCTGCGAAATCGTGCTCGAGTCCGAGGCGCGTCTTAATCTTGCCAATTAGAGCTTTGCGCTCTTTTTCGCTTTCTTCCCTCTGAACAGGCCGAGTGCATAAATCCACCCATCTTTCTATGTCCTTGTAAACATCTTCAAGGCGGGGCGTGACATTCTCCGTGCCTGACTGAACCTGTCCTTGAGGAAGCATCCGTCCTAAAAAGGACAAGGCATCTTCCATACCAGGATTTAGAACTTGTTCGGAACTTTGGCGATGAGTTGAAGATGACTGCGATTGGGGTGTCTCTGTGCTCGGTCGAGTCCGTCGTGGAGGAGGTATCTGTCCTTGTCGTGAGGAAGACATCGTCGAGTCTGTCGTAGGACAAGTGGTGTTGTTGTAAGACACTATGATTCTGCTTGATAACTCGGAACTGTTGAATAAACCGTTAACAAAACGTTGGTGATGATGGATGTTTCAAGATTTGAGGCACTTACTATTGTGTCTCGAACCCCCAAACATTTCGGATGGTCGGTCGCGACTGGACGAAGAAGGAGCAGGGAAGTGAGTAGAAGCAGGAACCATGCTCCTTTGATGTCGCACGGAATCCTAACGAGGCATCGTAGAAACTATATCATTGTGTCAAGGAAAGTTAGTCGAGAGGCTCCTTTCGGTTACCAATACTCATCTGTAGAACAGCAAACTGTGAAGATGAACATTACCTTAACTAAATGGTAAAGTTATAAAAAACACGTTATTGCGTTTAATTCGCATGGTCCTTCTTGATTCGCGATGTAATGCGGTTCAAGAAGGTCCGATGTGCACAAGGAATTTCAGAACGAACATTGGCTTGAGAATAGCTTTTGTTCACTCTGCAGCAGAAGAGTTGACGCCTAAGCCTCGCTTCGCATCTTTGCTGCAACTGCGAAAGGTCGAGGGTTCAATTCCCTCCTCATTCACCTTTTTTTTTTATACTTTTTGCACCACAGCAAAGCCTGGTCCGCTTATCCTGCACATCAGTCAATCTTAATAGATATATGATGTATTGGATGAGAAGCGCAATAACTCATTGCCGGATGATTATTATAAATAATCAGCTACTGTAAAGTAGATATCTGATTGATCCAACCTGCTGCTGAGCGTAACGTGATATAAGCAATATTTCCCCGCTTAGGAAATGTATCGCTTTAGCCTCTTCACCATCAACGTTTTGGAAGCTAATTGTTAGAGTTTCCATTTACCGATAAAACCGATCTTTACACAGGCAATCCACCTATCGTTACCCATAAGTACAGTGCACTTGTGAGCAGGGTCGGCGCAATGCCACTAATAGAGATTGTACGGCTACCTGGCACGCAGGATCAGGTTAATAAAACCTCGGATAGTAATACTGTGGCGAGTTCAAACTCCGACGACCTCTCGACTTCTTCATCTCTCGCCCAGCGTCTTTTTCTTAATGGTTTTGCTCGGACTGATTCCGACTACATCAGCAAAGGCGAAGCTTTGCGACACGCCACTGAAGCAGGCTCTACCTATTTAGTCAGACAACTCCTTGACAGTGGAGCTGACGTTAACCAAGTAGGAAATAGTGGTTGGACTAGCCTCCATCTTTCCGCTCAAGGCAGATACTCTTATGAGGTACTGGATATGTTAGTTACGGCTGGAGCGGATTTGGCAGCGACAGACCAAACATATGGTCTTACGGCGCTTCACTGCGCGGTTCTTACTGAAAGCCCAGATACTGTCCGTCTCCTGATCTCACGAGGTGCAGATATCAGTACTCGAAGCAAGGAAGGCTGTCATCCTTTGCACTATGCCGCGGACCAGGGATGCGTTGAAATCATCCAGGTCTTGATTGATGCCAACGCTGATATCGAATGCGTCGACGAGAGCGACGCCACTCCAATGCATCATGCATGTACCCATGGACACCCGGACGCAGTACGGCTCCTGATTGACTGTGGCGCCTTGATCTCGTCAAGAACTACAGATGGTGATACGCCCTTACATAACGCTGCTTCAAATCGAAGATGTGAGGTTGCGTAAGTCTTTCTTCTTCCAATCAATCTACCTGGACTCTTGCGGCTAACAACAATGCAACACTACAGAAGTCAGCTTTTGGGATGTGGAGCGGATGTTACATCTATTAACAGCATAAAAAGAACTCCCCTCCACGTTGCTGTCTCTACAAATTCCCTGACTACAGCGCAGATCCTGCTACACCATGGCAGCGACATTGAGTCAAAAGATGAAGATGGCGATACGCCTCTGGTAGTAGCAGTCCTGTTCAGCTTTATTGAAATGACCACCTTGCTACTGAAGAACGGTGCAAATATAGAGGTGAGATCTGAAACAGGGGAAACCCCACTGCACCTTACGATAAGGCACCACCTACGACAGATGGCACAACTCTTGGTTGAGAAAGGCGCTGATCTTGAAGCGAGAGATGAAAATGGTCGAACAGCAGTGTTAGCGGCCGCTGCCGAAGGAAAATTGGAGGTAGTTCGCTTCCTGGTCGATCAAGGTGCTGACGCAAAAGTGACATGCAACGGGGATAATTGCATATACCTTGCAACCCAGGCGGAGAGCAAACCCCTGATACGACTATTCGCTGGTCAAGGGGTCCCCATTGACTCTCCTTCTGAGCTGGGACATACGGCATTGATGCAAGCAGCTTACAGTGGCAACACGGAGATTGTTTCTCAATTGCTTCGACTGGGTGCCAATGTCGATGCACAGGATACGGACGGTTGGACACCGTTACACTATGCTTCAAGCGAAGGTCATGAACGGGTCGTCGAGATATTACTCGAAAACAGGGCGAATCCTACCATAGCGACACATGTATCAGGTGACCGCGCTTATGAGCTATCTCGAAACCAAAATTATGACAACATCACGGCACGGCTTAAGGAAAGTGTACCTATTTCTCTGGTTGCACAAGAAGAGTCTGATGCAAGATCTGTTACTGCATTGCTGAACGCAGCAGAGAGTGGTCACTTGGCCCGAGTTATTCAACTACTTGACGAGGGAGTCGACGCCAACTCGCTTGATATAGACGGTCGCAGTTCTCTCTCTCTTGCTGCAGAGCACGGATGGATCGATGTTATTTTGAATCTCACAGGCAGGAATGCAGACTTAGATTTGAAAGATGTCTATGGTGGATGTCCCCTCTGGTGGGCTGCGAGAAACGGCCACCAGGCTATCGTTGAGCACTTAATCAAGCAAGGAGCTTGCATTGACAGTGTGGATTTGGATGGACAATCTTCTTTATCCGCAGCATCACAGCATGGTCATTGGTCAACAGCTAAAACCCTCATCAATAATGGAGCCAACCTCAACTCTTCCACTTGCTATGGCAAGGCGGCCCTACATTTTGCGTCAGCGGCTGGTAATCTGGACCTGGTGAAGCTGCTACTGGAATCAGGGGTCCATGTCAAGTATAGGACTCCTAAGGGTGATTCTGCTATGTGTTTGGCAGAGAAGTATGGTCATCTAGAAGTGGCGAAAACTATCGAAGCTCACTCAATACGACGTGAAATTGAGCCAGACAAGCAGATTACTACCGGCGAAGAAACGTCTAATTCAGGACAGTCGATCGAACTTACGCCTGCTATTGATCGCCAGTACTATTCTGCGTTGGTGGAGGCCTCAAAAGACGGACGGTTGTTGATGATCGACTTTTTACTCAAATCAGGACTTAGAATTGACAATCACGACCATGGAAGGAGAGCTCTTTATGAATCTGTTTCTCATGGCCATGCTACAGCAGTTTCAGCACTTATCAAACATGGAGTCGACTTTCACCTTCGGGATCCAGAAGGCCGCAGCTTCATGTGGCTGGCCGCATCTCAAGGTCACACGGATGTTGTTGAAATACTTCATCAATCTGGAGTTAGTCTACATGAGACAGACAACGAGGGGCGAAGTCCAATTTTGGAAGCTACACGGAATGGTCACGAGACATGCACGTCACTTCTGCTTCGTCTTGGAGCAAAGACAGAATCAAGGGATCTCCAGGGCCAAGGACCACTTTGGCACGCAGTCAACCGCGGTCATGGTGTGATTGCTGGACTCTTAGTTGAGTATGGAGCCAATATAGAATGTTCTGACCTAAAGGGCTACACACCTCTCATGGTAGCTGTACAAAAGCGAGATCGTATACTAGCAAAGCTCTTGCTCGAGGCAGGGGCCAAGATGAGACCAGAACCTATCCGTAACTACTCGCCGTTATGCTGTGCAGCAGATAATGGTGATGAAGCTATCGTGGATTTACTTCTTGATCACCAGGCGGAGCTTAATTACCTTTCAGATAATAAGCGGACTGCACTCCATCTTGCGACACTTGCTGGAAATACTATGGTTATCAGGATGTTGATAGAAGCAGGTGCAAAGGTTGGACTACGGGATGCTGATGGCAGGACAGCCTTATCGCTAGCGAAGGAGGGCACTAATGATTCAGCTGTGAGATTACTGAGTCAAGCTGGTCGCTTACGCCAATCCAGCCATAAAACCGAAAGCCATGGAAAAAGAGCTTCATATCAGTATCAGGCTCTCGACAAGAAAGATCACATCCGTGTCCTTGAACTGCACCCCGGGTCTCCTGGCGACATACTATGCTTTGATCTGACTCACGTCCAGCTTGGATTCAATGCCTCATTCGAAGCCCTGTCTTACGAATGGCGTGACAAGCACGGATCAGTCCCAGTTCAATGTGACGATAAACAAATTCTTATTACCCCTAACTGCAAAGCGGCAATGGAGACTCTTCGATTGCGTTCGAAGCCAAGGTATTTATGGATTGACGCTATATGCATTAATCAAAAGGATGACCAGGAGCGAAACCAACAAGTGGCTATTATGGGAGATATCTTTTGCGCGGCAGACAAGGTCCTGATGTGGCTCGGTGAAGAAACGGAAACAACCCAGGAGGCTTTCGAAGCAATTCCAGCAATGGCCGAAGCCCACCGTATGATTCTCAAAAAGGAAGGAATGTTGAGCAGTCGATCGAAAATAGAAGGGGACCCGATTGAGCTGATGGAGGATCTGCTACTGGTGGAAGAGATCTTTGAGGGCTTCATGGACCTAGTAACTCGACCATATTGGACTCGAGCTTGGATCTTCCCTGAAATCATCATCGGTAGTTCTAAAGGCATTGCCATGTGTGGGAGTCAGTCTTGCTCCCAGGTGATGATGTTGAACGCCCTGCGGGCTTTTGAGACATATCCCTCTACTCCGAAGTTCCCAGTATCTTACATGATGTCGCATGAATTCAAAACCTCAGAGGAACATGGGTTTTCAGAGGAACATGAATCTTCGGAAGAAGATCAAAGTTCGGAGGATGATGAAGACTCAGATGATCAGAGGACGCTGGGAAAATTGGTTATGACACTCCACCAGCTGAACGCCACTGACCCCCGCGATAAAGTGTTTGCTGCTTTGGGGCTCGCATCAACCCGGAAGAAGCTGGTCGACCGACCCGTTGCCGATTACACTATGACTGTAGCGGAGGTCTACGTAAATGCTACTCGCTACATTTTCGACATAGATGGTATTACTTACGCTTGGCAACTTGGCATCCGACGTAGCACCAAAACGACACCCGACCTACCTTCATGGGTCCCTGATTTCAGGTCGAGAACAGAGGGAATACAAGAAAATCCTTTCAAGGACTCGTTCCTGATGTCGAGACTGAACATTATGGAAAATCCAATTACAACAGAAACTTCTCTTCATATCGGAGGTTGTATTGTCGATAAAGTTATTCTTAAGTGGACAATAACAAAAGACATGGACCTCGGTGAATTTCTTTCATCAGTCGTCCATGCACTCGCGAGGCATAACTATTGCATCTTCGATAAATACCCAGATAGTTGGCAGTCACATCATTACACGCAAGTGTGGAAAGGCAGCCGTCTTGCTATGCCGCGAGTATCTCTACTGACTGGGATAGAGGAAGAGAGACTCGAGCCACAAATACTCGACAGAACTTACGCTAGGGCACTTATAGATACCCTGATGGACTTCAACGAGCATCCTTCTATGACATATGAGGAGCTTACATCGATAGCTGTTGGGTTTCTGGCTTTTGTGCTGTTGGTAGAAGACGAACAACTACCGGGTGTCTTGGAGCAAACACCTGATTACGCGGAGCAAGCCAGCGAAATGTGGTTTGATCGACTTGATAATGAACCGAAGTCCAGAGACTCCGGTCTTACTAATGGCGAGTTGATGGAGAAGATGTTGAGATACGGTGCAGATATAGTCTTTACAGAGAACGGCTACTTTGGGATTACAAATGGTGGTGAAGCTTCAGTAGACATGGTAGTGGCAACGCTGGGCGACGAGGATGTCTTCCGACTACTGAGAAGGGGAGCTGGGCCAGAGCGGTATTATGAATACGTCGACGAGCTCTTTTTCAACTTCCTCGGCTTTGGATGGGACGGCATACCGGGTAGGTTTAAGGATATAAAGATAGAGAGGTTAGAGATTCGCTAAATATGTGAGGTAAAGAAAAAAGCAAAAAAGAACAGTAAGTGGAGAAGAAGAACGCTATATGTGCTGTGAAGAGCAGGGGAGAAATGCAAGATCATTGGGAATTGCCATATTTATGAGATTATATTTTCTACCAAGTGCTCTCCTAGGGATATGAGAATCGTCATCAACAACTATGCTATACAAGTTGACCAAGTCTATGCTATAATGCCTTCTTCAAATAGTCTTTCTACCAGCTCTCTGACACTTTCGATAAGGTTCTACATACAGAAGGAATTTAGAACGGGTATTCGCTTGTAAAAGTTTTTGTTCACTATGAACCTTATCAATCTAACTCCCCGGAGATACTAGGTTGCGAGGAAGCAGGCTTGAGATCGATACTTGATTTTGATGACAGGAAACTAAGCAGACCGCTGGCTTGTTTGTCCCGTCAATATAAGTTTCATTGATGCAATGATAGTTTCTACAATGCCCTCCTCAGGGCCTTCTGCGACATTATAAAAGCATGGCTCTTCAACTTCCCGAACTGTTTTCCTTCCCTCCTTTGTCTTCAAGAATTTGCGACCGACCCTCCGCGATATTTGGGTCATTGAAATACACAGTAGTAAGTGCCTTGAAACTATCATCAATACCAACGTTTGGCCAACGTCCTGCTCAACAGTTTCAACTTACCAAGGCGAATACAAATATCTTACAACAACGCAACTAAGATTCCAACATGTCTTCCTTCCCAGGAGGCCGCGCGCCTCCTCCACGAGACAATCGACCGGGCAGAGATGCATCGCAATCACAGCAGCGTCCACTAAACCCGCCCGCAATTCCCGACGAAAGAATTATGGTCAGCCTAAGACCTGTCTTCAACGATATACTGAGACTGGCTCAGTTACTCAACCAGTCCGTTGTCACCGAAGGAAATCAAAGACAGCGCTATGCTATAGTTCGAAGAATCAACCTGCGACTGAGTCTCCATTTTGACCATTTAATCTACTACAACGAACGAAGAGAAGATGCAGATCGAGGACAGGAATCGAATAACCGAAGCCTTGCTGAATATGAGAATGAGATAAGGAGATTGGTGGAAATAGAGAGGCATCTGTTGTGGCTAATGAGGGTGACATTATCAAGGTAACCTCTCAAGCATCCAAGAGTGAAGCAATGGAAGGGGCCTACATAGGTTATAGAGTCTCACAGCGTTCAGGGCATACCTTCACAATAGGCGCCTCAAACATAAGAACACTGTGCAATTGATTATCACATTGAACCTGATCTGGGCTTTCAGTTAAGCTAATTGTAAGACCATCATCACTCAAGGTTTTTGAAGATATTTAAACTTCATAAACCCCCTCCGCAAATCCCGGTCTGCCTGAAGGCTTCGTGTCACCAAACCGGACAATAACCTGAAGACAAACTCGAAGCCGACATTGCTTGTCGAGGAACACCTGTCTGCCACCTTAACCGACGAGGATCTCCTCGTCGCTGGATTCACTCATCTCCTCATCCTCTTCGTTTTGTCCAAAGACGGAAGGCCACGCGAGACGAAGTGGTTCCCAGTAAGTCTTCCAGACCATCCGGAAGTTTTCTGTCGCGGGGTCAACTGGCAGGTTGAGCCCGTCGTGGGTGGCGTCATACTTCTCCTGGGTTGCTCTGATGTACTTTCCACCTTTCTTCCGGCTTGTAGCTTTGGTGAAGTCAACAGACCACGGGAAGCCCTTGATGAGGTCCTCGTCGTACGAGGAGCTATTGCACCAATCATGCAGCCACAAGTACCAAGGCTTTTCCGTCCTCAAAGCAGACTTCCTGGCTCGTTTGACAACGAGCCATTCCACCTTGTCCCTGAGGGTCATGTTCTTGAAAGCGTTACATTTGCCAGGTCCATGGCTTTGCGAATTGCAAATGGCGCAACCCGAAAGTACACCCTCTGGACATCTGACGATGCAGTTGATGAGACGGTGTTTCCCTGCGGGACAGAAAGGGCAATCGCCTTTCCCCTCTGCCCTTTTAGGCACAACGAGACCCGCTGGAAGATTGTTCTCATCGCGGCCATTATTTTTAGAGACGCGGGATTGAGTCTCGTTCTTTTGAACGGCGTTGAACCGATCAAGGTTGTATGACCAGACCTCCAAGCAAACCACCCCTTCTCCTGTCGTCCTCTTGACAGAACGGACCAGCTCCAGAGCAGCATACTCATTAGCGGTCACTGCCCAAATGCCGTCTCGGTGGTCGAGGGAAAACTACTCAGTATCCTCCCCATCACCAACTCCTTTCTGGACGAGCTTGGCTACAGTGTTGCCGCTCTGATCAGCCGTCTCCACCCTCTCAGCTTCAACGACCAGACGTAGCCGGGGACCCAGGATGGAACCTTGCTCAGGGTCGCTTCCGCGAGATGGAATGGACGATTCAGACCTACTGCCACCGCTGTTGCTCAAGTGGCCGCCGCGGGGAGTTTGGTCGAAGGTTGCATTCCGGCGATCGGATCGCGTAGACTGAACCAGATATGGGTCGAATCGACCCGGGCATCGATTATCTCTTGACTCTTGTGCCGCGTTGTTTCGAGGCATTTCGAAAAGTGAATCGTAGTTGTTGTGTGTAGAGAGAAAACTCTCAGGGGACGAAGAAATCTTTGTTTGTGCATACCTAGCCGTGATCCTATGTGCACTGCCTGCCTGGCACTGATGCCGGCCGCTTGTACTGCGAGCCAAGTGCCAGTGCAAACAACCGGCGATGCGGACCACGTGCATGAAGCTCGGCTGCCACCTATTCAGAAAATTTATTGCACAGCAACCTCTGCTTTCTACTTCTCCCAAACACACACAAAATCCTGCATTCGTCTTCAAATTACCCGACTATCAACAAGTATGCTCACATGAATGCTTCGGGCTATTGCCTACCTCTGCTAACAAATATCTTGCAGGCGATCACAACATCAAGATGTCCGGAGACAACCAGAAGACCGAGCAGCAGCCCGAGGTCAAGGGTGTCGCTGCCAACACCACTCATGGTCCCGATCAGTACGCGGACCGCTATATTCGCACTCCTGACGGCCGCTACACCGGTATCACCGATGACGAGGCTGTCCTTGTGGAGATGTTCCGCCGCGTCCAGCGAGAGACTGGCGTTGCTGCGGTGCCGTTTCACATGTTCCCTGTCACTAAGGCCGACTCCGAGGGGTTCAAGAAGAAGGCTGTCGAACATCGAATGGTCGCAAACCTTGGCCTCGCTCTGGAGAATGGCAAGAAGGAGGGACCTTCTGAGGACCAGAACCTCGAAGCCAAGGCCAACTCCAACACCAAGAACGAGTAACTTCCTCTACTGGTTCGCAACCGACCACGTCTAGGTATGATACATATTTCCACTCTTCTTTACGCTTCCACTGACATTTGCCGTCAATAGGTTTAGCTGGATGAATGTGGTAGGATCGGAGGGCTGGTTTTTAAAGAACATGTAGCGAACGGGAGGACATTTGCTGCGGCCAATAAGGGACGTGAGCCGTTTGGAGACACTAGGATTGCCCTTTTTGAATTCGGCTATCAATATAATGTCTCCTGCCAGATGCATCTTGACGATTGTGTGATGTGTGTGATTTGCTCGAAATTCAAGACAGCAGGACAGCAAGTAATTTACTGCGCGCCCGAGAGACAAGATAACTTGACCCCAATATGCCAGCTTTTAGGCTACTTTATTTTGGCTGTCCAGGTCTTAGAGAACATCTTTCTGTCACCCACCTGATATTACCCCAGGATCTCACTCGCGCAGGCAATCTCACACCAAACCCGAACGACAGCCCAGCGATCCGATTGGTGCCCACAGTCAACCACATCCTTGGGCTGAGCCATCTCAAGGCAGCGGTTTTCTCGCATCCATGATTCGACGCCCTGGAGCCAAGCATTGGCAAACCAAACAACCCTGGCGACTTTGAATAACAATGACGTTGCAGTCGCCCAGCAGTTAATAAGCGGCTCTGCCTCGCTTATGCTGATGCGACCTGTAAGACTTTCGCTGACTGGACTAGCTCCCAACTTTCCCGAACACTCATCCACGATGTTGAGGAGATGTCTACGAACCAGAACAGTCCGTACGTCACGACCCGTGAACAAGCGGTCGTAGAAGCATGGAGTCAGGGTTTCAATGTTGGAGCTATTGTCATTCTGATTTTGCTGGTTCTGTGCAATTATCGCAGGAAAACGCTCCTGCATAAGCTCATTCTTGGTGAAGTATGATCGCCCTTTGTCTCCACAAGACAAGTCTGACCGTTGGAACTAGTTACTGCTTGCGCTTGGACATGGCTTCTTTGCATTCTTCGAAGAGCCCGAATATGGATGGTATGGTCCCAATTTGATGCACATGCGACACGCAATGCTAACCCATGAAAGGATTTTGAGCAGCACCGCGACTCTGCTATACATTTCTTACTTCATTCATAATCTCATCGCTTGGCTAAAAATTCGACCGTTTCTCCCGAAATGGGGCGCAAGAGGCTTCATCATCACACTCCTCATGGTTCAGCCATACTGGGTACTGGAAACCTGGGCCAACTTCCAATATCATAACCATCTCGGCAGCCGAATCTTTGACACGACGCGACTACTCGAACCATTATTCAGAGACCCATGGTGGGTGTTCACTACCGTCAAATTGGTCATGGCTATCAGAGAGAACTACGAGTTTACGATTCCTGGTCTGGTTCGCACGAGCCCGCGATTTGGAATTATGCTTCTCTGTCTTCTACTTTCCATTACATTCTTGGTCACGGATGTTATATTTATGATTGTTGTATCAAAGCGAGGAGGAATGAACCCATTCTGGAAGGCAAGTCTCATTTGTGATTTGGATATAACTCGACTGACTTGTATTTTAGCTCGCTCTCGTTTTCAAATGCGCATCCGATGTAATCTTCCTCGACGACTTCAAGAGTGTACTGGACCGAATCTCGGAATCAGCGATGAGAAAAATCACGACCTTCGAATACCGAGATAATACTTCGCCATCGCTACAACAACCTGGATCCGAACGAAAGCAGTCACGATTTGGGTCGTCTTCAAGAGCCGAGATGGGGTCGATACTACGGCCGATGGGCTCTCGAGATGATGGTCATTACGAGTTCGCATCCAATTTCAGTCAAGCGTTTATGGAGGACGGAACACAGAGGCCATGGCATGAGGATGATTTACGAAGGATGAGCACGCATTCGCCACGCCACAGAGGCGAATCTGAGGATGCCATGTTGCCAATTGAAGAGGTAAGCTTCACAAGTTTGGGTAAAGGTTCGAAACGCTGACTATACCGAGACCGAGAGACCAAGAGGACTACAGGACATTCCTATGGAACCGGTCAGAGCGCGGACACGAGACGATCAGACACATTGAGATATTCGAGGTCTTTGAGGGGTATATAATTATTGAAAAGCCAAAAGCTTGCGATTGTTGGAATAGTAGTTAAAATCAAAAGAATATCCCGCTTTCATTTCAAAAGGGTTCGAGGGTTTGTCCAACCCATACCTAAATCTGGTCCTGTTTCCCTAATTCCAAGGCAATATTCAGCATACTACTTGGCCACCAAGATTTATCTGATCCAGAAGACTCATCCCGTTGCCGACTCAGGTATTTTATGACTTTTGTCAACTCACACTCCCCGATCCCACCAATCCACCAAACACCATCCAACAGCATGACCAAAACAAGCCAGTGAGCAAAGATGTCCATCGCAAGACGGGAAGTGTCGGAAGGAATACCATTGTCGCAATTGATTCCTTCGTCGGGCACGTTATCCGGAATGTTGTCAAATGTTGATTGAACGATACTCAAATATTCTCTTGGTACGCGGTTCAAAAACCACATAATTGTTCGGCGTAGTGGCTTTGGTGGCGTTGAGAAGGTCACTCGGGCCATATAATTCCGTAACCAAGGCGAGACATCCGAGAGCTGGCTTAATGCAGCCCAGCCATATTCCAAGTCGGGTTGTTCAGAGGATGTAGCGCAGCTTTCATCGTTCGGCGCGAACAACTCGCTCATGATATTGCTCAAAGCCTCCAGAGCTACAAGGCAGGCTTGTAGCTCGCCGTCATCTTTCGAAGAGTCCCAAGAAGAGGCGAGATGCATAGAAAATTGCAATGTCTGTGCCTTGGTGCGTAACTTCTCGAGCGCAGAGCCAGATGTCGCAGCGATGATAGGCATAAGCAGCTTCTCCGTCCGCTCAGTCGGTCCACTCTCAGCCATCGGAACAAGCCCACTTACGGGCTGGTTCAAAGTTATTGTCGGAGGACTAGCCGTGTAATCATCGAACAGGCTGAAATCTTTGGTAGAGTGAAGGAGACCTGTATATGCCAGATGGGCGGCGCGAATGAGCGTCATCCAGTGTAGCTGCGCAGGTGGCAAATTGGTGCACTTGTCGTTCTTGTTGGCCAACGCCTTCGACAGTTTGATACGAACAGCGTGGTTCGCGGTTGCATACAGAACCATGAGCGGAGCATTGGCTACGACATGATCATAGTGGTTGGCATGGGGTATGTCGGCTTGCGTCTGACGAAGTGAACCTCTATGATGCTCATCCGCGAGAGCCAAAAGATTCCGAACTTGCGCCGCATCGAACTCTATGCCATCGGCCTCAGAGAGCATGTCATGGCATTTGCGCACTGCAGCAAGTGCAAGAATCGAGCTCATGAGTGGTTTGCTTCTGAATGCAAGATTGGGAAACCCGACTTGCAGCGCGTACAAATCCTCGTCATCGTAGGCCATTGACCGCGCGGCGTGGGAAAGATAATAGCTGAATAGCTCAAGTTCTGTCGCGCCGAGGTCCACGAATGGCGCGACATTCTCGTGAGTGAAAATGTTGGCACTGAAGGTGTAGTTTGGTGTTGTTGCGACGTAAGGCGATGAGAGACTAGATGCGCTGGTGCCGGTGGAAAGAGTACAATCTGGACTTGGGATATTGAGGCTCTGAGATTGGTAGATGCTTTCTGTCTCCGATGGAGGTGACCTCAACGTCCGCGACTTTGGCAAACGAGGGTATTCGCATGGGATGTCCTTGTCGAGACATCTTGTGCATTGCGGTCGTACCTCGTCACACTGCAAAGGTCAGTCAACGAAATGAGAATGAGGCTGGGGACGCTCACCTTCTTTCTCCTTTGTTTGCATCCTAAGCATCCATGCCTGGATTTCGTGTGAGATCTTCGAGATCTGACCCCGGTTGGGCTCGGTGTCGCGCGGGTATCAGGAGACTGCTGAATTGAAGACATTGTCAGGGAATTTGTTGATGATCCTGGAATTGAGAGGTTCCACTGGACCCTATATACTCACCCGACACTCCGAGCTGAACCTTTAAGCTTATCATGCCGTTCGAAGTAGCGTTGGATGACCGCTTACTTCTGCGCAGGGCGCGATCCACAATCATGCCGCAGCCTGATGATTTGATATAACTTCAGCCTCTGAAATGCAGGCTACGTCAAAGCGTCAATTGACTATTCCGCCAGTTCCATGGGGAAGATCCACCATGTCCCTGCTAGGACACGCGGAGACTGCGCCTCGCTAGCTCAGCCCCAAGAATTTGGAATTGTTCTAGATGGAACATGGAGCCAATTGCAATGAAGACGATGCATCGAGGAAAAAGGTGTGTGTTGCATTTGGCGGTCGGTGACTCATTTTCGCGTTGCTGGAATCCCGACTTTTCGGCTCGTTGGGTGAGGAAGGCAGCATGTAAGACACCTGCCTGAGGCCCGAAACGGCAGCTATTTCAGTGTCCGAGTTGGCAGGTGGGTTACAGAAAGAGTGTCCGCTAAGGCTTAGGAGACGGAAATAAACGTACCTGGATTCCGGTCGAAGGTGCAATAAGATGATCAAGGTATTCTGTCTATGAGTCGCTTGTGGGTCAATTGTTCTGACGCTCGAGCGGATGGTAAGTGATTGCACGACGTGAGTAGAGTTACTGGCGAAGCTGATTCATCCTCGCAAAGATTGCGCCAGCTTGGGAAAGAGCGCAATTATCTGCTGCAGATGGAGGTTTGGTGCTACCATGCTACCTTCCAGGTCAAACAAATCACACATCATAGTCGTACAGATTGATTTGGCAGGCGACATTGCATTGATAGCCAAAGTTCTAGAGAGGCTACTCCTAATCACTCCAACGAGATACACTGTCCCATATTTTCGATAACAAGTCTCCTCCCCTTCCGCTGCATGTGCCCTAGAACCTAGCGCCCCTTTAACCACATTTCTCTCGGCGAGACAATTGCTAAGACATCTTAGTTGAAGCGGAAGAACAGTGAACAGAAGGTCATACCTGCACGTGACTGGTTACTAGCCATCAGAGGACGCTACTCGTTGTTGGTGTTTGTCTTGGGCTCAGAAGGCTTAGCCTCAGGGAGGTCATTGTTGGATAGCACGCGTTTCTCGACGGCGTTCTCCTCAAACTTGGATAGCTCCTCGTCGTTATTGAATTGGATATTAAAGTGAACCTCGCATCCTGTCTCTGACTTGACGCGTTCAATCATTCGTTCCAGGCTGGCCCCGGTAGATGAACTCCCAATATAGCCTCCATCACGAGTAGGTGCCACGAAGTTGGTTGCCTGATTGCTACCGGGCGTAGAGTTGACAACGGTCGTCATCTCATTACCCTCACGGTCTTTCATTCTGTGTACGTCGGCATTGGGGACACAAACAAGGCCATCTTTCTTGATGGGATCGAGCTGCTGGTTTTCGCCGGGCATCTTGATGCTGTGATTGTCTGAAGATATCTGTCAGCATATGAAATAGCCCAGAGCACTCATGTTGGCATACTTCTCTGTATATCGGTGATGTGAAGATGGATATGGGATTTTTTGTATTTATTTTTGGGAGAAGCAAAAAGCAGAGGTTGCTGCGCGGTAAAATTTCAAATGCTTGTGCATTATGAGCTTCATGCTTGTGCGTCGCGCTTTACGGCTGCCGGCACTGACAGCAAGTGTCAGTGAATCACCCGATCACCTACCTATGATTAGGTGCCTGGGTACCCAGGTAGGTAGTAATAGGTAGCCCTGTTCCAATCTATAAGCGGGAAACGTATGCCTCGATTGACTTCAACGTAGATTACATGGCTATGCAAAGTGCAGTTCCCATAACTGTATGGACTCAGTTAGTAAAGGCCTCCAAGTTCATGGCGAAGAAAACATACCTCCGGCAACAGCCCCTGCAGCAATCCCATTCATTACACCGCCCACCGCCTGGGTAGTATACTCACGAAGTCTTTCACGGTCCCTACGGCTCTTATCTACATTATCTTTCGCCTTCTTCAAAGACTTATTGGAAACAATGACCTTCCTCCGTTCTCCTTTCTTTCCCTTTATCTGTTTTGAATGGCGCATCGCTTGTTTGAACTGTTCGTCATATAGCGCTTGTAATTCTTGGAACTCCTTCTCTTTGGCCTCCAGTTGGGTTTGGAATTGCTGATTGAGATCGGAAATTCGTTGCTCGATAGCCTGTTTTTCGGCTTCGTGAAAGTCTTCAATCGTCCTAGTAAGCTTCTGCTGTCCTTGTTCTGCTTTTTGAATACTCTTATTGGTATCCAACTTGAGCGCTTGCAATTGCAGCGCATACTGCTCGTCCTTGCGAGATCGGGGCGTAGTTGTCTCAGACTCAAATGTCTTCATCACCTGCTTATTCTCATGCAGCGCCTTTTGCAACTTTTCTGCTATAGCAAGTCCAGCAGCGGTCTGTCCAAGGGTCTTTCTCTCATCGACGATTTCCCTTTGTAATTGAAGGATATGAGACGTGTTATGACCCGGGCTGCTGAGAAGATGAGAAATGATGCGTCGTGCTGATATAGTTTGAAGCCGCGAATCACAATGCCCATTCTCGTAGTGCCTGAACATAGCCGCTCCTTGAGCTATTAGCTCGCCAAAGCAAATCTTTTCGCTTGCTAGCTCGTTCTCTCGATCTTCTAAGGCCCTCTTCCTGATCAGATCGGGATGCTCTGGCCACATTGTTGTAACAATGACCAGCTTCGTGTGAATTGGTGACCCGCAAATAGCTTTGAGAAGCGTCAGGTTGAAACGACTTGGTCCAGACATCCGGTTACTGGATATTGAGTGGAGCATGATGATTCCATGTATACGCACGCCATTCGCATACGATGCGCCGAGATGAGTGGCGAGTATTTCTAATGTGTCGATGTCCGATCTAATCGTGTCGTTGAAACCCGGGGTATCGATCAGATAAACACGTTGACCCTCGTGCTCATACTGGAAAACGGCGATAGACTTCGTACCTGGAGTGTGTTACTGGCGAGGTCTTCTGATGGATGGAGTGGAGATGACCAAGACTTACACGAATACAGCCCATGGCTAACGACCGTGCTAAGTCCCGTGCAACTCGAAATAAAGGAACTTTTTCCTGCTCCTGTAATACCGGTGACAAGAAAGAATCGATCCGTCAGTCGTGGTTCCGTGAGACCTATGAACGTTCTAAAAGACTCGGCTTGTTCGATCAACGCTTCGACGGTCGGACTGTGCTCATCCATTGCGGCTCGCAGATGAAGATGCAACGCAACTCCGTATTGCTCAATTTCGTCAGACTGAATCTTGAAGAAATGAACCGAAATTCAAAGCCATGGTGTTAAAGACGATATTGGCAATATCTCGAAAATGCCTTGAATGGAGGGTAATCTTAGGATAAGGCGTGCCGGTGGCTATGGCATTCAGCAAGCGATAGGCAACAATGCATTTCTCATTGTCATTGGCGCGGTTTCATTCTTGATGCGCAGAGTACATGCACGTTGGCTCGTTAAGCCAGAAGTGGGTGGTCAGATACATATTCGATCCCGAGAAGGAGGCCTGAGCGACAGCAACACTGACGGCCGACATTTGTTTCAGGGAGGAATTACTTTCACACTTTCCACAGAAGGAGTATTCGCATAATTGTCAAACTATAGATTTTTTGGGGTCTTTTCTTCGACTCCAGAGCCGCTATGGACCTTCCTCCGAATTTCATCTCCCCTCCCATGAGCGACTGCAGGAAGGCGCCTACATGGCGGGGTTGCATAATAACCCAAAATGGCAAGGCATACCGACATCTGACCACACATGCATCTTGTTTCAAGCCAAAGCATGCGGCTCGTTCATCGCAGTTCCGAGCCTCGTCGTTCGGACGCAAGACATAAGCTCAAAGATCCCCCACTAGTCCAATTGTCAAGCGGCACACTTTGCTATGAAGTCGAGACCAATGAGTAAGTTCTTACTCGCTCACTAGCGAGCCTGATACTAAACTTCATTGAACGTAGAACCAAGGCAAGACCTCCTACAAGTGGAATGGCAGGAGCCATCTCCTGAGCACTCGGAAAGTAGTCAAGAGCTCAGCTCTTCAGACGAAGAGGAAATAGAAGATTTCCGCCCCTCCGTGAAACCTGCGTCTGGCGAAAACACCAAGAACTTTCGCGGTGGTCGCTTTCCCCGGTGAGTATCAGCCCAGTCACATAGAACTTGTCTCATCATGTAATTGTGCAGGCAAAATGATATCTTCATTGCAGTCATGGGCATCACTGGCTCGGGAAAGAGCTCTTTTATCTCCAAATGTTCCGGAAAAAATGTCAAGATCGGGCATAGCCAAACTTCCTGTGGGTTATTTGAAACAGCTTTTCATAGCAGGGATACGTCGCTAACTAATTACAGGCACGTCTGTAGTAGACGTGTATCCTTATGAGGTCTCGCGAGACTGCACGGTGTATTTGATCGACACGCCGGGTTTTGATGATTCAGACAAGACAGATACTCAGGTCCTTCAGGAGATTGCCGCCTGGCTGTCAGACTCCTATAAACATAGGATTCTTCTCCATGGAATTATTTACCTCCATCGAATATCCGACACTCGAATGCAAGGTTCTGCAAAACGCAACTTGATGACTTTCAATCAGCTATGCGGCAAAGATGCACTACGGAAAGTGATTTTAGTCAGCACTATGTGGGATATCACCCCCTCAGAAGATGCCGTTAGAAGAGAGGCAGAACTAAAAGAGACTTCCGCATTCTGGGGCTGGATGCTAGAACAAGGTAGCTCTTGTCACCAATACAAGAATACAGCAGATTCAGCAAGGCAAATTGTGTTATCGCTCACAAACGAGAAGGCCGAGATCCTCACAGACATCCAAGAACAACTGGTGGACAAGGGACTAACCCTAGACGAGACGACAGCTGGTCAGAGCCTTAATACTGCTTTGAGAAGAGAATTGCGCAAGCTGGCCAAGGAAAGAAAGGCTCTAGAGGAGGATATGAGAGCTGCCGGAGAGAAGCAAGACAAGAAGACACAGGAGGCGCTTCAACAGGAACGTGATAGGTACACAGTACTGATACAACAAGCAGAAGATAACACACACGCCTTGAAAGTAACGATGGAGAACCTCATCGCGAAAAGAGACGAGAGAGTTGCAGAAATGAAAAGAGAAATTGAAAAGCTCAAGCGAGAGAAAGAAGAGAGCATTCGAAGTGTGAAGGCAAAGCTCGAGAGAGAGAAGCTGAAGGCGAAGAACGAAGAACAGTCAAGACAGAAAAGGGCGGGCACAGGAGTAGAAGACCCCCAGAAAGGTAAACGCGTCACATATGGGCAGAGCTATCAGAATGGGGAGGTAAAGAGCCCGTTTGCCAAACCTCCGTTCTTGATATCTTTCAGCAACTCATTCTACATTCTCAAGAGCCCTAAGAAGTGGACCAGGTTGGTTTTCGACACTTCCCCACTCGATATTCGACTGACATGCTCCATAAGCAATATTGCAAAGCTCAATGATGTCCAGCCTAAGAAGCCGATAGAGTTTGGATGTATGATTGCAGCCGCCGGCAAAGCGTCAGCACGGATAGTCCGTTACGTGAATGGCGCATGGGGTACGAATTACCAGCAAAGAAACAAGTCTAGACTAACTAGTGATAGTGCTATCCAAAAGCTTTGCTCAAGCCTACCCTGGTTTTAACGACAATTTGAAAGAGCTTGGCCTGGAGAATCTCGACATTTGCGCGCTTGGCCCCGAACAACAGTATTATGCCCGATGGCTTGACGGTACCTGGTTCTGCGGCAATGTCTCAACCGTTCTTGTACAAACTATTAAAAGCCTCACACAGAGAGGGTTCAAAATCCTGACGATTTCCTTGGGATATGATGACTCTTTCTTCATCACCTACGAGCTCGATCCGGAACACATGGGCTACTTGTATGATCTACGACGGTATTACCGAAGTTTGGAACGGTTTCTAGAGAAAGGCAAGAAGAAAGTTGGCATACAGGTACGTCGCCCTGCTCTGGTCTCTTTAGACGTAACACTGATGTTCTTGCAGGCGATTACCCTTGATCCCTATAGCCAGATCGATTATATGGTTATTTTTACGGAGAATGATGAAGGTGATGGTGACCCGAAGTACAAGTTCCATTGCTCCAATGATAAGACGAGAGAGGCAGTGAGAAGCTGGTGGAAGGCAACTAAAGGGATCGGGGAACTATAACTTTAGGCTACCGGTGTTAGATGATCTTCACAACCTTTTGTATCTGGTGCAAGGGAGCGTCACTTCTCTCAATGGGTTCTCATTGCTACAACTAATGTAAGCTACCATTGCTCTACTGGGGGCCTTTTATTCATCTCCTCTAGATACAGAGCTCCTGCCTATGGGTTAGGAGGGATTGGCCTCGAGTCTTCTGCGACTATTCAACATCTTGGCCCTTCATACATCTTCCCTCCAACTCAACACCGATCTGGTGTACCTCTCACATCTTGAAGATCCAGTGGTCGGAGTACTCGTACTCCTCGCGTCGGATCTTGGCCTCGACAAGGTCCTCCTTCTCCTTCTCGACGGCGATGATCATCTTCTCGCGAGCAACAACAAAAGCCTCGAAGCGCTCGATGATCAAACCAGTCAAGTGTCCAACGGACTTCTGCTTGAGTTCTTCGATCTGCTTCTTGAAGCCCTCATTGCCAATCTTCAAGTTCGAGATGATGGTTTCGCGGTTCTGATACATGGCATCAGCAAGGTCTTCAGACTTCTCCTGTGTGAGAGGACAGTAGCGGTCCTTGCCCTTCTTCTCGCGGTTCTCGAACCACTTGTTCTTAGCCTGCTCCTTCCAATCGTCAACCAGGTGGGGGATCTCCTGGACATGGTGATGAGTCTGGTATGAGAATCGGTTGCGGATCTGAAGCTTCAGCTGCTCGATGTCCTTGGTGAGGTTCTCGATCTGGCGATCGACGGCATCGGGGGCCTCCTTAGTAGGTGAGTTAGACATCTTGTTGACTTGATGTTACTTGCGACTATTTTTTGTTTTGGATGTTGCTTGGTAGGGAAGTGGTGTGAGTGATGACTTTGTTGTTAATGGTGATGTGGTTGCGAGTTGCAAGATGGAGATGTTGGTGAGCAGAGGAAGAAGGGAGGACGAATTCAGGACTTCATACTAGCCAGATTATTGGTGTTCCGAGTATTGCTCGGAATGTTTCTAGCAGTGCCAAGTTTGTTCATGGCTCAAGACGTCCATAGCAGTGCCCGTTTGAGTTCATTGGTGCCTGGTTGAGCTGGTTCGATGTTCACGAGAAATCAACGTTCGGCAAAGCACTAAAATGCGCTAACAGTGACTGGACCCTTATCGCGAAAGAGCAAGGCGTACCTCTTGTTCCATAATGTTACCTTTTGAGCTGGAACAAGTCATCTTGAACAGGTTGGCTTGCTATCACACAATGTAAAACCAATACTAATGTTCTCGCGGACGGTTACCCTGGACCCCCATAACTCTGCATGTCGTGCGTGCTGAGTCGTTTCTTTAGATGGGTCATCAAGCCTCGTTTTAGCGGGGGGACCGGGTACCTGGATCCCACTACGTCTGAGCTTGCTAGTTGCCGTTTTTAGTGACTCCCACGAGCTTCAATTCGCTGGCTTACGAACCTAGCTGGCGAATCGGTCCACCATTTAATCTCTGATCTACCGCTCGGCGGGGCTTCAAACTCCGTGGGGTGAATAAGATGAATGGGTGATCATCTACAACGACATGATTGAGGAATGATTGCAAATGTGCAGTTTGCTCACCGGGCGCACTTTCCTGTCAAGGTAACGCGGCAGGGTACCGGTTGGGAAGGTGCAAGCCGGGAGAACAGACCATCATCTTCACTGTGTCAATCTTCACGATTATTCCTCTTCTACCTCTCAAATGGCGAATCCACTTCAGCGAGGGTCGTAATTTACTTTGCAAGGATCGCGACGGGACTCGACCGTTTGAAAGCAATATGGAAGAGCCGATTGTGGTGGAGGGTCGCTTTGGCTACGACGCATCCACCTCCGCAATCTGTCGTACCAATAGCCACAATATCGAGACAACGAAAAGGCCAGAGACACGGTCGACTAAAGTCCAAGAGTCCGTCATGTACACCCAGCTCACCTTCCATTGTCTCGATCCTCGAATCAAATACTTGCAGAAAAATGACATCGTCTCCTTGTGGGATCCAAAAATGAAGAAGTTTTTCCTGTCATGATCATCGCTTGGGGAGAGCGTATGCGATTCGGGGTTAATGATTCACTCGCTCACTGGGACCTCAGAGACAAGATCCCAAGATGCTACTCTCCAGCAAAGCCGGCAAATCCCCAATCTTGGACGACACGATACGGTGATTTCGAGCACCTGGCAGCTAGGCGCCAGGTCCGAGGAATATGCTTTAGACAGCAATGTGACTTCCCTGTCAATTGCGAGTCCGGTTGGGTTCAATTGAACAAGATGAGAGTCTTTGACCCAGACTGCCCCCACACGTTGTACAAAGAGGCTGTTGTGGAAGCTTTGGTGCAGTGGGCGCTCTACTACCCAGGTCTCAACCCCATTGCTAGGGGATACATCACAGAGGATGAACTGATGGAGAAACGTACCTGGCTTGAAGATACCTGTCGAAGAGAAATGGAGACAGGTGCAAGACAAGAAGTCAAGCAAGAGAGTCGTTCCCCAGAAGAAAGACAAGTGTGTGAGAACCGACATGGCGGCTATAGCGAGCCAAGATTAAATACTTCAATGTGTAGACACCGGTCGGGCGGATGACGACGACAGCATCTTGTAACCCGCAAGTCAATCCTACGGCCGTAGTTGGGACAACAGCGTGTGGAGATTATATCTTGCATCGAAAGATAGATAGAATTAGTATGTCCAGATAACGCTGGTATATATCCAATTGAACTGTCCAACGTTTGCAGTATTTTGCGTTCAAGAGACGGTGGAAAGAGATAGAGACAGTCCACAGGTGGCGTCACCCCTGTTGCCTGCAAATGCTCCTACTGGCCAAGCGCAAATACGCTGTTTATATAAGTAAAGTCAGGTATAAGTAAAGTCAGATATAAGTAAACTTAAAAAAACCGAACTCCGGTTGAACACTCCAATGTAAGTGGTGCAAAGGGATACATCATGCTGTCAATCTTTTACAGTCTACTGCGTCAAGCCTTACCTTACTGTATGGTCTTAACTTATGATGGTACGGCATTTTGCAAATAACTTCACGTTCACTTGAGGGACTTGATGCATTGGGGTATTGCGATTGTCATTGTTAACTTCTCTATCGCGATGTCTATCTTGAGCCTGGTTCACGTCACATCCACCCAAGTCACAGCTTGGGTGGCTGTCTTGTTCGTCTACTTGATGGTCGCCGGACTCAACCCTAACCCTGACTGTCGAATGGAAAGGATTGTATACTCGCTCATGTGTCGCGGTAGGTACAGTGACCCCACCGAGGTTACGAGCCTTGCTGCAAATGTAGGTGAGATCTCCCAAGCAGCCTTGCGCTGTTGTAGAGATGTCTCAATGGTCACAGACTCAGAAGGATCCTTGATCATACCAAGTCCGCAAAACGCAAAGCAGATGCCTCCATCCGATTGACATGTTCTAGTGCTTGCTGTCACTGGTGTCTGCAGGATCTTGACAATCTGTTCAAATAGCTCAGAGTCTGTTCGTTGACTCATTGAGCTGATCGCACACAGCGTTCAGCTCTATGCGCATCTGTTCAATGATTCTGGCACTCCTGGCTTCTCTGGCCTTGCTGTCTCGGAGCTCTTCGACGATCCAGGTGTTCGTCTCTCGCAGCTCCTGAAACTCACTTTGCAATCGCTCAATGGCGAGAGCCTCGCGGCTCGGCAAGGGTTGGATAGGTGCCACGAGATGGCCACCTGGTGTGCCCTGTCCGTGGTCGGACTTGGGCCACCGTCCAGATGATCTGGCGCCATCAAACCCGCGATCGGCGTCACTAGGCTCCTGCATCCGCTGCGTCCTATTATCGCGGGTAGCGGGAAGAGGCCAGGACGGGATGCTGGGATCTATAGCACTAGTCATCATGTGATCCTCGTCGTCCATCTCCTGTTTGGGAGCAGGACCACGAGGGATCACATCTGCAGTCGGACTAGGCTGAGCCTGTACCGACGCAGGTCCGTTTTGGCTGACATGCGAGTGTGAACTCGCCGTCTGGCCAGCGGGAGGTTGGGGTGTGTTTGCCGTGACGGCGGACATATTCCCCTTGGACTCCTCGGGGGCCTTCTTGAAGCGATGAGCTCGATCGGGCTTCCCCCCTTCCGGCTCCTCAATCGACAGGCCGCGGCTCTGTCTCCAGCTCCTGTAGGTGCGAGACACGCTGCCCGACAAGTTTCTGGCGGACGGGATCTGACGATCCGCGAAAGGCCAGGGAGCCCGTTCGAGATCGATCTTCGCCCAGGTAAAAACCGTGAGCCAGACACTCTCATCGACGGCCCACTCGAAGAAGGGGGAACCGGCATTATGGAACCCCTTCTCATCGAGCATCTCACACACATCTTCCTCCGCCAGCTTCCGGACTGTTGGAAACTTGGGCCTCTGATTGAGGTTATCCCAGAGATCCTGGGAGCGAAATACTTTCTCCATATAGAGGCGGCGTTGGTCGGTATCGTAGGGGTTGACCCCCGAAGGGTCGGGCAGGACAATGTTGCCACTCATTCTTGTCGATGTCTTGTGGTGTTGATGGTGATGATGAGTGGTGGTGGTGATTGATGTTTTTTCCAGACAGCTGTTCGTGCGAGAAAAATATTGGTGACGCGTTTGCTAGTTGTTGCTACCCGTTGGATGGGAAGGTCTGCGGTCGGCACGGGCACAGCACTGGCAGCCAACTACAACGCAAAAATATCGATATTTGATCCGGTTACGCGAGTCGACCGTTACTGAGATGTCAATGACATGGAGAGCACTACAATAGCACTGGGGAGGGTTTGATGAGAGGATCCGACCAGCCTGCCACTTCTCTACATGCTATTAGCCGCATTGTTCACGACATTGTGAAGCTGTCTATTCAATCTTGCAACATTATCTTTACACCGGCTCAGGGAATGCCTAGCCACGCAAAAAGACCGGTGAAACGGAGCAAATCAACATGTCAACATGAGGGACGTTGGTTTGTGGAACATGTCATTACCATGAATTGAATGTTAAACAAGAGGTGACATTTGAAAAGAGGTAGGTCGGAACGCTAGTGTTTGATGTTTGTCAATCGTATGCATCAGGTATGGAATGGATATTTCATGGCTTTGACTTTCAATCGTTTCTTGACTTTGCGGATATCTGAGTATCAACTGATTACAAACCCTCTGACCATTGACTAGTATTGTCATTGACTAGCATCGTGAAGCCCCTGTGTCCATCCTTACATCCATTCAAGATTGACCTCAAACCAATACGTATCTAGTAGTTCCTATCCAACTTCCCGCCACTTCAGATGGCCCTTGCCTCGAGGTTAGTATCATGGTAGGATCAGACACTGCTAACATACCTATTCGGCTTGGCCGTTCGAATTCGATAACAAATTTATAGCCTAAGAGCGGATATACTTCGCCGCGACGCCGGCAATGAGACACCAGCGCGCCAAGAACCGCGATTCGGGATTTGTTGCGTTACTTTGCTTCATGCCGGGACATGGCGCATCAAAAAAAGGTAGGGCAATAGTTACTAGGCCAAGAAAAGCAGTATAGAGATGGAGTCGGGTGAAGGAGGGGGGGTTTTCATTCGTTACGCCGTCCTGTCTGTGGCATCCTCCTCATCCTCGTACTCCGACTCAGGAGGAGTTGCAGATGCCGACGGCTCGCCGGCGCTGGCTTCAAGGAATAAGCCAAGGTAACGCTCTGACTCAGCCCGACTAACACCAGCTTGGCTACCGAAGGCATGGGAAATTGGTCTGGCAGGCGCAATACCAGCCTGAGGACCGAAGATAGGGACGATTGGACTGGTGGATTCGACACGAGCCTGACCACCGAAGACGGGCCTGGTGTAACTGGCAGGTTCGATGCCGGCCTGGCTACAGAAGACAGGGGTATAGTCATGAGCAGTAGCTTCAGCCGACGTGGCAAAGGCTTGCTTAGAAGAAGGAATTTTGGAGCCACCGCTCCCGTTGGGAGGAAGTGAGAGTCTGTCTCTACCACGGCGGCGATATTGGCCGCTGCGGGAAGTAGAGGTCTCCGATTGATTGCCAGCTCTGTTGGTGGTGGCGTTGGAGATGCGAAGATTCTCCATCCCGAGTCCTTCCGCCTGGGTCAAAGGTTGACTCTGAGCTTCTCGCTCACGTTGTTGTCGAATACGATCGGGGAGCTTACGACCGTTGGGGCCATTGGCATCAGGCCGACCTCGAAGTTGGTTACCACCCGGCTTGTTGGTCTTCTCGGGATTCATGTTTGTTTGTTCTATATCAGGCACGTTAGATAAGTCACCTAAGGTACCTGGATATGTTTGTGTACTTACGATGAGTGAGATCGGAAGATTGTTGTATTTGGGTGTTGATGTAGAAAGAGGAAGTCCAGTGTTTGCGCAAAGAAAAAGAAATCGAAGGTTATGTGCCGCCCTTCCCCAAGCTGGGATTCTAGAATGATTGCCGCCCGGTGTTTGCAACGCCCGCCAGTGATAGGCGGCGGATTTCACCACTGCTTCCAACACTAGGCCCCGAGCTTGTATTATGGCCAACTTGCAGTGCTACGCAGTCCTGGTGCCTAGAGTGTTGAGGAAGGTGCTAGACTTCATCCTTTGCCTTTCTCCTCCTGTCATTTTCCTTCTTCCCCTGTTCGTATATATACATTTTCCAGTCCTTCGACAGGAAAAAAAGAGGCATCACTTTGATGCGAACATCTGAATATCTACTATTTACGATCCTTGCCGATCTGCGTCACCTGGAAGCCTGTATGTTCGCTCTCGAAATGAGGTTTCTGTTCTGAATGATGCTCAGGGTGTACTGACATCTCCACAGTTGATAGCTGCGCAAGGAATACCGGCGTTTCATCGAACCCGATCTACGAACCGCAGACCTTGACGATTATTGTGACAAGTGTACCGTCATCACACGTCTCTCTGGATGGATCGCCTGCAAAACCTTTCCAACGTCACAAAGGACTCGTGTCTTATCCAGGACCAAGGTCCTTCCCAGCTGCACCGAAGAGCTCCGGAGTTTATAGTTTTGTCATTTCTGAAACGTATTAGGTATGGAGCACTCGCACTCTCAGCTCTCTTCAAGCTGCTGACATTCTTATCACTCCACAGCGAGCCTGGGTTCAAAAATGAGATTCGTCGTGTCAGCGCTGTCCGTCACTTGCGCCCTTGCGCCCTATTGCCGAAAATTCGGAATGGCGGTTGTCTGAGCCACAGCTGGCTCCGGAAAATCTCATGTTACTTCTGTCATCGCAAGTCTGCTTGGATTCAGCCGAGACTATTCTGACATCGTCATGGCCCCTTCAAGCATTGCTTGCGACAATATTGAGGAACGTATCTCTGCAACGTCAAACAGCATTGCCCAGAAAGATGTGTCAAGCGGCATCGCGCTCCGCAAGACCATGTCAGTCCGTGATTGTGAATTCGACAAGGAAGTCGAACAGCTACTCACTTATTGAATGGTCGTCCAATACGAGAGCAAATTGAGCTTGACCCTTGCCCCTGGAAGTTTCGTCACTCCCTGTGCTGGTGGACCGCCTGCGCGCTTGACTTTGAGCTCGAAGGCATCGACGTGCTAGACGAGAACGAGAACGAAAGTCTGATGGACCTGCACGCCAGTGTCGAATCTCTTCTCATAGGCAAGGACCCAGTGCCCGAGGTTGAAGGTGAGGACGAGACCTCGGAGCCGTTAGCTCGACTCCGAAACAGCCTTTCCAACATTATGCAGACCTAGTACAAATCGCCCGAAAGCGCATGGCGTCTTGTTTGCTGGACACTCGAAAAGCTCAAAGTCTAGAGCCCGAGACGAGTGAGTATGCGGCCCACCAACGCAATGCGCAGAATCCTTTTCCCCCTTCGCCGCGGTATCCCACGACTCATGTCACAGGTGGTAGAGTGCGCCAACTTTGTCGTTGTCACTCCTATCGTGTCGGCATCCAAGCCATACCGGAGTTCCAACTGCTGGAAAGCCAAGACTGTCCTGTTCGACGAAGCCGCCGCCATGCATCGAGCGGATGGGCTCTTGGTTTACGGCAACTCCATCAGACCTGCTGTGGTCTTCGGCAATGAGAAGCAGCTGCCTTCAGCCCCCATGCCCATGGGCGCCAGACGGGATGATGAAAATGCGGTCAACAGATTCGGACAGGATGCAAAGACCTCTTCGCTCTCGTGGATGCTTTATTTAACATCCCTTCTTTTATCTGTTTATTCAGCATCGAATGGCTCGCAGTATGTTTGACACGGCGTTGGCAGTGACATACTCGCATTTGAAGGACCATTTCTCCTACGGTCCTTCATGCGAGCTCAGTACCTTGTCGTACGCGAATGCTATCCGAACCTTCATCAATGGAGAGCACAATCTTGGTTTGCCTCCGACGACAATGTCACCCGTTTTCGTCGATTGCGTCGAATGCCCCAGTCGCAAGGATCCAGTATCGAAGTCCCGATACAACCCCCGCGCGACCGTCTGCATGATTCAATGGCTGGAGGAGTTCAGCAACGCAGTCAACTTCCCACCGGACAAGATTGTTGTGATCACTCCATATCGGGCCCACATGCTCTCCATCAAAAACAAGCTCGAGACCAACTCTCTCTTCTCGAAGGTCCAGACAGCAACCATCGAATCATACCAGGGCCGCGAGAATGAAATGGTATTCCGTTCTCTTACTGTCGACAGAGATACCGGCCCCTGCTTTGTTGCACAGCCGCAGCGGTTGAATGTAGCTACCGGTCGCCATAAGCTGTTTATGGTTGTCTTTGGAGACGTCCAGACTTCAATCTCCCAGGAGCCTGACAAATGCATCAAGGCTGTCACTGAAGAAGGAACCAAGATGACTATAAAGCCTGGCATGTTCCATACATTCATCGAGTGGTTTGTGAAGAACAACCGCGCGGCAAAAGTCGAGGGAGATCCCACTGTTGACCCTGATGAGGAATGGGGGATGGCGGAGAGGGGCAGTGAAAATATCCTCTAAGGCTTAGACAAATAAAATAAAGTAACCTAAATGCTTCTCCAAACTGGCATAAGATGACTAAATATTTCGTCTCTTACGCTTATAGCTGTCAACTTTTGTGATACTCTACGGTCTTGGTACATGGTGTCATATGCGCATCGAGCTTGCATTTACGTCCGAGTCTGTCGGGAGCCTCGATCAGAGACGGTCAGTTCATCGAATATAATAACTACGTTACTATCCATCCACGATACACCTGACTTCTAAATAGTGTCTAAAATATTGCATTTCCATCAGCTCTATCTACACCTAACCATCGGTTGGTGAAGAGTCCTTCCTTTGTACAACTAGCACACCCATTCCTTTGGACACGACACCTTAACAGACCGACTAACAGGACGGAATTCAGTTCTGTTTCCTACAGTACCTTTCAAGCAATATTTCGTTGAATTTTGTTGCAGTATTTCGTTTATGTGTTTCTCCATTGCTTCTGTGTTCCATAGTGGGCAAGTGCAAGCAAGTGCGCGGCAGCTGGCACGCAGTTGCCAACTCCGTCGATTTGTGCTGCCTGCCTGGTCTTTACTCTTGCTCCCGTTGCCTTGTTTCTTTTATTTTTCTTTTTCCCTTCCGCTTTTTTCCCTCATCAACATCAACACGCTACGATTTGCCAAAATGGAATCACAACGCTTCTACTATGCGAGTTTCCCTGCAAGCCTCGACGGATGGCTAGAGCAGCTGCCCGATGCAGACACAAGATCAGCGCTGCGGGAGGTATTTTACTCCGCCTACCGAGAGGTGGACAAGGAGCGTGCTGAAGCTGAAGTGGCAAAAGAAGGTCACCAAAGCGAGATCAAAAGGCTTGAGGCAGAGAGGAAGGCACTCAGAGATGTGAAGGCCAAGCTCGATGCCCTGACAGGAGGATTTACCTCTCGGCTGGCAGGCCTCACTGAACAGATGAGCAAGTCATCTGGTGATGTGACAGCCTCCCAACCCACTGTCGAAGAGACTCTCCAGGCCATCAATGATGCGTCTGGGAGCGAAAACACGCAAGAGTCGGTGCGTCTGTTCAGTGAAGATCTCACTGGCAGATTCGAAACTGTCTCTGCGTCAGTCCGGGCTGTTGTCGATACCGTAAATCAATTCCAGGTCTTTGCAAGGAACGTCCAACTCAGCAATGAGTTGAACGATACCCAACGCGCTTTGGATCAAGAGGCCAACAAGACAAGGAATGAATTATCACTTGCCCAAGTCGAACTTCGCCTCTTGAAACATCGCAAAGATGCTGCAATCCTACAACTTCAAGAGTCTCAAAAAGACCTTAGAGTTAGGTTGAGCAAAGCGACTCGAGATCTTGAGCAAGCCCAGCCAAAGCTGCAGCAGGTTGAAGGCGACGCAAGAGATCTCGAGATCGTCACAACCCAGTTGAACGTTGTTCGGGCAACAGTCGATGACCTGAGAGGTAAACTCGCCCAAGCGGAGAGGGTCCATCAAGACTGTGCTGGCAAGTTGGCTGAGGTACATGGAAGTCTCGGTGAAAGTGTCATGGTTAAGCAACGCCTAGAGCGGGATTACCACAACACTGTCATGGAGCTAAGCTGTCTCCAATCCCATAAAATCCAAACGCTCCAGCAGCGATCGGAAGACCAACGGGCTACCGAGAGAAGAGAGCTCATGGCTCAGCTAGCTGACGCGCGATCCCGGGAGACTGAAGCTCTCAACAGCCAACTCAAAGAGGTCCGAGAAGCCGAAATGCAAGCTCTAAATGCAAGCTCTAAATGGTCAGCTTGCCGACAAGACCTCTCTGGTCGAAAGTCACAAGCGTGAGGCCGATACTCTGAGAATGGCGCTTGAAAAGGCCAAGTCTGAGTTGGCCGATGCGGAAGCCGACATCGAGGATACTGAGAAAGAGCTGAACCAAGTCCAATCTCAACATAGCCAAAGTAATGTCCTCGTTGGAAGCTTACAAACACAGCTCCAAAGCGCCACCGAGAAATTGGAGGCCCAGGATGCTCGTGCTGCAGCTCACCATGTCTTCTTACTTGATGAAGGAGAGATTGGGAGCATTTCCAAGGTCCTTCTTGAACTTGCAAATGAGCTTTCTGGCCTGCCTGTCATTCCCGCCCAGGAAGACAAGCGGCTGCTTCAAGTTGTTGTTAACATTGAACCTATGCTTCATGACTACTCTGTAATAGATGCCTTGATGGGATTCCTAGAGTCTGACCCTCAAGGCTGGTATTGCCTGACGGGGATTATATCCAGAAAGTCAAAGGACATTAGCCTAGCGCTAGAGGCAATGAGCTATATGTACCAGGATAATACAGCTCTGGAATATGAGTCTCTAGGTGATGAGACAGTTTGTCGCGATCACGACAACTGCATTCTTGTCCGTGCGGTTGGGGAGGAGGAGTCTTTGGCTTTGGAGTTTTTCAACATCTAAGCAGAATAGAACTTTACTTTTGATACTCTCACTTTTATACACGAGGCTACTACAAACATAAGTATACGGTGAATATATACCACAGTGAATATCAGTCTTCAGTGATGTAATTTTACAATAGTCTGTGCTCTTGGTTGCGAACCCCTGTAATGGTATGACGTAGGGGATCGTCTTCCATCTACATCTTGCACTCTTAAGTGGACGATATCATTGTAGCTGAGATGCATCAAAGGTAGCAATGAACTGGTTTATGTGACCAGGTGAACAGTATGATCTGAAATCACTATAGTCTGGCATAACCAGACCCAGCTTGTTGCTTATGAATGTAGGCTTGGCAAATTGCTACTCGGGGTTTGCTTATGACATATCTGATGATAAAGATGCCCGCAATGCGTACTTAATAAAACAGAATTCCGATACAAGATCCATTTCTTCAAAGAGATCTCATCATCGCGTCTTCACCCATGGAAACCGATCATTCCACGATCTGTCGAGAAATCTCACTGCCATATCGTCCCGCACAGAGATCATCATCATGTCTGCACACGGAAGATGAACATCATTCCGACACAAGATCCGTTTCTTCCAAGCAATCTCATCATCATGTTTTCACCAATAGAAGGCGATCATTCCGACACCAGATCCTATTGTTGACCAAGATGATGCTCACATGGTCTTCGGTCCTTCCATCGGTGGGTTCATGAGCTCTGAAGCACAGTCCTTGAACTCAAATCAGCTGTCTCTTCACGAATGGGTTCACCTATCGTTATAGAGCCTCCACGTACACTGCGTCAGGGTACTACTTTAGCAGGTCAGTTGCATACAAACGAATATGAAGTGGTTAATACCCTTAAAACAATCGATTCTCTGACAGTCTGGTCTAAGAATGCGCTAGTACTTTCGTCCGGCCTCGTCCGAATACCTTTTCTTTCCATCCATCTTTGCCCATGGGGCCCGTTTACTACGTTGTATTCACTCGGCGCACACTTGTCATACAGTCACTGTACCATGCTACCGTGATGTGGATGCTGAGAGTTTTGAATGCCCAGCGCCTTGCACAAATTTTCTCTCATGTGGCCATCAGTGCCCAGGCTCATGCAGTGATTGCAACAAACCGGACGAAACCATCCAGCATGGTGTCTGTACCAACACCTGCGATCGACCCTTCCGACCCTGCAACCACAGATGTGCGCGTATGTGTCACAACGCCAAAATTGCAATCTTCAAAGCCTACATTAAAGGTTAGCACCACTCTGTTCGAAGACATGCACATTCTCTGACCCAGTCATAAGGTTGAAGCCCATCCTCAAAGCCAGTAGACTGGAGAATCAACTTCATGTGACGAAATGGGACAGTCAAGTCGGTCTCCCGGTATCCTTTCTATCATTATTGTCAGACAGTTCTTCCTCTCAGAGTATGACATTCAATACAAATTCAGAGCTCCTTTCGCATACTTGATCCTGCATGGGTATCCCTGGAGTGGCTGCTGAGTAATGGACGCATGTCTTTTGTGGACTTGACCCTACATGGATATCTCTCAAGTTGTAGGAGGATCTCGCGAGTGGCCGCCTGGTACATCTCCGTCAGCACGATCTCGTAATTCGAAAAAGTAGAAGCTACTGACCTCGATATTTCACTGAATTCCTGCCTTGGCAATCGAGCCGATGGTTTCGGCGGTATGCTTGTTGCTTCCGAGTAGCTGCAAATGCCGATGCGGACGAGAAAGGTCGGCAGTCTGCGTCTCCAGAGTATCAAGTCGTTGCTGCAGCGGCACAATCTGGCCCTCCTTGAGATCCTCCTGATCGACAAGGCGCTTGAAAGTCTTGTAGTCGAAGCCCGAGTTCGTCTTTTGCTGAGCAATTCTCATGTCGCGAAGAATGCAGCAGAAGCATCGCGAGTGGCCGCTGACCAACGGACACTTTTCATCTCTAGTTAGCCCAGGAAGTCAGATGAGATGCAGCACTCACGGTGGAGATTGTAGGCTCTCTAGACCTGCGAGATGATTGGAACAAACGATATCAACGTGTGGCCTTGACCATCTGGTGAGGTTGCCTTTCGGGTTGTGTGTAAAGGACTGACCAGGCAGGTGGGTCGAAAGAAAAGCGAGACTTAGCTGAGGGTATCATAGAAGTTAGGATAGACTAACCTAAGCTTAGTGCCTAAGCAAGTCTAAATTACTTTGTCAATAAGCTTTAGTGTCCTGGCTATTTTTCGGACTTCTGCTGGCAGGTTACTCGTCTCCCCTACTTTCTCAGTAGGCATGAAAATGCTAAACTCATTCAGGCGACGTATGGCACTTTCTTTCAGTAAGCAATGCAAACATCTCAACACAAGGATATGAATGCAGGAGGGAATCAGAATAAAGATGTTCTCTTCCTTCTATGATTATTGCTTATTGCCCTTTGATTTTGTGGTTCATAGGCTAATCAAGTGTTAGATATTTATTCCAACTACCTCTGGTATATAAAGCTACACTGCTCTATATGTGTCTTCTGGCGACTAAATCCTGTTCTCCTCAACAGACGAAGTGGATGCAGCGTTCAACTTTCCTTTCCACCCGATATCATCCCCAAGATCGAACGACCTGACTTCTCCCCCAGTGTCAGTATAGCAAACCTCCGTATCCAATTGCCATTAGGCTGTTGAGAAGGATCATGTGATACTTGCAGTATATCAGGCGGACAGTGGCCCTCCAAATACATCTTCCTCTGGCGCGATTCATTGGGGTTTTCAGGCTGTATTGTAATATAGCTTTGCAGCACCGCCGCATCGCTCGCCGTCATATGTCCGAGAACATCTCGAAGTAATATGTTGGGCAGGTAATAGCCTCTTCCTTGATCGCTGAGGCCCTTTTGAGCTATGAGGAGCGTCGCTCGAACTTCTTTGGGGTCTGTGTCGCCGACGTCAAGGGTGGATGATTTTAAAGCCTCCCGGGGTTCAGTAACGAGGTAATCGAGTTTGTTCAAGGTCAAGAATGCGAGCATCGCGAGGAAACGCGTCAGCATCATATTTCCATATTCAAAGCTATGTCGAAGATAGTGAATACGCAGAATAGTCTCGAAATGCCCTCTGTATTTAGAGAGAGACTGGAATAGTTCGTCTTCATTGAATTGGACAAACAAAGATTTGGTCTTTCCTTCTGGGGCAAGGATTTCATAAAGTTGCACGAGAGCATGGCAATATTGTAGACTGTCGTCTATGTCAGTGACAATTCAGTGTGTTAAAGGAAGGGTAGTATACTGAATTTTGAGGTGAGAAGGAAAAACAATATTAGATGGGGATAGAGGTTCTGGTAAACTTCGATACCAGCTCTCTAATTTTTGCACTACCGCCATAATTCTCACTGCTCCATTCTGCGCCAGATCATCTTCGTTGGAGTCTCGGTGGTAATCTAGCATAGCTTCGTTAAGAACGACAGCGAAATTCATCTTGGTTTGGAAAGTAAGCCCGACTTGGATTGGTATGAGAACTGAGCTCGACGGGTACTTGAGCCAGATCTCGCCAAACCAATCGGGATCGCGTTTGGGGTCTGGAAGCTTGTTCTTGGGTGGAGTCTGCAGGACCGGGACTGTCATGAGTTGATAGCTCAAAGTACTGATATCGTTAGCTTTGAACACTCTAGATGGGGTTCTACATACCACTGCCAGTGGAACAAAGACCACGCTGTCAAGTCATATGAGTTTCGTAACTTTTTATTCATGATATACGTCGTTGGTTCAAACAGTTCCAACTCCTGCGCCATCTTGGTGGCTTGTACCATGTAAGCTGAGGACAGTGGATCCATGTCAAACATATTCACGATTGAATTAATTACAAGAGCAGCTTGTAAAGTCGTCAAACTTCTGCGATTAGTGATTTCTAGTATCCAAAGTCTTCGAGTTTCTTCCAAAAACTTGTAGCCCAGACTATGTGGATTCCAAAACTCTGCAGGCTCGGAGAAAGAATTTCTACATTGCTTGAACTGTCAGCAGAGGGAACACACACCCCCATCGTTAACTTACACAACCAACTGCAAGAACAGCGTTGACCAGAAGCGATGAACAAAAGACGTCAGAGCCACTGACCATATCATCCAAGAAGTAGTCTTTCTGGAAAAATGTGAACCAGTCATATTCTTGTAGGAAGTAGGCTCGAATGAATTCCCTCATTGTACTATCGCTAGCGCCGACTGACGTCCATCTTGAAGGTACAATCTCGTCCAGCCGCGGATCAACAATGGTAGCTGCATGATGTGGTCGAAGATACTGTGCTCGATATCCAAGATCAGATTCTAGTGCTGGATCTGCAATAGCCGTAGCATCGTCTCTATCACTCCACTCGTGGATAAGAGATTTCATGAAAGGGTTTGTCGCGGTCTGGAGGTACTCCGGCATGAGCGGAGAGTAGATAAACTGATATCGGGATCTGGTTTCGGGCTCAAGCTGCACTTGGAGGAGAAGGTCGGCGCTTGTAAGTTGTCGCGATAACGTCTCGGCGTCGATGCCACTTTGAATGCGGTGAACTATTTCGAGCGCTTCAGCCTCAGGTCGGGTTTGTATGGCCTTGTAGACGATGGCTGCTGGGTGTGATTCCAATAGTGTCTCGTATTTGTCCCGATAGTTGGTTTCTGCCGTCTGTCTGTACACGCATTCGGTTTTCCGCGCCTGACATTGAGAGCATGTTGGTCTATTGCCGTTGCACTATAAACTATTAGATAATTCACATCACAATACCAGTAGCAGACCTACCTTGATCTTCTTCTGACGACACGGCTCACAAGCTAAAGATATGGGTGCGCGCTTTCGTGCCAAAGGAGCCGTACGATATGCATTAACGGTATCTGCAGGCACTGGTCGCGAAGCTGGTACCAAAGGTCGAAGATTGCTGGCTTGACTGGAATCATGTGCTGATGAACTCGATGCTTCAGAGACGCTTGGTGTTCTATGCGGTATCATGATTGGTATTCGTTCCAGCTGATGTATGGTGTTGGTTATCGCAGGTCGGTTGGAAAAGTCAACACCAAGATCAGGACAACTACCATGACATCATAACAGAAATTGTTCCAGAATACATACAATTGACGCGCGGGTCTCGTATCTACTTAGCCTGACAGGTCTGAGGTTGCTATTCCCATGTGCAATTATGGCGTCATCGTGGTCGAAACATGATGGATTTGACCTGCCGCCCGGATAATGCCATTGCTACATACTGTGTTGTCTGTGGCGCCTTCCTTGATTGGTTAATTTGGATTGTTTTGTGTTATGTTCGGCTCGGCAGTATTCTTTAAAGGTATATCTGTTCCTCCTCGACCATAGGTGTATCTAAACTTAGTTTCGTCTGTTACTATCAGCGCCAACGTGCAGTCAACCCCGATCGAGATGACATCGAAGCAGGGATCTTCAATTCTCACCATATACAAATATCCGTTGCTGTGAGGATTATGCAGACTTTGTCAGCTTTTGTCTGGCTTACTTGAGTGTCGCTACAAAAGACTAATCTTCAGCTAGATCGCTCGTTCCCGTCGCTTTCCCGCGCAATCTCGCGATTTGTGACCTAAAAAAGGATACCAAGAATATCTATGCGGGCAGTAAGCAGATCGGAGCCTATGACGATATCTAATCTTGTCAGATCAGCAGATCACACCAAAGTCCAAACGTTTGCCTCCACCAGGATCAGCTCCCAACCCCGAAATGGACAATTAGTCAGTAATAGGACTTCGAAACCCAGTCCAAGATTTCCCAGCAGCCTCATGTCGAGTTTTAAGGGTCCTGGGCGGATGACAATACCGACTGGGCGTTACACGGCGCCACCCGATCTACGCCGGGGCAGGACACTATTCCCAACATGGTGGAACTCAGCGCTGTCTGATCATGGTGGGGAAGGAAAACGCCTCTTGAGAAAAGACATATAAAATCATAAAGAAGAGATATTTCGGCAGATAAAAGATTCAACTTTCAATGCGGCGGCCTTGCGCGAAAATCAAACTTGTTTCCTTCGGTGGTGATGCCGGGCGTTCCTAAGAGCAGAGGCTGCAACAACTGCCTTAGGCAGAAGAAAAAGGTACAAGGACTCCTGTTCGACATTTTCACTAACTGACATGAGCAGTGCGATCAACAGAAACCAGCTTGTTCGAGATGTGCACGACTTGAGATTCCATGCGTTGGGTCCGGCGAACGAAAGTATGTGTTCAAACCGGTATCGTTCACGAAGCTGAAACACGCGAGCCTTCGGAAGTTGAGAAAGGACAAGGACACTCGTGCGAAAGATTCGAAGGATGCAAGAAACGAACAACTCAATATTGAAACTTGAAACTACTCGAAAGATTGACTCCACGGGTAGACTGTCCTTATTATGATAACCAAATCCGACGTCTCTCAAGACTGATTAAATCAAAATTACACTTCCAAACATTTCATCGGTTCTGCTGTTCCATATCATATATCCATTATCCATAAATATTCATGTCAACTTAGAGAAGAAGAAAGACGCCCATGGCAACTCCGGCGACAGCAATCAAAGAACCCTTGGCAGCCTGAGCAGCATTGGGAATAACGCTGGGGGTGGCTGCGGGCTCCTTGGTCGCCTCGGTCTCGGTGGTGGTCGGGGTCTGAGTAGGAAGGACAGGAGCAACAGTGGTGTTCTCGATGATGGTCGCCTCCACAATTCCAGTAGACTCTTCAGCAGAAGCGTGGCTCTTGATCGAAGTGTGCGTCTCGACCTCGATAGCGGTGCTGGTAGGTTCAGCATCGGCGGTCGGGACCTCGGTAGAGGTAGGTACAGCAGAGGCTGTAGCGAGAGTAGTCGAGGGCTTCCAGCAGGACAAGTACGAAGTACCACGTGTCTCAGTACCAGAGTAGTTTGCGCATCCGGGAACTCCGGTCTTGGGGGGAGCTCGGCCGCCGCCGCAGTCGAGAGGATCGCAGATCATGCCATCATCAGGATCGAACCAGTGGACGATATTGTCGTCGCAGGTAGTGTAGCTGTGTGTGGAGCAACCGAATCCAAGGGCTTGCTCGGCGAGCATAAGCACAGGGATGGCAGAAAGGAAAGTAGCCTTGACCATTTTGAAGGTTGTAACGAATGTGATGTCTAAGCGAGCGACTGAGATTGATGGTTAGTAGATCAACATAATGGAGGACGAACGGTTTATAACGTGGAACCACGCCGCAAGGCGGAGCAGGATGAATGTCATCTTCCAGATTAACCGGCTGACTCGGACGGTAAGCCGTAACGTAGGATCCGGACATTTGATCGTGCCATCTTGTGAGCGGCTGACATTTGGTCCCTCAGCCTTAGAAGACCCATGTAGGTTGTTAAATTGCGGTTGACGATAGCGGGTTAGTGTATGATTTGGGTGTTGTGATTGGTCGCCAAGACACAACATCGTGCTGCTGTACTGTGCCGTGATTTCCTACCCCTGGTTATAGCGCCTTGGGGGTGGGACAAGGATGGCACAGAGCAAGAGACGATGGGCGAGTTTGGTATGTCATTCGGAGGATTTTGGCAGAATTTCTGGCTCAAAAGTTTGAACCAGACGATAGATTGACTGTGAGCTGGGAAGATAAATTTCTGATAGTTTAAATGCATTTGGAGCAGCCTTCCATTCTCGAGCTGGATCTGGTCCAACCTTGGCGGGCAAGTCATCGTGTAAATCAGGGAGGTTAACGAGTTGAGAAGCAATGACGACAATTTACGAAGTGACATACTTGGTCAACCTTCAGCAAACATCACCACGCGCTATCCAAACCGCAGGTGCACCAACTAATATTGCAATAACTTATTCTACCGTCGCTACAGGTAAATGTCTTCCAGAAGAACGGCTCATCGTGTCCCAATCTGGCGACGCGGTTGAACTTACGAAATAGCTCACTCATTACCCTAGACCTTCGATGCCAGCTATGAGGGAATACGTCTCACTACAACGCCAGTTATTGTACAGAGATAAAATACCAGCCAACGACTCACGGTCCTAGAAGGCTGATACCATTCGACATGTGAGGTTTCCAGCGATACTCGAGTTGAGGCCAATTGAATCAGTTCCAAAGAGCTGGTGTCATCATAACGGCCCCCTCCGATACCGCACGGATCATCCATATTCCGGCGGGGTGGCTGCATTTGCGACTCATTGTTGGCTCATTCCCCAACGATCCTACGAGGGGCACCAAGATTTTTATTTTCCCAAGCATCAACGAGCAGACACAATGGCTAACGATTCGACACATACGCAATCACAAGTCTACCTCTCTACAAGAGGTGGTGACTATGGTGTACGGACCGATCATGCTCTACCGCCGTGAACCTTGCTGACATCTTACAGCTCGATTTCGAGACCGTTGTCCTAAAGGGTCTGGCTGCCGATGGCGGTCTTTTCCTCCCCCACGAGATTCCCGCTGCGACAGAATGGGTACGTACGAACGAGCCGAATTCCCAGATTCCGACATCATATATGCCGTCAGAAGGACATGCGCAATCGATCAGTGACTGACGACCCATAGCAAAGCTGGAAAGATCTCTCCTACCAGGAGCTTGCCTTCCAGATCTTTAGCCTCTACATCTCCCGAAGCGAAATCCCCGCCGACGACCTACAAGGAATCATCAACCGAAGTTACTCGACGTTCCGCGCCGAAGAAGTCACCCCTCTCGTCCAATTGAAGGACAACCTACACCTTCTCGAGCTCTTCCACGGTCCTAGTTACTCCTTCAAGGATTGCGCTCTGCAATTCCTCGGTAACCTTTTCGAGTACCTTCTTGCGCGAAAGAACGAGGGCAAGGAGGGCAAGGACCGACACCATCTGACTGTCGTTGGTGCGACAAGTGGTGACGTGAGTCATTCGTGGCCTGATGCGATAATGTCCTAACTGTTTTAGACCGGATCCGCTGCCATCCACGGTCTTCGAGGAAAGAAGGATGTCTCTGTTACCATCCTGCACCCCAAGGGTCGCGTCAGCCCTATCCAGGAGCTCCAAATGACTACCTGCACTGACGCCAACGTTCACAACCTTGCCGTTACTGGTACCTTTGACGATTGCCAGGTTTGTATGCCTCTCGTCTTCAGCACCACCTCGCTGACCAAAACAGGACATCGTCAAGGCTCTCTTCGGTGACCCCGACACCAACGAGCACCTCAAGCTCGGCGCCGTCAACTCCATCAACTTCTCCCGAATCCTCGCTCAGATTGTCTACTACTTCTACTCCTACTTCTCCCTCGCCCGAAAGGACCCCAACTTCAAGGTCGGCGACAAGGTCCGCTTTGTTGTGCCCACAGGAAACTTTGGCGACATCCTCGCTGGTTACTTTGCCACCCGCATGGGTCTCCCTGTCGACAAACTTGTTATCGCGACTAACGAGAACGATATCCTTGACCGATTCTGGAAGACCGGAAAGTACGAGAAGCAGCCCGCCAAGGGTCCTGAGGCCGAGGGTGGTCTTGAGGTTGATGGTGTCAAGGCTCACGAGGATGGCGTCAAGGAGACACTCAGCCCTGCTATGGACATTCTAGTGTCCAGCAACTTTGAGCGCCTTCTGTGGTTCCTCGCTTACGAGTTTGCCGAGTCTGTCGGCATGGATGTTGAGTTCAACCGAAAGCAAGCCGGTCAAGAAGTCGCCACATGGCTCAAGGACCTCAAGAACAAGGGTGGTTTCGGTCCCGTCTACGTTGATGTTCTCAACAGCGCCCGCAAGACCTTCGAGAGCGAGCGTGTCAGCGACCCCCAGACTCTCGAGACCATCAAGGATATCTACGAGCAGATCAACTACGTTCTCGACCCCCACTCCGCCATCGGCGTCAACGCTTCCCTTCGATCCATTCAGCGCGCCGAGTCCATCCCCCACATCTCCTTGTCCACCGCTCACCCCGCTAAGTTCGCCGGCGCTGTCGAGCTGGCTCTCAAGGACGAGAAGGACTTTAACTTCAACGAGAAGGTTCTTCCTGAGGAATTTGCCGGACTTGAGAAATTGCCTAAGCGTGTTTCTGATGTTTCAAATGATTGGAAGGCTGTGAGGGAGCAGGTCAAGCAGCAGGTTGAGAAGGAGCTTAATGGAGAGCGTTAAAATAGATGTGTTGATAGAATTGAGTTTCAAATGCAAAAGTGTTGTATTATCAAGAAAGTTATATGTGCAAAGATATCCTAGTGTCAAATGCCTCTTTCCATCCTCCTGCTCCCCTCCCTTGAAAGAGCTTCCTCAGTCCCAGGTTCCTCTAAAACTTCCTAATCGCCTTGCAGTCTGTGAGTCTCTCATAATCATTGGACGCCCCATTGTAGGCGCTCATAAGGTAACTAGAGATTACAAGTTAGTAAAGAAGAAGTAATATTGGAATCAGGTATACATACTCATGACCAGCAGGGCCTCGAGCCACGCTCACATCAACATAGTACTTTCCATCACTGCCCCAGTAACACTGTCGGTTGTACATGAACTGAGCATGATGAACTGCCTCGCACCAAAAATTAAGATGGCGGTCTTCGCGAGGTTCGGTGATGAGCCAATGGCGGTATCTATCCATACCGTCCTCAACAAAGACCTTTTCATACTTGATGGTCAATGAACAATCTCTGCGCTTCTCAAGAGCTGCATCTGAGGCCTGGTTAATATGCGTACATCTTCGAGGCTGGGAAACTTACCAGGAGTAGGAGAAGCAATGACTCCAGTGATGGCGACAGCAGCCTGGGTGAGGAGAGTGAACTTCATTTTGATTGAGGTTAAGTGATGATGTTGGATGCTTGATTAGTTGGAATGAGTGAGGATAGAAGACCCGTATCGTATGGAATTAGACCTTGACTTTATAGTTAAAGATATCTCCTGGTTACAATAGGCGTCTTGTAATCTGCCCAAAGGTATCCAGAATAGATAGTTGTATCTAGAGGACAGGTCACTATCAGTTCCATCGGTCCGTCTAGTAAAGCGAGAATCCTTCAGTAAAGGACCGAGTACGATCGCATGAGTGTATTCCTTCTTTGGGCCCGTCAAGACGTTGCATTGATTTCGATAGACAGTTGCAATACCATATAGAGTAGTGACTGGGGGATAGAAGGGGTCCTTTGGCAGGTGGGTCAATTTCCGAGCAAAACCTCCCCAGTCTAGCGTTGATCTACCGTTTATTCCCAAATCAATAACGGCAGAACCACAATTTGTTTCGGAACGGTTTAGTGAGGCTGGTTAAGCGGCACTTAATCTCCATATATCCTTTCAGAATGGGAATTCCGAAATGCGGTTCAAGGATCGAAAAAGGCCCGATAGGTACACCGCAGAAAACACTCGGCTCTTAGTTCGAGCTGTAACCCTCATCCCGGCCATGATCCTTCGGACCCAGGAATGGAGACTATGTGATTCAAACCTGATAAGCAATTGGAAGTTAAGCCTATCTTATGCAATTGGGAGTTGTTATAAATCGGAAGCACTTTCTCTAAGAATGCTAAGTCTATCTAACTTACAAACATATTCACTTCTCTACCAACCATCATCTTACCAACTACCACATAATGAAGTTCTCACTTATTACTCTTGCCGCAGCCGTCCCGGCTCTTGCTGCCGCTGTTCCTGCTTCTGTTGATACCGCTGAAGGTATTTTCCCCTTCACATACAAGTTAGAAGTGTTTCAATACTGACTCGTTCTTAGTTGACAAGCGCGCCAACTGCAAGCTGACCCTCCAGTGGCTCACCAACTGGAGCGAGGATGCCCTGAGAAGATACCGAGTCTGGCTTATCACTGAGCCTCGAAATGATGACCACATTCACAAATACTGCGATCTCTTCAAGGCTGATGCCATGGGCGCTCGGAACGTGCAGTGCTTCTGGACTGATGACGGAAAGTATGTCATTGACGATAGTGAGGGTGAAGGCTCTCCTGGTCACGAGTAAGTACAAATCTGTCCACATTTACATTACTGCATCTAACTTGATGATTTACAGTCAATATCTGAAGTACTTCAACAACGCAGCCAAGTACTTTGAGTGGGCTACTGGCTGTGACACTGTCCGTAACCTTTAGATGGCATATGTGAGCGTATGCAATGTTGAGGATCTGAGACAACCTGCAGACATGGCTATTATGTGGGGAATTGAGCATGTTGTACTTTGAGATTCGTTATTTGTAATACACTATTCACTCAATTATTTTTATCAAATCTCATGCCTCGAGAACTTGCTCCATGTGCAAAGATATACTAGTTTCTTTAAGTACCTCTTTTTCTCCTTCCTCCTTCTATATGCTTATATCATTAATATTCAAGACTTAGAGCTTATCAAACATAGCAGAGTCCAGATAAGCCTCTTCAGTCCTAGGTTCTTCTAGAACTGCTTAATCACCTTGCATGGGTGAGTCTCTCATGGCACTGGGAGCCCGCCCAGAGCCAGGGGAAACCAAGTTAGAGTCTAGCTCTGTGGACTCAATGAGACGACCAGACTCTAGCTGTTGCGTCATGACTTCACGTTCAAGAAGATTCATTCTGCTCTCGAATCTGGATTCAACTCTGGTCAGATTCTGTCGACCTTCCTCGATTTCATCACGTTGTCTTCTGACTTGACGCCCCAGATATATCAAGACCGGGTCGCTCTGTGTGGCAGTTGGATCGAGACCGTTTCGTGAGTCCCTGCGACTTTCATCCAGAGACTCGATCATATTGGTCTGGTTATTGATCGTCCTTTCAAGACACTCGATTTCACGTTCATGGACCCGTTGGAGCCTCTGATTCCTCTCTTCGGATTTCTGAACCTCCTCTTGTGCCTTGTTCAACGCGTCCCTCAGCTCTCTGTTCTCTCTTTCTAGGCGTACAATGATTCCATAGTCGCCACGGGGAGAAAGTTCACTCAGAACAGGCACGCGTGGGGGGCGTGGAGGGCCTGTAGGCATAGCTAACTCTTGAGGTGTTGGGGAGATTTCCCGGTTGTAAACCTCAGGTTCGCTAAGCGTACCGACATCCATATGACCAAGTCCCTCGAGTTGGGTTTCAGCATCAATCATGCCTCCACCCTCATCAGCTCCAGGGACAAAGGGAATATCGCCATTGTCCATGGCTGGACCTTCAATTTCATAGCCTAGAGACTCAGAAGCATCATCCTCTTGTGAGGACTCGCTTTCATCCTGATCCTCATCAGGTGGCAGAAGATCGTCATCGCTCATGGTTAGAAGATCGCCATCGCTCATGGTTATATCCCTATTGTCCTCTTCGAAGAAAGACGATGAGCGTTCAGAGTCAACATCCATCTCTTCCTCATTCTGACCATGGATAGGAGACTCAGGAAGATCGTCTTCACTTCCGCTATCGCCAGTCTGAGGTTGAGACTGGCCTTTCAAAAATGAAACGACCTCACGGAAGGCTTCTTTGTAGAAGGCCTCGTATAGATCAGGGAGCTGGGTCATGGAAGGTCTTTCTCGGTCGGATTTCTGTTCATTCCAGGCTTTGAAAGCATCTTCCACTGACATACGATACTCTGTTTCAATGTTACCCATTGAGCCAAGAGCTTTGGTGACCATTTCAACATCCCATAGCGTGAGAGGCAGAACTCTGACACCCATGAAATCCGTGAACTCTTCCAAAATCGGTGGACGTTTTGAAGTATCGTTTTCGAGTGTCTCACCGCTGTGGAAGAGGAAATCGGACCACGGGGAGATTTCTTTTCCCTTTGTGCGCGCTTGATCTCTTACGACGCGATGCATTTTGTGCAGAGGATGTGGAGTACTGGTATGTCTGTACTTTAATATCCCCTGGTTTAGACTATTGAGAGCTAGACACTCCTCTGCCTTGCTGGATATACGGTTCAAGGCCCTGTAATCGCCTGTGCGACAAATGATCGCATATTGCAACGCTCCGGTGACCCTTCGAAAGGACCCAGTCCAGATTGGATGCACCAGCAGCTTTGAGAGTGCCAGACAGAAATTGGTTGAAGGTATGTGTGGACGACTCCGACTGTGAGTGGTCATTGGCTGGTATCGCATCGCAGCTGTAACACCAACCAGGCCCAGTGGGGGTCTTTGAAACAGACGGAAGGAAGTCTTCCATACATTCAGAAGAGGGGCACTGTGAGGATTGCTGAAGCTTGCAGTTTTGGCCTTCAGCCCAGAATCATCCCACATCTTGGTGACGGTTTCCTCGTCGTCCTCCGTCCAGCCTTCAGGCAAGGCTTTCAGGAATTGAGCGACGATTCCATCCGTATCTCGAATCTCCACAGGAGGATACTCCTCGAGCATATGAGCTGCTGCATCGAGAGCCTTCTCCCAAGGGTCATCGTTGGTCGTACGACCACGCTTAACAGGTCGCTCCTCTGCAGGAGCACCTCTCGCGTTTCGCTTGCCTCGTCCGCTCATTTTGTGTATCTTAAATCTGGTACTATTCACAATAAGCGATTGTAGTAGAATCATAGTTCTTTGAAACTTACAGACGTTGTGGCTGGAGGCGCTGACTGTGAAGAGTTGTTGTTTTCTGCAGCAGAAGGGGCGGAAAATTTACCCGCCTAAGGCACGACGAAATTAACCTTGAGCTACCACCAACACTGTCGGCCTGAACAGCGCAGCACAGCAGAGCCATGTGACTATCTACCTGAATCAAACATACCGTTTCATTATGGTTGACTCGGATGATCTCAGCTGTTCAGTCTGTTCAGTTTGAACATTGTATCGCGATGTAGGAAATGTTTGTGCCAAGTGTCTGTATTCTAACTGTCCCCTGGTTTGTTAGTGTATGCGAATTTCTTAAGACTTCTGAACTCTTGCTCTTGAACCTATACTATCGAATGTTGTCCAGCTATAGAAGAAGCCTATACTAGATGAGCGATGCTCAGTGGCCGCATTTGAAATTCATTCATTTAAAGCGAAACAGAACAGTATCTTGCGATTTCAGCAGTGACGAAGGAATTGTCAGTTGCATATTTGATAATAGCTACAACGTTGAGAGACGAATTCAATGTTTGAAGATTCGTGTGATTTCTATTGAAGGAGATCATAATTTTATCTTTTAGGTGTTGTTCATTCACTTGTCTTGTGCCTGGTATTGCTTGAAATGTGCGAATTTAGTTGGTGTATGTTTGTCTTATTCAAAATGTATGAGCTACTCAAGCCACCGTGTATCAAAGAACGCATGTCATACGTCTATTTCCTCATGTCTGACTCCGTCGCTCTCCTATCCTCAGTCTAGTCCCATCACCGAATTTCAACCTTTATCCAACCAGCTTCTCTCTGCAGTCCATCCAAGTGAATCTGGACTGAAGGTCTCCGAGACCAGCCTTTCTGTACGAGTATATATGACAATGGCAACCAACAAATGATAGTAACATCCACCTGTATTGTTGTTGAGATACTTTAACAGCGTAAATTTAGATTTTCAAACTTAGATATAAATTCTTGTCCCTAAATGCATGAGCTGCCAAGAGAAATCGTGATTTTCAAAATACCAATGTCAGTTGAGTAAGACGCAAATTCAGATAGAACACTACGATACCGAGAATGAAAAACACAACTCCTTGGTCACAAACAAAGAGACCCATGAACATCTCAACAGCCAGAAATTCCGGTCTCGATGACGAAGAGAAGATCACTAATACAAGGCGTCGACTGTGAGGGAAATCACGAAGAGGCAACAAGACGTTGTGGGCTACTTAACAGACAGACTTACACGACATGATCGCACGTGATCACACTAGTCTAAGACCTATCTAGCAAGTTCTGATGTCTGGTGGCCAAATTGAACCACAGATTACAGGGCTGAGCCACTTTGTATCCCACCCGGTCTGGACTCTCTACAGATACTTCCGCCAGCCTATGAGATTCATTCTCGGTTCTTACCTTTTTAAAGCGGGTACTTTTCTCTTGATACTCGAGGCTTTTCCACGCTGTTGTCGTAAAATCCCGCACGCCCTACTCCGTAGACACTCACACGATCTCCTCAAGCCTCTTCCGATGAAACATACAAGATGGAATAGTTTGGGGGCCGCAGTCTTTTATTGGTGAGCTGGGAATAAAGGAGTGGAGAGCGTACAAGGGGATACCCTTGCCAAGAAGATCGAGGCTCCCCAGGATGCACGATCACGGCGCTTGTAAGGCTGTCCCGAACAAAGATCCTTCCCAAAAAGGCTTTACCTCCGGCGTTTAAACCCGAAATGCCTTTGAAAAAGCAATGTTACTGCATACTTGTTGCCACAAACTGTTTTGAAGGATCAAACTCCCTGTGCAGTAAGCACTAAACTGCTGCCGATGGGAACTCACCTTGTGATCTGCCAGCGTTGTGGAATAAGTTAAAAGGCTTTTGTCTGCACATATGGAAACATTATGGTCTGTAGTCCAACACTTCTCTGCAGCAAACGGTACAGCAGCCTGAGACAGAAACATGTACCAAAGCCCAGGCGAGAAGCACGGCTTCCAGCCATCCTATCAGCCAGTCGATGCTCAAAACCAGAACGAGCACGAACAATGGAAACCCAGCTTCTTCGGTGGCGTTCCATGGCTCGGTACTGCTGGAATTTTCATCGCCATTGCATCTGCCGTAGGCAGTATTGCCGCTCTTTATTCTGCAAACAACAAGGCCGTCGACTCTTGGCCTAGTCAACATGCACCCATTCAGCTCACAGTGATGCTCGCTGTACTCATCGCTATAGGCAATGTCGGCCTTCGCATCGCTCACAAAGAAGGCACAACCCTTACCTGGTGGATAAAGATGTCTAAAGGCGCGACATTGGCCGACAGCCATAGGACTTGGGAACACGGATCCAGCGCTTGGAGCTCAGCTCTAGCAATCCTTCACTTACATATCAGCAAGATTGGCCTGGTTTCTATCCTTATGGCATTCCATTTTGCCAATGGGCCTTTGATCCAGCGCGCAACCGACGTTACAACAGGAAGTAGTATAGAGCCTGCAACCTTTCAGGCTCACTTCTCACCAGATATGTTCGAACAAGCGACAGGGTACTACCAGACCCGCTCTAGTGTGGCAAGCACTTTGTCAACCGACTTTATGAATGTCATCCTTGCCCACACCAACAGGGAGCCCATCAAACTCGATCTGAAGGGCTGCGATGGCGTTTGCTCGGGTACCCTGATTGGTGCAGGCTTCGATTTCGACTGTGTCCAGACAAATCAGAATTACTCGGTCGGTCCGGGCTATGGTAATCATGGAACGATGTGGGATGTTGGGAGCATTCAAGTCAACATCACCGACAAATGGTATCCAGATACGGTGAATGTCACTACGAAATACAAGGGTGACGCCGCGAACGTTGGAAACTTGACAGTCACAACCTGTATACTGCATAGCGCGAGGGTAAGATATCCCTTTACGTATACCAATGGTACTGTTGAACTCGAAGCGCCTACTCCAACGACAGATGGAATAGCGAATCGGACTGAGGAGATGATATACCTCGAAACAGAGACGTCTGGTATGGGAAGATTTAGCTCGAGGCTTGGAGGCTTTGGTATCGCTCTATCTCACATATACAACAGCAACGTGCAGCTGTATTTGACAGGCATGATGGCTTTGCAAGGGGAAGGGCTTATGCAGTATTCGTGGATCAGCTCGAATGATTCAGCATTGGGAGAGGTATATATGACTTGGTCTGACCCTACACCATCGATCTTGGGAGCATTCAACGAGATAGCGTTCCGCACAGCTGCTACTTTCAGCAACTCATCCTTTGAGCAGACTGTCCAAGGAACTCAGAAGCGCACGTTCATCAAGTACACCATCAACACAAACTTCCTCGCCGCTTCGCTGGCTGTTACCTTTGCCAGTGCTCTGGCCATCGTGCTTCTATACCACGGCTTCTGGCTTCTCGGTCGACCGGTGACGATGAGTCCCCTGGAGACAGCCCATGCATTCCAGTCCCCTGCCACCGCTGGAGCAGATGCGGTTGAGGCCGATGATCTGGCAAAGGTGTTTGAGAACAACAAGGTTAGGTATGATGTTAGACAAGGGATAATGATATGGCTGTAGACAACATAGAAATACAGTCACGATGTAACTTCGCAAATTGTTTGTACTCTATACAGTGGGCTTGATTAGGTAGTCTATCACTTGGGCTCTTAGTGGTTAATTGTGTGACCCGACAGACGGGGTGCCACTCTATCTGGCAGTGCGAGGCAGCTATAACGGTGGGCCCTTTGGGTGACTGTTTGCGAGAGATTGTTTCTGCCTTATCCTTCTCTCCTCTTGATTTTATTTTTCTTTCTTTGTGAATCTTCCCTGGTTCAACGTCTCCTTCAATATCGATCAGCATCTCCGAGCCTTAAGAGGAAGATTGAAATTCTGCTTTGCCGTCCCTACATCGCCAGGCACGCCAGAGCCCTCAAAACCCAGGAGGAACCTTTTGGTTTCTCGACAGGTACGAGTTCGCGAGTTTAGGAATCACTTTACTAATGGCTGTGGGAGCATAGGTCAACATGAGTCCCTTCCAACGTCTTCCAAACGAGATCCTCGACGCGATATTCATCCATCTGTCGCCGCACGAGGTTTGGAAAACCCAGCAATCCAGCGCTTCTACTGAACAGGCACTGGATTCTCATATGCGAACACGACCCCACGCCATCGATTCCTTGATGTTATGGGCTTGTGACACTGGCGACAATCAAGCGGTTCGCAAGGCTGTGTCCTTGGGAGCGGATGTCAGTGTTGTGAGGGCTTTACTAAACGATAGTTCTTATTCCGAACGCTTGACAATTTACCGCGCTTCGTATTACCCAGACACGGTCCGTCTACTCTTAGATCTTGGCGCGCGCATTGACACAGATTTCAAGGCGGCTTCGGACAAAAGGTGGGAACGTTTTCAGAGAGATCTCGACCCCGAGGTCTACCAACTGTTCTCGGACCGCGGCATGACTGACCAGTTTGTCGACTTCCAGGCATGTATTGATCACTGTCTTTATATGCAGATCGATAACAGGTGGTCTGGCACGGAGGACATTATTGAAGCGTTGGAAAGAATCTCTATATTACTTGAATTGGGGGCCAGCTCCGTCGCACTCATACTGGATGACGGGAACCCCGTAGGAACGACGCTCTCATACTTAATTAAGTCTATATACGACTGGGGGAGATACCCGTCGGAATGGTGCCTTCCTACCCTCAAGCTTCTCTTGTCCAAACGGCCAGATCTGAACGCCCCTTCTCTAGAGACGACGCGAAGGTTCCTGGAGCGAAGTTTGCCAGGAGAGCTCGGTGTGCTCATATCATGGCAATCGTGGGTTTGCCCCATTGCGGTCGCCGTAGGGTGCATGGTAGAATTGGGCACGACAGAGGTCATGGACATATTGCTTGAAGCTGGAGCTAAGCTGAACCTCCCGACACACACTTGCTTTCAGCCTCTTGCTCTATACGCATACTTATCTGAGACCTATGATGGCCCAGGATACAAGTACCTAGAGAGCAATGGCGCAAGCTTTGAGCCTCTCTGGCACTACGTGGAGGAGTCTGTGGATGATGGCGCTTCGATACCTATTTTCCAGCTCTGTCAAGATTTGAGCTACTTCAGCCCAGACTTCTATGACGCAGCATTACTTGTCGACGACAAACTATTCGGTGTGGTAAAACTCTTCACCGAACGGGGTGCTGTTAAGAATGTCGGAATTCGATTTATCGAGGATATTCTTCGACCAATGGGCGAAGGACCTTATAATGCCGATACACAGTCCACTATTATTAAGCGTTCTCACATTCTTCTGAAATTGACGCTGCAAGATGACAATCTCAACCCAAACAAGCCTGGAGAGATTTGTGGCCTTTTCTCAGAAATCGTGGATCAAGCAATCAACAACCCAACAGGAACTCAAGTGGTTAACATCATTGACCCTATTATTGCTGCTATGCTGTTGCAGAAAGGTGCAAGGCTAGAGACTCGCAGTCGCACGAAAGAAGCCAGAGACCACGTTATTTCCCAGCTGCAGAGGGACCCCTACAATATCAGCTTCGATATCTGATAATAAGAGACGAAATAATTTGGCGACTTTATGCCAGTTTAGGTCGCCTCTTAGGCTCTTTATTTCTGATAACCTAATCCTTAGAGTATGGCTGTCATACCGCCTACACACCAGGTCACATTGAGATCTTCATGGAATTCGGCTGTTTGGTCTTGCTTTATTGCTGACATCCAATCACGTCATACAGTTAGATACCGGTTTGGAGTCACTCTCGTGACTTTCTATCTCCAAGTTAGGCAAAGCCAAACTCTATCTCCGCAACATCCATGACACCGACGACGCGGAAGTCACCCTTCTAACCAGTCATGAATGCGTCATGAGACAGCCATCATGAACTCACCCCGACGTTATTTCCGTACAAATGCGGGGATCTGGGGTATATAAGCCATGAGAGACCCCGAGGAGACTTCGCAACTTTCAATCAGAGACACAACTACTTACCATTATTCATTCTATCACATCATTTCATACGCAAACTATCAACATGGCCTGCGACTGTGGATCGACTTGCAACTGCGGCGGAGCTAGCTCCTGCAATTGTGGCCAGAGCTGCACTTGCAAGAACTGCGGCGTAAGTATTCGCTGTTTGTTGAGATGATGCGATGACTGACATATGACAGAAATAAGAGTCAAGTAGGAATGCATGCATTTGTCAACGTGCAGACTATGATAGCTGGATTATATGCGGGGCCGTTCGAGAATTAAATAAAGTCAATATTCAACATCGCTGAGCGTCTGCTGTGATATGTCAGTGACCTGTGACATGAGAAGAACATCAAATCAGTGCGAGATACGTGCTCGCTAACAAGGCATATCCCTACTCTGGACTGCTGTCCGTGGGGAATGCAACGTCTCGGATGCAAGGATCAGCGGCCAACATCAACACTCGCGCGCTGCAACCCTCGATATCTCCCGTACATCTTCAATTCTGTCGGGAATGTTACGCGCTTAACTTTTGCCGCTCACTACTCGAAGCAAGCGAAAGTAGAACCAAGATGCAACACAAACACACAGTCGAATTTGTCTCAGAAGCACAGACGCTTGAATCAGACGAAGGATTCTACGTCGGTCCATTTTCCCGATTTGGGTGCACGATAATTACTTTTGATTGGTCAAGATTATGCATGTCGGTGGTCGTTCATTTACAGACTAATTGCTGCAACCAGGATCTCAAAGACGCTCAAAATTCGCACAATTTCTACGTCTTATTCGATCCAATCAACGACAAGACATGGATCTCGAGACAAAAGTCACCCTGCAATCTCATGAGCCACCTGTAGGATTATACGGCTAATGGTCGGCAGAAGGTGTAGCTTATAGCCAGCCCCTGGCCTTACAAGGCGTTCTCCCGCCATGCACACCTGGCGTTGAAGAGGCTTGCTCCTGCATCCACATTCATGCCACGGCAACCTAATGGGCTCTCACGAAAGTTCCCGCCGTAATAGCGGACAGCATTCCGAAACTTTTGGTACGAAACAAGAAGACAGTACTTTTATTACATCGGAATCGCGACCACAACAATCGGAAACCCCCAAAGTCAGCCCTGTGCGTTACTGGTCATGGGAGATTGTATCACTTCTCTTCGCTCTTGCGCTTCTGATAGCCACGATCGCCATTCCCGCTCATTACAACGATAAGGTTTTGAAAAGATGGCCATACGACATTAGTCTCAACACAATCATCGCTATTCTCAGCACCTTTATGCGAGCCTCTATGATGCTTGTTGTCGCCGAGCTGGTTGGCCAAATGGGATGGCAGAGCCTACGAAAACCTCGTCCTGTTTCCGACCTTCACCACTTTGACAATGCGAGCCGAGGAATCCTTGGAGCATTCAAACTGTTCTGGAATGTCCCTCCACGACTTGCGAGTATCATTGCCGCGATTGTTATCATCTTGTCACCAGCTATTGCACCATTTTCGCAACAAGCTGTCAAGACTGTCCCTTGCTCACGAGAAGTCCCAGGCAGTGGAAACTGCACCTTTACGGAAAACTCTAAAGGGGTCACTCACGCCTCAGTCGCTATGTGCAGTTCATGTCTCGACACAACCGAGTTCATCAAGTTGAACGTGACAAAACGGGACGGTTACGAGACTAACAATTATACGCTACCAAACAACCAGTGGGTACAACCTTTCACACGTGACAGTCTACTGAGTGCCTATACTGGAGACGTGGACTGGGCTCTCGGTGGTGTTGAATCTGAATTTGCAGAATTAACCAAGGCTGCCATCGCCAATTTGACGGTTTTGACAGCCTCGCAGGGCGCTTGCAAGAACATCACTCGGTCTGGTGCGGAATGTCCTGAAGACAAACTTACTGCGCATTTACCCGAATCTTATAGGAATTACAATCTAGTGGCGATAACATGTGCCCTTTATCCTTGCATGAAGGAGTACCACGCCCAGGTCAAGGAAGGAAGACTTATCGAAAAGGTGGTTGACGAAACCCTTTTGAGCGCATTCGAATATAGCTATATCGGCAACAATCGTATTCTGAACAGGGGCGGCAGACATGCTATTCAGTCGCCCTGCCTGGTTGGCGACGAAGAGTATACTTTTGACGATTTTTCTCAAAGAAATGAGCCACCGAAGGGCTGGTCGACGGTTGAGCGTGATAAAACCAACTACACAGTCCCGGATACATGCCTATACCAGATGGGAACTCAATACTCGCCGGCACTGAGCAAACACATGGACGACGAAATCTTCAACACCCACTGCGCGTCTGCCTACTTGGCGGACTCGCATGCAAGCTGCGGATCAAAGTGGTGGCTAGCCTCCCTTCAACATATCACCTACGACGCTTTAGAAACAGCATTTGACGACTTCACCGCTGCCATGACCAACAACTTCCGCATTGAAGCAAGATCCGACGAAGATAAAGACAAAGTCACCGGGGTCGTCAACGAAATGGCCATCTGTACCGTTTTTGACTGGCGGTGGGTTCTGCTACCTGCTGGGTTGATGGCTGTTACTTTGGCTCTGTTGGTATATGCTGTTGTTCAGAGCTACACCCACAAAGACATGCCGGTTTGGAAAACTTCGGTTCTTCCGCTGTTGTTTTATGGTCCTAATGTTACGAATGATATGACGAGGGAGACGGATCTGGATGGGTTGCAAAGAGAGGCTGGAAAGATAAAGGTGGAATTTCAAAATAAGGATGGCATTAGATTGAGGAAGATCGAAACTAGAGCGACGGAGAGTTAGATATACACAGGTTACGATTTACGTAGATGTTTGCATCCTTCTTGCATCAACCTGATTCACACGTTGAATTACAGTATCGGCTGGTTTCTGTCCAGGTTTCATCAACGAGGTGGCGCTATTCTGATTCAGCTACTTGACAGTGCCTGACAGGTGCAAGACCTTTGGCTATTGTTTTGAGTGCAGACTTTTCCTTGCCATCCCTTATGCATCGGAAGGTTTGGCCGCTAGAATCAGGCAGAAACTTATTCAGGTCACCTAAGCCAGAAAGTTTCTTCTGTTCTTCATCTGCCATCCACCTCTACATCACCAAACGCATCAAGATCCTTCACCACACGAGTCCACTCACCAAAATGAATCCCTTTCAAAAGCTTCCAAACGAAATCATCGATGCAATATTCACCAACATGCACCCGGCCAATGTCTGGCGATTTCAACAGTCCGCCAAGTCTTCTGAGCGAGCACTGGATCCTCATCTTCGGACACGACGCTATGCACTCGATCAACTGATAGAGTTTGGATGTAAATACGGTAACAACAGAGCTGTTCGAAAGGCCCTTTCTCTGGGAGCCGACGTCAGTGTTATGACAGTTTTTGGATTCGGAGGATATTTGCAGAAGTCCACAATTCTCTCAGCCTCGCTTCACCTGGATACTGTCACTCTCCTTTTCGATCTGGGCGCACGACTTGATATCAGCCCCGACCGGAACTGTCACGGGCTTCAGAAGTACAATACGGCCGAGTTCTTCAAATTGTGCTCGGATAGGGGCGCGAGAGACCAGTTTGATGACTTCCAGAGCTGCATCGATCGCAGCCTTCTCGAAAATCTACCGTATATTGGAGAGTCTCACGATGATGCTATTGACAAAGTCTCTATGCTGATGGAACTCGGGGCCAACCCCACAAAGTGCATGGACGAATATTTCGACCGGACAGCAGTATCCAAGCTGATCGCGGACATGGAAGGAGAACACTACAAGCGGACAGAAGTCTCCAAGCTGGTGACGGACACGGAAGGATCATATTCGACATCATGGGGTTTTCCAGTTCTTGAACTCCTCTTATCATCCGAGCAGCTAGACCTGAACAGCCCTTCTCTCTGGTTGACGGAAGACTTTTTAAAGAATACAGAAATGCCTCCTTCACAAGTTCAATCGCCAATTGCGGCCGCCGTCAGGCACATGGCGGTCACCGGGTCGACACAAATAATGGATATGCTACTCGAAGCTGGAGCTAAGCTAAACTTGCCCGTACACGCAAGCCTTCAACCGCTCCTCGTCTACGCTGACGCTACTGGAAACCCTGATGGGCCAGGGTATGACTATCTGTGCAGCCATGGTGCAACGTTTGAGCAGACTTGGCATCCTGAAGACTTTGTGGAAGACTACGATTCGAGACCCATCTTTCTACTCTGTTCTGTTTGGAACCGACCACCCTTTATTCTCGACGTCGGAAATTTGGGTGTGATAACGCTCTTCATCGAGCGAGGTGCCGTCAAGGACGTTGAAATCCGATTCATCAAGAATTCACTCCGGCCAATGATGGGTATGGATCATGAAGGCGCTATCCCATTCAATGTGATAGCGCGCTATCACTTTCTTTTGAAATTGGTACTCCGAGATGCCAATATCAGCCCGAGCATGTCTGATGAGATGAACGACTTGCTGCGGGAGATCGTGGCGGAAACGACTGTTGAGACGACGGAACTGGGATTATCTCTCGACTTCAGCAACATCGTCGACCCTGTTGCGGTCGCTCTGCTGTTGGAGAGGGGTGCCAAGCTGAACGCGGCAGTTCACGGCTCGTGGACCACGCAGGATGTCAGGCATGATGTGGCATCAAAGTTGGAGAAACAGCCTTACTTTATCGTCTGTAACATCTAATTTGGGATAAGCTCGAGAGTTGCTGTTTAGCACATTTACCTTAAGAAAAAGCAAAACTTAGCTAAGGGTATCATAAAAGTTAGGATATTTCATCCTAAGCTTAGTGCCTAAGAAGGTCTAAATTATCTTGTCAGTAGACTTCTGTGTCCTGGTTGCTTTTCGGACCGCCTGTCAGGTGAGCACAGGAGTTAACTTAGTTTTATTGGAACCTAATGGCATAAAGATTTGCAAAATTTGTTGCAACTTTATTGCTTCGTACTTTCCGTTTTTGAAAAAAGAGCATCTCAAGAACCTAGACCCATATCTGCCTGGCACCTACCACACTTGTACTACGAAACTCAAGTACGTAGAGAAAGGGAAAGAACGATGTTTTTTGGAAAACACAGCACAACACATACCATCCTCAAAGTCTTCAAAGTCCTAAGATCCTGATGAGCTCTTCAACAAAGACTTGGATAACTGGCATCGAGGCTACATCGGCGATGACGGACCAAGACACGAAGAAGTCTCTGCTTACCGTTCATACAACCTTATCACGGAACTCTACGTTACACTCGAACGGACACAATCGAATCGCGTCATCTAGGCCTATCGGTCCACAACAAACAGCACGCACGAGTGGGCAATCTCCACCCCGGTGCCTGCTTACTCCATCGGGAGCGAACGAAGTCGCGGGAGTTTTATGACTACGAAAGCAATCTGAGAGCAGCTATTACGGAAGAGTGACCAGCTCTAGTAGAGGAGCTAACCCAGCCGAGCCCTGGAGAAGCGGTTGAACGAACAGACTCTGTCTGATGGAAGGGCTTCAACATTCGTCGCTACTATGCTTACGCCAGGGTTGCTTTCTAGAGATGGGCAGAGAGCGAACTTTTCGGCCGCCTGCTTTGGACGCTGGCGATATCCTCAGAGCTACTGACCCGCCAACGACATCTACTCATACGCTTACCCCTTCGTCATCCGGAGGTCATTCACACATCAGACCAAGATACACGAACACGATTGCCTATGCCTTCCGTACACGCCCGACAATACCAACGAGGCCGCAGTAACTATTATCGCTCTGCTATTAACAGCCTACCCCCCTCTTCCGGCCCATTCACGACTTTAGAAGAGCACAAGACTCATAAGGATTATAAGTCATCAGATAAAAGGGCTAAAAAGGCTTATAAAGCTACCTGGGCCTTCTCAAAGCAGTCGGTAAAGTGGGCAACACGTCGACAGAGATGATGAAGGGATATCCATTGCGGGACAGGTTGGTCAACACAGGGACAGGAAACCTGAATTTTCCTAGGGACTTCTCGAGATTCCATGAAAGTTACAGGACATCTGATCGTCTGATCAACAAGTCCATGCAGGGATGCCATGGCCACCTTTACCCTTTTCGTTTGGAATGTCTCAGCCTTCTATACTCCCGGTGAGATATTCACAGCCCGGTAAGTAAAGCAGAAACTATCCGTTAAGGCTTAGAGCAGCAACACAAAGTATTCCCAAAGCTGGTCTAGACTGGCATAAGGTGGCCAAATTGTTTCGTCTCTTAGGCTTTTGGAGGCCAATGCTTCTGCCACCCTGACGACAGCCTGCTTTCGAGATGCAGCCCAAGATCGACAAACATCAACACGTCCAATCATAAAGTCTTGTTTGCCGCTTGGCTTGGTAACACAGCATGGTAGCTGAGATGAGCTGAAGCCAAACCAGGCTGTACCCGATCTAACAGAATACAAGAATACTCTGTGAGCGAATATGAATTTTCAAAGACATGAGTTCTGCCAACTTCCCCTCTCCAAAAGATGAAGAACGCTTTGCCTCGCTTCCTCCTCGGTCTTCTGTTTCTCGGCGTCGGTGCATTCATCGGAACAATCCACGGTCTGCGGCCTCTATCAAAAGTCATTAAACGATTCCCCGGAGACGCCCATAGTGTTACAACACGAGAGAAAGCGCTCAAATGTCACGCGGACGATCCAGAAAGTTGGGGCTATGCAGCTTGCAGTGTACTCATCAAGTGTATTCTCGAAAGCCTCGATGACCTTTTCAAGAGTGACCTCGCCATCGGCACGACTATCCTTGGTCTGGTGCCTAGTATCTTGATTATTGCCGCCGCACACCCCGAGGATATCGTCCGCCTTGCCCTTGTATCACCGCACAGAGCTCTAGCAGTGTCCATCTTTGGTATTGCTTTGTCGCCGAGTTTATTCTCAAGACCGACACCGTGGAAATCAGAGTTGAGAGAAGATTCGGAGAGGACCTGGGATATTGAATTGTCTCAATTTACCAAAGGGCCATCTTGGAAGCATGTAGTTTGGAAGAGCTTGGCTGATCTCATGATCCTAGCTATGGCTTCAGTTGCGTTGTGGCAGTGTTGGGTTGTGAACTCAGCTGCAATGGTCCAGTGGCTATGCGAGTCGCCTTTGCTACTTTTCACATGGCCCCTTGCAAACATGACTTGGGTTCTCTTTGCTGTTCTACTCCTCCACTCGATGGCAGAGAGCATAGAATTCAAACACCCCTCACTAAACGTCTCTTACGCATGGTGGGAGGTTCTCCTTCTACCCTACTCCCTCGACTTTGAGAAGAGACTCGCATGGGAAGAGAATCATGTTCCTATCAGCGCACCCTCAATCGGCCAGATGTTTGAAATTCCATATCCATGGCTCGCGACAAGCGGTCCGGCAATGTCAAATGACACTTATGTGATTCGGATCGTCGTCAAGATGTCCAACGATCAGTACACTTTGAAGTGGCAGGCATACTTCTTCATAATCGAGTTTTGTGCGATCGGGATATACTTTTACGCAACTTTTGTCCTTCTCAGTGCTGTCTTTATCGGAGCGGTGGGAAGTGTTCGGTTTGGAGCCATGATGGCTGGGCTTTATGCGGCGATTCGATCTGTTCAGTGTGTTTTCTAGTGTTCGAGGGAACTCAGGCTGCAGGGTCAGGTTAGGGCGGGTACATCACGAAAGCTTCTTACTGAACCTACCCTGTTTCATTCGGAACATTCTCATCTCATCCCAAGCAGGTGACAATCCTCAGTTATCATCTCCGACGAGTTTCATGCCCTCGAAAATATCAAGCCAATCCTCCAACCTCTCTTTAATAAACCACTCCAACTCCCATGGCTCATCAGAGAGTTTCTCCATATCCCCGTCCCAGACATACATATCCGCCTCAACTTTGGTCCCGTCCTCCATCACCACCTCCACAGGTGTAACTTTGTATGCCTCTCCCTCAAAATCATCCAACTTCTTGCGTTGGGAGGCGGTCTCCAGAATCAGAAGATACCCATTTACTTCACCGGACTCTTTCTTGATGACGGCTGGGTAGTCGCAGTGGTGGACGGAGAATCGTGTGTATTCATGGATTTTGGCTGGATGGGCAAACTTTCGGACGGTCTTGTTATTGGACGCGTCGCCTGTTACGGCCCAGGCAAGCAGTGGCAAGGCTCGAAGTGTGCCGTAAACAAATAATGGGCGTGGCGTGGACATCTTGAAGGCGTGTGTTGGTGTTTGTGTGTATTGAGTGGACGAAAATCATGTGGGAGTCAGATGTTTTGATTGTCGAGATTTCAGACAGCAGCGCAAGAAGTGATTTTTGCACTTGGTAACTCATGACATTGATTGGCGTGTCATAAAGCATAACAACGCAGAACAAAAGCTTGCGTTTGTGGTCAAATGGTCGAGGACAAGTGGCTACCCTACACAGCTTGCGATCTCAGCTTGTCCGTTTGCACAAACTCATGTTCAATTGTTTACACCATCAGTTTCAGCTTTTGTCCCAAGAACAAACTCACATTAAATTTTGCAATCATCGAAAGCAGAAATCAATCATAGATCAATCACAGGAAATCATCAAAAGATCAGGACCAAATAATAAAAACTCAAAAGGTATATTCCAAATATCACACGCTTGTATCTATGCTTTTTATCTATCCTTCAATCTGCTCAGCCTTGGCCTTCTCATCCCTCAAATCAACACCATCAGCATTATGTCTAAACTCCTCCTCCTGCAATCTTAAGTCCTCCATGACAATCCTGTTTGCCTTCCAGATAGGCTTAGTCTCAAACAGCTTATCCATAGCTTCCAAAGGCACACCCTTGGTCTCGGGGATGCAGAAGAAGACGAAAAAGACGGAAAGAACCATGAGAGAGGCAAAGAAGATGTACACGCCGAAACCCCAGGCTCGGAACATTTGCTCGGTGAATTGGGCGATGATAAAGTTCCAGAACCAGTTGTTGGCTGCGGCGTTGGCTTGGCCGAGGGAGCGAGTGTTTTGGTCGAACATCTCCGAGTTGAGAACCCAGGGTGTACCGTTCCACGAGGGTGTGTAAAATGCGGTGTAGAGGTAGAAGAAGAAGACAGCTGCGATGCCGCCTGATGAAAGAGAAACATCCTCTCCGCTGGCGAGCTTGGATTCGGTGTTGGCAATCTTGATGTATGCACCGATAAAGTACATGCAGAAAGCACCTCCAGCAGCACCAATCATGAGAAGGTTTCGTCGACCCATCTGATCAATGAGAACCATAAGCCAGACAAAAGTCAATACAGTCTTGACGACACCAAAGATACCGGTGGTGAGGAAGCTGGTGTTTGTGCCGGTGATGCCGATGGACTTGAAGACTGTAGGGCTGTAGTAGTTGATGGCGTTGATACCGGAGCCTATAAATGTTAGTCGTTGAAAGTGTTTTGAGATTGACTTGCTTACCGTTTTGGAACACAAAGAGAAGACCACCGAGGAGGAAGCGCCACTGAACCTTGCGGTTCTTGAGAGCGGCAAAAGGCTTCCAGAAACCGGCACCAACATCGCTGTGGTAACGATCAATCTCGGCATCGATAAAGTTGATCTCCTCCACAATGTAAACATCATCTGCGTCGAGGTTTCGCATCCAGCAAAGGTTCTTGATAGCCCTCTCCCGCTTGCCCTTGGAGAACAACCATCGAGGTGACTCAGGAATAAAGACAGCGCCAATCATGAGAAGACCAGCGGGAATAAGCTGAACAGCAAAGGGAATAAGCCAGACATTCTCATTCTGACCAGGGGAGAGAGGGAGGTGCTGGTTAATTCCGTAGTTGATCCAGAAACCGACCAGACCACCAGCTTGCCAGCCAAGCTCGTAAAGACCGACGAGACGACCGCGAATAGCAGGTGGCGACAATTCGGAGATGTAGATTGGTGTCATGTTGGAGCATCCACCGACACCAATACCGGCCAGGACACGACCGCCGATAATAAGACCGAGACCGCGATCGCCATTGGCACCCAGCATCATGCCGGCGCCAACCATAAAGACGGCAGAGAACAGAATGAGCGACCATCTACGGCCGAGAAAGTAACTGCTGACATAGGCGAATAGAGAGCCAAAGAAGGCACCAGCCTGATAAACCGACACAATGTTTTGCTTGGTAAGAGCCAAAGCGGCAGGGTCGTAGCTCTCAAAGTTGAATTCTTGAACGAACGATGGCAAAGCAAGGGTCGTTCCGATAAAGGCAGAGTCGTAACCAATGGTGCAAGCAGCCATTGATGCAATGGCGGCGCAAGCATAGACGCGCCAGTTGTAGACGGCTTTCGGCGTAGGCCGATCTTCCTTGAGAGTGAGGATACCCATGACTGCGAATTGTCGTGGAAATTTTGCAGCCGTTGATATTAAAGTTGAGAAGGATGATGAACTGGAGTGTTGAAGAGTGACTCGACCGGTGGGGGGCGAAGATTTATACCAAAAGACGACCCATATCTCAGAAGCCGCTAGTTTTGGTCTGAATTGCCCACTCAATAAACTGCCAGATAATCATTCTCCAAACATGGAGAGTAGTCCGGGGTTTGCGGGGAAGAATCTGTGGGGGAAGAATCTCTTTCCGTGACGCATGAGATCTGAGATTATGGTTAATTCTGTTGTATGAAAACAGGGTCAAAGAGTAAAGAGACGCGTCTTGGGATAAAGGCTTATCCAAGAGAGTCTCCATTCTGGGGTCTCCGCATTGTTACCATCCATGTGGTCTCGGGTCTAACCTTATTTCGCAAGTCAACGGGGATGATCTTTGGATGCTGAAAGTTTATCCTTGAGGTGTCCACGGCGAACTCGGCATATCCCCGAGGTTGATTGGTCGGAATTCGAATATACCGCTGGCATCGTGAAGTGGGTGGTGAAGTGGGTGTCAAAACACGGTGACCAGGGCGTATTTCGGTCCGTTCTCACCCAGACACGGTCCAAGACACGGTCGAGCCATTGATTGAGATTGTAATATTATTTTATTATCCGAGAGGTAATCATCTTCCAAAGTCCCCTTGAAACATCTCCCCCAGATCGCATCCAGGCGCGAAACCTAAATTCGTCATGAACTGCGAATCAACATCGATACCATCTGCGCAGTCTATAGATCCAAGTTCATCCAGAATAGCATCGTAATCCAGTAATTGGCTCGCCATGTTTGACTCGGGTGGTAGCGACCCTATTTGTCCGTTGACATGTGAAGTTTGTAGAGTGTGGAATGTGAGATTCGGTGTGAGTGTGTATAATGGTTGCGAAGCTGGACTGCGATCGGGATATCGTTGTCTGTCAAATGACAATGCTTGTTGTTCTTTTTGCCTCTGCTGCATACGACCCAACTCATGTTCCAGCTCCCCGGATGTGATGGGGACTGGATGATGTCCTGGATGAGAGGCGGTTGATGGATCATCCATAAATAATGGGCTAACGCCTGGACGATTGGCAAGATCCACTGAACTGGGTGTGTTTTGGTTGTTTTTAGATGCGTCCATTCCACCTTTCGGGTTCCACGTGTTTGTCAGCGTTTGTATCGTCGTGTTCCACTTTGTTAGGTCTTGTTCTTGCATTCGCGACGCATGTCCGTGGTGTTGAACTATTTCCATCAAAATGGTCACGATTGGTGGTGTTCCGCCAGGACCAAAGTTTTCCACGCACGATTCGACGACCTCTATAAAGTTGGACAATAGAGATGGTCGATGGCCAGGCACCAAGTCAAGGGTTATCGCCAGGAACATTCCTTGGAGTAGATATGCCGAAGGCACTCTTGGCGTGGATCCACCAAAGATCAACGAATTGCAAAAGGAAAAACGAGAGTCGAGGCTTTTGACGAGGTCGTCAGGGGTGATCTGGGCGTTGCCATGTAACCTTTGCTCCGCGCTGGCAACCCAAAGTCTACAGAAAGCGGATAATTGCTGAAACGTTGGAAGTGGTGATGCAGAGTCCGGCAATTGTGAATCTTCAGATGCCTTTCCAAAACCCGAGATAGAAGTCCATGGCTGGTTTAAATCCCGCTCTCCTGTCACAGAGGGGAGGGTATACCGGATGCCGGAAGTCGCCTGAGGTTGGCCGAGGCAAAGCGACGCCAGAGAGTCGAGAATGAAGCTCGCTGATAGAATCTTGACTTCGTTGTAATGTGAAGAAGCCTCGACACCCGGTTTGACTGGGTACATATGAGATGATGTGGTTTGGTGGTATAGAGCGAGGCGCGATGCGCGGCCTATTAATATCCATGCTGGCATCGTCCTCTTTTGGCCCAGCAGGATTAGTGACTGTAGAAGCATGGAGCTGACATGCGCAAGTTCAATTGATTCGTCGTCGGAGGGTACAAGTCGTCGAGCGGTCGCCAGGATGTCGTCGGGGGATCTCTCGTGTGACGCATCCTGATATGCGGACACTGCGAAAACAGCCCAAAGCTGAGCGTGCAGCGCGGAGGCAGAACCTGATTCGATGGTGATGCCGTCCGGAGGATACGTGAGTGCTGTCCGGGTGATAACCGCGGGCTCAACAATTGGTAGCCAGCAGTGTGTGTAAGAAACATAAATATCGACCAGTCGTTTCCAATTGGTAGGTAGTATCAGCTTGGTAGGTTGCGATCTGTCAAAGGGCTGTGGCGGGAGTGTCGGTGCGACTTGAATCGGTACTCCTGGTGATGGTCTACCATCGAACAGGTTGAGACCAGGCGGGGTGTTATCTTCCGACTCTGAATCATCGGCAGACGTCTCATTCTGTGGTGTCTTCTCATCCGACAACAATCTTCCAATATCCTTGTGAACTCGACTCTTGTTCCATCGTCGATATAATCGATGATTGGCTTTATCTTTCGTCGCAAGGATACGAGTCCCTTCTGCGCCATCATCCTGTGTAAGAAGTTGATGAAGAGCTCCCTCACAGCCAGGAACTTGTTCAAATAACCACGCAAGTGACAACTCAATTGTCCGAAGGTATCCTGTCTGAACACCTCTCTTCCGTGACGCAGGGGTATAAGAACATGGCCTGTTTTGTGCAGTACAAGTTCCACAATGAGGACGAGCACCATCACATTTCTCTCTTGCGGTGCGACATGAATCACATGCCAATGAGACTCTCTGACGTTTGACAGGAGCTGTTGCGGGAGCGCTGGAGGTATCCGCATCGTTCTCTCGTTTCTTTGGCGGCATGCTTGAATGTTTAATAGACAAAGCTACCTGTGCCGTGAGGGCAACAGGAGCATGACGGGATACAGCTTGTGAAGATGGAGTTTGGCGTTGTCCAATCAGTGAACCTCAGGTCAATACGTAATCTCTTCCATCAAGACCCATGACAATCTGAACCAACAAAGCGATAACTATGATGAGCGCGATGCGGGGAGAACCTAGAACCTGGGGAATATTCTGAGTTGAACTTTCCAGCCTCCAAGTCACAGTCCGAATCATCACCGATGTTATTGGACCGGAGGTTGAAGTGGGTCGGATAAACACTTTCCCGACCAATTGTGACTTGCATGCCCCGGATTTGCTGGTGGGGGATCTGCCGAGCACCCTGCCGCCCACCTCGAGACAGATTCTATTCTTTGACAAGCACTCACGTTTCTACTGATACCGACAATATACGACCATTTACTGTTACTACATACTACGATATTGTTATGGAGTCACTCTAGACACGGTCAACGCATACAAAATGGCTGGTGTCAAGAGGTCTATCGGGTCAATGCTTGGCCATGAGGATGCTTTGTTGCGACCAAACGGTCATGCCCGTCCAAGAAGTCATTACGATGGAATAACCCGTGATAACCTCGATCCCTCAACACCAAAGTCACAGTCCTTTAGACTTGGCGACGCGCTTCACTCACAAACTCCGTCTCAAAACACATCACAGCCCAATTCGAGAGCGGCCTCTCACTCCGTGGGTCCAAATGGAGACCAACAGGATGGCCTCACTCGTACACCATCTCCCACCTTTCCTCCCTTGACTGGGCAGGTTCCCGACTTTATTCCAGATGCGTCAATGATTCTTGTTGGAATGCGCGGTGCTGGAAAGTCGACATTGGCGGTTATGGCTTCGTCTGCTATGGAGAGAAAGGTTGTTGACATGGAACAAGCTTTCCAACGGGTTACCGGTTTATCCAGTGCTGCTTATAAGGCTGAGCATGGATCTGCTGAATGTTATAAGCAACAAGCCAAGGTTTTGCAAGGTGCTTTACAACGGCATTCTACTGGTTGTATCTTGGTTTGCTCATGGATGGAGAGTCGAGTTCAGAGTCTACTACGAGAGTTTGCGTCAAGTCATCCTGTCATTCACATTGTTCGAGACGCCGATGCGATTCAGAATCACCTCAGATTTCGTGATCCGACAAAGATACGAAACCTTCTCGATGTCAGCAATGCTATCTTTAGGTCCTGCACAAACTTTGAGTTCTTCAACGTCTCCGAGAAGGCGAGTAAATCATTACTTGCAAGAACATCAATGTCGGAGAGGTCACCAGCGCCTTACTTGACACTCAAACATGTCGAGCGACACTTTCTCAAGTTTCTGTCGCTGGTTTATCCTGCAGGAACAATACCATTTGCCGATTCAGCCTTTCCACTATCGAGAATTCCTACCGAGGAACGCAATTTTACATACGCCACTTCGATTCCCCTAACGGACATCCTCGGCGAGGGCGTGGAAGTTGAGGAGCATGTCAAGGGTGCAGATGTGGTACAGATCGTCGTGCATGATCTGGCAGACCACGCTGAACATGGCACCTTGACATCTGAGACCAGCGCAAAACTACTTGCAGATATCACCAAAGGCATCGGGGTTGTGAGAAGAAGTACCATCCTTCCAATAATCCTTCACCTCTTCCTCCCTCACACAGCAACTGACGAGATTCTGCGTGTGTATCTCGATCTCGTCCACCACGCCGTTCGACTGGCGCCTGAAATGATGACTGTCGACCTTCGACTCGAAGATGTACACATCTCACGTATACTCTCAATTCGCAAAAGAACAAAGATAATTGGCAATTGTTTTATCATCTCAGATCCACCAAGCTGGGACTCTCCAATGTGGATGTCTTGGTACAAGAAAGCCAACAATTTGGGCTGCCATATTGCAAGATTAATACGACCCGCGACATCAATCGACGACAACTTCAGCATTAACCATCTAAAAACATCAGTTGCCGCGCTGCAAGGACCCAAGATTCCTCTTATTGCTTATAATTCCGGAAACCTTGGTCGCAACTCTCAAGCTCTTAATCGCATTTTGACCGTCGTTCGACCAGACTCACTTGAACGAGTCAACCCGAAACCACCTATTACACCTACCATCACCGCAACTGGCGCAACAAAAGCTCTTTTCTCTTCATTCATATATGACCAAATGAAGCTTTACGTCTTTGGAGCCAATGTCAGCTACAGTTTGTCGCCAGCAATGCATACAGCCGCGTTAAAGGCATGCGGACTGCCCCATACATACGAACCAGTATCCTGCTCGTCACTTCGGGGTATCAAGCATTTAATCGAGGATCCTGAGTTTGGCGGTGCTTCAGTCGGACTCCCATTCAAGGTCGAAATCATCACCTTGACTCATTCACTCAGTAACCATGCTAGGGCCATTGGTGCTGTCAATACTCTTATCCCCATTCGCTTCTTAAACGAAGACGGCACGATACCAACAGGCGCTGCTTTTCTCGATAGTGTCAATCGCGCAGGCCCGATTAAAGCTCTATATGGCGAGAACACTGACTGGATTGGCATTCGCGCTACTATTCGACGTGGTCTATCACCCGCCAATGCTGTGGTGTCAAGTACATGTGGTCTTGTCATTGGAGCAGGCGGTATGGCTAGAGCTACTGTCTACGCTATGCTTCAAGTCGGTATCAAGAATATTGTTATATATAACCGCACACGCAAGAACGCCGAAAAGATGGTGTCGCATTTTACACAATTACTACAGAGAAAAGACTTGGGTGTTTTGAGTGCAGAGAGCGAACACTCTCGTTTTCACGTTATTGGGTCACTGGAGGATCCTTGGCCGACAGAATACCGTCTACCCACAGTCATTGTCTCCTGCATCCCTACACATCGCATCGGAAATGTTCCCACACCAGAACTCACACTACCGGACGAATGGCTAGAAAGCCGCACTGGTGGTGTCGCGATTGAGTGGGGATACAAGACACTAGACACGCCGTTTCTAACACAATTCCGAAAACAAGCACATCGAGGATGGGTGAGCATGGATGGTCTGGACATGTTGCCTGAACAGGGTTTTGCACAATTTGAGCTGTTTACTGGGAGGAGAGCGCCGAGAAGGCTAATGAGAAGGATGGTCTTTGAGGCATATCCTGTTGAAGAGGGTAAATCGAATTTTGAAGAGTTGCAGCCGAGATTACGGTCGTTGGATGAACAGGAAACATAGCGATGAATTGACAATGCATTTATGACAGGTTACCACTGCTTCGCCTAGCTTGACTGCGATGGGTTCATTGAAGCGCGGCATAAGCGCTACTAGCCTTGGCAAACCATTGGTTTTCCAGATGATCATGGTATGGGAATGAAAATTCAATTGCCCTTCACTTTATCTGGTCAGCCCTCGTAAGCTGACCCGATCGTCCCGTAGGTATATATACAGTCATTAGCTTATCACAGCGATATGTAGAACATTCTCTATCGCATATACGACAAGGCCATCGTATCAACTCGCCATATCAATTCACGGTATCATACTCATCATGTCTCTTAGAGCCACAATCGAGTAAACCGCCAAAGCATTCTTCTCCGCCTACGTAGAATCCGGTGAAGCAAACGATCCAGCCCTCATAAACCGGGACGTCCACGAATCCTGCAAACGATTCTACCGTCCCATCTCCCTCTGCGACTTTTTCGGCGTGCCACCAGACTGGTCGCACGATAACAAAGCCTACGAAGCTGGAATCGCGAATAACCTTACCAAGGGATCACTCAAGACATGTGAGGTGGAGAACTTGACGATTGATACTGAAGCGCTGAGGGCGGCTGCTACGACTAAGTCGGATATGGTGTTTAAGGATGGGGAGACGCTTGTTATGGAACATGCGTGGATTTTGGACTTTAGCGAGGATGGAGGGAAGGTTGTTAGGGTGGTGGAGTTTTGTGATCAGTTGGCTACGAGGAGGATGGTTGGAAAGGTTTACTCAGAAAAGTTTGGGAATGATGCTTCATAAACAGCTCTCATCTCTGGAAAGTCTTTATATATATCTCCAGAATGTGCATCGTCTGAAATATCTCAGTTTACACCTCGGCCTGAATCAGCTCTTCCACGCATGATACTTGCGATAGATATCCTTCCTAAAAACATCCTTCAAATCCGTCGCTGTCTGCGTAACTTCTCCATCCAGAGGAATTCTCGCATTCACAGCACCAATACCGCAAAGGTCATTCTTCCTATCCACGAACCATGTTATCGTGAGTCCTCCTCCCCAGCTCATGGTGTTAGCACCGTACCACCCCTCCACATCCTCCAGTGTGACAACACCTCCGAGACCGTGACCGAGTTTTGCGTCTTCGATACCGACTTTAAAGAATGAACCCATGGGGCTGGAGAGCATGGCTTGATGGCCAGCTGTTGCTTCAGGCGTAAGATGGTGTTGGAACATATCCTCCACGGTCTCCTTCTTGAGAATCTTTCCATCATTGGAAAGGAGCGAGTGTAGGATCTTGATGTAGCTTGTGGCAGACATAGCTAAACCGTGACCGCCGAAACATCCTGCTGATCGACCGTTGATAAAAGCACCTTGACCCATGATAGCATAACCAAGACCTTCCGGATCACCAGGGTTAAGATCAACAAGCCGCTCTCTCAAATCCTCTCTTGTAACAGGATAGAACTGTGCATCGTTCTCACAACCGAGCGGCTTCAGGATTTTGTCATGGAGTCGTTTTTCCAAAGTTTCGCCTGTGACACGCTCGGCGATTCGACCTGCCCAGTCACAACCGGATCCATACATCCATCCCTCTCCAGGGTGGTGCGTGAGAGGATAGATGAAAGTGTCTTCCACCGTCTTTTTCGATTCATCTTTTGGTTTGAATTTGGCGCTCCACTTTCCAATCTTTGGATCAAGAAAATCATAAGGCGTCCCAGCACTATGCGTTAGAAGCATTTTTAACGTAATTACCCTCGCAGGTTCTTCAAAAATAGGTTCATCTCCCTCCCAACCCGTCAAAACCTTCTTCTCAGCCAGTTCAGGAGCAATCTTTGATAAATCTCCGTCGAGAGTGAGAAGACCTTCTTCGACACATTGCAGAGCAGCGATACTGGCTGGAAGTTTGGAAGCTGAAGCAAGAGTGAGAATATCGTCTAGCTTCTGAGGTACTTTCTCGCCGGAGAGAAGTGTTCTTTGTCCGAAGACTTTGTTGTAGATGAAGTCTCCTTTGGTGTTTGTTGCGCAGATGACGCCGCCGTTGATTTTGCCGGCGTCAATGGCTGCCTGGAAGGCGTCTTCTATGGTTGACATTTTGATAGGGTATGATCTGAGTTGAGTGAGAGTAGGTGATCTGAGGGATGAGCTTAGAATTCGGAATCGTGATAGCATGATATGAAGAGGTTATTTATGTTTCGTGGTTCATGTAAGACGATGTAATAATCCTCCGAGAGGAGGTGGGTCACGTGTGATGGGCGTCGCATTCTCAACCAGTCAGAGGGCTCGCTTTCCGAGCAGACGAATGAAATTCTGTCCCAGAGTATTCGGCCAGTGAGTCAAGATATCTACACTAGATCGACCGACAGATCCGAATGGTGATCATTTTAGTCAAGATGGGGACCTTGCTGGATACTGATATGTTTGCATTGAACTTGATCATGATTACTCAGGCCAATTGGAATGTTGAACTAGCTAAAATGTATCGGGTTCGTCTTGGTGACGAGACATCGATACCTCGAGCTCTTCTGAATCTATATATGCAATGAATATCTATGAACTGGTCTCATATCTACTCCTCCCTCTAATCCTCTCCCCATAAACATAAAAACACCAAGGAATAGGCGCCATAAGAAACGTACACCCAGCCAACAAAGTCGTAGCCCAACCAGCCCCCAACTTCTCGAACATTTGCAACGCAAACAAAGGAAACGCAAAACTGAGAGAATACCTACTCAACATCATGGCTCCAGAAGCAGAAGCTCCATACAAAGGTCCATAAGCATCCAACATGAAAAGATTCACCCCGGCGTAAATCAAAAGACATGCCAACATCGTCATTCCTTGAAATATGATGGGAAGGATGTAGTGCAGGCGGTATTCGGCTGTCCAGCCTGCTATTAAGAGACTTGCGGGCAGGAGGAAGGATCCTATCATGGAGGATATGAGACGGTTTTCGGGTGGTAGGGGTGTATCGTGAGTTTGATTCCACCGGATGAGTCGTTTCTGATAATACGAGAAATCGATGAGAACAAATGGTGCACAGGCGAGAAGTGTACCAAGAGTAATCCCAAGATACGAAAGTGACTCTCCCGTCTTGTCGAAATCGTAGTAAATTCTGAAAATCCAAGGAACAGATATGATGAACGTATACAACAAACCAAAGATGAAACCGTTGTATAAACTAACCAACGTAACAATCGGTTCTGTAAAAAGCATATGAAGGGGTCGGAGAATAAGAACCGTAAAGAAATGTCGGATGGTTCTCGAGACGGATGTTTGCTGAGAGGAACTGTCGCCCATGCCCATTTTGATAGCTCTTCTCTTCAAAACTACTTTTTTGTATGTTTCCTTTGTGAAGAGGACGGGGATGTAGAGAGCGCATGTGACGATTACTGCAATCCACTGCGTCCATCGCCATCCAAGTCCTCGTTCGACGAATCCTCCGACAAGAGGTCCAACGGCTGCTCCAAGTGAGGGAATTGAATAGTATATCCCCAGCGCAGCGCCTCGATATTGCGGAGCGCAGTAATCCATGATTGTAGCAGATGTGTTATTCACATTCGGCGAAGCAAACATGCCTGCAAAGAAGCGACAAACACACAAGGCCGTAATATCCCTCGCGAATCCCGACCCGAGAAGGAATGCAAGGAATATCGGCGTCGTAGCGACATACACAGTTTTTCTTCCATAAGTCTCAGATAAAGGTGCACCAACAAGTGGCCCACACGCCATGCCGAGGTTATACAGCGACAAAGGCAAGACAGACTCTATTCGTCCTTGGTCGAATTCCTGTCCGACGGAGGTTTGGGCTGGTGCGTATATTGCGCCTGCGAAACATGATGCCCATGCGAGAGATGTTATTGATGCGATACTGAGGATTTTGACAGCTGGAGAGAAGTTGCGTGGGTTGTCTGGATCGGAGGGACCTGTCCAGTCGTATGTTGCGTTGATGCGTCTTATTATTTGCTGGGTCTCGGGGGAATGATTATGGTTTGTTATATGAGCCATTTCTGGCGGGTTTCTGGGAAAGGATGCCATGATTGATGTTGGTTTGGTGAAGATCGGAGAGTGACGTGCGATATATGTAGCGTAGTCGTTCGGCGAGTTGTTCTAGTTGCCGAGAGAAGGTTACAGCTAAGACCAATCTCGGAATGCCCTCGACGTTCGTGAAACTCGTTGATCTTAACAAATCAATTGTGTTTTTACCTCAATTCGTCTCATTTAGAGAGAATGATGGTAGATAGATGGGGCAAGTAGTTCGGAATGGCTCAGCATGAACTTCAACACCAGTCGAGGGTAGCCTAGGATCTGTACACATATCAAACATGGCATTATTTCTATCGCATCGCTCAATTGCTCATAGTTTATCCCAATTAGAGAATTCAACGGTAATTTAATCCACGTGATGTAATGCGAAGGGCGTCGGTGAAATGGCTGTGAAGCCGACGCTTACCAATGATCTGCACTGGAGAACCCATACCGTCACCACCATGAACCTTCAGGACAATACACAAAATATTTTGTTAACTCATGTTCATATATATCAAAAAGCAATGCACGCTACCAACCCAATGCGATTCCCCTACAACTTGCTCTCCGCCCGTTGAGCAACCTTCTCAGCAATAGCAACATTCACCTTCTCAACCGGCAACTCCTCCAAAGTCTTGCCCGTCCAGTACTTATCCTGTTCCAAACCCTGATATATCAACGCTTCAGTTCCCAAAATAACATTCCATCCCTTATCCTCCGCTATAGCACCAAGTCTTGTAAAAGGTGTAGGGTTGTAGCACATCTCCAGAATAGCACCCTTCTCTGGCTTGTCGAGGAACGTCTCTGTAACTGCGCGCGCTTGGATCTCTTCTTGTGTCTCGGGTTCAAAGTCTGGTACGCATGCGACGATGGCGCCTGGGGCGGGAAGAGATGATGCTTGGCTTGTGGTCTTGACGTGCAAGAGACCTTCGCCGTAGCCGCGTGCTGCACAGTCTGCAATGACGGCTTGGACTTCTGATTCGTCGCGGTTGACGAGATATATCGTCGTAGCCTGCATCTTCTTTCGAAGAGCATAAATAGCACTTCTCGCTGCACCTCCACCACCAACGACGAGAGCAGGCTTGTTGTGGAATACAGCATCAGGATCTGTGATGTTCTGGTAGAATGACTCGCTGATACCAAGGACATCCGTGTTTGCGCCACAGAAGATTCGACGACCATCCTTCTCACGAATATACAGCGTATTACAAGCACCGACATCACGGCACTCTTCTGTAAGTTCATCCAGGTAAGGAACGATGGCGACTTTGTTTGGCATAGTAACTGAGGCGCCTGCAAACCCCGATTAGTAAGAGTTCATTGACACAATTGATGAGAGAAACTTACCGTAAAAGTCGGGATGTTGGGCCAATTTTAAGAATGCAGGAATATCAGCTGAATCAAGTCGCACTTGACCCCAGTTGAGTCCCAAATCTTGATAAACAACATTATGAAGGAATGGTGAGAGTGAAGCTGTGAGTTTTTTGCCGAATAGGTAGCCGTGGCGTTCAAGTTGGGAGACTTGGTTTGATTGGAGGGAGTCCCCTGAAGGGTAGGTTGTTTGTTGTTGTTGGACAGACATTGTGAGATGTGGTGAGAGGTATGAGATGAGATGAGGCGAAATACATGAGATGGTGATCTGAGATGAATGCGGCTCACGTCTTCAAGTACTCAACCATTCAAAGAAAAGATAATCACCAAAATCCCGGTTAGAGGGTTTTTCCAGTGAATATCCACCCACTAACTCCTGCTACCGATCTCTTCATCCGGGGTGCGTGTACTAACGTCTTAGCAAGCAATGCCGAGTTCTCCACCGGGTAAAAGCTTAACCATAGACCCCCGGGTAATCGAAACACCAAGAAACATGATGTAAGTCAGATCCAAGTACTGGAAATATTCTGGAAAAACGTATTACAAGGTAATAAACGGTTGCTACCGGCTGATGATGACGGAAATCGTACGGAAAAGATGCGCATCTCGATTAAACGGGGTTTCAAATTGGATGAATGATCTATCTATATAGCATTCATCTCACATGGTATGGATATCTCCGATGTATATATCTCGATCGAATAGCCACAACGTCAGAGGTAGATTATACAGCTTCATATAGCAATTCATCTCTCACACCTATCACACTATCACCACACTATATTGACACTCCATTCACATACTCATCATGCACAAATCATCTATATGCACAATGTCCTTAGGACGCTCCTTTGCAGGCCACTCCCTCCCCACCAAACTCACAGCCGCTGCCCAAAACTCCTTCTCCGGCATAGAAGTCTTTTACGAAGACCTCGTTGACCTCTCAAAATCCCTCCCAGGCGGCGCCACCCACGCAAACCAACTCACAGCCGCCCGCACAATCCGCGACCTTTGCGAAGCCCGTAACCTAGAAATCATCTGTCTGCAGCCATTTATGCACTTTGGCGGTTTAGTAGACCGAGAAGCACAAGAGAAACAATTCAGTGAACTGGAGCATTGGTTTGATCTCGTTAAAGCGCTAGGTACCGACTTGATATTGTTTCCTAGTAGTTTTCTCCCTGAGGAACAAACTTTTGAGGATGATACTGTTCTTGAGGGTGATCTTTTGAGGGCGGCTGAGATGGGTTTGATGCAAGAGCCCCCTGTGAGATTCGCTTTTGAAGCGCTATGTTGGGGAACGAGGATTAATACCTGGGAGCAAAGCTGGGATATGGTCCAAAGAGTTGATCGACCCAACTTTGGCATGTGTATCGACAGTTACAACATCCTCGGTCGAATCTATGCAGACCCAACGACACCCTCTGGAAAGACATCCGATTGCGAGAACGTTACGAAAGAGTCCATCAAAAGGCTTCTAACAGTGGATGTCAACAAGGTCTTTCTGTTACAAGTGGCTGACGGCGAGAAACTCAATGCACCGCTCGACACAAAGCATCCCTTTTATAACGCTGAGCAACCAGCGAGGATGAGCTGGTCTCGTAATGCGAGGTTGTTTTACGGAGAGACCGAGTATGGCGCGTATCTACCATGCAAACAACTCCTACGCACTGTTGTGCAAGGACTTGGGTTTGATGGTTGGTTGAGTTTTGAAGTATTCAACAGACGGTTGACGGATACTGATGCTGTTGTGCCGGAGGAGTTGGCGAAGAGAGCTGCTGCTTCGTTTGAGAAGATGAAAATTGAACTGGGATTGAGGACTGAGGAGACACCGAGATTGCAAGCGAATCTGTAACACCCATTTTAGCATAATACCATAGATCGTATTCATCTATAAAATCCATTGATCCGTATATCATTCATTTTATTCCTTTTTAACCCATCTGCTTTCTTATATCACAACTCAATGCCATTCAATTACAGCTTCGTCCTCAACTTCAAATGCTTAACAGCATACTCAATAGCAGCAGTATACCCAAAAACTCCCAATCCACAAATAACTGCCTCCGCCTTATCACACAGATAACTATGATGTCTAAAAGCCTCTCTAGCATGAACATTCGTAATATGAACCTCCACAAACGGAATATCGACTCCAACGAGTGCATCTCGTATGGCGACGCTGGTATGTGTGTACGCGCCCGCGTTAATGATAATCGCATCGACATTGCCTCTCGCTTCGTGAATGCGGTCCACTATCGCGCCCTCCGAATTGGCTTGGAAGGATTGTAGAGTGGCTGAGAGGTTTGATGCTTGTGCTGCTGCATCGTTTTCGACATCTTTGAGGGTTGTCGAGCCGTAGAGTTGAGGCTCTCTTGTGCCCAAAAGATTGAGATTGGGACCGTTGATGAGGAGTAGACGACGAGACATGATTGATGGTGTTTACAGTATAATGTTGCAGTACACCTCAATCACCATTCACCATCATCTCATACTTATGAACCACTCCGCAAAAGTCTAATTCCGTCATGTCTTGCATAATCGGCACCCACGAACCATACCCCAAGCTTGCCCAAGCCACCCCGCAAGCCCGGTTAAAGCTTCATCCCCAGTCCCCGCCATCGATCTGCTTACCCCACGGCGCATCTGATCCCGTAGTGCGGAACAAATCTGGGGGACGGTTCAAGACGGCTTTCACTAAATAAAACAGATTCTGGATCTCTTGTTGACTTTATCCATCAGTATCTCCTAAATTTATCCAGGAAAAACGATTGCAAACATGGATAGCCAAGAGTTGACCGAGATTTATGCGTTTGCCGTGCAATTGGGCAAGGATGCGGGAGATATGCTCATGGCTGCAGCCCAGCGCCGCATTGATGGGAATGGGGCGTCATCCAGTACCGTATCATATGTTGAAAAGGAAAACTCGGTAGACCTGGTAACCAAGACTGATAACGGTTAGTTGTTCGTTTCTCTTTTGAACGTTGCTAAGTATTAGATGTCGAAAACTTTATTCGTACAACGGTCCTCAGTAAATATCCTGACCATGGGTAAGTGGTATCTGTTGTTGCAGCGACTCGTCGCACCGCTAACCTTTTAGCTTCCTTGGAGAAGAGTCATACTCGGCCGGCGCATCGCGAGATTACCTTGTTGAAGATAAACCAACATGGGTAGTCGATCCTCTCGATGGGACAGTCAACTTTACACATCTGTTCCCCATGTTCTGTGTGTCGATCGCTCTTGTTGTCAAGGGTGTTCCGGTCATTGGCGTCATCAACGCTCCGTTCCTCCGCCAATTCTTCTCATCATGCACAGGTCAAGGCGCATGGCTGAATGAGACCCAACGACTACCGCTCATCCGAAACCCGATCCCTCCTATGCCCGCCAATGCCCCCAGCGGATGCACACTCTCATGCGAGTGGGGCAAGGACCGAAGAGATATCCCAGATGGCAACCTGTCGCGAAAGGTTGAGTCTTTCGTCACACTAGCGACAGAGAGGAGTGGACGGGGAGGAAAGGGTGGAATGGTTCATGGTGTGCGAAGCTTGGGAAGGTATGTTACCGAGTTCAATGCGCCGAGCGTTTTGCTGACTTTGTAGCGCAACCTTGGATCTGGCCTATACAGCTATGGGATCCTTGGATATTTGGTGGGAAGGTGGCTGTTGGGAATGGTATGTCGCAGCGAATATTGCTTTCGGTCGTCGATGCTAACATCAACAGGGACGTCGCTGCTGGTTTCGCCATTCTCGAGGAAGCTGGTGGTCTTGTCACAACTGCCAACCCGCCCAGCGATCCCGAAACCGCCGATATAACAAGAGCGCATCTTGGTGGTCGACTATATCTAGCCATACGGTAAGCAATTCCTCAAAAGACATGATCCATACTAACTTAATCAGACCTGCAGGTCCATCAGAAACAGAAGACGGTCGCCAAACACAAGAACGAACAGTGAGAGAGGTTTGGAAGCGAGTTCGAGAATTAGATTACAAGCGACCGGGTGTATAATCCCGAATATCAATACAGTCAAACTTTCATACGCACCATGCACCCTGTAAAACAGTTTGTTTATAGTTCGTCCAACTCCGACATACGAGACACAAATTCCTCCTGTAATCGCCTCAAATACCCTGGGAGAGTCTCCTTGTTGCCTGACTCTTTGGCTTGTTTCAAGGCATCCTGAAGATTGAGAATTAGCTTCCGTCTGGCAATGAGTCTTGACGATTCAGAGCTACGTTTGCTCGCTTCTCGCTTCGTTCGGATGTCATTCGCTATTTCTTCTGCTTTGTCAATAAAGCTTTGAGGTAGTCCAATCGCTCTAGCCAGGTTGATACCGTAATGCTCTTCACCTGTGATGGCACCTGAAGTGGCCTTGTAGAGCATCGTAATATGCGGCAGTCCTTCTTGTGTTGTAGAACTCGTGGCCGCAAGATGCAGATTGAGAACTCCAGGTCGATCCGACAGAACCTTTGTCAAGTCGATAAAGTGAGTCGCAAACCATACAGATGCTCTGCTTTGGATCAATGCTTCAGACATTGCAATCGCAATAGCCAATCCGTCACGGTTACTTGTAGCTCGTCCCAGCTCATCAATAATTGCCAAGCTCTTGTCGTCAATGTTCCTGAGAATGAAAGCCATTTCGCGCATCTCAACAGAGAAAGTGGAAAGGTTGCTCTCAATACTGTCGTCAAGAGAAACACGAGCAAAGATGTTTTGAATGATAGGAAACGCAGCATATTCTGCAGGCACATAAGAGCCAACTTGTGCCATGATTTGAAGTAATGCGACCGCTCGGATGTAGGTACTCTTGCCGCTCATGTTGCACCCAGTCACAATATGGAAGCAATACTGCTGTGTGGAATAATAGTCGTTTGGTACAAAGTCGCCATTCATGTTCTAACAAATTAGCCACCGTCAGCAGTCAGGAGTTCAACTCACCTTGTCAAGAACAGGATGTCGAGCTCCCTTTAATGCCAGTGTGCTGCTGATATCGGGCCTGACATAGTCCCTGGTGCTAGCTAGCTGCGCAAATGATGCTATCATGTCAACCAATGCAATCGACTCGCAGACTCGAAACAGGTGCGGTACGTCGTCTTGCAGATCCTTCATGAGTTCCTGTATTACACAGTCACTCCGAAGGACAACCTCGCTGGAGGTATCGTGAAGTCTAAGGTTGAGCTTCACCAAGTCAAGGGTTTGACATTCAATCTTGTCCTTCTTTTGTACCACATTGATCAAGATATCTGGAAGAGGTTGATCTTCATAGTCGGCGGCTTGTAAGCGCAACCAATACTTGCGGCCGTTATCATATCGGAGAGTGGCACCAAGCTTCAAGTTTTCTGGCAGTTGTTAGCCTAGAATTGGACATCAGCATGTAGACCCACCATTCAGCTCGTCGAGATGCAAGTGAATTTCCTCAGTAAGCTCTTTATAGGTCTGACGCGCGACATCGAGCATCCCATTGATGCCAGCTTTGACTGCAAAGGTTCTCTGGTTGCGTAGATCCAGTGCAGACTTCATGTAAGTGACATCGGCTTCAATGGTTTCCCGAATTCTGATGAGGGTAAGGCCTGTGCTTTCTGGACAACATCGTCCTCGAATCTTGACAAGCAGACTAGACATGGCAGGTCCCAGTGCAGTGTAGAGTTCTGGGATTGCTTCTAGGAAGCTTTTGATCATCAAAACTTGGTTGATTTGTTCTTCAACCTTTTGAACATTGGCATTTATGGGTACAATGATCAACTGTTGCTCTTAGTATGGATCCAGAGTGCAATTACCAACCATACCTTGGTCAGAACTTTCTCGATGTCAAGGAAGAGCTTGAGGGCTGTCTGTGTCAGTGATTTCCTTGCCCATGTGCTCGAGACATACCCTTGCGAATCTCTAGAAACATCTCCTCATTGGTAGTCAACTCTTCAAGCGCATCATATCGGGTGAGTATGAACTTATGAGTGTTGGTCGGTGGTTGGAGAATATTGCTTCGAAGTAGCCTAGAGCCCATTGGGGTTGACGTGTGGTTCAATAAGCCAAACAACGAGTCTTTGGACTTTGAGTTGCGTAAGTTCTGCATGATCTCGAGAGATTGGATTGCCGATATATCGATCAACATGGTGTCTTCGGAAGGTCGATATTGTATTCGAAGCGAGTGTGGCACAAAGTTGATGTTGAACTTCTGGTGGATGTACTTCATAGCCTAAACGTTATTAGTATCGTGAAGAATGCCAGACGAGTGAACTTACTGCTGCGAATGAACTGATGGCATAGAATTTGCCCTGAGTAGCCACTTTCAATGGTTCAATATCACCTTTGAATGCTAGATTGTGAATATGCTCTATTCCCTCTGTCTCAGACCATGCAGAACGTTCCATTGCATCGATTTGAGTATCAGAAACGAGTTGTTGTATCAGAGAAAACAGGGTACTTGGATTGTTTGGGGGACAAGCTGTTGACATGAAGAGTACACGAGAAGGGGAAGACAACTGAATCTGGTGAACCGTCTTTCTGTAAGACTTGTTGTCACAAATCTGAGTGATGATAACTTCACCGATAGAAACATTGACAAAGGCTATCCCCACTGAAGGGGCAACTCCTCGAGACTCACTAACTGCACAAACAACATCATGTGCCTCGCTTTGTCCCAAAATTGAGGATACTCCTGTATTGCGTGATCTTCTTCCGGACGATGTTCCTGGCCTGGATGGGGGGCGTGCAGTGGGAGGTCTCGAGATGGTCGTTACAGAGGGTGAATAGCCCGAATAACCACTGCTGATCTGTGGTCTTCTGCTGCGATAGCCACTTGATGTCGCGGGGTTGCCAGGATAGTCTAGGCTACTGTTTCCCTGGAAGTAGCTCGAAGAGGATCGACTGGAAGTTCGAGGTGGGATCGAGCGAGACATGTTGACATTCGTTCACTTCGATGAGCTGTAGGGTAGCATGTAACACAGGTATAGCAAGAGGATCGTATTCCACCATCCCCAATACAATTTGCATTTGATGATTGTGGAAGAAGAAAAATTTGAAGCATTTCAGAGCCAGCGATGAGCTCCTTCCCGGGCAGCGATGGGCATTTCGGAGGTAGCCTGCTCCTTCCTTGACTGTGACCTCAGACTCATGCTGGTGTGTTGAGGAAAGAGCCCCCAGGACGAAGACCATGCCAGACTAAAGCAGATATCGCAGTAAATGGACCATTGAAGCGCATCAACGCGTGCGAGTCTCTAAGATGCAGAGTCACAGTTTTACTTGTGAGACTTGTTCCCCTCATGGCACATTCAAGCTTTATTTGTAACAAATCACCATTACTGTCACCACCACAAATCACAAGAATAAAATTTCTACACCAACCAAGTCGGCATAACGTTTTAGGGTATAAAAGTTTAAAGTCTCTGTTATTTAACGTTGAGAAAATTTTGTACATGCAGTCTACAAACGTTCTTCACTGTCGATCACCGTTATGAAGGTTTAGAAGGTCATGCCATGCACCTTCGATGACAGATTTGATCATTCAAAGTCCTCATTTCCTAACTTGGATTTCATTTCAGATATCCATTACTTTTCACAAACTGCCTCGTCAAACTCATCATTCGCAGCTGCCTGCTTGTCACCAGCTGTGAGGGTATCAGAAACAATCGCGGAAAGTAAGAGTGACGAAATAATTCCGTCATCTTACGCTTGCTCAGACGAGCACTCTATTTTGGCAGTTCCACCCGCAGACATTTCCCAACTGGCAGGTACAAGCCTGTCACTACCGATATTTAACCGTCAGACATCCTCACCTCCCCGCGATTACGCGGCTCACATCTGACACCGGTTAACGCCCAAATCCACACATCGTTGAGACCCGAACGCGTTGATCGCGTCGAACTCATATATATATCCAAATATATCATGTTCGGCATTCTTGAGGCAGTCACAGTACCCCATTCGGGGATCTTCAACAGCTATGAGGAACTTTTCAAGGAACTCAGTGACCGCATGGAAAAGGAGGGTTACAAAATTGTCAAAGCTAGATCCCACCGAGGAAAGGTGGGCGGTGCAGACATCCCAGGAAACGACATAGTACGATGCGATCTCGTTTGCGATCGAGGCGGCCGGCCGTATCGCTGTATGGCGACGAAACACAAGACAACTACCAAGAAGACCGATTGTCCTTGGAAAGCAAAGGCTGTTCATCGAAAAACTATGGGTGGATGGGTTCTTACAATCACCTGCGACCAACACAATCACGAACCAGGCACTCCCGAACCACCGACTCCCGAACCCGAAAGCGAAGACGGAAACAATATTGTTGAGGACCTCGAAGCTGATCAAAGCTTGGATGCGGATGGCACACCACTGCTGACTTGGGGAGATGATGCACCTCAGCCTGATGTCGAAACTTCAGCTGCTATTAGGGTTGCAGGTGTCTCCGAGGCAGTTCTTCGTCTGACTGGTGATACCTTTCATCAATTCAAGAGCGAATACCGAAAGATGGCACATCCAGATCGAGTTAGCATCTTGTCAAATCTTCAACTTCGCATCGCCGCCATTTATGCTGTCCAGAATGAGGATTTGCAGAGACAAAAGCGCCAAGAGGCCCAAGACAAGCGACATCGGCAGATTGAAGAGACCAAGAGACAAAATTCGGTAAAGCAACGAGCTAGGCAGCGTCGCCAACAGGTTGAGCAGAATCAGCAGAATCAGCAGCAGCAAATGCACCATATTCAGCAACAACCTTTACCACAGACGCCTCAGGTTCAACCTCAAGTTCAGCCACAAGCTCAGTCACAGGCTCAATCACAGGCTCAAGCGCAAGCCCATGCTCAAGCCCAGGCACAGGCTCAGGCACAAAATCAGATGATGCTGCAGTCACAACTGTATCTTCCGCAGAATTCGCAACCGACTCCAATTCCTGTGCCTAATATGGATATGCCACAGTTCCAGCATTACGTCGGTCCCCCTAAGAGGATGCGCGGACGGCCATCACAGGGTGGCTAGGAGCAAATTGGATCTACCCGATCTTCCCCAGAGAGGCCAGCCGACATCAGTGTCTGGGCCAGACCAGGAAAAGGATCTGTCATTGTACGCCGAATCGGAAAGGACACTAAACGGCAACGGGCTGAACAAGATTACAATGTATCTTATGCGGAATCCCCATTCAACACCCATCCCTATGTGCAAAGTGGATTTGCCGAGAACCATATCAATCTCCTTGAAATCATCCGCGGAGGACTATCAGAGGGTGATCAGAGCCAGAGACTCTCAAATTAACTGTACCCGTCTTTTTTGTTATTGACTGATGAGTCAGAGGTTTCGCAAACTGAAAAAAGAAGAATAGGGAGTATGGAGTATGGACGAAGAACATGGTAAATATTGCTACTCTGAGGATGGCATGGCGTTATAAAGAAATGGCGCTAGGAATTGTATTTTAGGTGTTTCGAGTTCAGCATGACTCTAACGGAAACAAGGGTATGGAACAGTCTGTTATCAAGATAGAATGTCAAGCATTAAGAGGCCTGTGCAAAAGTATAACTATTCAAGCTGCAGAGCCAGGTGACAGAAATTGTCCTTGGTGGCTTGGGCTGCCAAAATAAAGTAGCCCAAGTGCTAGACGAAGATCATGTAATATGACTAAATCATTTCGTCTCATCCTTTCAGCAGCCAATTCTTCTGACGACAGACTAAACTATTTTGTCAACGCCACTCAATTCTGCTGCTCCAAGATAAGATTTGGCTGCAGCTTCTCACCGCCAAAATTTTCTAGATTTTGCCAATTGCCCCACTATCCCGCTCTGAATTTCCACTGCGAAAGTACAGCACGACAATATTCACGATGGCGACAATTGTACCTCCCCCGTCCAAGCGACAGAAGAGAGAGGATCTCGAGAGGACGTCGACTCAGCAGGATGTTACGACGTTCGCTACTGGGCCTGCTGGCTCCTTCAAGGCGAGGTTCCTTGATGGGGATGGAAAGCAGATGGCCGATGTGATTGAAGTTCCTCTCGCAGATGCTTCGGAGAAGAATTTGTCGCTATTATTGAATACACTGCTTGCGAGGGTATGTTTGAACAAATGCGCCGGGAATTGTTATTAACTTCTTTCAGGAAAAGGAAGAGTTTTTGCCGTACCGATTCCGAATTCATATCCCCGATAGCGAAATCATTGTGGACCAATATCCTACCGATCTTCTTCAGCTTCTTCGTAACCATGGTATCGAGAACCCCTTCGAAACGACTGTTACTCTTAGCGCTGAGCCGCAGGCTGTTTTCAAGGTCCAGCCTGTGACGCGCATGTCCCACAAGATTCCTGGCCATGGTGAAGCTATCCTCGCAGCACAGTTCAATCCTAGAAACAGCAACAGACTCGCAACTGGATCTGGTGATAAGACGGCACGCATATGGGATACTGAGACTGGTACTCCTAAATACACTCTTTCAGGCCACTCTGGTTGGGTTCTGGCTGTTTCTTGGTCCCCTGATGGTATGCGCCTTGCTACTGGAAGTTATGACAAGACTGTTCGTCTTTGGAACCCTGATACTGGAAAGGCTGTCGGAAACCCTTTGACAGGACACTCAAAATGGATCACAAATATGGTTTGGGAACCTTATCATCTCTGGAGAGACGGTACACCACGACTTGCCAGTGCTAGCAAGGATGCCACTATTCGCATATGGATCGTCAACTCTGGCAAGACGGAGCATGTTTTGTCTGGACACAAGAGCAGTGTTAGTTGTGTTCGCTGGGGAGGCGAGGGTCTTATTTACAGTGGAAGTCACGATAAGACAGTCAGAGTGTGGAACGCCGAGAAGGGAACCATGGTGCACACTTTGTCAGCTCACGTCCACTGGGTGAACCATCTTGCTCTGTCCACAGATTTCGTCTTGAGGACAGGATTCTACGACCATACTCCTGTGCCTGACACGGAAGAAGGAAAGCGAGAAAAGGCCAAGGCGCGATTCGAAAAGGCTGCCAGATTCCAGGGTAGAATTGCTGAGCGTTTGGTTACTTGCAGTGATGACTTTACCATGTACCTCTGGGATCCTGCGCAAAGTACAAAGCCAGTTAACCGTATGCTGGGTCACCAAAAGCAAGTCAACCACGTCACATTCTCCCCCGACGGAACCCTCATTGCCAGCGCAGGCTGGGATAACCACACCAAGCTCTGGAACGCCAGGTAAGATACCAGCCCATACCCTCCTGAACATCCCAACTAACATCTCCAGGGACGGAAAATTCATCAACACCCTTCGCGGTCACGTCGCTCCCGTATACCAGTGCGCTTTCTCAGCAGACTCCCGCCTTCTAGTCACAGCATCAAAGGATACAACACTCAAGGTCTGGTCAATGGCTACTCACAAACTCTCCAATGATCTGCCGGGTCATGCGGATGAAGTTTACGCGGTGGATTGGGCACCGGATGGTAAGAGAGTCGGAAGTGGTGGAAAAGACAAGGCTGTCCGGGTTTGGCAAAATTAGAATTTTAAAATGGTGTTCGTTACTGGTACAAGTCAAGATACCCTACACTGCGCGTTTTTCTTTTCGTGACTGGTTCCATGTTCGGGCGTTGAGTGAAAGTCATCTGGGGCGCAGTAATTGTGCTTATCTTGGGACTGCCACAGAGTGATACGCGGTATGGAGGGATGCTTCACGGGAGACTTCCGAAACTCACGCAATGCAAGTAGCACACTCTTCTCTGGCAGGCAGATCATGCATGCACGGGAGTTGGCTCTAGACCTGGCTGTGATCCAACCTGCATCTGTCTCCACCTACAACCACAATGGGACATTGCGCTGATAGGCTCGCTTTTACAAGGGAGGGGCACGGGCAAGGAAGATGGTAGAAGAGATGAAGCTCACGATACGTTGGAAATGTCTAGAAAGTGGTGTTGTGGGGTAAAGTCGCGTTGCTGTCGAAATATCTGGAAATATCTTTACAACAGAACTTCGAGTCATTCATTTACAGTCTGCATGCATGCTGCCAGGACCGGCATTGCTTGATATCTTCTAGAAACTGCCCACGAGGTTACCCCGCTGATCGTGAGTGGATGATACGATTTATAAACCCCGGGAAGCGTCGGGCTGAAGATGTGCCCAAGTCTGCGGGGAATACTAATCTATGTGATTGTTAGGCCAAGCTCTAGAGATTGTATCAGATTGAGTTATTAAAAATCTACTCATCTAGCCAAGAAGAGAATGCTTTTGAATCGCCGAACATGTCCTCTTTTAGAATGATCCCGTCCGGTTCCGTATGGGCCCCGGTCCTCCGGCCGGCTGTGGACTCAGGTGAAAGCCGAAGAATGGAACCCTGTTGCTGGGGATGTTGTGTGACGGGTTTGGAAAGTTGGAGAAACATTGGAGATGAGACAATCAATCACGGCATTATTAGTGAATAGCTATTATTCACATGTGATAATTCTGATGTTACTTACTGCCTGAGTCACTAATGGTGATGCGACTGTACGTTTTGAGTGTTCCTTGAGCAATTTCAATGTGACACGGACCGGATATGTTCTTTTACCCCAAACTCAAGATCCTAGCTCATCAGGCACGATTCCCGTTCCATGCTCGTTGCCCGAGGCACAGTAAATTCTTTGCGCCTGAATTCTTAATGTCAAAATGATCCACCACGGTGAGAACCTGCGGGGTGCGTCTAAATCGATGAGAGCGTCAAGTGTACCTGATGATCATTTCTGGGAAGAGAATTTAACAAACTTTGGCGGCTTTGATCAACGGTTTTGTCGTTAGTAGCTACATGTTTAAAGGAATGCCGTTGAACAGAGGTACATCATGCTCGTGTACCTATGCATGCACAATACACCGGCTATCGTCATGCCGCTTCCAATCGCGTGGTTCATGCGCCTTTTGTTCAAAGCATCAAAGCACGGAAAGTAGAAACGGCCCGTGTAAGACGGCGTGGTAATGGTAGACGGGCCGGTGCATCCAGGTAATGACAAGGGTAGGAGTCGAGAACGAGGTATCGAGTTGCTTTTGTATCACTTCGCGTAGACGAGTTGATGATATCTTAGCAGGATCAAGAGAAGAGGGTGTGCTTGGGCTGTTATCGTGACTTAGATCCAAGAATAGCGACGTTTATGGTACAGTAGAACATGAAGAGAAGATGGGAGACTTGTGGTATTTTGTACTTGCATGCACGGACTGGAGGAAATGTCCCGGATGTTCTGATCAAGGTTGTATCTCATCAGGTTGAAAGTGCATGATCGACAAAACAGGGCGTGTCGATTTGAGAGGCCTCTTCAGGTAATTGGGTGCTGTACTGCCCAGCTTCTGTCAATGTTTGGGGTAACTCTGCATTGGAGAGTAACTCACATCCATCAACCGGAGGCATTTTTATTCCCCTCAGATGTAAATCTCCTTCCCCATTGATCAGCGTCTACTCCAAATGCCGGTTGACAATTTCTTCTGCATCGTGATCTATCAGAGACTGTGTATGTAGATGCATGTTGTGCCTTGGTGGTAGGTTGTCAATGCTCCATCTCTCATCATCCATACATCATCCTTGTTTTCTGTCCATCGTCTTCTATTCTGGGGCCAGTGTTTAGCCTACCCGCCTGACAGGCTAGGTATCGTGGGCCTGAAACTCCACTAACAGTTACTGAATCGGTCCATGCTTCGATTTCGATGTCTTTTTGACAAGAATGATTAGAAAATAAAGAAGAAATAGTAAAGAACAGACTATTAAAACATGAATAAGGTTATGTTCTAATTAACCGAAGATCCTCTGCATCTGTTTCTCTATGTTTCTACACTATCTCAATTGTACCTTGGAAGTTGTTCAATCTTGAATTACCTACACTGACCTACTGGGTCACCACGGACCAAACTCTCCTGTCTCGAGATCCTCAACAACTGATCCCGATTTCTTTTCTCTTAAACTACGTCACGTCTGATCTCGTGTATGTATATTTTTTCTGTTGACTCCTTGTTTCTGCAATAGACCACTCATCGGCCCTTTATCAGACCAATTGTTCTCTCTCTCCACTTGACTCTACTTCTATTTCATCAGGTACCAACCGTTGAGGCTCAAACTAAACTGCCCTTGTCTTGTCTGTCTGTCTATCATTTCAGCACGTTCAAACAAGCATTACGTCAGTGTGAGTGCTTTGCTTGTTCCTCCACTTCCATACATTTCATTTATCCATTATCCATCCCATACATATAATCACGGCCCAGACTCTGACAGGCCTCTTTTATAGGTTCCAGGCTTGCATCCCCTTTCGGAAAATACCTCTCTCTTTTTTTTTTTGTCTGCAATTGACAGAAAAAAACATTTAATTGCCCGGGTCCCCATAAGAGAGCTTGAATCTCGGAGCTATCCAAGCTTTAAACTCAAACCACCTGACGAATCTCACGACTCGGAGATTTTCTCGTTGCAATTATTTTATCCTCGAGTGTTTTCCTTGCAAAAACATCTTGTCGCTTCTGTGCGCAATCTTCCCTTTGCGGTATCATTCGCCACTTTCGTCGAACATCTGAGCGCATCTGCGACAAAGAGGCGTTTTGCCTGCGACAAGCTACTTCTCTCAACAAAAACCGACGCCTTTCCGTTATTTGATCCTCTCATTTTCAGCTTTACATCCACATGAAGTCGTCATACGAGATTACTCAATAGTATCATCAATCCAGCTCGTTGAACTCGAGTTTCAATACGATCGAAATCAATCGACGACATACCCACTAACATAAAATACTCGACAAATTACCGCCAAAATGACGGTCTTTGTGTGTTCACTGTATGTCAATTCCTTGAGCATTTTCTCGACTCCCCCGCTTGCCCCTCCATGCCCACCTTAGCGAGAATGACGAAAGCTAACATGACGATAGCTTCCTCCCAAAAACCATACATTTTACTCTCCCCGGTACTCCTCCTCCCGGCGTCGATCCTGCCCGAACTTCATTGTCTGGTTCCTCAAACATTAACCTTGGAGGCGACACTCGAGCTTCATTGTCTGGATCGTCAGCTCCCAAGACTGCTCCCCTCCCTCCCAAGCCTGCTGCTCCTACTGGTGGACGACCTGCGCCTCTTAACCGTCAACCGAGTCTTTTCCAGAAAGAAGACATCACACCTCCCCGAACACCGACCGAAGAGGTTGACCAAACTCTATTCGCGAACGAAGATGGAATCAGAATACCTCAAGGAAGACCCGGCTCTAATGCTGGCGGTGGAAAGCCTTGGGGTAGCCGAGCCAACCAGCCCAAGTCGCGAGCCAGCTCTCCTCCTCCTCCCGCTTCATTGTCCGAGAACAACCGTACCATGCAAAAGGCCCGAGAACTAGGACGTCAGGGTGTTTTGCAGCCTAGATCTCTTGTTCGAAGCGACAGCCATGACCGAGTCTTTGCTTCTGCTGGATGGATGGTTGTGAATGCTGATCAGGGTAACGGTGGTCTTCGCAATGCTGCTGATGCCGCTGCTCGTGATGGCAAGATTGACGAGATTACATGGGTTGGTACTCTTGGCATGCCTACTGATGCACTTGAGGGTACCGCGCAAAAGCAGGATATTGAGGATGTTCTGGCTACTGAGCACAACATGTTGACAGTCTTCTGCTCCGACAAGGATTTCGACGGCCACTACGCTCACTTCTGCAAACACATTCTCTGGCCCGTCTTCCACTACCAAATCCCCGACAACCCCAAGAGCAAGGCATACGAGGATCACTCTTGGAAGTACTACGTCAACGTTAACCAAGCCTTTGCCGACCAGATTGTCAAGAACTGGAAGCGAGGTGATGTTGTCTGGATTCACGACTACCACCTGCTTCTTGTTCCTGGAATGGTTCGCAAGAAGATTCCCGAGGCCAAGATTGGTTTCTTCCTTCACGTCGCTTTCCCTTCATCCGAGGTTTTCCGATGCCTGGCTGTCCGAAAGGAGCTTTTGGAGGGTATGCTCGGTGCTAACCTCGTCGGTTTCCAAATTCACGAGTACGGACGACATTTCCTCCAGACCTGCAGTCGCATTTTGAACGCCGAGGCTACGCCGGATGGTCTCCAACTCGAGGACCGATTTGTTGATGTTATCCATCTGGCTATTGGTATTGATCCCGTCAGTCTTCGCGAGCACCTTGATGCGCCAGAGGTTGCCAAATGGTTGCAAGTTATGCAGGATCGCTACAAGGGCAAGAGGCTCATTGTCGCTCGTGATAAGCTTGACCACGTCCGTGGTGTCCGCCAGAAGCTGCTGTCTTATGAGTTGTTCCTCAACAAAAACCCTCAGTGGCGTGAGAATACTGTTCTCATCCAAGTTGCTCTTTCGTCCAGTGAAAAGAGTGATCTCGAGGCCACCGTTAGCGACATTGTGACCCGAGTTAACTCTTCGTGGGCCAATCTTGCATACCAGCCGGTTGTTTACCTCAAGCAGGATATTGACTACGCTCAGTACCTTGCTCTGTTGACCATTGCTGATGCGCTCATGATTACCAGCCAACGCGAGGGTATGAACTTGACTTCCCATGAGTACCTCTTCTGTCAGGATGGAAAGCTGTTGCCTGAGAAGAAGCATGGTTCTCTGATTCTTTCCGAGTTTACTGGTACTTCATCTCTATTCGCCAAGAACGAGCTTGCTGTCAACCCTTGGGATTACCGTGCTTGTGCCGATGCTATCAAGCAAGCTTTGGAGATGGGCGACGAGGAAAAGGACCAGCGATGGAACAATCTCTACGGCCGTGTTATCAAGCACACTGGAGCTCACTGGTTTACGCAGTTCCTTGGCCGTCTTGATATTGTCTACGAGGAGCAGCACAAGCGAGACCAGACTTCAGTTCCTCGTCTGTCTGTCCCTGCTCTTTCTAACAAGTACGTCAATGCTCAGCGTCGTCTATTCATCATTGATTACGAAGGCACACTTGTTGCTTGGGGTCCTGTCAACCAGATTATCCCCATCAGCCCTCAGCGAACACTTGACGTTCTCAACGATCTTCTTCTCGACGAGCGAAACACTGTCTACGTCATGTCTGGTCGCCGACCTGAAGAGCTCGACCGTGTCTTCCGTCGCGTTCCTAACCTGGGTCTCATTGCCGAGAATGGATGCTTCCTCAAGGCTCATGGTGACGAGTCGTGGACTGAGATGGCTGATCTCGAGCATATCAAGGACTGGAAGGAGTCTGTGCGACCCATCATGACATACTACCTTGAACGAACTCCCGGAGCCGAAATTGAAGAACGCCGCTGTAGTTTGATCTTCCACTACAAGAGTGCGGAGGATTATGAGACCGCCTCACGACAAGCTTCCGACTGTGCCAGCCATGTCAACGACGCCTGTGAATCTCAGCGCGTACATGCTATCGCTCTTGATGGATGTATCGCTGTTGAGCCTATCGATTGGACCAAGCGTACTGCCGCCCGAAAGGTTTTCGAGACTCTCAAGGAGGAGATGAGCTCTACTCAAGAACACAAGCAAGCAGTTGACTTTTTGATGGTCATCGGTGATGGACGAGAGGATGAAAAGGTATTCAAGTGGGCCAACAGACTACAAGACGACGGTTCAGTAAAGAATGTCGTGACAGTTAGTCTTGGTAACCGTAATACCGAAGCAACAGCTACCCTTACCCAGGGTGTCAGTGGTATGTACCCTCTCATTTCGAACTTATTGAATCTATGCTAACGGTTTAGGCGTCCTCTCTTGTCTTCAGCGCCTTGCCTCACTTGAGTGACTGGTCAAGTGTTGAGGAATTATTGTTATTGTATTGCATTTTGTGCCGTTGGCGTTGGGTCAGCGGGCGCAGGGGTAAATAAGGAAAGGTCACGTCAGAGACGACATCAAAAGAGTAGTTCCATATGAGTTTTGTTTGTTATTTTAGAAAAGCCGGTTTCAATAAGAGTTTTTGATCTCTACTCAACCGTATGTGTTTGTTATACGATAAAATAAGCGTCTATGGATTGATTCATCACCAATTGTCCGGTTGATGCCTCATTTCGTATCTCATGATTATACAGCTCTTTCCAATGCTTACAATCAGCTATCCAATCATGACATCACAGCTGAATCCTTGACAACGAATGACATGCAAAGAACCCCGCGGTCAATTGCGACATCGGCGGGTCCAGAGTCAGCGGGGTCCATAAACTATTACATCCCGCTCACTACGCGATCTATAAGTTGACAGATACCACCTGTAGAATCAATTGTTGGTCAAGTACAGCAAAATGTCTACCTTTCCTCCTCCCCCGGTTAACACAATCGACTGGTCAAACGTCGGCTTCAAAGTCCGGGAAGGTAAGCAGCAATTGCCATCCAGATAATCAGGTATACTGACAACCCAGTCAACGGCCATGTCGAAGCAACTTACTCTCGAAGCACCGGCAAATGGACACCCCTTCGTTTCGTCGCAGATCCCTTCATGCGTATCCACGGCATGGCTCCCGCTTTAAACTACGGCCAACAAGCCTACGAAGGCCTCAAAGCATTCCGTACCCCCAACGATGCAGGAATCACCATCTTCCGACCCGATCGTAACGCGAAACGGCTCCAGCATTCTGCAGAGGTCGTCTCCATGCCGCCTGTCCCCGAAGATCTGTTCATTCAGGCTGTTAAAGCTGCTGTTGCGCTGAACGCGGAATATGTTCCTCCCCACGAGACAGGCGCGGCGCTGTATATTCGTCCCCAGCTTTACGGATCTAGCGCACAGCTTGGCTTGTCGCCGCCGGATGAGTATATCTTTGCGGTGTTTGTCATTCCTACGGGTGTGTACCACGGTGCTCATCCCGTGAAGGCTCTTATTTTGGAAGACTTCGATCGTGCGGCGCCGAATGGTACGGGAAATGCCAAGGTGGGTGGAAACTATGCTCCTGTGCTGCGATGGAGTGATAAGGCGCGTGATGAAGGTTATGGTATCACGCTGCACTTGGATAGTGTGCGTCACGAGGAGATTGACGAGTTCAGCACGAGTGGATTCATCGGTGTTAAAGTGAATGGTGGTGAGACTACGCTTTCTGTGCCGGATAGCAAGAATGTCATCGACAGTGTGACAAGCGACAGTATCCAAGAGCTTGGACGCAGTTACGGCTGGAAAGTTGAGAAGCGCGCAATCAAGTACTCTGAACTGTCCGAGTTCAGTGAAGTTTTCGCAGCGGGTACTGCGGCTGCGCTTGTGCCTATTCGATCTATTACGAGACGAGTTGGTGGTAAGGAGGAGGTTGCGACGTATATTCAGGATGGGAATGAGGAGCCTGGTCCGTTGTTTGAGAAGTTGCTTAAGCATTTGCAGGATGTTCAGCTTGGACGGGCGGAGGATGCTTTTGGATGGAGAGTTGATGTTGGGGCTGGGGATAGGGATATTGAGGGGAGGCCTGTTGGAGGGTATGGGGATGCTACGCCGCCTGTTGATCAGATGGATTAGATAGGCTTTTTGAGCAAGTAGATTGTGGTAATTATGGGATAAAAGTTGTTTTTGCTGTGATGATAGTGTGCCTAAAATCCTGGAATCGAGTTTCTGTAATCCTCCGCCTTCAACCTTGTCCTAGAGTAACCTTGACATGGACATTTTCCAACATAAATTCTGGTTTCGATCAGATGGTATAACGCTCTTGTAGCCACTGGATATACCATCCATCGCTATGTCCTATACTTGGAGACGTCGGCATCACCATGTCGTCCACCCAAGCTCCTCCTCAGCATCCGAAACCTCCAAAGCCTGCAAAGCCTGCAAAGCCCAACAATCCCGACATCTGCTATACTTCCAACAGATATACCATAGTTCGGGATCCTGTCTGACCCGAATAGGTTCGTCGAATGGATCCCACCTTTTGACCTCACCCTCTTCAAGTTCCACAGGTACAGGATCAAACTCGATAACACGCAGATTGAGAGCTTGGTCGTTGTGGTTAGGAGGTGCAGGACCCCATTTGACCTCGTCATCTGTACACATAAAGAAATATTGACGATAGCCTTGAAGTTCGGAGTGTTTTAGCCATGGTAGCCCGGGGAGGTTCTGGTCATTAGGGACAGTAGGTCGAGGCTCTTCATCCTCTTCATCGTAGAGTGAGGTTTCGGGTGAATCATAGCCGTCTGAGGTATAATCGGTAAGAACCTCTTCCCCGTTGAAGTCAACGTCTGGATCTGCCTCTCTCATCTTCTCTTGCTCCTCCTTCATAGCCTTCCTTTCTCTCACACACCTCATCCTCCTTTCTCTTCGTTCATCCTTGGTAGCCTCCCTCACCTGGCGAATCTGACGCCAGACGGTACCTCTCGAGGCAATCTCTTTCTTATAATGTGCGACGCATTCTTCTGGTGTGGCGTTGGGTAGGAAGAAGAACTCGAATCTGAAACTTTGACCGAGATAAGGGTCGCTATCATGGTCAAAAGTGAGCTGGAATTTCCTGGTGTCGAAATTCAGAGGAGTTTCTGGGTTGACCATGTAAATCACCCAGACAGAGAGTGTTGGTAGACGTTGAGTCTTCAGGCCGTGCCATGACATGATGGCTGGGTTGCCGGCATGGTCTTTAAAGGTAATCTGGTGATTTGTATACTTCGATTCACCTCTTCTGCGCACCATTGTTGAGATTTGAAGTGTTGTAGAAATGAAAAGTCAGAAGTTGATGTCGAGGTTGAAGAAAGAGAGACAGTTAGAATTGTCGCGATTCATGGTGTTTAATATAGATGCTGTGCTATGACCATGTTGGTCTAGGCAGCCATCCCATATACCCACTCTTCAACACCATCACGATATTGAGTACACATAATTCTACTCAGTTGTTGAGATCATGTGAATTGCAGCGATGGTCAAGTTTTAGAGACTTATCAAAATTGACCCGCTACATGGCTCTCATTGATCATCAATAATATCTGATCCAGTGCCTAGCATGGTATCTTCTGCCTGAAATGGTCCCTTCAGCTTCCCAGACTATCACAAACAGTGCACACATATTGTGTTATCCTCCATGTGCTAGTCGCACTCGCGATACTCACCCGTCTCGTCTATCTCGAAGAACCCAAGACCATGTTTGCCCCTCCCGCGAAACCCCCATAGCTTGGTCCACGGCTCGTTGCATACGAATGGTACGACAACTCAAGGCAAACATTATACCCTTTGGGGGTTGCGGATCCGGGGGTGTGACAGACAATTTTCATATATAGGACCCTTATTGTTCTGAGGAGAGGTATCCCTGTGATAAAAGATATTAGTCTGACGCGGCGTCGAAGCCATATCCATCGCTATACTCACCTCAACACCATATCATTATCACCACTCAGAATGTGCACATACTCGTTCCAACGCATGGTATGCTGCTGCGCCAAAGGCCCCGAATGTCCCCAAATGACCCGCGGCCGCGCCATAATCGGCGGCGAAGCCTTCCACTACATCGACATGTTCTACGCCGTCGACGATCTCGGTTCAGCATGCGACTACCAGCGTCGACTCTTTGGACGCAACGCCGGTCCCACGATGCATTGTCCTAGATATGCTTTCGATGATAAGAGGATTATCAAAGGGAGTTTCAGGAAGAGTGAACTTGCTTGTGTCAAGTGTGCTGAGACTTGTGCGCCGCCGAGTTGTACTTGGCAGGCTCCTAGGGCTGAGAAGGAGGAGGGGAAACAATGAATGAATTGGGATGGGAGGGTAATACTGGAAGAAAACTGGTGGTTTGGTCTGGTTGTGGTGTGTGTGGCTGTTTGTATTGGAAGATGTTTCTGTATGATTGTTATGTCGCTTGGATCATGGACGAAGCATCAAATGCGTATATGACGGAGGATGTTGAAAACAGTCCGAATGACCAAGTTCTCGTCCCGTGATTGCTGTTTCCCTCCAATGTTGAATTGCAGACTTCTATTAGAGCCCCATTCCTAGACCAGTTTGCCATAAGACGATAGCCAGCTGGTTGTCACTGGCAAGCACAGTTCACCTGCCTCGATTATCAGGTTTGCTCCACCTACTCCAGCTCATTCCCTCGATCTCATTGCTTCATCCTCAGTCCTCCAACACAACAAAAGCCATCGCATTTAACACCATCCATTCTTTGCTATCTACTATATCTATACCATCAACGAAATGAGTGAAGGCCTTGACCCACTGTCAGGTATGTTGTTACATCTCTTGAACCACCTACTCACCTGGTGACTGACTACCTGTCCCAGCCACATTCGAGCTGCGATTCAAAAAAGCTTGGAGACTCTGGAGAGCCGGCGCCAATGATACGGCGGAGACCATGGCCAAGGAACTACTCCTAGAGCCTCGCCTTGGAAGATTCCACAAGGCTGGTATGCACACGCTTCTTTCTACATCTTCCAACAACTACGTTGAGCATGGTCTTGAGGCTGTGCGTCTCTACACTGAAATCTCCGACCGGAACGATCTCACCGAGGATGAGCGAAAGGACATTACTGTATACCTTGACGATGCGAACAAACTTCTGGACAAGGCTCGTCAGGATCAAGCCAAAATCGATCATCAGATCCAAGAGAAACTGTAAGAGTGGCTGTCCAAAAGACATATAAGCGCTGGCTAACGCATGTAATAGTGCTGGAGGCATGACTATGGAGGAGCTCCACGATGCGCAGATCGAAGAGATGAACAGGCGCCTGGATGCTGAGGAAGCTGGCATCAGCGAACATGGTCCTGATAGTCAGTCCTCGGTCCCTGAGATGACCGAAGAGTCGCACCTTTCTTCTCAGCCTGCTGTACCTCTGCGACCCGAATCCCATCGAACCGACAACGACAACATTGAACACACTGTAGACACTTTTCTGGGAATGGACCTCGATTTCGATGATAACAGTCCTCTTCCTGACATTGTCAGACACAAACCTGGTTCCGGCACGAAGAAGGATGAAGACAAGGTCTAATGGAGGGATAACTCTCTAAATTAAGTAATAGTCTAAGTTATAATAAAGTGATCAAACTATTTCGTCTCTTATAGTGCTGTGGGTCAACTCTTCTAATACCCTGGGACCTGTTGCGAGATGGAAACACGTCAACTGCCGCTGAGCAAAGACAGAACAAACCTAGCATGTTTGGTAACCGAATTGGCCATCTTTAGTGAACGTTAGATTCAAGCAGAGCAAGGGCGTGGATTGGAAAGAGCCTGGTGAATACAGCGTGTTTGCATTTAGATACTTTGCTAAGCTAATCGTGTTACAACTTGTTCTTTAATGTCCATTCGAACCGTTCGTTCCATTACTTCCATTCGTCTCCAATCTCGAATGACAACCCTTCGCAGGCGCTCCATTCCTAGCAGTAGCACTCTTGCCCTTATTCGCAATGATATCATTCGCAAGCTTCATCTCTCCATTCATAGCATTATGACATCCATTAAACTTCATATCCTTGATTCCATCGTATCCCTTAATACCGACTGACTTCTCGAGTCGTTCAGCAATCTCGGGATCGACTTCGCGGAAGATGGCGATTTGTCGCTTGAGTGGCTCCTCTTGCTTGCAGAGCTTCATCTTGCCTGTGACATTGTTGATGAAGCGCTCGCGGGCGGCGTCGTCGAAGACGTTTTGCCACAGGGCGCGGGGAGCGTTGAAGTCCTCTGGGCGGATTGCGGTGAGGAATGTGATTGCTTCGCCGGTGAAGTGGCCGTGTGTCTTGTCCAAGTCCACTGTTCGGTTACGGAACTGGATGGGATCAATGGATGAGAGGTAGTTTGGTCGAGCACCCTGGTTGTAGAAAGCCATCTGGCCATCACGCTGGAAGTTACCAAACTTGTATCCAGTTCTGGTCGCGTTGACAGGAAGTTGCTGGTAATTCGCTCCAATGCGGTGGCGATGGGTATCAGGGTATGAGAACAATCTCGACTGGAGAACGGGGTCTGCGGAAGGCTCGATACCAGGAACCAAGTGAGCAGGGTTGAAAGCGATCTGCTCAACCTCGGCAAAGTAGTTGACAGCATTCTCGTTAAGAGTAAACTCACCAACCTTGCGACGAGGGAACTGCTTCTGAGGCCAGACATGGGTCAAGTCGAAGATGTTAATCTTCTGCTTCTCCCAGAGCTCTTCAGCCTCCTTGGGTGTCATGGTCTGAACTTCAAAAGTCCACTTGGGGTAGTCTCCATTCTGAATGGCCTCGTAAAGATCCTTCTGGGAGAAATCAGGTGAGTAGTCTGCTGATTCCTCCTGGGTAACGAAATCGGTTCCTTGCATGGACTTCATGTGAATCTGCGTGTATACCCAATCGCCGTTCTTGTTAACGAGCTTAAAGGTATGTCCGCTGTATCCATGCATGAAGCGATAACCCTATTTATCGTTAGTTTGTGGTATTGCCGTCTGGTAGGGTGTGCTCACCTTGGGAATTCCGCGGTCGCCCATCAGAATCATTACTTGATGAATTGACTCCGGGTTTTGAGAAAGGTAATCCCAGAAAGCAAATGAGTCATCAGCATGAGTCAAATGAGTGCCTTGATTGTTAGTTATCGCGATATCTCGTGGTGTTGTGGTGTTGACTCACTAGGATCGCGCTTTTGAGTGTGAATGAAGTGAGGGAACTTCGCAGGATCTCTCAAAAAGAATACAGGGGTGTTATTGAAGACCCAATCTAAGTTCTGCTCGCTTTATTAGCATCATTTTCATGGTGTTTTGGTGTTGTGGTGATGAGATTTGGTGTTGAGGTCATCACCACCCAAAGTGAGCACTTACACCCTCCTCAGTGCGCATCTTCACAGAGAACCCACGAGGATCTCTAGCCATATCATGTGATCCAGATTCACCTCCAACAGTAGAAAACCTCATAGAAACAGGACATTTCTTTCCCTTCGTTCCAAAGATATCCGCAAGACACAGATCATCCATAGGATCAGTACACTCAAAGAAGCCATGAGCGCCACTACCCTTTGCATGAACAACACGCTCAGGAATACGCTCGCGATCGAAATGAGAGAGGAGATCAATTAAATGAAAGTCTTGGAGAAGAAGAGGTCCGTTCTCGCCGCATCGCTGGGTCTCGTAGGGATGAGGCATGGGAACGCCATTGCTTGTGGTGTAGAGAGATTCTTTAGATGTCGCTTGGCGATCTTCTTCGTAGGATTGGAATTGGGAGGCTACGTGAGCCGAGAAGGATGTGTCTGTAGCTGATGGTGCCATTTTGCTGTATTCTCAAGTTGTCGTGCTTAACGTGACACTCAGATAGCTTGAACCAAGACGGTTCCTTTTATACGAATCCATCATGCATTTCCTTGGCCGGATTTGACTGGCCAAGGTCTTTCTATGACGCGGTGAACATTGAACCGCCTGCTCTTAGACAAGATGTGCCCGATCATACTCGGTGATCAGCGATGACTATTACAACTTCGATGATTGGTTTATCGAGAATGTCAAATCTTCGATGGATGATGCTGCCTTTGTTATCTTCTGAATGAGGTTAGATTCATGACATCACGACTAGTGAGCCGGGAGAGGCTTGGTTGAGAGACGTGGTTGACGATTGGAGGCTGGAGGTTGGGTCTGGACTTCGATGGACCCTGGAATGGCAGATCGTCGATGAAGAAATGTAAGCATTTGCCAAGGATATGCGAGATCTTAGCGTGGTATGGGGCAGAGACTGCCGGTGAATATCACTTTTTCACCATCAACAGCGTGTCTATTCATCAATTATCCATCACAAACTCAAAAGAATGCGCTTCAAAAGCATGACAGACGAAGTTATTTGATCACTTTATAATATCTTAGGCCAGGTATTAGGCTGTTTTGTTTTATCTCTTAGGGTCTTATAGTACAATTATCATTGCATAGGTGGACACGGATACCCTAGAGACAGTCAAGTCTGGACAACTTTATAAATTGGTAAACATCAAAAAAGTCCTCTAAGGGTTAGACTAATGTTACAAAGTAGCCTAAGTGCTAGTCGTAGATGACATAAAGTAACCAGATTATTTCGCCTCTTATGCTCTTGGGGCCAATTCCTCTAACACCCTGGGACCACTGGAGAGAGGACCATGAGAATACGCTGTTTTCTAGAGAGCAAAATCTGATATCTAGTCAACATGTCTGTAGACGCTGCTTCAATAACCCTGCACGCCAACAATTGATCGATGCGGCCGCTCTCTAGCCCCAGCATATAAAAATCCAAGCTCCCTGCGCCGCTGCTCCTCCTGCCCTCGCCGTTCTTGAATGCGTCGCATGATGCACTGCTCCCTAAGATCCTCGACAGTCAAGATCCTCCCTACTCTATAATTAATCGGTCAGCAAGGATTATAGACTCTCAAGCTGAGACTGAACTTACGCTTCTCGCAACAAGTCATCGATCACTAGTATCTCGCTGATAAGTCTGCTGACTCTCTCCTCCAGTGTGAGATGGTGCTCGAGTAGTTGCCTTCGTGTCTGGTCAGGTAAGTGCAGGTTCAGGTAGAACAGGGTTTTGTGCAGGTGACTGCTGGTCTCGTTACGCGCTGAAACAAGACTCGCTCTGATCCTGGGCAGGTGTTCATATACGGGACGAAGAGTGATTCCTAATAGCTAATCGGGGGCGGAGGAAGACTCGGCTGGAACGACGAAAAATGGGATGCCATTAGGCTCGGCTGAGATGTGTTAGGTATGGGTACGAGGAGGCTGTGAGAATGCTTACATGGATTTCGATCTTGGCTCATTGTAGAATAACGAGTGTCGAGTAACAGTGCAATTGTGAGATGTAGATGGTAAGTTTTGAGATGTAGGTAGGTAGAGAAGGGGCAAGGTAACCATCCTGTGTTTAGGCGTCAACAGGCAGGAACTGGGATATTTACCTAAGGCTTAGGTTACTACGATAAAGTGATCTAAGTGCTGATCTGAGATAACATAAAACGAGTAAATTCTTTTGTCTCTTATGCCTTTAGAGGCTAACTCTTCTAATACCATACGGCTAACCATCCACTGCACTATAAAGGTATATTCTCCAAGGTAAATCCCAAATGCCTGATAAGACATCACGCTCAAAAGATACCAAATGAAAACCTTGGAAGGTGTCCTTAAGGGTCCTCCTCTGAGATGTCGTCTTCTCGATCGTCTTCTCCGTCGTCTTCTCCGTCGTCTTCTCCGTCGTCTTCTTCTCGAGGCCTCGAATGACTCTACCTCTTTGGGTTGCGCAGCTAGGTCGAATTACATGGAGCACCCAGCCCACCACTCCTAGTTCTTCTGCTGCTTCTTCGGGCTGGACCCAGCTTTATCCAGACTTTGGTAGTCGAAGACGTCTTGCTTCTTGGTGCCGAGTAAGTCCCGCCCTGGCGTGCTCATTCATAATTCCCATTAGATCGATGCTGATGCCCCGTCGGAGAGGAGTCGCGTCATATTCTCGGGGGCGTTGCAGGTATTGAACAAGGTATTGCGTGTGGTTGACATACAGTGCGATCAAATGGCGTGTCAGAAGGCCATCGCTGTCCAAGACCTTGGTATCCGGCTTTGTACTCTTGGTACTCAGCGAGGGCCGTGAGGCTATTGCTTTCCCCGTCCTTGGTTCGAGCCATCGCAACTTTCAATAAACGCAATCAAAATTCGTTCCACTGTGAGAAAGACAGATGTTTGATTCCTTGACAAGGGTGGAGGATGTTGAAGGAAAGAGCGCTCTGGATGGATAATGCATCCTTCTCGGAGTTGTCTTGGTGGTTGGGCATCACCTCTGTTCCTCACAGGAGATAACACCCCATTTTCGTCGGCTGTACCAAATTACATTCGTGAGCTCATTGCTGGCTATTCAGCTCAGGATTCGTTAGGAAGGCTAGCTGGCAGTGCCTCTCGGCCGTCAGTCAAAACGGTACCCCCTATGTTCAGCTTCTGTAGCTTAGCCAACTGTTCGTAGAACGTCGCTATAAAGGTCACCTCCTTCTAAACATGCCTCCTCCATTAGAGACAACATATTGGGTAGGCTATCTGTCAGTGTCTAGGAATGCGGTTGAAACACTGCGAAGTAGTGACTGTTGCTCTGGCTGTCACCCCTCGTGGTGATGGATTTCAGGACTGGTCACAGAGGCTCCCACCACCACTGAGGTCACGACTATTGCAGCCCCTACCACCCATTCAAAGTCCTTTACAGTGAACTTTCGCAACTTCCGCAGAATCTGGTGCGGAAATCAATGAGAAGGTATTTGAAGAGTTATCTGGCAGAAAGAAGCGATGATCGGACATGCTACCGAAATAAGCCTCTGCGATAAAACAGCGGTAAGACTCAAGACGTTCGATTGAACAGAGGCTCCATTGGCATGTCTAGCCTCGTCATGGCCCGTCACACCTTGTTCGGCATTCAAGTCAGAGACTGCGAGATAAGTGAGAGTGGCCGCAGTCAGGGACACCTTGACCTATCGATCAAATCTTTGAGCTTCAAGGGCTGCATTGCGTCTGATGGTATCGGGTGTGCTTGAGGGCCATCGCCCCAGATATTCTCAACAACCCAGGCATAGCGATTGGAAGCTGGTGCTTCATTGATTTGCATAGGCAAGTGATCTGAAGGTGTCGCTGAACCACTCCAGAGACGAAAGATTCATCTGTTCCAGTTCGAGGACGAGGTGGATGTTCCGTGGAAGGGATCTCAGCTTGATTTGAAGGTGATGACAGGCTGCTCAAGTGACCTATGCCTAAAGATGATGAAACCTGTGATGGCACGAGAGGATGCTGGGTTGTGTCAATTGTCGTTTCTTGATCGAATGCTGGAATTCGTCCCTTAACGACGAGGCGTTCAATATTATATAGTATAATCGATTGGACCCGGGGATGCTTCATTCGTCTGGATTCTCCTGCCAGATCTAGAGTCAAGTCGGCTAACTCATCCCTGAGAGTGGAACTCCTGCACATGAAGCATCTCCAGTGCGGTATCATGAAGTTCAGCGTTGTCGTAACGCGTTATAGCGGAGAATTGACCTCCCCAGTTGGCCTCGAGGTATGCCTTGTACTTGTCGGCTTTCCACCAGCGCAGTCTCAATCGTCGTGGAGGTTAACTCCGACACTCATCGTGTTAACGTTGCTGACAACCTTTTGCGTAATAGCTTCACCTCGATCCTCTTTGTTGAAAATTCTGTTGCCGACCAGAAAGCCTGTATCCGACATCGACAGTGATTGTAGTTGCTTTGCTGGGAGGATTTGTTATATAGCTAACCCAAGACACCTATGCCCTTTGTAAATCTTCGCGAAGGGCGGACAAGCGGCTGCCGTGTTCTGCTGGCATATATATATATATATAGAGAGAGAGAGCTTGTGACTATATTGAGAGATAATTGTCTTCTCCGTGTGCAGGCTTGATGTTGTTGGGTCGATGCAAGGTGTATCTTCAAATGTCGACAGACGCCGGAGTATTACATGTCGAAAGCGGATTTTGGAGGAGATATCGCCTGATTCAGAAATAACGGCATGTCTTCCAGCCACGACGAATGAACTTGTCAATGTGTTCAACACCAAGACCATCCCTTGCTCGTCCTTCAATGTCGACCCTGCTGCTTGTATGCAATGCATGTTGCATAGTTGCCGTTAGACTGCAGCATTATACGCAGGTGAAAGGTAATTGCGGACGCTGTTCGTCCTTCGCCATGCGCGTCGGTCCAGCGGCCGAACGGGATTGGATCAGGGACGTCGAAAGTGCCATGGTCTGCTCATTTGCCAGTTTGTGAGATGTTCCTTGTTGCTGGTGTTCGTGGGTTCACTTCTGCCAGTACGATAGGGGTGTAGACAGTGCCCCTCGGCGGTATCGTTAGAGCAGTATTCTCGGCCCCCAGTGGTAGATCTCATGGGCTCCCGGGAACAGAAACCATCCGCTAGATGCCTCCGTTGCATGCTTAGTTGCGTTAGGATGGTACATAGGAACAGTTTCCAAAAGCCTTTGCCAGTTCACCGTCCGGAGCGTTAATGGCGTTTCTCAAGTTTTTTTTCTCGCAGCTCTTGGTTCCGCTCATCGGTCTCCCAGTAGTCCGGGAGCGTCGCGATGGAGCATTTGTTGTATGTATGAACCCTTCGTGGTGCGTTGCACTTGTTAAGGAGTGAATCACTTCGTATCAGGTGCTTGTGTCCTCTTATTCAGCTGGTGTGGATACTTTAGCCGTGCTGTATTCCGATGAATGCTGCGTCGTTGTCCAAAAGGCGCTCCTGATATTTTGAGCCACAATTGCTGTTGGGAAGCCGAAGAGTATCGGGAGTACCATGAGATACTGGTTGAACCTGTTGGAAGCTAGATGTACAGCGCTTTTCTTCTTCACTGTCAAAGTTGATGAAGCGTTAAGGTCCGTCATTTTCAACAGCCACTCCTCCGCTTCACGTTCATTGCTGAAGCATATCTCTGAGGTCCGCCCAGCAGGCATACTGACCAGGAAAGCTGTTCGGTGGGAGTAGAACATCTGTACTAGTGGTTTCACAACCCTAGACCCGAGAGTAGTAGACTCAATTCATGTCTAGCAAAACGGCCTGTAGAAGGTCAGGAGATAGCTCCCAGGGCTCCAAGGCCAGAATGTTGCCAGTCTCCGGGCAAGACGCGCAGATCACCAGGCGATCAATAGTGGTTGATGCCGATATAGCCTTCTGAATGAAGGAATTTCGCAAAGTCAGCCCTCTTGCGTTGGGAGGGCATGTTGCCGATATAGAGCAGACGCTCTTCCTTGAAGGGCGTGTGAGCAATGTATTATCTTTATCTTGATCATGTATTGATACACCTCGGATATACTGCAAGTGCATAATATCAGCGATAGACATCATAAAACAGATAGAACAGACATACTTTATGGTTCGTTGTTCCTTCTAACCGGTGTCGGGACTCTTCTTGTATGGCTCGAAGGTCGGAATTGACGACCGAAACTTGGAGGAGGTTTCCGACAGATTCAGTGTCTGTGAAGTAGACATCTTTTTGCTCCTTCAGATCATCAAGAGATTCAGTCTCCTCTATTGTCATCCCATCGTAGTGTGGGACATGTCGAGCATTCCTTGTGCCATTCGATGCAACTAGTGATCGAGTATAGCACCGCAAGGTTGGCCGGATAGCGCAAATTGCAGCACCGTAAACTCAAAAGCCACGATAGCCGTCACGACAACGCTGATACATGTTAGCTGATCTGGCTTGAACGCGGGATCATGAAAGAGTACTTGCCACAAGAGTCAAAAGCAGATTGTCAAGCATTTTGGGCTCATGCCAAAGAGCAGCAATCGAATCAAGATTACCGAAACCACTAAATACCGTCTCTGAAGTATACTTCGTGGTATCTTGGACACGGCTTGTTTGTTATAGTTCAGTCCACCAATGTCTACAATGAGACATTGAGCTCTGGTGGGCTTTTCAGGGACAGAGATCATGGCTGGAAGGAAAACGGTTGCTGGGAGCAAAGTGTCCTCTTCATGGATCCCTCTCCCTGAGCCGGGAGGGAAGAGAAACAAAGCGACTGTGAGAGCATCTCGTGGACTAATCATGATTAGCAAACGAACTTCAAACGGTAAGAGGACTGCGTACGTGCTGGTGTAAGGGCCATGAGGATTGCACCGTATCTTGCAGCGTTGACAGCAAACGACTGAGCCTTCAAGGTCTTGTTTGACCTGTCCCTTTTAGGTTTGATTGTCACTGAATTCTTCTTCTGAAAACCAATGTACTCAGTCAAGGTTTCATCAGAACCGATAGTGACATATGGGAGTTCCACGATCTTGCCTCTGGGATGGGGGAGACCCATATTGGATGCTGTGCTGCAGAGTGGGAGTTGGCTGGGAGATATTGGACAAGTAGGGTACCTGAGTGTAGCCAACACCTCATGCCATGATGCGTTGTTCTTGACCAGAGAAAAGGGCATTGAAAACGTGGAAGTCCTCGGGTAAACGATCCCAGTTGAAGCGAGTGCACATAAGCCCGGAGCTGAATGATGCAGATTGAGGCTCATAATCGAGATCGATGGGTATCTTCCCCGTATGTTCGGTTTGGTATTGTGACGTTGTCGCTGTTGCACAGACCCGGAGACGAAGCGAACAGTGAGAAAGTTATGTGGCGGGGACCGGCAACACAGAGTCAGGCGAAACGTCTGCTACTTGTGAATGGTTATGGCAAGAGTCGTAACCCGTTCCATGGTCACTGCGCTGAGCTTCGCCTACGCCCTGGCGATAAACATCACCTCCAATGGGCGCTGGGGTAGGCGGACCCCGTCTGGGTGTAGTGCTGGGTGCAAGTGCCGTACTTGCCCGGCGAAAGGAACTCCGGATAGATCGTCTGTCTGGCGGGCGGGGTGGAGGCGAGGAAAGACTTGAAGACGGGGAATGCTTGACGGAGTGGAAGGGGGGAGGCCCCTGTTGCAAGCTTCGTATAGTATAGAGGCGACCAGGCAGATCCATGGCTCATGATGGTTCGGTTTGTCGTTGTAGAAGAGGTCGTTGACAGGAGTCACGACACTTCCATGGACTCGCATGTTCACCACTAGTATCGAATGTCGAGCACCACTCTCAACAACACGGTGAAGAAGTGAAGTCTGCTTCTGTGCTGCAAAAGGGTTTGACGATACCTTTCCTGGACCAAGGTCATGTTCCATCTTGCGATCTAGGTCTTCAAGTCTTGCACTGTTGGCACTGCCCGAAGAGATCAACAAGCGGTTGACATGCGGCCAAAACGTCTTCTCCGCCTTGAAGTGAACAGGTAGACGGTGGAAGGGACCGTGAGAGGTATAGTATAATATAAGTAAGATGTCTGCGGGACGAAGCCCAGGAAAGAGTCGCGATCTTGACTTTTCGCCAGGTCTTGATGGGGCACGAAGCCATCGTCCGGTATAATATAATATAGAAAGATAACAATAATGGGTGAGGAAAAGAGAATGGGGATGGGGAGAGAAGGGATGAGGGGATTTATTCGCGTGTGAGGTGGCTGCCTTGGACATCACCTCCTTTGCCTATCCGATACCTTACGCGCTATCCAACACAAATAGGAACATCAAGGAAACAAGCATAAATAAAACATTTACCGCAACTTCACAGTTTCCGCAATTAATTTATATGATAGGCATATCTTGATTTGTGTTACCTCTCTTGCCAATCCTGCGGCAAACAACTTACAAAAGCACCCACCTTTCTGCTTGTATCCGACAGCCAGCTGTCAACAAACATCAAATCGTCCACTTACCTCTCACAATCATACATCCGCTTTCAAAAGTAACTCGTCATCTAAATGAGCAATAGTCACTCCGCGAGCAAACATCGCCCGTTGTGCCTCCCACTCCGGGATCCTCTCTCCCAAACCGATCTTTTGCAGCAAAACTTTCCAAGCATCATCCTCAGCGTCATGGTTTACGCGGACAATCATCTCTGCGAGGGATTTGTACTCACCTTCGTCTGCTTGTGTAAGGGATACAATCCGGGCGACTACCTCGACCCAATTACGGAGAGTTACGTGGTCGAATGTCATCTGAGAGTACCGGAACTCGAAAGTAGAGGGTGTACCTTCAAAGTCATTGTCGAAATAGCTTGGTCGGTCGCCGTTGTGTTTGCGGAGGCAAATGGCAAAGCCGCAGCGGGTTATTTTCCGAATACGAAGACTGCGGGAGAGTGTCTTGAGGTCTGTGGCGGACCAGATGATCTGAAGCATCTTGAAGAAACTATGAGGATCATCACGGTTCCAAGTACCGGGGAGAAAAGTTGACTCTTCAGGGACATGCTTCTCGAAAGCTCCGAATGCTGCGCTTGGAATGCCGTCGAGATAAGCAGCTGCGGATTCCTTTGAGACGGGTTGGGCATAAGTACCTGCAGCTCGATAGCGCGGGACAAGGGGAAGAAGGAGAGAATTCTCGAGCAGAACGACAAGGGTAGATACCTTTTTCGCAAACTGGAGATCCATACCGTAGGTAACACCGATATGGACGTGAAGTCCACAAGACTGATCTGCGGAAATGTCAATACCTAAGTTCCTCAAAGTCTTGAAGGCAGTCTTCATAGTCAGAAGACCAGAATCCAACTCACCCACCTTGAAAACAGGGGTACACATCTCAACACCAGGCCAAAGCCGCTCCTGGTTAATCCTGTTTCTAAGAAAGAGATGTTCCTGCTTGAATAGGAAACACTCGGTCAAAAGACCGGGGTTAATGTAACCTGTACCTTTGATGACCTTGTTCTTAGGGAGTTCAAAGCACACGGTACAGTGTTCGTCGTTGGCATGGCTGCAATCTACGGCGGTGGGCAGGGAGGTGCGTTCTCCGAAGATCTTAGCTATGTGGTAGCGTGCTGCTGCTGCGGGGGATGCTGTTGATGAGAGGTAGTGTTGGGGAACGGGAGTCATGAACTCGAGTTCAGCTCCGAAGGTGATGTTTTCCCATTTGGGAGACATGTTGCTGACTTACCTTGTGAGGTCTGTAGGTTAGTTGTGTGGAGTTGGTATAGCAATGTCTCGATTGAGAAGAGATGTTATCCAGCAGGATGATGAGCTGGGAGAATTCGAGGCATATGGACAAATATTTATACACATATTTGGTGATGTTCTTTGGTGTTCTTGACTATCTTGTTCCATCTTTGTTTCTAGTTATTCTTCTGCTCAAATTCCTCTTGTTGAAGAACATGCTGTATAGACAGCGTTCAGACTCATACAGCTCCGAACAACAAGACAGAACAAAGCCATAGTTGAACACGTCTACCAACATACCATACCCTAGAACAACTCCTCCTTTCAACTGAACAAAAGACCCTTATACCAATTCATCTCAACTTTACCCAACTATCGATTGATCAACAACACCAAGACCAGACTAGATACCCTTGTTCAACGCGCAGCAACCACAAATCACATGTTTCCCAGCACCAGGGAACCGACCCCGGATCTTCACTCGCAATGAAGATCATCACGATCCTGGAAATATTTTACACAATGGAAATAACAACGAGTCATTGCATACCCTGAGACATCAACTTTATTTTGCGCGTCTCTCTTAGCTTCAGGTCAATCCTTTATCTGACACCTCGTCAGTTCCTCCCCTAGCTGCAAATCCCTTTCAATAGTCTTCGTTAAGCACCTACTCAAACAAGATGATCGTCTTCAGCCGATGTCAAAGCGTGGGCTAAAAGCGGAAAGAATGCGCGGATCATTGACTAACGGAAATCTCCTCGCGGATCGTAAACTAAATAACTCTAGCAAAAAACGAGTATTTCCGCAGACGTGGTTTCCGTTCAGCGGCTGGATGATCATTCAGCTCTTGTGAAAACTTTAAATAAAATACAGAGTTTGAGCGTTGGGAGTTCCCCTGAGCGATTCATTTCCATTCCTTCCAGGTAACTGTTTTTGTCGATCTACGCCACAAAGATTTTAATCAAATGCCATGCAACCAGCACACGAAACAGCGAGGCTGTCTGTGTGAGACATTGTTGCTTCTTTAAAGGGTCTCGAATCATGGCTCGCATAACACGGGATGGAGAAATGAGACACTCAAGGATTTGGCTGCTCATTTACCCTACGTAACATCGATCCCTGCACTGAAGACCGTCCCAATATTACGGCACTGAAGATGAGAAAGTGGATTTTACTACAGCGGGGACAAGTGCCGGTGCCGGGGTAATCTCGATCCTAGTTTAATATGGAGGATTTGGAATAGTGGTTATTTGATATAGCATATGGACAACGCCTTGTGGCAATTCTTCAATCGGTCATTACCGGTGAACATTCCTCTCTACTCACGATCACAGAATTGTTCGAAAATCCTTCTTGATCGTCAGGGATAACAACTCATCCTCTTGTCAAGTTGTCACCATCCCTCACAACTTATCCATCCCATTTGTTTCTTCCCAAAAGCCACAATCCCATCACCTGAAGACTCAGTCCTCGTCCTCCCGCTCAGAAATATCCACCTAACCAGATCTACACCACGATCGCCGTTAACATCCCCACATAGTCCAAACCTTATAGCATCTCTCCAGCCCTATTCGTAGGATGCACTTATGGGAACCTGACTCGCCCATATGATTTGACAGCGTTCCGATTTGTTGAAGGTCTTAGGCTCAATTCTATTCCGCGGCCAGGTACGTGGTGCAGCCGTTGTGATGCATTACGTAGCGGTCAGGACCAGGATACATGCTGGCGAGTTAGTTTACATGGATGGAATTCTCGGATGCTAGTCCGTTACGAGAATACAACAGCACTAGAAAGGCTTGTTCAAAAGAGCTGCACCTCCCGTTCATCATGTCCTATTCTACCTCTACTCATCAAGTCACTCCTTCAAAATGTCGACCAAACCAGCCAAGTTGGGCTTCGGATCAGGCCTAGATGGCATATCCCAGATGACCATAACAGTCGTCCTGGTCTTCCTTTCAATATCAGTTTACAACGTCATCGAACTAACATTCATCATCTTTGGAACCTTTAAACGTCACTCCGGTCTATACTTCTGGTCTTTTCTGATTGCAACATGGGGAATCTTTGTCTACTGCGGTGGTTTCCTGATCAAATACTATGCGTCTGATGCAGTCGGCTATGTAGCCGCTACTTTCATCTCGTTTGGTTGGGTCGCTATGGTGTCTGGTCAAAGTCTCGTGCTATGGTCAAGACTACATCTTGTACTCAGGAACAGGTTTAGACTACGGTGTGTGCTGTACATGATTATTGTCAATGGCGTTCTCATGCATGGTACCGTTATACCCATGATCTACGGCTCTTTCTCCGAAAACACAGCTATGTGGAAGAAACCTTACGGCATCATGGAAAAGATCCAAGTTTCAATCTTCTTCGTCCAAGAAATTATCATCTCAGGATTCTACATCAGCGAAACAGTCAAACTCATGCGTCTGGAACGAACAATGGGCAACAAACGCGGCAGTCGACGCCTAATGAACCATCTCATCTACGTCAACATCCTCATCATTCTTCTCGACGTTACAATTCTGGGACTGGAATACGCCGATCAATATCAGTATCAAACTTCCTACAAAGCTTTTGTTTATAGCACGAAACTCAAGCTTGAATTCACGATCCTGAATCGTCTTGTTGAAATGACGACGGGTAACAAGGATGCTAGTTCAGGACCGAGGAGTAATACCGCTGGTACATCGACGGGGAGAACGGGTATTGCACTGGACAACTTCATCAGCAATAACAGCAATAAGCCGCCGGGGGATGTATCGTATAGAGCATATGTCCATAATGGCGAGGAAGGAGAAGCACAGCGTGCGCCGAGGGATGACGAGGTTGTCATGACCACCGAGGTCATTATTCGACGGGAGGATAGGGACGATGATGGGATGAGTATAGGAGCCAGGTCATCTGCTCAATCTACTATGGGGGGGACTTCCAAGAATCATCATTATGAGCACGAGGAGAATTTGTCCAAGACTTCGTCAGAGGTTAATCTGGCGACGCGTGGCTTCTAGGGATTATCATTCGGGGGGACAGTAATTATTATACCCAGTGTTATACTACACTTACATATTTCCTTATCAAGTATATACAAATCATCATTTGAATGGTAGTAACTTAAATCTCGATATACTCAAGGTTCCTCTTCATCACGAACTCTACCCTTGAAACCTCAGGTATTCAAGGTTCATCCAGAGTTGGCAGTATAAATTGCACACCTTGTCCCACCAAACCCTTCTTTTCTTCCTTTCCTCTCCGTACGACTTTCGTGCGTTCCTTCCAGATGTAGTATACTTTCCAATTTTTTGAACCCGACCTATGATGAACACGGCATAGAGAGTTTCAGAGAGCTTCTGAAAAGAATACTTGATGAGTGAACTGAGGTCTTACCTTTCATTGGTATATTTCACCATAGCATCCTGCACAACTCTCTCTTCTTCCCCCTCGACCTGCACCACAATCTTTCCCAAACTCTCATACCCCAGCGATAAATACAACAACTTCCCCATTGGTGTAGCGCACAATGTCAAATGTCGATTAGTGTTGACAGCTTGTTGTATTCCCCATTTGCAGATCATAGTTCCTGCACCGCGGCGTCGAAAATCGGGATGGGTGTATAGGGCCCAGAGAGGAACTTGTCCTCTGCCGATGGGAATAAAGTAGCGCTTAAATTCGCTCCGAAGGGTGCAGGTGTAAGCTTCCATGTGTTTGGGGTTTGCATCGCGTCGCTCGTTTATTCCATGACCTTAATCGTTAGTTTTGTTTCTTGAAGGACGACGGGACGTACCACTGGGAGCAAAGTCACTGGTGACGATAAGATCCCAGACTCCAACTGCTACAGGCTGTTGAAAAAGTTCCCCATTATCCTCCACGGGCGCTGTGACTATCATCACATAAAACTTGTCTGGCCGCTCAAAGTACTCTGCGTATTCTTCTTTGGTCCATTCCCAGAAATCCTCGGGATGCTTATCGCGGTAGGGAAACCTGTAGTCCGTACCCGGATCATCGGGGAGACTGTTTGTAACGATCCAGGTTATGTCGTCCAGATCGTCTATTGTTGCCCGACGGAGGGTGAGAGGCTCATTCGAGACGACCTTTGCTGAAGGAGTAAGAGGTCCGCCGCCCATGATGAAGCTAGTTGAGACAGTCGTTATTTTGTCTTCGGTTGGTCGGCTTGTATGGAGTTAATAGCGATTCAAGGCATTCTTATATCTTTAATTGAGCAGTCGGGTCAATTCATCACTCGGTCCCGAGATCGAAGCGACAGCATGCCGATGACGTGATAAGTCGTTTATTCCTTATCAATCGCATCTAACTGGCTTCCTTCGAGTTTGACGTGCCTCTCTTGTGCATAAGGCTGAAGTCATGATGCAGATCGACAAGGTTGTTGTATCAATTAGGCTATCAATTAAGCTTCCTAGGAAGGGTCAGCCAAACTGTACGTACAATCTGCGATCCTCTCATTTATCAATTGTCAAGTTCCAAAAAACAACCCCGTATGTATTCTCACAATGGTCCTGTCATGGCGACCATTGCTTGCGTCTAGTAGAGCCTTCATCTTGCCGTCGAGATGGCGTAACCATGAGTTGCGACCTTGGATCCGGCACCTTGTCTGCTTAACGTAGAGCTTCTCTTCCTTCTGGGGCCTTATAGCGTCTCGGTCACAGACCACGGAGATGGACTCGGTACTTCCACCAGTGTGGATGAACAGTGGCATGTTTGCCAAATTTGCGTCAAAGATTGGATACCTCGGTCTGGAGGGCAAGATATCGAGGTCTGTTGCTATCAGTGTACAGCAATGCGAGCTCTGCGACCAACCCCAGCTACCAAGAAATCCGCTGAAGTACAGGACCACCTGACGCTGGGACTTGGAGTAGGTAATCGAGGTATCACTTGATGCTCTCACACCTTCGTATTCTGCAAGATTGTAACTCATCGTTCTTTGTTCCCTGATCGAATGTTGACCCCTATCCCAGTACCGTACTGTCTTGAGATGCAGATTCTCAAAAGCGCACTTGACTGCTATCTCAGTACAAGCCTAGCATCGAGTGGCAGTTTTGGCCAGTTTCTTGCAGCACGTAGGCATTGTCTGAAGTCGAGCAATTGATCACCCAGGGCTTCACCAAAGAGCGACGGCACAAGCCCATCCACCAAGAGATATAGGATCAAGGGAAAAGAGTTAATTACTCACAGAATGGGGTTTTTGATGGCTCTTGTCATATCGCACAGTAGTATCCTGTTGGGGAAGCAGAAGAAGCATAGGGGATGAAAGTGCGAAAAGGAGGAGAGAGCTCCGAGGCTCTCACGTTTTCTGGACTCGAGTTGGCAAGCCTTTTCCTTTCCCTTTTCAGCAAATGGCTGTACTCCTTATTGTGACAAGCTACCTGGGCACCGGTCGAGCTTTCTGTGATAGCTGGTGTCTTGCATCTGGCAGGTCTGCTCATGTTGCAGCCTAATTTGACCCCGGAGCTTCACCACAACAGAAGGAAAAGCGACGACTGAATATATCATTCGTCATCCTTCTGCCTAAAGATCTCAAGGCAGGCAATGGTATTTAACCTAAGATAATTAAACACTCGTCAAATAAAGGGAGTCAGTGATGATGTACAACAGAGCGTTGAACCTCTCAAGGTATGTGCATTCCAATGTTGAGAACAAAATTCTGAGACCCCTTATTTCTTATCATGTGAGAATTGATATCTCTTTTCTTGTAGCTTTTGGGGTCGTGGTGAGCCAGAACTCTCTCTTTTCTTGCAATAATGTCTGCCATGCGGAATACTGGTTACCCTGTAGATTTCGCTGTCATCGCGATAGTGTCACTGGCACCCTGGAAACACCTGCCTAACAACTCCGGATGGCCCAACTGGTAAGGCGACGAGATGCAAATAAATGATCTTGAATCCCTTTTGTATTCCATAAAATCTGTCACTTGCTATCCATAGGGAGATACAGCTACTACGTCTGGTAGAACGACAAGTTGATGGTTCGGAAATATGCCTCTTTAAGCCATATCATCATCCTTCAACTTATCCTTGGCCCTCTCATTCTCCATCGCCTGAGCCATAACAGCATTAGGATCCTTATCACCAACATCCAACACCTCAAAGTGACCAGTCTCAGTAGCATCACCAGTTCTGTAACCACTGTGAGCACCAAAGACGTACCACACGTAGCAAGTGATAGAAGCAGCAGCGCCAAGGAATCCGAAAACTGTCCAGTTACCCATAGAGTACATGGGCGATGTGCTGGCGGGGAATAGGAAAGGAGCTGTGATGCCTCCGGTGTTGGAGATGGCGATCATTCCTCCTGTTGCGAGAGCGGTGGCTGTTGAACCTCGGACGGTGGCAGTACGGTGCTGTGAGTTGTTAGTATTGTATCAATGAGGACAGGGAGGAGGAACTTACAGCAACGAAAGGCAGGACAGCAGCGTTGGTACAAGCGATAAGACAAACGGCGAAATACCTCACACCCCAATGTCTAACCAGCGCAAGAAGCAAATATCCAATACCAACAAAAGTCAATCCTCCAAGAACATGCTTCGAACGTTCCTTGGTCTTATCACTATGCAAGCAGTTACCCACAATGATGAAAACAGCAAAGACATTAGGAGGAACAGTCATCAACTGCGCATGAGCACCCTCAAAACCAAGCGATGCAACGATAGTAGGCGCGAAATATCCAAAGGCGTTGAGTGAGTTGGCCATGAAAAAGTAGGCGATAGCGAAGAGCCAGAAGAAGTAGTCGGAGACGGTTTCTTTGGCGACTTTGCTGTCCCAGTGTTTGTCGTTCATGGAGGGTGCGTAGGGGCCGAGACGTTTGACGGCAAAGGCACGTTCTTCGGGGGAGAGCCAGGAGACGGTTTGGGGGTCTATGATGTGTGAGTAGGAGGTTATGTTGTGGATTGTGGGACTTACAGTCGGGGAGGAAGAACCAGACACACATTCCTACGATGACAGCGGGAATACCCTCGAGTACAAAGAGCCTGTTCATGTTAGAGTTGTAATTGATCTGGGTAGAGGGACTTACCATTGCCATCCGGATAGACCAGCTTTTCCGTTGAGATAAGAAATACCTGTGGCTAGAATGCCACCAAAGGCACCCGCAACAGCAACACTAGAAGCAAAGATAGCCATCCTCGTAGCTCTCTCTTCAGGTTTATACCAAAAGCAGAGGTACATCATGATACTGCAACAGTTAGCCACATCTCCTCCCAATACCTCACACTCATCACTCACCCGGGAAAGAAACCAGCCTCAGCGAGACCCAAGAAAATCCTCACAATCAACAACCCCGCATAAGTCGAAACAGCAGCCGTACAAATAGTAACAATTCCCCAAGAAACCATAATCCTAGCAATCCATTTACTAGGCGAAAAGTACTTGAGAAGAATGTTACTCGGGAATTCCATTAGGACGTATGGCACGAAGAATAGGGCTACTGCGATGTTGTATCGTTGGCCTGTGAGGTTGAGTTGGGTGACGATGTTGTGTTCTGGTGTGTCGTTGTTCAATGTGCGGGCATTACCCAGGTTGACTCTGTCGAGGTAGTCTTGACATCCATGTTAGATGATGCTGTGAGGTGAGAGGTGAGGACTTACTGAGGAGGTAGGTTATACAGACCCATGGCATGATTCTAAGATCTTGCTTTCGAACGATTCTCTTTTCCATTTCTTTATCGTTCAGATCAACCGTCTCTAGAGCGGGGACGTCTAGAGACGGTTTCGGAGACATGAACTTATTCCAGTTGAACATGGCGATATACGGTCAACCCAGTTGCTTGAACATCAATGAACAGGTTGGAGGACAGCAGTCTATTTAAATACACATCATTGCTACACCTGCAGCTACTGTACTTCCTTACATCGGCCTCTCTTATCACATACACATGGAATTTTAAGTTCAACAGGGATTGTATCCCTCGCGATAACGGCACTTGGAAACGCCCGCACAATCATTACCCCAGATTTGTTCATCTCAAAACAGTAACGAACTGCATCTCACTTACATGTCCAGAATATCCACCCAGATAACGGTGAACGGACGGTACCAAATCGGCAAAAATGCCCGAAGGTAACTACTCCAGATCTGGTGTTTTACGTGTCGTCTTGACTCACGTTGTCTGTCAACTCGGTTAAGAACCGAACTAAATAATGCAGCCGATTCGTATATCTTATCTGTATTCATCCAGGATTCAGTCACGGGTCGAGTTTAGTTGGTTTCACGCCGGGAATATTGATTCAATACTGCTGTAGTTGTTCAAGCGCCGAGATAATTGAGAGAACTTTCTCCGCGGCCGATCTCGGGATGAAGATTTTCATGGTGCGATTTTTATGCGGCTTTTGTTCTCATCTTGATAGAGGCGATGATAAGAACAAGATAAGATTCACTCTATTTGTTTAATTAATTGTCATTTCTGTTCTGGAATTAAAAGGGATTAAGATGGATGCGGATAAATATTTTACATATATCCCTCTTCTTGGTGACAATGCTCTCGAGGTGTTTGAGGAATTACCCGCCAAGACATTCAAGTAACCCAGGTGCTTATATGCATTCAGATCAGCATTCTATTTTGACGCCCTAAGCTTCAGAGGACATTTCTTTTGTTATCAAGTCACTGCGGGTTGATATTGTACATATATCCCCTCTCAGTGACGATGCCCAGCCCGAATGTTCAAGTATAACCGAGGACCTTTTCAACAAAGATCATCTCTATTGAGCTTATTGGCTGCTCATTCTCAAAGGATCTGATGTCTCTCAACTAACCTGATGCATAAGTGAGATATGATCAACCCGTCAATAAACACCAATTACTCCTCATTCAACTTACTCCTCAAATCTTACACCTTCCATAGCTGGCTGGCTGCTCATGTAAGGCCAGATATCGATATCATCGCAAAAGACCTCTCATTGTCATTGTGTCCAAGAAAAAATGTCTCCATTTCGTCAGACTAACATTAAACATGGATCACCCATTGATCAAGCCGGCCCCTCCGAATTCTTACACTCATGACTAGTTACACCAAATTTTCACCTCAAAAAATATCATCAAGAATAAAAGTAAAATATTCAGGGTTATCACAATGGCGACCCTCACTTCTCTACCCCCAGAAATCCTTCTGCAAATCATAGATTCCTGCATAACTAGCCACGCCCTATCCTCACTAGCCCAAGCCTCCCCAGCACTGTCAATCTTTGTTACACCACTGCTTTACAAGCGTCAACTCGACAATGATGATCATCACGTAACTTTCCACGCAGCAAAACACGGAAACCTAAATGCTTTAAGAAACTGTCACAAGTACTTGACGCTTAATGTGTACAAGTGCAGTAAAGGAAATTACGATACTGGATCTTTTGGTGCTGAGAAACAGAGACGGAATGGATGGTTCTGGACGCCCCTTCATGAAGCTGTCAAAAGTGGAAATTTCGAGATTGTGAAATGGATGATTGATCATGGCGTTGATATAAACGCTGCTTCATTAAAATTCCATGATGGGATGGGAATTACAGAGGGGAGATATCATATCGATTTCGGCGACAGGTTGAGCTTTCACATGTTACCGCTGGTAACTTTCTCACCACTCATAACATCGATATACCACCATCATCACGATATTACAAAACTTCTTTTGGAGAGAGGCGCTTCGATACATATCAACGATGTCCGCAAATTACAACCCTGCGGGACTACAGCGCTTCACGTGGCGGTAATAAATGCGAATGTCAAGGCAATCAGAATGCTTGTTGAGGGAGGGCATGCAGGACCGAATGATTTGGATGCCGCTGGTTTTCCACCGCTGGTATGGGCTGCTCTCAACGTGTGCAATGACCCGCGCGTTCGTGAGTCGATGAAAGTCCTTGTTGAGCTGGGAGCGGATCTAAATCATGTCATGCCGTGCGATCCATGGTTAGGATCGAATCACAATATGGTGACTTTTCTCACAAAGAGAGGAAAACCAGATGCTGCGCAGGAACTCATCAACTTGGGTGCACTAGCATGAATAAACCATCACTATCAGATTAATCTAACCCTCGCGCTCCTTGGACCCAACAGTTGATCTAGAAGATGAACTTCTCAAAACTTTTCCTCCTTCAGGTCCAGATTCGGGAGTATCATTTGCACTACTCTCTTTAGCCAAAGGTGAAGAAAAGTCAGGCGTGCCAGAACGTGAATCGTAACCAGGTCGTTTCGGCTTGGAACTCGTAGACAATCTCTTCCGTCCCTTTGAGATCGAACCACTGCTGGATCGTCGGATACCCTCTTCTTCAACATTGGGAGTAGGACTTCTGGTTGAGCTCGTGGACGCGCGACGGACACTACTACCCCGACGTCTACGTTCTCGTTCAACAGAAACATGGCGCGGAGGAGCCTTTTCTTCGTGTCGGCGAGGTTGTCGGCCAGGGAACCACCAAGTCCAGGGATATTGCGCTCGCACAAGCTGATAATCCCGTTCCTTGACTTTCTGTCTCAACAACGCACGACGTTCATTCTCCTTCTCCCAATACTCCGTCCTGTACAATTCCCAATTCTCTCTAAACGTAGCAGAAAAAGGTTTGGCCAGAAGAAGCAGCTTGACGTAATCACCACCAGGCGCCAGATCCTCCTCGTGACCGCCTTTCTCCTCATCTTCGTGGGGCAGCACCAGCGTGGGATGGTTGTCGCTCGTGATCTGGAGTTCCTTCTCCACCTCGCGCATAAGGCTCGGCTCGACGTACCGGTAGGATGAACTAGCCGTGTGGGAGAATAACCCGTACGTCAAAAAGAATCCGATTGTAGAGAGAGCTTCGGCCCACCACGTCCGTCGTATTATAATCAGTTTACAGTTGAAGCCGCGCAGTCCTCTGTTCGAAATGACAAACCAGCGTCGCGGCCAACGAATGCCGCGCTCCCAGATTCCAGTTGCCCATACGAGAATCGCAGTAATGATACCGCCCATGAAGCATACTTTTTCAGCACCTTCCACAGCCCAGTAGATAGAACCTCCAACACCTCTCCCGTCTTCACGCGGTGCTAGGAAGAGAGCATATCCAAAACCAGCGATCCACAGAGACAGGAGAGTAAGGAAGAAGGTATGGTGTCGTTTTCTTGCTCGGAGTTCGAGGAATTGCGCGCGGAGGGAAGCTTCGAGGATCAACAGGTTGAGATAGATCATGGACGGTGAACTAGGAGTGTGATGAAGAGGATCGCCCTGCTTTGCGGTCGTAGGCAGGATTGGACTCGCGCCGGCGACATCTTTGGCGCCTTGCGTTGGAGCAGAAGCGCCTTTGACGATGGAATCGACATCGTCGGACATTTCGATATGAATGGGGGCTGAGGGGCAGCCTGCAGCCTGTCAAGGAGATCTCGAGGCCATGCACTACTATCAAGGGATGGTGTATGTAGTTGGGCGTCCAAAGTTCTAGTGCCCAGTTGAAGCGCAAAAAGGAGTCAGTTGGAATGTTAGCGTTGAACGTGGTCAGAACGTGTGATCGGATGTGATGCTGGGGAGTGGTTCGGTTTGCTTGTGCTTGACCGGGCCCGCTCCAGGTGGTCAATCGTCATCACAAGCCAAAAATTAGAGAAAGGTCCATCCCCTGTAGTGGAGAGTTGAGAGAGCTTCAGTCGGCATTCGGTTCGTTCTTCAGCGGTCCAAGCGCCAATTGTAGTGGGTTTCCCCAACACGTTTGACACAACGATGATGGGGCAGAAGTTACATAAACCGATATATTCCGGAGCATTTCTTTGTATCATATGGGGATCATTTCCTTGGAACAATTCTCTCATTACCTATCACTGTCCCTATCATCTTTACGTCTTTTGTTCTCTACTCAGCCTCTTTTTTTGACAGTTCCTCCGCAATCTTACTACCTCGCGGACTTTGCCACGGATTTCATCTCACCAAATTCCCCCGATCCCGTGCAAAACCCGATAACTACTGCCTTAACTCCGGACTCAGCCCTGCAAAAGAGGCGTCATCAATTTTAAACTGTTTTTTTCATGCGAACGATATAACCCCCTCTAGTCCCCCCGCGGAATGCTTAGGCTTCAACCTTCTTATGCGGTACTACCTTTATCGCGACTTTCTAAAATTGCCACTTGTTCAAGAATAAGAACTATGAGTACAGACGGGACCGTCAGTCCTAATGCGCCTCCAGAGGTTAAGCATCAGGCGGAATTGAAGCCTTCGCATGCTTTCTTGTTTCCATTGGGTTATAAAGATGCCGCGTACCAATGGGTAAGACATACAGCGCTTGCGCAGTGACAAAACTAACGGTTCGTTTAGTGGGCGAGTCTTGCCCCTCAAGCCGTTGAGCGCAATCTTCTCAGTCTCATGCCTCATATTCGAGAAGCGAACGACAGCATTTCAAACATCGATACGCCCGAACGTCCAGACCCATTCGGTACGAGAGTGTGGCGACGAACAATGGTTCAGCTCTCTGGCAAAAACCGCGCTTTGAACGAAGTTACCGTCGAACGAGTTGGCGAAAAGACTGAGGATGCTTTGGTTATGATTCATGGATATGGAGCTGGTCTTGGTTTCTTCTACAAGAACTTTGAGCCTATTTCTCGCATGCGAGGACTTAAGCTCTATGCGCTGGATATGCTAGGCTGTGGAAATTCTTCACGCCCTGCTTTCAAGATCCATGCGAAGAAGAAGGAGGATCAAGTTCTTGAGGCGGAGAGTTGGTTCGTCGATGCGCTGGAAGAGTGGCGAAAGGAGAGAAAGCTGGATCAGTTTACTCTTCTTGGCCACTCCCTTGGTGGTTATCTCGCAGTGTCATACGCCATCAAGTATCCAGGCCGTCTCAAGAAGCTCATTCTTGCTTCACCAGTCGGTATTCCCGCTGATCCCTACGCCGTCAACGCCGACATGCCCGAACCAAACACATCCACGATCCAAGCCGAGATGATGCAAGACCAACAAAGCACAACCGACAAAACCGGAACTCTATCCAAACACAAACCCGCTTCCAACGTCCTCCGAAGACCTCTGCCGGGCTGGTTCGTCTGGCTGTGGGATCAAAACATCTCCCCCTTCAGCATCGTCCGAATGAGCGGACCCCTCGGTCCACGATTCGTTTCAGGCTGGAGTTTCCGCCGTTTCAACCATCTCCCACCCGCCGAATCGCAAGCTTTACACGACTACTCCTTCTCCATCTTTAAGCAAAAAGGCAGTGGCGAGTATGCTCTAGCCTATATCCTGGCCCCTGGAGCCTACGCCCGACGCCCCGTGATCAACCGTATCCAAGAAGTCGGTCGTCAAACAATCACCCAAGAAGACGGCACGAAACTGAAAGAGATGGGTATTCCCGTAGTCTTCATGTACGGAGAAAACGACTGGATGGACGTAGCTGGCGGTATCTCTTCCGAGGAGAAACTCAACGCCGCCAAGCAAAAAGCTCTCGAGAACGCAACAGAGGAAGAAAGAAAGCGAGAAAACGGTAGCGCAAAGGTACTTCTGGTTCCCAAGGCCGGCCACCATCTCTACCTCGACAACCCAGAAGTGTTCAACGACATGATCACCAAAGAGCTTGAAGAGACGAGAAGATCTGAGAAGAGATTAAAATAGACGGATATGTTTTATGAGTGAAAGAGATATGGAAGATACATAGGGTTGGCGTTTGATGGGCTGTGAATATTTATTTCACTGATATGATCCGAGATATAGAGGATCTTATCGACATTTGGAAAGGCGTTGTTTTTATTATTTGATTCGATTAGATTTGCATATACCTATTTACCGCCTGCTTGGCATGGCGCTTTCATAGTAGATTGTACAACAAAGATACTCCATTCAGATTCATTTTCAATGTTCAGTCGACACACCCGATCAGCATGTCAGATGTTCATCTTGGCATGGTACAGGGATAAAATGAATCAGTCATGTATTCTAATTTCTAATCTACATATGCTACCCACCAGTACGCCATGCATGAAAACAACGCTTATAAGTTGATCAAGTCGACCTCTGAGAAATCAGGAGGCGCTCTGCCATAAACCACACGTACTTTACTGTCGAGAGCTGTACCCTCGTTACTGATCCAGATGTGATCACTGTATGCCTGAGTGCGACGAATTTCATCATCGCTGATACCAAGATCGTCCCTGGGGATCCAAACTGTAGGACGTCGTGCCCGAAGAGCCTCGTGCTGGAATGCATGCCTAGTGAGAGCATCTCGTTCCTCGGGCGTGAGATCCTCGATTTCATCATGGAAACCTCCAAACAGTGCTTCTCCTATCGCGCGCTGAGCTTCGATATCCTTTCGTCGGTGTTTCTCTCGGTACAGTGACGCTCTCTTGTTCTTGTCTGATGCCTTATTCACAACACCAATCTTGCGCAGTTGCTGACCACCCCCCTTTGCCCATGTGCCAACTTTATTCATGGGTCGACGCACAGAGCCAAATCTTCGCATTTCGATGGCATTACCATTTTCTCCATTCTTCTCTGGCTGTTTGATGTCGTCCTCCTCTTCCTCTTGTAGCTCGTCATTGTCAATGAGACCAAGACGTTGATCCTGTGCTCTTTGGAAGGCTTGATCACGCAATACTGCCTCGTCTTCGAATGTTATCGGCAGGTAACGGAACAGTGGCCCGAATGCATAGTTCAGCAGCACTTGGTAAAGACCCGTGAGGAGGAAGACAACAATCATGACAGCACCATGAGCTGTACACTCGTTCGTGCCATCCGGAGCCTCGGCAATGAAGAACAAACCTGCCATGCAAAGCTCCATAAAGTAGATACCAGTAAACGTCTGATTGATAGCTCTGGGGTACAAAACACCACCGGTATCATGCTCGAATCGGTTTACGTAGAGCATGACGTATCTCTGAGCCATCCATAACAAACCGAAAGTGATAATTGCGAATATGGAAATGAGTGGCGCGATAACGCAGTATACCAGTCCGATGCAGGCGAAGTTGGTGTAGATAGGGAACAATCGACCCCAGGTGACCTGGTTGAGTTTGGTGTTTCGGGACCACTTGTTACGTGCAGTACTATCGAGCATCTTGGCAATGACATACCACATGACCAAAGCTCCAATTTGTGCGAGCGTGGCAGAGCTCGTAGACAGTGCCTGTAGAATCATGTAAGAGAAGAAATAGTTTGCGGCAGTCGGGAGATTCTTTGCAAGAAGATCCAGAACCTTTTCAACTGTATTGAGTTCCTTGAAGTTGTTCACGAGGGCATCAATGGAGGCCGCGAAGAACGACGCAATGGAAACAATCAAGAAGACTTGAATGAACAAGAAGACAAAGTAGTAGCGCTGCACAAATTCAGTCTTTTGGGAGCCTGTTTTGACACCCTTGAAATCGGCAAAGAAGCCCAGGATGACGGGGACCAAGAACAATAGAAGAGCGAGCACGATGGTAGGCAAGACACCTGCTATGGACTTGGCGATCTTGTGTACAGTCGGGTCGTCCTTGAGGAAAGATAACCATTCGTTGTTTCGAATCAAATTATCAAGTTGACTCAGCGCGGCTGTCCAAGCAACGGGGATAGCCCAGAGGAAAAGCATAGCAACAACGGCTGCAAAGACTATTCCTGATCGAAGCCACTCCTGCCACCAGCTGAAGGCCATGTTGTCCCAATTGACATCTTTAGGTGAGATTTCGTTCATTCTCGGAGCCATCTGCTGGGGTATATGGTGGATAACGCTCTGGCAAGCCATGTGAGCGGCGACTTGGTGGTTGAATTGGATGAAAGCAGAGTTCATGAGTGGGTAGCGCTCGGGATGGCTCTGGTCCTCCTCAATCTCCACATTCAATCGAGCCAGCTGTTCACGGCACCAGTAGATTGTGTCGACCTTCTTCGTAACTAGAGGGATAGGGAATAGCCATTTCTTTCCGAACAAGGGGAGGCGATGGGTTGGGCGATCCTTCTTCTTAAGATATTTCTCCCATTCCGCAGGCTCAGCATCTTCCTTGTAGTCGGGGTTGAATGCTGTGGCATATTCGATCGGACCCTCCTCTATTTCGGGGCTGACGAAGGGTAGCGCATACTTGATTCTCTGCCACAAAGGCTTACTTTGTGCGTCCTTGCGCTCTCGGTAAGCTGCTGCGACATCTCCCTGCGGGACAGGAGAAGCATAAGCACCAGGGGGAGGCTTCCAAAATTCCCACCACTTCGAGTCTTCTTTGACGTAGATCTCATCGATGTTGCCGATTTTTCGAACTGTGTTTCCTGGTTTATGCATAGCAGCGGTGCTTTCCCCTGAGTGTCTATCCGTGTTACGTGACTGGTTCAGCACTCGAAGAGTGTCCGACGGCGAATTAAGCTCATCTTCGTCTGTAGAAGGCCGAATACGATACCTGTCAGAGCCGCGAGACGGCGCGCGCTTCTCGTCCTGCTGCAAACCCATAAAGCCGTTGGTTGTTTCGAGAGTATTATCCACATTTTTCTCGGCTTTGGAGACAACGCCCAAGATGCCTTGGCCGACCTTGGAGAAAGGGTCCAGTACGTTGAATCCCTTTGACTTCTCCTTGTCAGTGTGGTGCCCCTCTACCTGGTCCATGTCGTGCTCTGATTCGCGAACACCTTGGTCAACCGAATGAGGAACTTCGTGCTTATCGCCGGCCGCTTGGCCTCCGGCACTATTTGCCATTCGTTGAGCTTCGGCATCTAGTTGAGCATCTCTTTCAGCTCTTTCTTTCTTGGTGACCGCCTTGAGCTTTCTCTCCTTGCGTTCCTTCTTTTCGGCTGCTTTTGTTTGCTTGAGCTGGGCCTTCTTTGCTGACTTGATGAGGTCGGTCTCGGCAGACTCCAGTTGCTGATGGATATCGTTGCGTTCCTTTACTTTTTCAAGCAGTGGCGATAAATCTCGGTTCAGCCAGATGTTTCGAATTCCTCCAGGGAAAACATCAAACAATCCTGTCAAGGCTTCCTCGCTGAGCCACTTAGCAGGAATGGAGTTTACCAGGACGGTGGTAGCCGAAGCCTTGAGGCGGTGCTCCGCGCTGGTAAGGTAATCTTGGCGAACCTTGACATAGATCTTGAGTTCAATAAAGAAAACCCAGCAAACCCAGATAACGACAAGGATACCCATCAGTAGATGAGCTCCGTATCTGTCGAGATTCTTGTTGCTAACGTTTCCCCATGCGAGTGTGTCCAGACCGGTAGGCCTATCGTTGCTCTGTTCTTCTTCGCGAGTCTTGTCGTCGACGTTGACTTCTTTACCAATACCTCCAACATAGTTGATAGGAATCAGGATTGGCATAACAATGCAGCAAATCGGAATGAAGATGATGAGAAGCGTTTTCAAATAGCGGAGGAAGAAGTAGGCATCAAGACCACACTTGTTGATGATTTCACGGTCATTGTAGTGCCATAATGTCTTGAACATGCCAAAAAGAGTCGTCGGAGGGGAGTCGGTTCGTTCTCGTTCGGGGACAAGGTAGGTTTTCGGTTTGCTGTGAATGTTAGCGATTGACTTTGCAGTTGGAGAACAACATACAAGATACGGGCGAGTTTGTTTCTCAGTAACAGAAATGCAAACACCTGTACTGAAAAGACAATAACGGCTACTACCAAAGAAGTGAAGAAAGTGGCGATGCCAACACCTCGTTCACTAGTCGCAGCACTGGTTGTCTCCGCGGGCGTGTAACCTCCCGAAGATGTCTTTGAAGGGCCATCAGAGGATGTTGCGGCGGGGGTTCCAGTTATGGAAGCGGATATCGCAGAAGATATTAAGGAACTGACGATAGAGCTGGTGATTGATGCTGTATCTGTGGCAGTTTCGGCTGTGCCTGTCCCTGAAGGATCGGCTGAAGACATGTTGGAGTATTATGTTTGCCCCAAAAGGGGGGAATGATATGAAGGCCTATTCTCAAAGAATTATGATGAGAAAACGAACGTAATGTGTTAAGAACAAGTCATGGAGATGATTTTCTTAGGTAGGAAAGAGGATCTAGGTATGGGAGTAATTAACAAAAAAGAAGGTTTGGTTCCAAGATATCGAGGTACTTGCCTATGGGCATTCGTCGCGCGTCATGGTAGGTAACCCCCTGTCAACAAAGGCAGTAGCACTAACCCAACCCACCTAAGAGTGCAGCAGAAACTTGAGCCAAAGGTCCAAGGTGACGAAAATAAGGTACCCAACAAAGGGTTTACGCTCGGCTAAACTATTATGTCGCCGATCAATGACCAGTGAGTCGCTGTGGCACCGCTGTGGCACCATACTAGTTAGGGAAGTTGTTCAAGTGTGATTGGATACGACGTATTTGAAAGGGCAAGTGAAGCGAACAAGGGGACCACTGAAAGGGTGCTCAACCGAGTGGAAAAACTGGATAATCCCAGCATCATCAACACACTGCAGATGGGGTCTAGACCAATGACATCAGTGGCTTGAAACAGTCCCCTGAATGGGTGTTTGACCTTTGTTGGGCGGCTACAGAATCGTTGGCTTTGGTTTCTTTGTTTTTGGCGCCTACAAAGATCAAAGACACTAGAAATAGATGCAGCCGCGCGCTACAAACTAACAAAGCGTATAAAGACGTTATATGTCAAAGACGTTTCTTTTTATGGCTGCATGTTCTGGTCTTGGAGGTAGATCGTGTCTGGGGTTTGGGGATACTCGTTGGTTCCCGAGTATGTACGTTACTCTGTCATGTATCAGATCGATAGGCCAAGAACTGTTCAGGTTACAGTACGAGATGAGATTCAGTGTAACCCTGAGCAAGCTAAATCGCCAAGGATGCCAAAAATGATAGCATAAGAAGCTTATTTAAGGAGCCGCATTATTCTGTCACTTGGGATGCAATTGCTACAGGTATCGTAGTTGAGCAACAGTGTACAGACGAAAAAGAATTCGATTTATTACGTTATCATATCGAAATTAGGTTGTATTCGGTGCAATTAAAAGTTAACCTTTGGGAATGGAGATTAGAATTCCGCGTATTTGGGACAATTTCGCTTCAATATTCGCAACCCCATACGAGAAACTTGGCGTTCATGTCACTGCTTGGCCCCCAGTAATTGTTGGGACTATGGTCATGTTTCTGGAATCATATCCCCTTTTCTTGATTAGCCATAACTTCAGGGTAGTGTTACCAATCAGAGGCGATGTCAACAATGTTGTGATGAGTTGCTCACCCAGTCGTATGGTTACCCTATAACCAAATATCTCAGATCAGGTTAAATGGATAACGACAACAGTCACAATTCGAGAGATGAAAACAGTAATACTTAAAATAAACAATGTGCAATTCTATTCAGATACAAACAAGTTGCATGTTAAAGTAACATCGGCAGATAACTCAAAGATCAAATGTCAAATCAAACTCGGACTTTACTCTAGGAAACATCACCAGCCTCTTTTCCCCCATCCTGCCCGCTACCACCTGTTAGACTCATGTCTGTATAGAACATAAATCAAGTCTTGGTAGGGTCAAGGGTGTGACGGACTACCTCTACAAAGTTGTGACGGTTCATCAAGGGGAAATGATGAAACTTGATGATTCCCTCAACCTGAGAGTACTTTACCCAAATGCAATCGTTCTCAGGTTCCAGGGAAAACACATCAAAAACTTTCATGTACATGTTGAGAGCGTTCTCGATTCTGTCGCGCAGCTGAGGGTCAATCTGATGGCGTCTGAGATACTCAGTCTCAATAGAAAGTCGCCCGACGAACTCTCTAGCATAGAGTCGCGACTTAATGCCCTTCAAATGGAGCCTCGCGATTTTCCAACCTTCATTGTCTCTCTCGCATGAGATATCGACCTTCTGCTTCAGAAGATCTGGAATGACGGTTTCTATACCAGGCGGAAGATCCTGTGCTTTCTTGACGATGCCAACCATAAAACATGGAAGGCAGCTGGTAGGCAGTTTCAATACTGCGTCAAGGACTTCCAGCATCCTCCCACGCTTGTCTTGGGAGAGACTGAGAAGAACGCCCTTGTTGTGACCTCCTGCTGTATCCTTGTCCCAGCAGTTGGAGCAAGAAAGCACAAATCGGCAAGTTGGACATTTATGCTGCTTCTGATGCTCTTCATCATGATCCAGAAGAGCATCAGCACATGAAAGACCGAAGATGTGTCCACAGGGGAGGACATACGCCGCATGGGGAATCTTCTCAATCTTTCGATAATATGGAATCAGGTTAACGTTTGGAACGTCTTCATCCACAGTCATTGGCTCTGTGCAAATTCCGCAAATCGGGTTTACGCGGTTCACAGCTGATGGATCTGCCCGGACGATCTCCATGAGGGAGGGCAGATACGATTCCGGAAAGGAACTCATGTTTGCTGATTTGTTGATAGATGTGATACTTACTTTGAGAAAGTGTGATAAGTAGTGATAAGTAGTGATGAGTAGTGATGAGTAGTGATGAGTAGTGATAAGTAGTGATAAGTAGTGATGAGTAGTGATGAGTAGTGGTGAATAGTGATGAATGGTGAGATTGATTTTGTCGAAAACTCGGTTGAAGGCCAGATACTTATACTAGTCTGACCTTGGATGTTCTCGATATCTACTTGGTTGTTTACGAGGGAGACCTGAATGTTTCTATGAACAGGCCACTGTTAACATATCACAGAGAAACATTAGAGTGTTCCTATGTGACATACAAGTGAGCCCAGTATACTCTATGAACGAGAGGGGCTGTTCCTAGGTCCGTAAGGGTTTTAGGGATCTGTGCACAGCAACAGACCTTAGATATCATGAATACTCAGAACAAAAGCTGCTCAGGCTTATGTATGGCAGTTTCTTCCTTGGCCAGTTCGATACAGCCAGTCTTCGTAGTAGTCCACCAAAGAGTCAAGATAAGCTAAGCCAGTCCCTGCCCTTTGCTCCTCGCCTTGTATTCTGAACTCGATAATTGGATGAGCATGGTGTACCCGAGCGAACAGAACACTGCTTACCCAGTATAGATGAAAGGAAGTGGTGACATGGCCTTCAAGAATATGTATACAGCGTAGTGTTCTTACTGGTTTGTCCCATAGGACTGGCCGACTGTAGATCCGACGACGATTAAGACCCTTACTGTTTAGCCTGGAAGTAGTTGAGGAGGATGGATTGTTCTTGAGACTCCTTATCCCAGTCCTTGACATCGATGCAAGCGACAGAACAGCATTCTTCTACTATCTTCAGCGGAGGCATCAAAGAGAGTCAGTTACTAGGGAACAACAGAACTGTTCTCCAAGACAAAGGGGCATTGAAATAAAGTAGCACAAGTGCTGGTCTAAGCCAACATAAAGTGATCAAGTTATTTCGTCTCTTATGCTTACAGTGGCGGCTAAATCTTCTGATACCCTGGCGAAAGCTTCGCCATCGGTATTGATAACATCTCGACGCTCCACCCCAGAAAGAACTCTTCGAAGTGGCTTCAAATCAGCCACATAGTTCCTCAGAACATCTGATTCGGCACCCTTCTAAGGCATATCTGCATCTATCTGGAATCTCAACCACGTAATGGCACTCTTCGACATCCGTAGCGGCAGCCCTAGAGAGCCCCCCTCTTTACCATTTGCAGTAGCAGCATCAGCCAGAGCTTCCACTATACATCCGCTCCAGTGGCAGCACTCCGATGATATCCTAAAAACTACTGCACCTGCCCAAAATGTCTACTCCTACACCGACCCCTATGTCATTCGGGAGGGTTTTCACACATCAGCTGCGGAGAGATATTTCCGATTACTGGTCCTGTCCCCGGTAGCGGCAGCGGCAGTAGAAGCAGCGAATCATTCCTGATATACAGGCGCCAGCAGTATCAGTAGCAGCAGCAGAGAGGCGTTCGTGTCACCAGCGCCAGCAGCGGCGGTAGTAGCGGCGACATCAAAAGCTTTCCCACCCATCCGAGCGATGCCACCGATGGCTTTCCTCTACCATCCGGCAGCGGCACCGGAGAGAGCTTCCCTTTTCACTAACTCTTTGCCGGTATGGGCCAGTCCTCCAAGGATTCCAGGCCAACAAGCAGACCACTAAGCTCTTGACGAGCTTCGCGACGCTACCGTCAGCAAGTCTGCTGGGACTCACAGTCGTTATGGAATTTACTGCGATGACATTGTGATTCACCCGTCTAAGTCAAGATACGACACGTCAACACTTTGAACCATCTGTCAGTATGTTTATTCAGTGTGCTTTGGACCTCTTTGACCTGTTTGTACAGACGAAGCAGACGATCACCAGTAGAGCGAGTCGAAGCATCTATGCCATTCTATATGAGCCCCGGAGGATAACTATTCTGCTACCCAACAGACCTGCTCTCACAGATCAACTCTTCTCAACTTGACCGATCCTGTTCGTTAGCCTGAGACTGTATCAGAGCTCGAGCCTCTCAATTAGAGTTGTTCAGATACTCAAAGAACTCTGAATCACCTGAGAACAGTACGCAGTGACTCATACTGCAGAAATTTTCTTTTAGACGGGAACAATGGTAAACTCTAGAACGTTCAAGACGGTCTTCAAGATGGCTAATTAGATCACTTGCCAGGCAGATATTTCCCTTGAAAACTTTGTCGACGAAACGGGTTTGAAATGTCTAATTGGGGTCTTTCCATAGGCCTGTCCTGTGAACTCTGAAATCTCTGAATAAGAAAGTTCCCTGAAATCTTTTCAAGGAGAATGACATGAAAATCTCTGCTTAAACTCTGTTTTTCAAGGGGACTGACATGAAAATATCTTCTCAAACTCTGTTATTCCAGTCTATATAAAAACATCTTTCCCCTGGACTGTTCGATCTTCTGTCTTCCCTTATACACATCGCTCATACTCACGCTCTATCTTGCACTTGCTATCGCTATCGCTATCGCTCTCGCTCTTATACTCATACTCATTCAAACTCTCACTCTCACTCTCACTCTCACTCATACACACATACTACTCGCATTCTCTTGCTCATACACATTGACATACGTGTCTTTGTCTATCTTCATACACATTCGTCTACATCCTCATATACACTACTTCTCTTCTACCTTTACATCCGTCTTCTCTTCTACTTCTCACGCTTATACACACTGACAACTACGTCTTTGTCTATCTTCACACACACTACTTCTCTTCATCTCTGTCTTCGATTCCACATCTACCACCTCAGCTACTTAACATGTCCTCTACTACCAACATGTCTTCTATCACCACCATGTCTTCTATCACCAACAACTTTTTCTCAAACGCCATGTCTACCAAAAAGGCCATGTCTACTACCAAAGACATGGCTACCATAGACGACATCCCTACCACAGACGACATGACAAACGAAATGAAGGACAAGATAACCTGCACCAACTGGGCAGCACTGAAGACTTATCTCCAAAACAAGGACGTTTCCTACGGCCAACTCCAGCTGGAGTGTGGAATCTGCTACCAAGTCATGGACATGCCTGCAGATATGGACCAGAGAGATGAAGACCACGAGAGATGGTACAAGGAAGGCGAAGAAACTCCCACCATTCAAGCATGCGGCCACATCTATTGTAACGCATGCCTTGAAGAGTGTTACGGACCTAACTCAGACATCGAGGGCGGCAACTGTTTCAAGTGCAGAACAGAGCTTGTTCACCCAGGATGTGGCCATCTGAACTGTGGGCAGAAGTTCCCCTCTACAAAGAAGCATATCGATTCGTTCACACCACTACTGTCAGAAGGCGGCCAACTTACAGACCGCTGCAATCTTTGCATCGTGGGAGATTACTGTAATGAGCTTAAGAAGGTGGCTCAATCCTACAACTCCCTACTTAACGACCCTTCTCAAGAGATGGGAATTTCCGTTTACGATCAGTTCACTGGCAAGGCTTTCTACATCAACCACGACAGCGACGAGTGGGACGCTATGCGTTGCGATACTCCAGAAGAGGCCAAGCCTATCCTGGAACGCTTTAAGAAACAGCGCAACGCGATCAACAACTCCAGCAACCTCTGGTCTGGTATGTCTTTCGAAGTCGGTATGAGTTTCCAGTGGTACGTCAATATACAAGACGACTTGCAATACAAGATCTTTGCGGAGGACGACGCTTTTACACCCCACCGAGCAGCATACAAAGGTCTGCGAGGTTTTCTTTCTGAAGATATGCCTGCCGGCAACACATACGACGACGCTTTTACAAGCCATCGAGCTACTTTCAAAGGCCTGCGTGCCTCATTGTTCGAAGACACACCCGACAGCATCACAGTTTGAGTTGAGTTGAGTTGAGTTGAGTTACACTATCACACACAGTCCTGCTGTCAGGCTACGAGTTACGATTTGCATTATACCCAAGCGATTGCTTTACGCTTCTTTTTACAATTGGTTATCATAAAGATACCATTTGACTGGCATTGGATGAGTGGGAGAGAGAGAGATGTCTTGTTAGATGGAGTCCTGTACGCAGGCTATGAGCTACGCGTTGCAAAAGCAACTCCTTTCTCATCAATATACTATCGATCATAAATTGATCACACCCACTTACAAGATACCTACACATACAAAGTGATGATGCTCATTGTAAGATCGTAAGATTTAGGATGCCAAAACAAAGTGGTCTAAGTGTTAGTATAAGAAAACACAAGGTTACCTAAATGTTTTGTCTCTTATGTTCTTGACGGTCATCTCTGCACACCACAACTCGTTTGATCTGTTGTTACGACTTGTAGGAACTCTTATCACTCGGCACTGGCTTCACGAAGTCTTGTAAGATAAAAAGCGATAAATTTGTCTCAAAGCTAACATAAAGACATAAACATAAGAATCTTAAACACTCATTTCATTTCTCATTTCCCTCCCAAACAAGCACAATAACACTATCCTTCGTCTCACCCTGCTCCTCACCCCATCTCTTTCTGAGAGCTGGCACATCCAAAGCACCTCTCTTAACATACGCCTGCCAAACATCACCTCCAGGCGTAGTAACAGAGTCCATCAACTTCCACACATTCCGTCGACCCGTCCAGAACAGCATCTTTCTATCAGCCTTGTCCTCTTTGAGTTTGACAGGTCCGATGAGAGAGCGCCACTTGCTGTCTGGTTTGCCAGCGGTGGAGGCGGGCATGTCGGACAGATGAATGCCGTCGGGGTACTCTGTTATCGTGTAGCCGTTGACAAGAACCCAGTTGTCGCGGAAGCGGTAGCGTTGGAGGAAACATGCCTCGCCGCAGACGTCGGTGACGAGATGGGCTTGGCTGGGTGTAAGCTGGTGGCGTTCTCCGTAATCGTGTAATGCTAGTGGTCGAACGCCTGTTTCGTAACTATCCAAGTGGGAAGAGTAGTCGTCATTGTCTTTGGGGGAGTAGAAGCTTGGAAGGATATGCATCTTGATCTTGGTATGTTGCGCCATGCAATCTTGAAGAAGATTGTCCCAGCGCTGTTTGCTGGTGGGATCGGGAGATACGTCGTTGAAGCATGGTAGTTGTGGAATTCGTGACACAGCAGAGCGTGTAAGAAAGACGGCTCCTCCGCCGTAGGTAGTCATGTAACCTTCGCCAATAGCCCAATCTCCTCTCTCACTGGGCAGTCCAACGTACAACTCCTTCTCAGAGTTATACGCGTATAGCCGCTCTTGAAGATGAGACAGATTAGGTAGAAAGATCTCCTCATCCAAAATGGCATACCACTTCTTCATCTGTCCCTTCTGGGCAAGAATAGCAGTATGCTTCTTGACCGTCTCCATCATGTTAAAGTATCTCTTCGCAGCAGAGATATCCCCTTCTGAGTAAGTAACAAAAGCATCAATCCCAAAAGACTTGAGAACTTCAGTCAGTTTGCTCGCCTGTTGGGGATGTCCTTGGTCAAGAACAAGCATGAAACTCGCTCCGTTACCATGCTGGTTTCCACCGGTCATCCACCTCGCCCAATCTTTAGCAACAGCATAGTCATCTCTGACGACTCGATCAAAACTTGTCGAAATAGCGAAGAAAAAGTCGGATGCGTCGACCTGCCTGGGTCGTGGTCCTTTAAAGATAGGAAGATTGAGTTCCTGGCGAGCTACCAGGTTTCGCCTCTCGGGTTCCTTGGTATCAATAACTTTGGGTCGATTTAAATGAAAGTCTGTGTCGAGTTCTGTGACTGACGGTCGGTCAGAGTCCAGCTCTGATGTACGGACTTTCCATGCAGTCCAAGAGGTCTGATTCGACAGACCAATCTTTTGTCGAAGTCGTTCCAAGTATTGTTCTTCAGGTACAGGTCCAGTGATGGCCAGTTCGTTATCGTTAATTTCTCGAGGCCAGTGTGTCTTGACCTGGAAGAAGAGAAGAACCAAAACCACAACAGTGAGAAGCTCAACCACTCTGCGTGGGAGGACCGGAGAACTTGAAATCATAATCATAATGAGGGTGGATCGTTGCCGACGACGATCTTGATAATCCAAAAAGAATGACTTGGGTGGGTATAACCGGAACAAATGAGTGTAGACTTGGTTATAACGACATGATCACTTGGTGTAGACAGACAGACAGACGACCTTAGTCGGAGAAACAAAAAGGTTTCGACATCACTTGATGTGAGGCACAGCGAGAGATTTAAGTAAATTAACCTCCGCTCGACGATAGTCCCAAGTCACAATGCCCTTGTTTAGTGTAAATGGACGCAGTGGGGGTGTGGTCCATGACCATCCTTCGGTCGGAAGCATCATGAAACTCGAGGCCCCAGAGGATAATCCCTGGTCGCACCACGTCAATAACGGTTAAAGAGGGGAATGCCAAGCAAGCAATTAAACCGTGACATGGCCTTCGGATGATCAATGGGCGGCCCCAGGTCTCAGGTCACGAGCGGCCATGAGAAACAACAGTAGTTTGTGTCAGAATTGCAGATCTGTTTATTCGAGGTGACTCCTATTCTGCTCAAGTTCCATTGCTTTAACAATCCCCATCTCGATGGAAGGCTGGACCCCGGCGGGTAAAAGGCTTATGACGGAATAAGGACTAGGATGAGTGGTAATTTAATCTTGCTCAATAGTGCAGACTAATGCAGGTACACCAACAGCCTTAATGGTGAAATAAGTCGATTTCGGTCGGTAATTTATCTGATAAGCGGCCAAGCTAGGAAATCACCGCATGATGAAGAATTATTCGCCAGGCCTGGACGCTGGACCCTTTCCCTCCGTCGCTTCTTTAGGCGTAGTCTTTGATGATTGAGACTCGTGTGATGTGATAGGCTCCTTGTCCAGCGAACTCTTGGGGGATTTTGTCGGAGTACTGGGTCCTTTCGGCTCCTTCCCTTGAGTTGGTGTCCGCGGTTGGTGCATGCGCTGTCCTGGAGGAACACCTTGACTTGGGATGTATGCTGCGGGAACATTTACCTCCACTGTTATTTTAGCGTGCTGGTGGAGGTCAAAGCATTCTGCGAGAGCTTCATTGACCGACCTGTCAGCGCGTACCAGACCGGTGACAAGAATTTCTCGAATGTGATCTTCTACACGCTCGAACTCTGCTTTGTCGTAGCGGTATCGATCAGGCAGACCACTATGGGTGAAGAGAGCCAGCAGCCCCGCCAGAACTGTGTTTGAAGCGCCAAGAATAGTGATGGGCGTGCCTTTTTCGAGACTGAAGGGGCCCAGAGCTGTCAAAGCGGCACCGATGATCAATTGCAGGATCAACAAGATCCATCGGATATATGCGGCGAAGTGAAACAAGCAGAGGCTAACCGTGCGACGGTGAACGGTATCATGATACAAGCCTGGGGGAAGGCCTTTTGGTGGCCATATGGAACTGGTAACCATAACCGGCGCATCATGTTCTTTGTCGTGGATTCCCCCAACGCCCCGGGCGAAGAACTTCCACTCCGCGCTAGACAAAACTCGGTACTCTGGGGCGTCCATGGGCTTCGAATTAGGATGCTGGTTGGAGCCAGAGGCTTCGGGGTCGAGAGCATGGGGGTAGTCGATATATGTCATTGGCACTGCTTCCGTGCCATGAATGGGTACTTCCGACATGATGAAGTCAAGGTTTGGGGCGTTCGTATTGTAGGTTTGTGGATAGAAGGGTCTGTGAAGTTAGATGTGCGTCACCAGAAACCATTTCAGTACTGCATTTCGAACTCACAGGATGAGAAGAGACGCAATACACGTAGAAACAATCTTTTGATGAGGTTCGAGGAATGAAGTTGGTATAAGGATATTGATGAAAGGAGATCGAAGAGATTGTGCGATTGTCGGGTGGTAAAGAAGCGACTGTGCAGTATCGTCTGCTCCTTCCTTCCTTCCTTCCTTCGGCAGCAATGTCGCAGTCGTATGCCAACACAACTCCAACGGTAGAGAGAAGAGCTTCTGTGCCTCGCTAGGCATCAGTTACAATAATACTCATGTAGGTGCACAGATCAAATACAATGTTCAACGAGCATCTCGAACATGTGCGAAGGGCAACGTTGTGTATTACTTGCCTGCAAGACGTCGGCATCTCGAACACTTGCACAAGTCAGCCTAGAACCTGACGAGAGAAACCAGAAGCAGTAATCGATGCGACGTCGACCTAAACACGGGTATCTTGGATATAATCATGTGAAAGTTGTTGATATCTAAAAGTGGTAGGCCTGGGGTCGTTGACTGGCACATGGCTCACTCCGCGAGTCTGTAGGAGCACCAGAACAAACAAGTTATATCATGCCAACACTGGCAGTGCTATGTTGAACGGATGAACTGATTTGAAAAATCCTCACAGATGCCCATGACATGGTACTACGAGTCACTGCCCATCTATCACTTGAACGTCATCCTGTTAACTCAATGCATTGGTAGTAATCGATATGTCAATTCTATATTCCTTTCCATTTGTACCCGTCCTGCTCAATGTTCCAAGCATCCATGCCATTCAGCCGCTACAATCTCTACCTGTAGAACCACCTAGCCATACAAACGCCGCTCTAAACAGACGACACAATTCCGCTAACAAATGATCTCAAACTTAAGAATCTTGAACAAGAGTAGGAATATCATCAACCTGAGCCTCGCCGTTGAGAATAGCGTTGACGGCTGTGAACAGAGGGTACTCTGACTCGAGACCGCGAGCCTTGAGGAAACTGTTCACCTCTTCAGCAGTGGTGGTACCCTGGATCTTTTGACCGTTCAAGTCCTGTCTCTCGACTTCTTGGACACTGATACCCTTCTCAACAGCCTTCTTGGCACAGCGGAAGTTACGACCTCCGGAGCAGGATGTGATCAGATCTGCGACACCGGCAGATGACTCTGTAAAGGTGGCAGTGTGCACAGTCTCGCCAAAGAATTCCTTGCCAAACTTGACCATCTCCATGAGACCAACACGCATGATAGCAGCCTTGGCGTTGTCACCCCAACCTCGACCATCGACGAAACCAGCTGCCAGAGCAACGACGTTCTTCAACGCACCGCTCAGGGAAACACCAGCGACATCGGCAACCATCTGGACGTGGAAGTAAGGTCGGTGGAACAAGGTTCGGAAGCAGTCCTGGTCCAGAGGAGGGTAATCAGCGGGCATAGCGGTCAACTTGACCTTGGATGTTCGACCGCGGACGTCCTTGTAATGCATCTCGGGAAGCTCACCCATTGTTGGGTTAGGGCTACCGGTTCGAGGTGTAGGAGCTCTGCTGTTATCAAGAGCAGGAGGATCGTAAGCGATAGTTGTCTCCGACCACTTCTCCTCGGCGATTTCTCGAGCCAAGTTGGCACCACTAAGAGCACCGCAGTAAATACCAAGTCCATCACCAATCCACTCGCTGAACAAGCTAATGTCTGTGTCTGTAACGTTGACACCCTTGATACAGCTGATTCCTCGGGCGAAGGGAAGAATATGACCGTTGACCTGCTTGCAGACGTTTGCGATAAACTGGTGGGGCAGGTTGAAGACGAGGATGGTTGAATCCTTGACGGCGTCGCGAATATCGGGGTTTGCGATCAGGTTTGTAGGCAGAGGGATACCTGGTAGGTACTTTACGTTCTCGTGGTGCTTGTTGATGACCTCTGTGAGCTTCTGGGGCGCATCGCCGTTGGTTTCGTCATAGCATTTGGAGTCCTTGGTAATCGTCACTTCCTCCTCGTAGACCCACATCTGGACATCTTCCTCGAAAAGATCTTTGTGTGCTCGGGTGTTTTCAGCGACGATCTTGGCAATTGTAGAGCCCCTAATCAGTTTGTTAGTGATTGACTCGAGAAGGGTGTACAGGTGGGTAGCAGAAGAATTGTCCCCCAAGGCCTGAAGCTGATCCAAGATGCCAGATTGCTTCATCTCTTAGGCTTTCGGAGGCCAATTCTTCTGACACCTTGATGGTATAGGTCATACCAATTGCCGGATCCCACGATGGTCACCTTGTGCTTCTTTGAAGGGGCGCCTAAGCTCGCCATATTGCTGAATGCTGCGATAGAGTAGTTGCGTGTGCAGGAGGGTATTCTCAAAGGTTTCTTTACAACAGAACAAGAGCGCACGATAATCGAACGAAGCATAAGAAGTAGGTTTAAAAGAACAAAATGAGAACAGAACAATTGAAAAGGCGGGAGTTGGAAGCTTTATGACTGAGGGAGGGGTCGTTAGGGTCTCAGAAAAAATGGCCGCCGAGGAGCTAGAAGACGGAATAACTCAGACACGTTTGTAAGTCTGGACCGGTATCAAGTGGGCTATTTTATTCTGGCGCCTCGAGCTTTACAGGAGTAAGGGGTCAAGCTAGAGCTGATACTGGACCAGCTTTCCAGGTTGTTGAACAATGGAGCAAGCCACAATGACGCATGGCAGAATGGGATGCGTGATACCGCCTGCTGCAAGAGGAAAAGCGTCCCATCAAAACCCCATTGATATCCGTGATAATGGAGCTGAAGAAATCTCGACTTCGGGGTGCCTTATTTTGCGCCGAGGGGTCCTTTCACATGCAACACACACATGCAAGCTGTGGTAGTGGTTAATACAGCTGCAGCTCAATTCTAGTTGTTTTTTAAACTATGGTTCTAATCGCAACTTCATACACATACTCTACTTACTGGTATACATGCACCTATAAAGAACTCGGCCTTGATAGCTTCAATTACATTAATCACATGAAAACAAGTGAAAGAATCTTTTTAAGTGGGATTTCACATGTCGAACAAAACTCCAAGCAAGGATACAGGGGCAACTCTGGGATCTCCGGGGGACAAGGGGCGATAATGCATGCATCAGATCCAGGAACGGTACCGAGCCAGGGCCCCGTTAATGACCGCGGGCCGATCCCGGTCGCGTGATGGCACATGTCGAAGACAAAAGTCAAGATCATGAGTCTAAATCAAATGATAGACATTGGAGTTTTCGATACTAAGAGTCTCCTTATATCACAGTCAATTGCTGCCGAGGATGCATCGTGACGTTGGTAGCACACTCACACTGGTGTATACTCAACAACATGTAGACGCTATCATTTACCCCAACCAACGTTTCGTCTCACCCATCCCTTTTATCCGGAACAAGTAATAGTATATCAGCACGATAGGGACTGAAGCGTAAAGAGTATGCACTAGATTAAACGATATGTCATTATTCAATCTGAATAAGGTTGAGATACATATCAAATGTAGACTATGGATAGCACAATACGCAAAACAACAGTTACTTTTACTCCCTTTCTGACACTGCTTTCTCAGAGAGATCCTACACAATATTGACCCAAGCTAGATTCATTTGACATCATTTAACAATGCTGCCTTCTCCTCATCTGCAAATGGATGGAGATCAAGCATTCCACCAGACATGGACCGGACCCGCGTAGACAATTTTCTTGTATCCTTCTGTTCAGTTCTCTCACCATCTCCAAATACCGGCTTGTAAGCATTGTCATAGACCATCCAGGTAACATTGAACATCACGGTCATGGTAACTACCAACCAGCGAGGTGCTTTACCATGCTTGTCAGCAAATATCTTGGACAGCGTGACAACAATGAGAAAGAAGAGGCCGCTGGAGAAGAGAAACAGGAACGCTCCGATTCTCTGTCGCAAAGTTGTTATGGTGTATGGCTGTAGCGAATGCAGCCAACGCTGGTAGTCTTCGGGGAGTTCGTGTTCCTTGGCACCGTCTTTGATGAGATTCAGGTAACGAGCACTAGCTTGTGCGTAACCAGGCTCACGTTGGGGGCCAACCAAAAATCGGTACCACCAGTGCTTCTTGCGAGGATCATCTGGCAAGTCTTTGTCGGGAATCTGTGGTGCAAAGAGTGTCCTGGACATGAATGGTCTGGGAATTTCCGGGTATGGCTTCTCAGGGATGGAGACCTTTGGAGGCAAGGGGATGCAGGGCACGACGATCTCCTTGTAACCCGCTCCAGCACCCTCAGTGCGAATGATGGTGCCGTAATCTTCCTCCGTCACTTCGTAAACAACACCCATGAGACCTTCATCCCACTTCATCGACTCCGCGTGTGGTGGTTGCGGTGGGTCGAAAGGTGGAACCGGTACCTTGGGAGGCAGCTTTGGCTTCTCAGGAAGCTTTCTGTAATCGACATTCGCAAAGCATGGCTCTCGATAAGGAATTCCAGGAAGATTAAATCTGAGTTCCAACGTAGGTACTGAAACGTTTACTTGTGAAAGCGGACGAATTCCACGCACGCCCAGGAACGTCTCAGCTGCAAGGTTGGATCCATATGCAAGATAGAGGTAGGTCTTTGGCGATGGATTGTCGCGATTGGCGAGATAGTCTTCAGAAGCTTGCGCTAGTCTTTCGGTCGATGTACGAGGGATAGAAGCAATCGTTGGGTACTTCTTCGGTTCGGGCCGTTGCGTAACGGCGCTGACTTTGCGTAGTACAGCGGCGGTTCGACATTTGTTAGCAGCTTCGCTGGTAGCTGTTTGGTTGGACATGACGCTTAGTGTGAAGCTCCAGCAGCAGCTGTCAGCTTACAACGAAGTGATAGGCGGCGCACAGGTGTCGCGGTAGGGGTGCTGTCAGATATGCGAAAACAGAGCCTGTACTCCGTAAACTATCGTGAGATAAACGAGAACGAACTAGAGATCAACTCGAGAGATTCGTTGGATTATAGATGAAAATGTCCATAATGGAATAGGTCATAGATCAAAGCGGAGCGGAGATAGAGTGTATCTCCACCACCAATTGCTGAATAATGCGACGCGCGGGTAGTGACATGGATGCTGTTGGCTCGACCGAGAGTCCGCAGTAAAGTCCGCTTGTTCGTTGGTTCGTCGGGGGAATCAACAAAGCAAGCTTTGATAAATTCCGGACCATCGGGGTTCGCACGATATAATCCGCCGACTGCATGGTTGTTGTTACCAAGCAATGTCTAGGCAACGGGTTTCGTAGGTTTGGACTCAATTTGGAAGTAGAACAGACCTGCTAATGCTCAGTACCATCCATGCCATTGTATCTATTCCGCCGTCGGTCGTCCGTCTCCATAATGAACAGTGCAGTCGCCAGCGTGTAAGTCGTTCCAGGCCAATGGAAGCAGAGAGCACTCAGGTGGCAATGAGTCTCAGGGTATCAGAAGAATTGACTCAAACCCCTAAGAGATGAAATAATTTGGTCACTTTATGTCGACTTAGGTATGTTTTATTATAGCCTTAGAAGATAATTCTTCCGTCATCCACCTGGCAAGGTATCGAAATTCTAGGTTCATCAAGATGGACTGGTATTTCTGAATTGTAGCTGCAATTCGCTTGCAGATTCTGGGACATTGAATTGAATTTGAAGAGATGCAGGTTGCCTGAATCGAAGTCTCCCGCCATGCAAGTCAAAGTTCACTTTCGCGGATGTTGCTTCCTGCCGCTCCTGCCATGCGAGGCGAGAGTTCGGTCGCTGCCTGAAGGTTTTGGGAAGGAGCCCGCAGACTTTCGCGGATACTGCTTCCTGACGCTCCTGCCTATCGTGCCTGAAGGTAATAACACTTGAAAACTTTCAACCTCAACTTATAAATTCTCCATCTTTCTCTTCCACCATTTCCTGCTTTCTGGTCGGAGACTTGCAACATTTCGCTATCGCTATTCCCAAGATTGCTACTCTTCGGTGGTCTCTCATGTCGAAGCACAACACATTCTGAAGAAGTGTAAGTCAGAGCAGTCCAGCAAACAGTTGCACCCTCCACAGCCTGCAATCACTCACACTTTTCAAAGTGCATACCGTCATGCCGACGACGCGAAAGGGTGGGAAGCCTAATCAGCGTGCAAGAATTCAGTCACAGTCGCTACAGATTGGCCAACTCGAGACTACCCCAACAAGCCGTCACCTGCAGTCTCGTCGAGTGGACGATAAGCCCGACCCTCCAAGTGCCCAGCAACCACCACAAGCATCAGCAAATGAGTACGAAGATAAAATTGACGATGCTGATTTGATAGTCTTGAATGATGAACTAGACGTTCCAAAAGACTTTTGGTCCGAAGCTGCTTCCACTCATCGAAGCACACCTGCTCCAGAAGCAGGCAGAGCCCATTTCGATAGTCCTTCATCGGTTATTGATGACTTTTCGAGCCTGAGATCGGGTTCGGGGAAGCTTCCTAGTACACAGCCTTTGCCATCACAGTTGGTGGCAAGGCCTGAGGCCAATAACTACGACTTTTTGGAAACAGCAACCACTGCACGACGAAGTTCGCCGGTGCAGCCACACAACACGCTATCACGAGTCGCTCTTGATAGAGCCTGGGAGTATCCTAAGAACAATACTGTCCCTGAACTACCAGGTACCATCCCCGATTCATATCAGGTTCCCGAGCTAGACGCCATGAAACACTTGCCGGAGAACGAGCTATATGATGCCACCCCGGCATCAGAAGAAGAGCTCCAGGATGCTCCGAAGCAACCTCAGGTTACTACGAAGTCGAAGCCACCACAAAAGGCTGGAGCGAAACGCAAGGCTACGAAGGGTGTAAAGAAAGCCAAGGCGGCCGTCGAGATTTTGGAGGAAGAAGTTGGACCAGCTGATGAGGAACCGTCCGTTTCTCCCTCTGAACAGCCTAAACCGAAACGCCAGAAATTGGGGAAGACTTCTGAACAAGTGCAGAAATCGCCTGCCGTACAAACACCAAAGTCAACCGAAGCAAAGGGAAGCGTAGTGAGGCGCGGCAAACAAAAGTTCAAGCCGGCTCTTGAGTTTGATGAAAAGACACAGCAAGTCATTGACAAGTCACCAAACCAGTCTGGACACATGTCCATGGTAGAAAGCATGAGGCAAGCACATGCTGCTTCAGTTTCGCCTATTGAAAGCACCAAGAAGTCTACCCCTAAGCCTAGAAAGAAGCCATCTCCCCGAGCTGTTACAAAGGCGGCTCCCAAGGCTGCACCAAAGCCATCCCCTAGGGTTACAACAAAGGCTTCCCCAAAACCCTCTCGAAAGGCCGCCGCCGTTGCTGCTCGGCGCATTACGCGCCAGTCAGCTCTAGCAGAAGAGTTGACCCAGCCGAGCTCCGAAGAAGTCATTTCTCCAGCAGTCGAACAGGCAGAGCCTGTCACCAAAACTTCGGATGCGGCGACAAAGAAGACAGCAACAAAGACAATCGTGAAGACGGAACCTTTATTGCAACCTGCGAAAGCTCAAGCGGAGCCCAAGGGTATCAACGATACTCAAGGCTCGACCGAGAATCCTATTCTACTCTCTAGCGCCGGTAGCAGTTCATCATTGTCTGATGCTGGTGACTTTGTTCCATTCAACGATCAGGCTGAGGTTCCACCAGTAAAACAGGCCACTGCACGGGAGAAATCTATAACTGTGAGAGCCGACCCGAAGGAGCCCCTTTTGCAGAGAACCAACCGTCCGCCGATTAGGATTGGCCCAGGGGAGGTTCTGTCAGCTCGAGATGCCAACATGCTTGCCCAGTACAATGCTTCCAAGGCAAATACTTTGAAAAGAACTGCCACTGCACGAGACACTCTCGTCGATACTTCTGCACCTCCTCGTAAGACCATGAAGCGATCTCGAAGCTTCAGTGTCAGCCGAGCAGGTAGCCCACTGCCTGTTGACGCGACGAATCCTGTTGAAGACACAAGTCCGATCTATGAAGAGGAAGATGAGCCTGAGCCTATTCTTCCACATACTCACAAGCAAATGTCAGGACATAGAAGGTCCCAACGCCTGCGGGATCTTGCGGACTAGCAGTCCCCGTATCCTCAGAGCAACGGTCTGCAGCAAGGCTATCTCTCAGGTCTGGCAGCTGCAAAGTCAATGCCTGCAAGAACCCGAGTGTTGGTAAAGGAGAAGCCAAAGGAGAAGCCACGTGTTGAACCAACACTGCCCAAGGATCCAATTGAGGAGGTGGCAGAGGAACTACACGGGCACGTCAAAGTACGTCTATCTCCGGATAAAGCTATATACATAGTACTTACTTACGCTGCAGGCCATGTTACATCGACTTCAAAGCAGCGAGCACATCATTTATCGAGCCGCGGATGCTTATCAGAAGAACAGTATCGATGGCGTGGAAAAGATCGGACGGAGATACGAACAGGAAAAACGGATTCTTAGCAAGACATGGAAGCGGGATGGTGATCGGTTTATTCGTGGCGCACGGGCAGCGAGGGCAGCGCTGGACAAACAACGTGAATTGCGGGAGGAGGTTACCCGCCAAATGCAAGAGGCGGTAGCAACACGCCAGCATCTATATCAAAAGGCTATCACTAGTTTACACGCACTCCAGGGGCAGTTGACTCAAGATTAGATATATTTACTATAGGGTATTCTATCAGTGTCTAATAAGCTGAACTAGCTGCGGGTCTATGATGTCTGTCTCACTCTCCTCTAAGCCTTAGGCTACAGAAATAAAGCAGCTTAAGTGCCGACCTAAGCTAGCATAAAGTGACCAAAGAATTTCGTCTCTTATGCTTCTGGGGGCCAGTTCTTCCGATACCCTGAGGCCTGTCCACGATGCTTCCCAATTCCAGCCTAGCCCCAACGAAAGCGGTAAAATCCCCATTTGTCCGTCTCCCCGTGAGCTTGCTGTCACCATCTCAAACCTTGAATTGTTCCGTCTCTTCTTATCTGGATCATTAAGATCGCTTCACGACTTGCCTATAGCTGACATGTGAGCAAGTAATATCATCATCGCAAGGGTAAAACTCAGTAGATATTATCTGTCGTATTAAGCATACCCAGGCGTAAATTTTGCGCCTTGACCAACATGAACTTGACCCATCAAACAGTCTTTACATCCCTGTTGAACCCTGATTTTCGTGGAGCAGGGTACCAGAAGAATTGACCGTCACAAGCATAAGAGACGAAATAATTTGGTCACCTTATGCTGGCTTAGGCTGGCATTTAGACTACTCTATTTCTGTAGCCTAAGTCTTAGAGGACATTTCTTCTGTTGCCCACCTAGATGATATAACCATGAGATAGCTGAGAAAGAGCATTTACGTAGAGATGCTTATCAGTTACAAGTCTAGAAAACCATCACGATTGGACATCTGTCGATTACTCCTCTAACGGCGTGGCTAGTGATGTCGTACTGGAGTAATTCATCCGGGAGGCATCCGCGTCTGTTGGGCTGAGCGGAGTTTGGGGAATGGCGATGACGCCGATGGTCTGGTTCGGTGGGTGACGTAGGTCAATCCTGTGGCGCGGACGGTGTCATTCCCAAGCCCGAACCGAAAGCGCATCATTCATTCATATAAGAGTCAAGACCTTGCTTTTAAGAAGCTTGTATTTTTAATTTTAATATTCGGACTCATATTCGCATTCATCGCTTTGACATTGACCGTTTCACTCTCGGACCTCTTACTTACTTTTTTGAATCACGCTTTCTTTTTTGAAACTCGAGTGGCATGATGGGTTCTGATGAAGCGGGGCATATTTCTACGCAAGAGCATGGGCACGGGTAAGTTTTGACTGTTTCGTTTTGTGTTTCGTTTGTTTGCGTCTAGAACAAGTGTTCATCATCCTTTGTTTGGGTTCCGTCAAGTGATGGTTACCAACCTCATTCACTTCATCTTCATTGTCGTCATATGACCTCAGCGTGCCTCAGACGAAGTTAGGTCACTTTCTACCTAAGAGACGAAATAAGAGGGTCACTTTAGGCCAGCGTTTAGGTTTCTTTATCTTGGTTCCTAAACTTTAGGACATCGCTGCCTCCGTCTCTTACAAACAGGGGGCCTCCAGGGCACTGCCGCTAGTGCGCAGTGCCGTCCTGCCCCGCATTCGCCCGGACAAGTCTTGCCGTGGACCTCCACTGCGACCGACTGTTCTGGCCTGGTCGCTTGCATGCATCAGGGTATCAGAAAAATTGTCCGCCAAGAGCATCAGAGACGGAATAAAGCACACACTTTATGTGAATCAAAGACGGAATTATTGTCTGTTCATTTTTGACGCGCTGACTGGCCGATTTTCCCATCTGCTGAGCCTCCCGCGCGTCCGCAAACTACGCAGCAGCACTGCCCTCGCCCCAGTCTTTTTCCTTCCTCACTTTTTTTTTACACCCCAACCATCTCTCTACCTTTCTGTTACCGGTTCGCGACTTCACTTTTGTCGCTTCACATCGCACTTTACCTCCTTTTACAACTTCATTCTGTTTGTTGTAGCAACATCTTTCGCGGTCCCAGTTTGTCTACATCTTCTAACGCCCCTGCCTTCATAGCCGCTTGCACGGCCTACTCAACTTTCGGTCTCGCCGATCACGACCAGGCAGCTCAAGCTCGGCTGACACTACCGATTCAAACTTAACCGCAACAAATTCCGACCACGAGGCGACTCCTGCAGATTCGACTCAAGTTCAATCCCCCGAGATCACACCTCGCTCTTCAACATCATCAACTTCATCTACATCATCATCCTCAAATAGCAAACAAAGGATGCCGTTTCGTCAGAGGATGGCCCGCCACTTTGGCGATTCGGTATGTGCAACCCCGCATTCTCTATGCGCAATGCATTCCTGCGATTGATGCACTCGTCAAGATGCGCGTTGATCGACTACATGGAATGCGTTCTAGTGGCGTACATGCTGACGCCTACAATAGCTAGCTCCCGAGAAACCCTATCTCAGCTACTACGATGTCCTGTTGACAGCGGAAGACATCAAGGCTCTCAAGCATGACTGGTTAACCGACAACAACATCGCTTTTTGGGAAGAGTATCTCGAGCGCGAGATACTTCCTCGGTATCCTCAAGCTCGTATTGTCCTACTTCGTCCTAGTATGACATTCCTTCTCATGAAGGAACCGGACACCCGATCAATCCAATCCGCGCTACCCGATTTCTCAAAGGTCACGCATATCTTCCTACCCATCAACGACAATCGTAACGTGAGTGTCGCTGAGGGTGGTAGCCATTGGTCGCTGCTTCTAGTCTCGACTCTCGATGGTGTGGCTTTTCACTACGACTCGCTTGGTGGTGCCAACTACTCCGAAGCCAATGTGGCTACGCGCAAGCTTGCCAACATACTCGGACGACCCCTTCGATTCATCAACCTCGAGGATTGTCCCCAACAGGAGAACGGCAGCGACTGCGGTGTCTTTGTTTGCCTTTTGATGCGCCATCTCCTCGTCAAGCGCCTTCTTTGCGCTAACGCTCGCGAAAAGGTCTCGATGAGTATGGGTGGCAAGATGGTCGATAGTTACGGCGGCCGCAAAGAGATGATGCGAATAATCGAGAATTTCCGTAAGGAGGGCGAGCGAAGGCGATCGTGAGTGGACCCCATATCTGATTCTGAAGAACGTATCTAATAGCCAAGATAGGAGAAGCGCCAGCCCGTTTTCGAACAAGACACCGCCGCGGATCGAATAGAGAACGGACTGCTACGGCTCTTGCGAAGAATACGAGGAAATTTTACGACAAATTATGGATGACATGACCGCGAGGGGTATCACTAAACTGTCCAAGAACGCTCAGACGAAGAGATCCCCAGTCAAGCAAGAAGGGAAGAAGTCTGAAGAAAAGAGGTTCTTTCCTGACCAAGGTGCAAATGAGCCAGTCACTGCACCAAAGACTCCTCCAAAATCAACTTTGCAAAAGTCGATTTTGCCTCCTTGGGCTGGAATGAGAGACTTTGGACGCCCAAAGAAGAAGTTCTCACCAGTTTACCACCCAAAGTCAGCTCCAACTGTGCTTGGTCCCCGCGCATTCTCTGACCGAATTGTCAAAGTGCCTCGGATTCAGTCGAGTTATTCAACACCCGTCAAAGGCCGGGGCAAGCGGTCTTCCAACACTCCAAGTCCAAATCGCAAGGCGGTCCAAACATGATCCACTCACTGTTCCACTGTTCTACCAATGTAATGAAATCCACGAAATGAGTTCACGGTCGACTTGGTCTTTTTTTTCTTTTTTGTCTCGTTTTTTTTTCTTTCTTTTTTCTTTCAGCTCGCGTTTGCGTTTGCTACGGCGTTGGTGGCAGCGAAGAGCAGCGGGGGGATGTGGCTGTTTGACAACAAAGCGACGAGATGCTGTGCTCTTATGCATTATGCTTTTATGCACGATGCTCTATTCTTATCATTTATGATTTTATTCCCAGATATCTATCAAGTAATGCAAGGGATTTGCCAGTTAGCGATTGAGGCGTTGGGTCAAGACAGGGAAAAAGATACAGCATCGAGTGCTGGTTTTATACCATATGCTATGAAGAATAATACATTGATACTCATATCGTATGAACTGTGATTGTGAATTGTCAAATTGTGAATTGAATTGTGAATGAAGTCAACTCCTGAACGCCCAAGTATCTATTAGCGATATCTCGCCTTTTGACCAGCACTCCCAGATCATGCTATTGGTATCTTTTTCTCCCTCTCCCGTTTACTGCTTGTCAGCAAAAGCAGGGTTCTGCTCCATTGTGGAAGAGATATATCCTCTCAACGCCGCCCACCGATTAGCTGTCGGCGCAGGCGCAGGCGCATCCTTCTTCTCCTCCGCCATCCTCTCATCCTCAACACTATTCTTCTGCTGCGCCGCCAACGTCGCCATATTGACCCCAAACCTCTCCATCTCGCCCTTAACAACCCTCTCCTTCTTCTTCAGCGCACCCCTCTTGCTCTTCAAACTCTTATGCCTGATCTTGCCCTGCTGCTCCGCACCCGCCTCCTCAAGCTCCGGCAGCGCATCAGCGAGACTGTCGAGTGTGGTAGCGAGTTTCTTGCTTGGTCGGCGGCGCTTGGCGGATTTTGAGACGCGCGCGGATTGGATGCGGGATACGAAGGAGGAGTGCTTGATCAGACGCTTGTCGCGCTTGGTGGAGAGGAAGTCGTCTGTTACGGCGGCGTCGTCGCGGAAGACTTTTTGGGGCGCTTGAGGGTGGATTTGACCTGTTACGCGCTGGTGGCGCAGGGTTCGGGCGGAGGGCTTCTTGAGGCCTGGTGGTACAGGAGCCTGGATTCGTTAGTTAAATTGTTTCCAGGAGATTATTGAGAGGGTAAGGTAGGTGTCAGAAGAATTGTCTAAGGCTTAGACGACAGGAATAAAGTGGTCTAATTGCTAGCCTAAGCTCGCATAAGATGGCCAAAAATTTTCGTCTCTTGTGCTCTCGGTGATTGATTCTTCTGATTCTTAGCGAGGACGTACCATTTTGTGCTGTTGTGGTGGAGGATGTATGGTTGATGCTGGATTGGAGATTGTTGGTGTTGAAGATTTGATGGAAACATTTTCGGTGAGTGGCGCTTCACCGAGGTGGTGGGGTACACCGAGACGTTATGGAGGGGCACTTTGCTGTTTGACTTCGTTATCGAGACCCTGGATTTAATGGAAATTTAAACTATTTTATTGTTCTTAGGTATCTTACGAAACTAGAATGTCAAATTGAACGCTGAAGCTTAGTGATGAACCGAGGATCTCATGCGAATGCGCTCGTAGAATTAGTGACTCTATTCACCTTTAGTGGGGTTGGGTTGGATCTTCCTCAGATGATGCTATCACGTAACTTTGAACTTACAACCCCCATCCTCACTCCATCACCCCGTGAAAATGGAGACCATCGATAAACTCAGGAGAGAAATCGCAAAGCGAGAAGTCGAGCTCGCAGACTTACGCTCTCAGCTCGCAGCAGCAGAATCCGAAGCACGCGAAACTAAGACTGAAGAGTCATGGAAATGGCCTCTTGAGAATCACGAGTATGAGCGCTATAGCAGACAGATGATTGTTCCAAATTTTGGACTTCAAGGTAATTTCACATTTCAAATATTGTAGAGCTTTATGCTGATTGTGCTAGGTCAACTGCGCTTGCGAAAGGCCAAGGTTCTACTCGTCGGCGCCGGAGGTCTAGGTTGTCCTGCTGCTGCATATCTCGCTGGCTCAGGTATTGGAACGATTGGTCTAGTTGACGGCGATGAAGTCGAAGTTTCGAATTTGCATCGTCAAGTTGCGCATTCGACTGGTCGGGTAGGCATGAGTAAAGTGCAGAGCGCAATTACTTATCTTAAAGAGTGAGATACCCCCTTGTATGAGGATTTTGAACTAACTGATCAAGTCTTAACCCGACGATAACTTATCATGCGCACAATACCCATCTTACGCCTCAGAATGCGCAGGACATTGTGTCTGGATATGATCTTGTCCTTGATTGTACGGATCATCCTACATCTCGCTATCTCATTTCGGATATTTGTGTTCTTCTCTCAAAGCCTCTTGTTTCAGCATCTGCGTTCCAAACCTCTGGTCAACTTATTGTTCTCAACAATCCTCCTGGCAAAGGACCTTGTTATCGTTGCGTCTTTCCCACGCCACCACCACCTGACAGTGTGGTGGGCTGTGGTGAAGGTGGTATCATTGGACCTATTGTTGGTACTATGGGTGTCCTGCAAGCGCTCGAAGCGATCAAGCTGGTTTCGAGAGGCGATCTTGAGATTCATGGAGAGGCAAAGACACCGATGTTGTTGCTCTTCACTGGAACCTCTGACACACCTTTCCGATCTGTGAGGATGAGAGGAAAAAGAAAGACATGTTTCGCTTGTGGAGACGAGAATGGTTTGACGCTGGACGAGCTCAAGACGTCAATGGATTATGTCCAGTTTTGTGGTGTCAGACAGCCGGTCCAATTGCTCAAACCAGATGAGCGAGTGACGGCAAAGGAATACGAGACGATATCAAAGCCAGGAGATAAGGAGGCTTTGTTAGTGGATGTTCGAGAAAAGGAGCATTTCGATCTCTGCAACATCTCGGGTTCGATCAATATTCCCATTAGTCGCTTCATGAGCGCTCGTGGTGAAGCTACACCCGAAGGCTGGCCAAGCGATGTATCACCGTCTACACCTATATACTTGGTTTGCAGAGTTGGCAACGATTCTCAAATTGCGGCGCAGAAGCTCAAGGATCTGGGATTGGGGAACGAGCGATTCATTGGTGATATCTCTGGTGGATTCAAGTCATGGAAGGACACTGTCGATCCTACTGTGCCATTCATATAACCATGCGTCAGGTCAGAAGAAGTGGCCGAGAGCATAAGTGACGAAATAATTTGGTCTCTTTATGTCAGCTCTTAAGCTGTCCTATTTCGTCTCTTAGGTTCCCAAAAGACAGTTCTTCTGACACCTGCCATGAAACCAGATTGAAAGGAAAAGGGATAGTCGATTGGATAAGAGATTTTAATGATATACATACAACGCCCGCGTTATCCGGGCTGCAACACCGGCTGAGCCATTACATCCATCGTTTTGCCATAAGTCAACAAGACTCGTAATTTAAAATGAGTTTCTTTTTTATGATTTATACAAAGTTGGCAGTCTTCTTTTTGTTGAATGCCTTTTGATCTTTTAGCCATTGGCGGTATCCAGCTACACTAGAGATCTTCTCGCCGTAGAAATCAGGGACTAGTAAAATGACGTTAGTTTTCTCATGTCACAAAATTAGTCGAGAAAAAACTTACCAGGGTTGCTGGCGCTCGAGTTGGTGGGGTCAACTCGGTTCTTCTTGATGCGCTCAAAGAATTGAGCCTCCTTCTGCGTCATTTGCTTCTTCCATGTGCGGTTCAGGATATAAAACACCTGGTTTCCCATGCTAGGTCCGCTCAACCATCCGAGTCCCGAAAACGCGAGCGTCATAAGTCCCAGCGTCATGAACGGATCGAGAGGGATCTGAGAAATAATCGGTTCCGCGCTACCCGTTGACAGAAAAACGGCTCCTGCGCTGCCGGCGAACATGCTGTTGGTGATGGAGAAGAGGAGCTGGTATCGTCGACGCTTGACTCGCATCTTGAAGAAGCTGTTCCAGTCCAGAGGGGGAAGACCGTTGTCGTTGCTGGGCGCAGCTCGAACGGGTTCGGGCTTAGCGGTATCCGAAGCGCTGCGGGCAAAGGCCTTATTGATCGAAACGGCGGGAGTGAAATATTGCTGTCGGAACGGCGAGCGCGAGGAAAGACATGATGCAGGACGAGCGGCAGAGATGGTAGTCGAGAAGGAAGCTTTCGGGTTTGAGCGCACGAGACCAGTTGCAGGCGAGCGCAAGACAAAAGTCTTGAGCGAAGCCATATTGAAAACGTTTGTCGAGATCAATTGACGAAATTCAATTAATTGATGATGGAGTGGAGATTGAAAAGTGTCGTTGTGCCGTCGGCAATTTTTGGCGTGACGTGGGGATGCTGAAGCTCGGGTAGAGCTGTGTTTGTGATCTCATGGCCGATGGAAAAGTTGGGCGCTTGCTTAGGCGCGACTAAGCGCTGCCGCGATAGAAATTCAGTCAGAAGAGGTATAGCCCCGCCTACCCTCTAATAAGTCAGACTATATAGTATTAGAGGGTAAATAATTTATAGAAAGTTATTAAAGGCTTTAAAACTAGTATATATAGTAGGTGTGCTAGCTATAGCGCAATTAACTATTATAATAATAATATTAAAAGAAATATTAATTCTCTTGCTTTTATCACGACTCTTTACAGCTATTTCTTTAATCTCTTATTTTGTTTATCTTCTTTAGCCTATGTTGCGACCCTGGATAGCTTAGTCATTCTCTGGTACGGCCTTTAGAGTCCAGGGTCCAAATCACCAACCTCTGAAAACATCCTGCGTTTGAGAGCTTGACACGATTGCGACACAACGAAAAGGCCTGCGATAGTCGCACGCTATTTCAGGCGCGGATATTCTTGTTTGTATTATTTAAATGGTTTAAGCGCTCTATTACGCGCTCGTGATTACTTCCTACACGACTTGGAGCTGGCGACGCGGATCACTGAGCTCGACTGGAGCGTCTCAGGTGGTAACATACGAATTGTCCTCCAAGGCTTAGGCTGCCGAAATAAGGTAGCCTAAGTACTTGCCTGAGCTCCCATACGGTGAATAAATTATTTCGTATGTTATGTTGTTAGCGGGCAGTTCTTCTAACTAACACCCGACCAGCGCCGACGCGATGGATTCCATTCAAGATCAACCGACAAAGTCTCGAATAAAAGTATGTATTCCCGAACGACCCAGGGATTACGTGCCTGGCAGCGGTCCGCCGTTACAACCGATCAGCTTGCTTCCGCCGAAGGACTCAACAGCTTATATACTTGAAAGAATCATCCTACCTTCGTCGGGTTTGGCTGCGGATGGAACCCCGTTACCTAGAAGGATGACATACATCGTGACATGGAGCGATCTGCCCGCGGCGCAGATGTTAGTACCTGCCATGGATATTCTGGATTACGTTTCGCCGCGAGAGTTGGAAGAGTGGGAATTCAAGAATACGGAAGAGCAGATGGAGAATGAAGCTATACAAAAACAGCAGGCCCAGGCTGGCGAAGCGCCTAAGAAGAGACGTGGACGACCGCCCAAGCACAGCAAGATAGAAACTGCTGTTGTGGCGCCGGACGAAGAAGAGACCATGGTGCGCGGTGCAATGACGATACAAACGCCGGCGAAAGACAGGTTACAGGACTTTGAAGGGTTGTCGGATGAAGATTCGACACCGGTGGGAACGTTGCAATGGGAAACGACTGGAGAGTCTGCAACTGGTGAGTCAGTTGGGACGCAAGAGCAAGGATTTGATGATGGAAGCGAGAATTTTGACAATACACCCGTTGCGCAAAGCATGCTACATCCTGTGAGCAAGAACCTTTTCAATGGCCTACCCAGTCTACGACCTACACTCGAAAACAAGTCGAGTTCACAGCCCAGTATCTCGCAAACACCAGTACCTCTGCCACCGCAGGCCTTCATGACAAACTCGGGAAAACAGAAGTCCGTTGCGGCTGGAGAGGAGCCCGAGGCGGAACTTGATGCCGAGCCTGAGGTCGAGCAGGCCGACTGGGAAGTCAAGCGCATCGAAGACATGGAGATCTACGATGTCGAGGGTGGCCAAGTACGCTATTTCAAGGTCCGTTGGGAGGGAGACTGGCCACCAAACCAGAATCCCACATGGGAGCCTGAAGACAATCTCCCTGCCCAACTCATTCGCAATTATCTCAAGAGGGGAAAGAGAAAACGTACTGAAAGCAAGACGCCGAAAAGGCCAGCTGCTGCACAACCGGCTGTAGCACCTTCATATCCTAAGAAAAAGTCCATGAAGCAAACGACACTATCTTGGGGTGTCCCTGCGAAGCAATACAAGAGCGTTTCCGAAGCCTTTGAAGGGTTTGAAGAGGATGAGCTTGGTCTACCACCACCAAGGGAGACACCAGTTGAAGAAGAGCAAGACGACGAATTATTTATCGTAGAAGAACCGCCGGTAAAGAAAAGCCGCATGAAGACATGGATTGGCAACAGTCTAGATCTCACTTGAACATGGGATGCAGAGGTGTTTTATTTACGGAGTCGATGGGAGCATTTTTTTACATGGCGAGGCGTTGGTTATTATTGAAAAGTTATTCACGGCGGACATAGCATAGAGATACCCATGATTATTAAAAGACCTGTTATTGACTATCTCCCATTTTCTCCTGTGTCCATTTCTGAGATGCGATTCCTGATGAGATGTCCTCTTGGGTCCTGTAATATCCTTCGTAGATGTGATCTTCGGTTCATCAAGCCTAGTAGTCAATCATCCAGTGGTAAATTATCAGTGTCCATGGTCATCTCGTTCTGCTGGAGGTTCCAAAAAAATGGGTGCATTGAATTGTTGTGTCGATGCATCGTGCATGCATATCCTTCATGGATGTGACGTTCGGTTCACCAAGCCTAATAGTTAATCATCCAGCGAGGTCAAACATCAGCGTCCATGAGCCAACTCGTTCGTTCGTAGGTTCCAAAAAGTGTTGATTCGTTGTTGTATAGAAGCATCGTGTAGTTGTTCTGGTTCTTGAGACACCTGTACTAGGATAGATAGCTTTTGGATCAACACTCCTAGTTATCTATTCGCTCTAGTAAAGGTAAATCTCAGCGTCCATTAGCTGTATCGTTCTTCGGTAGGTTGCAAGAAAATGTGTAGATGCATAGTCTGCATTCGGACGGCAAGATGTATTGCGTGTCGAGTAGGTATCGCCTGCATATATGCAAGGCATAGGTAATTGTGTCCGTAGGTATTAGTTTGATGTGTCAATGACATCCTGGACGAGATAGGGGTAGACGTAGTCATAGATGGTCTGGGCAGGTGCGGTAGCTCTGAGGATATTGCCAGCGTACCAGGGAGGGAGACCCTGACGTTCGTTCTCCTCCCGTCTCCAACTAGCAACCTCGGCGTAGGCATAGTAGCGACGAATGTCGAAGCCGGTTCGCTCCGTGAAGACATCCCAAAAATGGGCGTACTGTTCGTAGAGAACTGTTCGGTGCTTGAATTCGGCTAGCCCCATACCTCTCTCACGGATGTAGGTGTTGGTCGCTGGGTTGCCGCATGAGTAGATGGTAACATCCACAATAATGTAGTCAACAAGGTCCAGCCTCACGCTAGCCTGAATCATAGATCGAGGCACTCGTCGAGTCTTGATTCGATCCTCGAAGACCTCCATAAGCTTGATAGTTGTGCTTAAGCTTGTCATGATTGTGCTGGAGTTGATAGGACGGCGTAGGAATGGTACTTCAAACGCCCCAGTTGGGACGTGTTCCTTAAACGTGTTGAAGATTGGCCGATTCCACATTGCTTCTAGTTCCATCGGGTATACGTGGCCAACCGTGTGCATGAGTTCATGCAACGCAGATGTAGGTCTGTCAGATAGAGTCTCGCCTAGCTTGAGTAGAGATGGCAATGTTCTGTAGCGACTAAATTCGCCTTGGGTGATGAATCTGACAAAGCGGGTAGACTGGCGCAGGTTTGTGAACTCGATATTGAGCATTACACCGAGTATTTCCTCATCTTGGTCTGGGTCGTAAGTGGCACGGATGATATGCTTTACCCCGAACTTTTTGAACAGAGCCCAGATAGCTTGCTCAGGGAAGTTGGGTACCTTGATCGATCGCCCTGAGAGACCGTTGTCTGGCACGCCAAGTTCTCTTGGATGGTCGTGGGTTATGGCGTTAGACGGAGTGAGGATTTGCTCGACCGTGACCTTGTGATGCAGTCCTCCGATATCGATGAAAGAGAGGCCATTCTTCTTGACCTCTTCAACATAGGCCTTCGCGGTCAGAGGTTTGCTAAATTCTACCATCGCTGCCATCTGGCCAGGAGAGGCTCGAGAGCCCGGTTGTTGGTAGAGGACGATACTGACAAGACCGCCCGAGCCCATGACAGCATCCGCGATCTGGATGATAGATGTGGAGCCAGGAAGGCCAGTCAATGTTACTCGGCGAGACGATGTGGCAGCATTGGACATTGGAAAAATCCAACCTTCGCTCTTGTGAGAACCGGAAGTGCAGGGGAACTCAAGTCCCACCCCCTGAGGGGGCTCCTCGACAGATTCATTCACCAGATGCTGGGATGACTCGACGAACTCCTAGTTCGACATGTTGCTCTCAGCAGGTGATGGCGGGCAACGTGGGAGCTCCTTCATGACAGGTGAACCCATTCGAGAAGAGATGGCGGATTTGAGTTCAAGGACCATGTATCGAGGAGGGACGATATCTCCACTTTCATCCTGTCAAGATGTTAGCAGAGTTAATCAGAAGAGGATGAAAGTAGCCACCTGCTTTCCACGGAGGGCGACGATTTGTTCACGAAGAACTGAGAGTCTAGCATTGTTGCGGTTGAATTCTCGAGAAAGCTGGGACATTTGGGCGGTCTCATGGGTGATGTCCCGACCTTTGTCAACGGCCTCAGCGATCTCCTCCTGAGATGTGAATTAGTATCAACATTCCAACCCTGTTTAGACTTGTAGCAAGTTGATTTCGCTTACTTTGAGATCTTCCATTCCGTGCTTCTGGACTTCGCACAGGCCTGTGAGGCGCTTCAACTCATCGGCGTTCTCCCTGAGGAAGATAATTTCATCCGAACTAAGGGCGGGCAGAGACTCTGGGGAACACATTGTTGTGCTGTTGTGGTGATAAAGTTAGATGTATGAAGTAGGTAGAGTAGGTAAATGGTTGAAGGTGAATGGAAGATGGTTTGCGATGATGATGTAGGAGGGAGGAAGAGGAAGTGGGAGGGAGGGAAGAGGAGAATAAATACTCAGGGATGTGGGGCCACGGAGACCCTCAAAAGCATAAGAGACGGAATCCTTTGCTCACTTTATGTAGGTGACCTAAGCCTTAGGACAATAGGTTCTTCTGTTACCCACCTTGGGGGGCTGGGAGCAAGGGGCAGCAACAGGCAAACGGTAGAAGAGACTTGTTGGAGTGAGGACGGACGAGGGGGATGTCGGAGATGGGCGTGACAGTGACTATAAAACAGTCCAAGACGCGTCTACCAGAACTCCTGGCCTATAGGAGATGGGTTTCAACAAGGCTGCGGAGACTAGCTTGCGGGTGACCAGCTGGCAGGCAGGTAGTAACGTTACCGTTGATGTCTCTTGGAGTATGGACCCAGGGAAAACCGTAGTTGCTCGCATAAACAGATTCTTTGTAGACTTGGGAACCAAAAGCTGATCGGTTTGATCAGGTAAGGAGAGGTATTCGGTGTGGGGAGATGCGATGAAGTGTTTAGAATATTTTCATCCAAGTAGCAAACTGTACTGGAGTCTCAGTATCCATTCATAGTTGTGATTGTTCTGATTTGGTATTCATGTTCCTTGAATTAAGATAGTGTACGCTGGACTCTTTAATTTCGCAAGTGACTATGCGTTCCCGTCCATGAAGATATTTGGGTCCACACTGGCAGCCGTGCAGCTATCACCAACGTGCAATTTTGTTGTTTTGATTCATGTAATTTTTCGACTCGTGTTGGAATTCGGTCCAGTCACTACTCAGTAACTCGAAAAACACAGACTATTACCACTCCTGGTTCTTGTGAGTTCCCTTCCGCTGAACTACCAACTTTGTACAAAGGGAGTTGCAGAAAAAGACGCCGGCGGTAGCAGAGATGTACATGACACCGCCAACTACCCCTGGCACGACAAGATGATCAGACTCGCAGAGGCATGCAACTACATGACCTCCCCTTACGGCCGAGAGCTCTGCTACTTGTGCGGTTGGATGTAGAGGTAATCCCTTTAGCTCACTCTGAAGCACATCCCGAGACCAAGCTGACCCCTTGCTGCGGTAACAGTATCACAGACTTCATCCGTGGTGTTTATCACACGTCGAGTACACCCCAAGTCGAAGACCCTACTATGCAGCGAACGTCCACGACGACCATCACATCGGCTTACTCTTGCGGCAGCACGAAAAGCTGCATCGTATACGGCGGTAGATCGATCGGCGGCACTCGAGACATCCGCTTTACCCATGATACCATCGCGGTGGTCGAGCAGGAGAGAAAGATCGTTGAAGCATAGGAAAGGGACAGGACTACCATCATCACCAGGATGGGCCATTCATAGGAACACTGACGATGAACAGATCTTCGCTCGAATGAATACCCATTGAACACAGCACACAACAAAGAGCGCCTTGGCTGTTGACCCTACTCCCGAACACCGCCGCTGGGGCTTACTCCTTGTTCGACAGTTGCACAGACTATTAGAAACGCCATACTACTTAGTAGAGACAATGAACATATCATTAAGCCCAAGCGCTTTCTGGGAAAAGCCATAAGCCTTCCTGTTAGGATCCTACTGATCAGATCTACACCTAGGCTCTTTCAGAAGACACGGGTATGCCACGAGAAACCATTGAAACACTTGCGTCGACAGAAACAACACTTCGCGGTAACTACCGCCACAGCGCTTAGAGATCGCCAAGCACATTGTGTAGAGTATCTGGGAGGTCATACCTTAGCAGAAGCAGAGAACATATCATCAAAGCGGGAATACTCATAGAGTAGAGTCAGATCCCTTTCTCACAATCTCCTACTGACCAGACCAGTATTCAGGCGCTTCAACATACATGGACATGCCACGAGCAACCCCTGAAAGACTTCCTTCAACAGAGACACTCCACGATAGCTACCGCAACACCGCATAGAGCGCCAGACGCATTGCGCAGACTATTTACAAAGCCATATTGCTGAGCAGACACAAAAGATACAATGTGTGAGTGCTAGCAGAGGTTGACTGAATGATAGCTGCCAATAGCCCCTCTCTTGATATCTCGCTGACCAGACCCACACTTAGATATAGCCAGAAGGCATAGAAACGATACGAGTAACCCCTGAAGCACTTACTTCGACTGACACAATACCCCGGGATAACTACCACCATAGGGGGTATAGAGCGCCAGGCGCATTTTGCAGAGATCCGGGAGGTCATACTACTTAGCAGACGCAGGGAATGTATTGTGGAGGTCCCAGCACTTGTTGGATAAGGTGTAGTTGCTAAGAGCCCCCTTTCTTGACAGCTCGCTAACCAGGTTTACACTTATGCACAACCAGACGACATAGAAATGGCGCGAGCAGCCCCTTAATTACTTGTTTCGACACACGACACTCCGCGGTGACTACCGGACCATATTCTAGAGCGCTTGAGCATTCCTTGCGCAGACTACGCCGGAAGTCAGACCATAGAACACGCCGCCGAGATCCCTAGACTTGTTAGTTAGAGCCTCAATTGCAGATGACCCTTCCACTTGGCTTCCTACTGGCCAGTTCCATACTTATACACAATCAGATGACATAGAAACGACACGATAATCCCTGAATCACTCACTCCGCAGTAGAAACGACACTTCGCGATAACTACCGCAGCACCGCCGATAGAACGCCCGAGCGCATTGAAGGATCGTTCGAAACCGCCGAGAGACTTATAGAGCTAAAGCGCGAGCGATTGGGGTTCTGTAAGACAAAGAAATCGTTGCCTGAGCTTGTAAGTCAGTAACAAAGAAACAATTGAAACTCGAAGCTAACAAGAGAACAGCAATCGAACATACCACTCGACGATAGAATTGCAGAACAAGCAATAAGAATTGGAAAACATTTCGAAAGGTTTAGAGAAGGAAAAGAATGTTGAGGAATTTGGTGGTTCAATGTCTACCTCAGGAAGGAAGGAGGTCGAGACGACACGTAAGACTACCGTTCCTTCCCTATTCGATCTACACTAACTTGACGTTGACAGCCCACCTTACTCCAGCCATTATGCTCGATAAAATGCTTCGCGCTCTGTATTATCTCTGAATACTTCGAATACCATGAATTTCCACTTGTCAATCGTCGATTCGCCTCTTCCCTATACTCAATACCTTCCCAAACCGCTCTTATACCGCCGACGGCAGCATGGAGCCTCACAGCCCCTCTTAAAGAATCAGACAAGCAGGAAGCGCCGTGGAAGAAAGGTAATTGTCAAAGAAGAATTGCTAGAAGAATTGCTAACTTGTCCGAGGACGCAAGTTCTACTATCGATGCGATGCAAATGTCAACTTGCCAATCAGATTACACGAGAGAACCCATCCGGGCTGAGTCAAACGGCCAGCTTCAGCACCCACAACCCCACTATCGCCATGGGTTACCCCTGCTGAGCCTGCCGGACATGGATCGACGATCATGATACAGGGATTAAGACACAAGATGTCATTCAAACAGACTCATGGGAGGGGCTTCAGAGGGTGGCATCGGTAGGCTTGATATCTTGGATGATAATTCTTGTCCAAGTTACAGTACGAATGCCAAACATCTTCCCCGTTGATAAAGGCTAACTGAAGGCTAAACAGGTAACTCTTAACCACGAGCTCCGACACGTTCCTTCCTCGCGAATCCCTCCAATCTTTACAAGTCGATTCAGAAAAGCCATGACTTCAAGCCCCATGCATCTTTCCAAGAATTGCTGCAACTTGCCATGTTGGTCGCACCATCCCAGTCGGCGAGTTCCCCAACTGCACTAACACCCACTATTCGAGGTGGAGATCTTACCTTTCTTGGGTTCAGCCACCAGGCATCCAAAGCTCCAGACTCAGCCTCATGCAGCAGTGATGCAACTCCGCCTTATAGGTTACGAGTAGTGTAAGCTCAGTTGTTGGTTAGCAGTTATGGAAGATCTGACTCACTGACCGACTTTACTTGCAGGACTTTATTCATCGATTGACTTAAAGTGTAACCAACATACTTTGACGCATGCGCACTATATAAGACCGTCCGATTCCCCAACTGCTTCGACTTTATTCTTCAGCAAGTATTTTACTTGTCACACCACCACCATGGCTTCCAACACAGAGTCAGACATCCCTTGGTTTCTCAAGTCGTCATGTCCGGTTCTCTTCCCGTTCGACGATGCTGTGAGAAAGCCTCAGGCCGAGTTCGAGGAGCATATTCGTCACGAGATTGCCCATCGCCACGATGAAGCCGCCGCAGTTGAAGCCAGCCCAGATAAGACTATGACTGATGCTGACCAGTCCGAGTCCTTCACTGTTGTTTCTACTTCAGCTGAGATCCGTCAAGGCTTAGATGCCATGGACGTTTCTGGGGATGCAGCACCAGACTCAAAGCCAACCGAAACCCAACCGGCTGAGACACATCCATTCATGGAAGGTCTGATTAACCACCAGAAAGATGAGCAGAAGGCGGAGCCATCAAGAGACCTCCAAGGCATGATGTTAACAGAAAACGGCGACTTGGCTTATCGAAACAGCGAGGACGCCCTGGTGGATCTCTTCCATGAACTCGAGGAAGTGGTATCTGGCCCGCGTCTTAATGAACTCCTCTTTGCAGCCTGGAGAGAGAACCCCGTTGCCACCCTTAGAATCATCTTCAACTCCCGCTCTATTCACCTGGGAAAGAGTTCACGAATCACCTTCTACCGCTGTGCTGGCTGGCTGGCACAGAATCATCCTTTGACCCTGGTGGCCAATTTGCGATGGTTGACCCGCCCAGTTATTGAGAAGAAGGTTAAGAAGGAAGAAGACGATATGGTTATTGTTGAAGACGAGAACCAGGACGAAGCGGCCAAATTTGATGTTAAGAATGGAGTTGCGCATGGGTACTGGAAGGATCTTCTCAACATCCTTGCCCTTGCGGTCAACGACAAGCTTACTGCTCTCGATAACCCTAGAGACATTCTCAACAGCGAGAACCCTGGTATCATCCGAGGAAAGTATATCAAGCGCGGCAGTCGAGGTAGCCGTGGAGGTCGAGGTCGAGGTGGACGGGGTCGTGGACGAGGCTCTGGAGTCTTGAGTGGACGCATCGAGTCAACTTCCGATATTGAAGAGAAGAAAGACAAGGTTCGTCGTGACCCCAAGGACGTCAAGAAGGAAACAAGGGCAAACCGGCACGAGACTGCGACAACCATCTTCAAGAACGACCCGGTCTACCGCGCACTGCATCTGAGCGTTGCCCGTCTATTCGCTGAGCAGCTGGAGAAGGATATCCAAGCGGTTCGTGGAGATGACAAGAAGGCCAAGCGTACCATTTCGCTATGTGGCAAATGGGCTCCTTCACACGACCACTTCCACGACAGACATACCTTTATCGTCAGCACCATTGCCGAAATCATGTATCCCAGGTCTTCAATCGACAACGAGAAGCTACAGCCTACCGACGACCACGAGACTTATCTGCGATTCGCTCGTGAAGAGTATCGCAAGGATGTATCTGCTCTTCGAAAGTACCTTGAAATCGTCGAACGTCCCATCACAGACAACAAGTTCGAGGACATCAAGTACGACCGAGTTCCATCTCTCGCCATGAACCAGTACAGCAAACTGTTTATTGAAAAGGACGCCGATCACTTCGACGAGTACCTTGACAAGGTTGCTGAAGGAAAGGCCAACATCTCTGGAGCTACTCTTCTGCCGTCTACCTTGATCCAGAAGGCACGTGGGGCCGCCTTTGGTGCCTCACGCCTGGAGCAGAAGATTGCTCAGATTGAAGGTAAAGTCCTTGATGGACAGTGGAACACGCTAGTCCAGCGTATCAAGGACTCTGGCACTATGAACTCGAGTATCGCTGTCTGTGACGTTTCCGGCAGCATGGGGTCTCCTGTGTTCAGGGATAAGACTACTCCCATGGACTCAGCCATAGGTCTGTCGCTTTTGGTCGCTGAGGTGGCTAAGCCTCCGTTTGCTGGCGCCTTCATCACGTTCAGCTCTGTCCCAGCGGTCGAAACCGTCGACTTATCCTCGACTTTGGAAGAGAAGATTGAGGCCATGAGTCGCTCTGACTGGGGTATGAGTACTGATTTCGTTGCTGTGTTTGAGAAGTTGATTCTACCAATGGCTATCAAGAACAACCTCAAGAACGAGGACATGATCAAACGTGTCTTTGTCTTCAGTGACATGCAGTTCAACAGCGCGATCCCGTCATATCCTCCAGGTTATTCTCCTCCCACGTGGTCTACTAATCCTTACGCCGCATTGGATGAGGATGAGCAGGAGCATGAGACTATAGACCGGCGCAGCTGGGGCACCTGGGGCACCTCCTATGAACGTATACAAAAGATGTATAAAGAAGCAGGTTACGACATGCCAGAGCTGGTGTTTTGGAATCTCGCTGGCGGAAGAGCAGGATACGGGCAGACCGGCGGAGATCCGATTGCTCCCAAGCCTGTAAAGGCTGATGAGATTGGAACAAGTCTTGTCAGTGGATACTCGCAGGGTCTTCTGAAGGTGTTTCTGGATGGAGGTGGATTCGAAGAGGAAGAGGAGGAGGAAGTGGTTATTGAGAAGGATGAGGAGGGCAATGTCACGCAAAAGACTAAGAAGGTTGCGATGACGCCTCTGAAGATTGTACAAAAGGCGATTAGCCATCTGGCGTATGAGATGTTGAAGGTTGTTGATTAGATGAGTTATGATAAATACCCGAAATAATGATTATATCTATACGATTGCTTCTCAGGTGTCAGATGAAATGTCCTCCAAGGCGTAGCCTAAGTGCTGGTCTAAACTGGCATAAGGTAACCAAATGATTTCGTCCCTTATGTTTAAGGCGATCAATCCTTCTGATGTCCTGACGCTGCTTTCAAGTGACCAAAACAGAAATTTCGTCTTCGAACCCAGCAGCATGTAATTCCTGAAGTGTCTCATTCCAAACCCGATCAACCAGAACATCCCCATGGGTATAGTACCAGCCCGCCAATCTACCAAAGGTTAGCATCCCGCCCACAGAGTTGAAGGAGTGTACTTACGGCGCAATCTCACAGCTCATCAAGAAACATCCATGACTCTCCCTCCCATGACCAAACACAGCATCCGTATACGTCGCGGCACCCTCCTCTACCCTCCTCCCCACCATCTTCAAAATCGTCCTAACGACCATCCCTCCCAAGCCTTTCGCGTTGTGGTGACCACCCAGATTCGTACCGCTCGTAAGACCCGGGTCAACCATATTGATCACCACATCATCTGCACATATCTTCTCACTCAATCGAACAACGAAGAGTTGATTAAGTAGCTTCGACACGCCGTATCGTTCGCTGGGACTGATGAAGTTGGCGGGGTCGTCGAAGGAGGGGAGGAGAGGGTTTTGTTTGTGGTTGGGAAAGGCGCAGAGGTGGGCGGTTAGGGAGTTGACGATGCTGATATGAGGATTTGAGGATTTGGTTTTGAGAATGGGGATGATGAGGAGGGTTAGAAGAGCTGTGCTAAAGTGATTTACCTGCACAGCAAGTTCATGACCCGTTCCCTTGACAGTCTCAAATTTGGATGGTGATAATCCAGCGTTGAGTATCACTAAATCCACCTTTTCCAACGTCCCACACTTTTTCGCAAATGCCCAAATAGAGTCATACTCACACATATCCAATTCCCAAACATCAATCTTCACCCCTTTTCCCTCCTGTTCTAGCTTCCTGGCTGCCTCTCTCCCCTTTTGCAAGTTCCGTACACCCATGATGAGGTGAGATAGACCAAGGGAGATGAGTTGGCGTGAAGCTTCGAAGCCGAGACCTGTGTTTGAGCCGGTGATGATTGCTGTTTTAGACTGGACTTGAGTGTATTTTGGAGGTGGGATTGTGGTGAGGAATTGGTTTTTGATAAAGGTTGGAAGCCAGAAGTTTGGAAGGGGAGGGAGGTACTTTGATGGAGGATGATCTGGGTTGTTGGAGGGCATTTTGATGATGTTTAGGAACTGAAAGGCTGTGAAGTATTGACAGGAGGACAGTAATACGAAATAGTTTGATGATGTTTCTGACTTTGACTGCAGAATTTAGGAGGTTTTATACTACAAATACTTCTCTAATACACCAAAGCCATCATCTGCCTGTCTGGAAGCCCTGGTGTTGGGCGTTTGAAGCAATCCCGAATAGGAAATTGCAAAAGTCTTGGCATTCTTACAACAGCGTCATGGCCAATCAGAAGCTCAATAACTGATGACAAGCAGATGGTGAATAATACATAGGACGACATAAGAAGTGTTCATGATGATCAGATGAGGACGGAGTTAGGAAATTGATGTTAATTAGATCCGAGTTGTGCTCTTTGGGTCGTTTGGTGGGTTTAGTGAGGACGGATTGGTGAAGCTAGAGCAAGAGAGCAGAATAACCGCCCAGTTGAGAGGTCATGATCCCTTCAACTTACACGAACTTACATGCACAGATCTGAAGTTTATGGATCAGTCTATGCAACTTCTTTGAGAAATGTACATGAATTCGACCTACTGGGCATGGGGTCACGACCGCCCAGTGCTCTGAACATCAATTGCGCCTTACTCCGCTTACAAGACGGCAACAAGACGCCAACAACCTTCTTATTCCCATCACCAACTTATATCCACAGTGGACCTTTTCATCTCCATCCCATGCCCATCTCCATCTCAATCTCATGAACAGACCACCTTCAATTCCTTATCACTTACACCAGCTTATCTCCCAGTGGATCTATCCTAACCGTACTTCGGCTCGGAATCTACATCTACCACCGATACAATTGATAGATAGCACTGACTCGCCTTCTTTTTACGCCCAGGATCCCCCATCATGACATTTACCCCTCGTGTCCCTTGCGCCCTACAATACCGACCACCCAATGAAACTCGTCAATGCCTTTGCCGCGATGTGGAGTGCCCCGCGATAGCTCTCATGATCAATCACCGGCAACGGAGGACATGAATGCTTTATATACCATCATGTTGTCTCTACTAATTGAAGCTGGAATTCATAGATATTATACCCTTCTTAGAATTTGATACCATTGACTGCTACAATGACCGTCGTCACTCTTCCCGAACCTTTTGCGAGCATTCCCCGAGAGAACTTCCTCTTCGGCGCTTCTCCCCTTCAACCACTCCCCAGAATATCCGCTGCTCTAGGCGGAAAGGTCAACGTCTACGCAAAGCGAGAAGACTGCAACTCCGGTCTCGCCTACGGCGGTAACAAAGTCCGAAAGCTAGAGTAAGTTCCTCCCTACCAACCAACAATATACCACATCAACTAACTGTTTAGGTATCTTGCAGCTGAAGCTCAAGCCCAAGGCGCTGATACCCTCGTCTCAATCGGCGGCGTCCAATCCAACCACACCCGCGCCGTCACAGCCGTCGCAACAAGCCTAGGCCTTAAAGCCGCTACCGTCCAAGAACACTGGGTGGACTGGGAAGACCCTGGTTATGAAAAGGTCGGCAACATTCAGCTCTCGAGACTCATGGGCGGTGATGTCAGACTGGATCCTTCGACGTTCGGCATCGAGCACAAGACTACCCTCGCCAAGCTCACCGATGAGTTGAAGAGCAGTGGCCGTAAACCATACTACATTCCTGCCGGTGCTTCAGACCATCCCCTCGGTGGTCTTGGTTTCGCACGATGGGCATTCGAAGTTGAAGCTCAAGAAAAAGAACTCGGTATTTTCTTCGATACAATTATTGTATGCGCTGTTACAGGATCTACTTTCGCAGGTATGATCGCCGGCTTCAAACTCGCCCAAAAGAACGGTTCTCCCGCGCGTAAAATCATCGGCATCGACGCCTCAGGAAAAGTCCAACAAACATTCGACCAAGTCCTACGCATCGCCAAATCCACAGCGTCAAAGATCGGTCTCAGCGAGGACGACATCACGGCCGACGATGTCATCCTCAACCCTGACTACAATGCCAAGATCTATGGAATTCCTGACGAGACGACGCTCGAGGCGATGAGATTTGGAGCTGCGACGGAGGCGTTTATCACGGATCCTGTGTACGAGGGTAAGAGTTTGGCGGGCATGATGGATTTGATCAAGACGGGCAAGATCAGTGGTGGGAATGTGCTTTATGCGCACTTGGGTGGACAGTTGGCTTTGAATGCTTATTCCAGTCTTTAGAGTAGAGGATATTAAATAGAAGTGCATATATCCGTTGTCGATCATTGGTTGCTAGGTCGTCAGCATTCCTCGTCCATGGCTGAATGTCTAACCAGACTGTACCTCTCCAACCGCCGTCACCTAACCATCAGCGATAAAATGAGTGCCTCTCAAGATACGAAATATGAAATTCTCTCTACAATAACAGAATTCTTCAATCTCTCCACCAAACATCCTCTGCCCAGCAATGCAAGCGACCATATCATCGAAGCATCCTACGTCATCCAATCCTCCCCGAATACCCTAGAGCAGACAACTCTCGGAGAGCTATTCCTCGGCGAAGAGAAGCTCACGCAACAAATCGAATGGGCGATAGATGAACCCCAAGAAACATTTATCTATGAGAAGCTAGCTGCTGTGTGGACGGGCTGGTCTATTCGTGCAGACGATGGTTCGCTTATAAGCCATAAAAAAGGCCTCATCGGATTAGCATACGTTGAAGGGAAGTGGAAGATCTCAGGGTTAGCATCAACACAGCGTTCCCACTCAACACCAGACAACGACAACGATCTCGAACAAGAAATCATGTCCCCCATAAATGCGCTTCTAGCCGACTTCTCGTCACCAGACTGGTCCGTCCTAAAACAGTGGTTCATTCCCAACGCAGGCGTGACACTCTACCGTCCCCCCAATGCACCAGCGCCCATGACGATGGAACAGTCCATAACTCGGTTACAGAACATGATCAAGAGCGGGATAAGTATCCAGGAGAAGCTTCATGATGTGCAGGTGAGGAAACATGGGGATTTGGCGCTTGTGTGGGCGCCTTTTGTGGTGGAGATTGATGGACGGGTTGCGCATGAGGGGGTTAATGCTTTTACGCTTTTGAGGAGGGAGGAGAGGTGGTGTTTTGGGGGTTGCCAGGACTATGGGGCTCCTTCGAGTTGATGCGGGAGTGATTTTGTTGTGCTGGATAGGCGGAGGAGTATTATCTGTGTTATCTTGACCAAGATCAGCTCAATTGATGTTATTATTTCTATTCGATCTGACAGAAGCCGTGGAAGAACAGACATGTAGAGGAATTGAGCATTCTGCTTCTAGGCAGGTAAAAAGCTTGGGGGTTCTTGCATTCGTACCTGCCTTCCCGTTCGTGAATCACGATCATCAAGTGCCGGCAATTTCGTCGCTCCTTCCTCATAAGCTACTCCAACTCCCGCCTTCCTCAGGCACACAACTTCAACCTCACATCCACTTCACATCACGAAAGCCACCTAAAAACAACCGGTCAAGCCTATTGAAAGATGGTTTCATGCGGGGTCTGCTAGAAGGAGTTCCCTGCTGGATGGTATGCTCTCGAGCAACATCTTAATGCGACTGGGCACTGGTACGATAACCAGTACAATTCAACAGTAACAACAACCTATTGCGACTGGGAATGCGGCATTTGTTGCACTGGGTTTCGTCGTCGTAGAGACTGCGAGAACCATGAGATCAACGAGTGCTTCTACTGCGGTGATTGCGATCGCCAGTTCAACAGTTGGAATGCTATTCAGCAGGTACGTTGTTCAACCGCTTCAGCTTACGTCGCTAACCTTGCAAGCATCTGAACTCAAGCCGGCACGGAGGATCAAACCAAGTCACCCAGTATCACGGAGGTGCCGTTTTTCATTTTCATTTTCAGCAGAACGGAGTCAAATGCCCTTTCTGTTGTGCCAATTACAACGCCGCAAGCGGTGTCGCACATCATCTCGAACGCGGATGTTGTCCAAACGCGCCCTTGGACAGAGACACCTTGTACCAAGAGGTTAAGAAGCGCGATCCCGACGGTCTGATCACGAACCAGTTTCTTAAATGGGAACCCACCGTCCACTACCAGGCGACAGAACTCGCATTCAACAGTTACTACGGTGAATACGAGTGCTACATATGCCATGACTTGTTTCCATACCTGTCCAGTCTGAACCAACATCTCGACTCGCCTCGACATCAGCGCGATCTTTACCACTGCCCAAACAGGTCTTGCCTTAGGGAGTTTACTACACTTGCCGGACTCATCAATCACTTGGAGAGCGAGTCGTGCCGCTTCATGCGTTTCCAGGCTGTTCAGAATGGGATCAGAGGGCTTTTCTCGTCGCAACGCAACGTCTCCTTCCGGTGAAGAGCGAGATCACTTATGTCGGATAACAAGGGTTATTATTGGTTCTCGATTATATGTTGCCGGAATCGATGAAAGGCTTTTGTTATGGTCTTGACAAAGGAGTCATAATGGTCGGAGGACAAAACTGTGTGTTTGAGATCAGGTTGGTTGTTCGGCATCGATACGTCAATAGAGGACATTTCTTATGAAGGTTGTTAGGACCATGTATACTATCTCAGAAGGACAACCAATCGCAGACATACTAAAGCATGTATATGACACGCCCATGGCTTCTGTCAGATCGAATAGAAACAATCACACCAATTGAATCCATATCCGAGACAACGTCGCTCTTGGCAATCAAACCGATCATTCTGCCCGTGTCTCACTCCCTATTCCCTATTCACGCCACCCGATTTTGACAAGCGATCACAAAAGCAAAATCACCTCACAAACCAACTGAGGCTGACCAGTTTATCAACTAACCGTTATTGGGCGATAGCGCTTTGACTTTGCTCTGCAACCACCTGACTCGTTCGGATTACAGAACATGTCTGCTTGTTATAAGTGAATCCACAGGCATATAATAAAAGTTGCAACTAGTCATTTGAACTGGTGTTTTGAACTCAGCCTCCAAGTTTGAGGCGACTTTTGTGGTCCCTCTTCCTAACGAACCAACAGTATTGTAGGTGTTTGACGTGCATTTGCTCTCAGACGTTTTATAACTGATTGATCACTTTTTACACGGGCTTAGGATGTTTTTCTGCTCTATTGCCGTGGTCTCAGATACTGTTTTAGCTGTTTTTAGTTACTTAAAGAAGATCACCGTATGTTGTTGCGCACGGTAAACGGACTCATGACTGTGTATTCCGGTTGAAGAAAAAGCTCTTCGTAGAGGACTCGGGGAATGACCCGAGACACGCCAGAGCCAGAGCTAGACGCCGTCCCGCGGGTTAGTGCCCGCGAGGCTCAAGCTCGTTGTGCAAAAACTTGACTATAGGAATAGTCAACCGCGTGTTGACATTTGGCCTAGAAAATCACTGACTACTGAGGCTGAAGACGTTTAATTACATGAAAAAGTGGCTTTGTTTAGTGTGTTCTATCGTGTATTGTATATGTATATATCTATGCTATTCTGGATTAAGCGTACTTGTTAATCATCTTAAGAATAGCCTCGTTAATCTCCTTGGGGTTGGTAGCACTCAAGTAATGACCACCGCCCTCAACAAAGTCAAGCGTGGCTTCAGGGCTGGAAGTAAACAGCTTGATATGCTCAGCTGGAACAGTCGTTCCAAAGACCGGATCCGCAGTACCCTAAAATTGAAACGATGGTTAGCTTCTTATCTAGTGTAGCTTTGTGGAGGCTCAACTCACCTGGAGCCAGTAAACAGGACACTTGACGTCTCGGAGGCGGAGCAAAAGACCGTCCCGTTCGAAAAGGTTAACTACAGCGATGCGGAGCTTCTTGCGGCCCTCGTCGCCGCTGTATACCTGCTTGAGCGTCTCGTCCCAGAAGGAGAGGAGCTCGGGGGATGGGTCACTGCCGAAGCCTACGGATGATACTAGACCGCGCCAGACTTCGGGGACGACAAAGTCGGGTGTGGGAGTTGGACTGCTCCAGCTTTCGTAGAAGGGACCGAGTTGGGTCTTTGGGTCCCAGCATCCTTTCTCGCGAGAGACTGAGGACTCGTAGTCCATGGAAGTACCGAGTGGCAGTACGCCGAGGATCTGATGTTGTCAGCCAAGGGTCTTGTTTCGTCTAACTATATTGGGTATGTGAAATGGCCAGAGCTAGTTTAGTTTAGTTCTGTACCGTTTCTACCATATCTCCAAGCGAACAGGAACAGGAACAGGAACTCTACCTTTTCAGGGGCAAGAAGAGCCATGCGAACAACGATCCAGCCACCAGCACTGGTACCCAGAGCAAAAGCCTTGTCAACGCCAAGAGCCTCCATGACCTGAAGGTTCATGATAGCGGAATCCCAGTAAGTAAAATGCTCTGACTTGACGCTTGTGGCGCCGTGGCCGAGAGGCTCGATGGCGAGAAGGTTGACGGCATCTGTGAGTTCTTTTGTGTCGAACTGAGGGTTGAAGAGGGATGAGGTGGTGCACATGGAGTTGACGAGGACGAGGGTGGGCTTTGAGGCGTCGATTCCTGTGCCTGAGACACGATAGCCAGCATCGATGCCTCCAAGGTGGGGAACGCGGATAGTAGTTTTGGCAGCCATGGTTGAGAGTGAAGATCTTTCTTTCAGTGATAAAAAGAAAAGAAAGAGATACAAGGGACTAAAGGTCTTGGGATGCAAGAAGCTAGAATACTTCAAGACATGAGGTGACCTTTTTTGTACTAGAACCTAGACGACGATCAAAGGGGCACGGTGATGATCCAGTGGGACCTGGGATCCGCATGGGGATACTTCTCCGGTCTTTTGAAGCTTTCATGACGGCGCTATTCCGCTGCTGAAACTGGAACTGGACTGGACTGGACGGGCGCTTTACTAAGGTAAGGCTGTATTGCGAACAGACTGGACATTACTCCAACGGGCCGGACCGTTGAGAAAAGAGGTTGTTTGTAATAAGGGTCTATGTTTTTGTTTATACTATTGTATGTGTTTTTTTTTTTTTTTTTTT